AATGGACTTTGTTTATATTGATGAGGTTCAAGATCTTACAATGAGTCAAATTGCTCTGTTTAAACATATGTGCAGCAATGTTGAGGAGGGTTTCGTTTTTTCGGGCGATACTGCTCAAACAATTGCAAGTGGTATTGATTTTAGGTTCCAAGACATACGACATCTGTTCCACAAGAAGTTTGTATTGGAATCAAGAAGTAATATGCATGACGAAAGAAAAGTAAAGGGACAAATTTCAGATATATTTCATTTGACTCAAAATTTCCGTACCCATGCTGGTGTACTGAAGTTATCACAGAGCATTGTTGAACTAATCTATCGCTTTTTTCCCCACTCTATTGATGTTTTAAAACCTGAAACCAGTCTTATATACGGGGAAGCTCCAGTTTTGCTTGAATATGGAGAAAATGAAAATGCAATCATAAAAATATTTGGAAATAGTGGAACTGACAGTGGAAATATAGTTGGCTTCGGTGCAGAGCAGGTTATTTTGGTGCGAGATGATGGTGCTAGGAAAGAAATTTCCATGTTTGTTGGGAAACATGCTCTTGTCCTGACCATTGTGGAGTGCAAGGGCCTCGAGTTCCAGGTGATTACAATATTTATTTACTTATTTAATTTTTTTCAATTCTTGGAGAAGCTATTATCCCAGCATGATCTGGTCTTTTTTCTCCTTTTTCCTTTGCATAATTTTTTGTGGCTGGTTTTCCCAACGGAATCTAATTAGATACTGGCTTCACATTAGAAAATTATGGTTTACTGCTGCACTATTTATTGAATTATGATACTTTCAGTCCTTTATATGTTTACTATGTTTAAACTTTTGTTCATTCATGACAATCATGTCCCATCTATAGGACGTACTCTTGTACAACTTTTTTGGTTCATCACCATTGAAAAATCAATGGAGGGTAATATATGATTACATGAAGGAACAAGACTTAATTGACTCAACATTACCTAAGCGCTTTCCAAGTTTCAATGAAGCCAAGCACAACATCTTGTGCTCTGAACTAAAGCAACTATATGTAGCCGTTACTCGTACCAGACAGAGATTGTGGATTTGTGAGAATGCAGAAGATCTCTCCAAACCTATGTTTGACTATTGGAAGAAGAAATGTCTTGTACAGGTTAGGCAACTAGATGATTCACTTGCACAGGCAATGCAAGTTGCAAGCAATCCAGAGGAGTGGAAATCACGGGGCATTAAGGTTTGCAAAATTTTCGTCTTAAAGCAATTAAGATATATCATGAACATAACTAAATCATTTGTTTTAGTATTAGTTAATTTATAGTAGCGACAAACAATTAAAGCATTTGTTGTAGTATTAGTTAATTTATAGTAGCGACAAACAATTAAAGCATTTGTTGTAGTATTAGTTAATTATATTATTCTTATTGTCATCATTACTGCACTCCTTGCATTACAAGCATCAAATTGTTCTTGCAGCTATATCATGAACATAACTATGAAATGGCCACAATGTGCTTTGAAAGAGCTGGTGATACATATTGGGAAAGAAGGTCAAAAGCTGCCGGCCTTAAAGCTATGGCTGACCGTATGCGAACTTCAAATCCTGAAGAGGCCAATTCCATTCTTAGGGAAGCTGCTGAAATATTTGATGCTATAGGCAAGGCAGATTCTGCTGCCAGGTGTTTCTCTGATTTGGGCGAATATGAAAGAGCAGGTATAACTATTTAACATCTCAAGTACTAGATTTTATTTCACCATCATTTAATATCTTGCATAATGCTATGAAGCCTGTGGAATTTTGGTTGTCATAAATTTCTTCTCATTTTTTAACTTGTACTGGTGCAGCTTGGATTTATTTGGATAAATGTGGCGTGTCTGATCTGGAAAGAGCTGCGGAATGTTTTTCTCTAGCAGGATGCTACAAAGATGCTGCAGATGTGTATGCCAAGGGAAACTTCTTCTCTGAGTGTCTCACTGTTTGTGTAAAAGGAAAACTGTTTGAAATGGGTTTGCAATACATCAATTATTGGAAACAGCATGCAACAGAGGACTGTGTTGTGGCTAGACGAGGTGAAGGAATAGATAAAATTGAGCAAGAATTTCTGGAGAACTGCGCATTTCACTATTATGAGTTGAAAGATGACAGATCCATGATGAAATTTGTTAAAGCTTTTGATTCTATAATATCGATGCGGAACTTTTTGAAGAAGTTAGGTATCCTTGATGAGCTTCTTTTGTTGGAAGCAGAATTTGGAAACTATCTTGAAGCCGCGGACATCGCAAAGCTGAAAGGCGATATTCTACTCGAAGCTGATTTTCTTGAAAAGGCAGGCAAGTCCAGAGAAGCGTCATTACGTATTCTATTCTATGTGCTTGCCAACTCTCTTTGGTCATCTGGCAGAAAGGGCTGGCCCATACAACAGTTTTCACAGAAGGGGGAGATTTTATCAAAAGCCATGTCATTTGCTAAGAATGAAACAGAAAGCTTTTATGAGCTTGTTTGCACTGAGGTCGACATTTTGTTAAACGAGCAGAGTAACTTGGCTTTGATAAAAAATCATATGGATGTTTGTCAGAGGCATAAGAGCATTAGAGGTGAATTAATATCTGCTCGAAAAATATTGGATGCTCATATTTCTTCCAGCGCCAATAAGTATGTGTGGGATGATCTGATAAAGTGCTCGGAAGACAGAATATCTGAAAATCAGGTATCTATAGATTCACTAATTTACTTCTGGAATTTTTGGAAGGATAAAGTTGCTTTAATTTTTGAATATCTTGGATGCCTTGAAACCCAAGATGTTAATGAATACAAAAGCTACGGGGAGTTTTGTTTTGATTACTTAGGAGTGTGGAGGTCGTATCATAATCTTAGTCCAGTCTATGTTTTACTCATATCTGGTGCTGATTGGGTTCAAGGTGTGGACAAAAGATATTTTAGAAGTCATGGAAAGTTGGTCTCCGTTGATGTTCACCAGCTTGTCTCAGCTGCTCGTAATTTTTGGAGTTCAGAAATGCTTTCTGTTGGCATGAAAGTTTTGGACAAGCTTGAAATTCTTTACAAGTTTCCAATGAAGAATGCTGATCCAGTGTTCTGCCAAAGCAGGTGCCTTACCCATATTTGTGAGGTCTCACTATATCTTTTGCAATCAAAATGTTTGAAGCTAACATATCAGGATACGTTGAGATTGCAGAGATGTGTAAGGCTTTCAACTGAGAGTGTTGTTACACACATATTTCCTATGGATTGGAGGAGTTCATTGAGGGAGAATATGATTTCTCTTAGAAGAACTGATGCTCTAAAGAAGGCACTGGAACAAGTAATAGTTGAGTATACCAGCTCGAAGAGGGAGCTGTCTTTTGGGCAAATTGGAAAGCTTGTAATGGTTATTCTCGGGTCCGGTAAGCTGAATAGTGAACTATACGATAAGCTTGTGGAAAAACTGGAATGCAAACCGCCATGGAAGGTGTTCATTGAGAACCTCTGTGGGAATGTTGGCCCTGGAAACACCAGTCAAGAACCGAGAGAGGTTTCTGTAATGTTGAAGTTCTGTGGAGCTTTGGCTGATACTTATAATGCGAACTGGAGGGTTGTTAACGATTACATATCACCTGGTTGCTTTTTGTACCTTGTGGAGCGCCTTCTGTTTTGGGCAACTCGCTTTAAGGGTTATGCTATCACTACAAGTTCTTGCTTTATTGAGTGGCTTATATACCAAGAGGAAGATACCAAAGTAAGTTCCATAGTTGCTGATGTGCAATCATCTTTGGATGGCATCCTTCATTTTGTGATTTATGTGGTTCAGGGGTGTGTTTTTAATAAGGGGGATATGGTTGAATGGATTAAAAAGACCAATGCAAATTGGAAGAACTATTATTCACAGCTCATGTTGAGATTTGTTACTGTTTTATGCTTGGTTTATGTGAATTTTGATATGGGTCAAGATATACTCCACAATTTGCTGGGGAGGGAATATATCACCGAGCAGCTGCCATGGGAATTTTCTGACGCCCTTAAGAGGAGGAGGAGACACAAATCTCTTAGTATAAATGTGAGTGAGCTAGCTGCAGCTTTTCGGAAGATTGGTAATACTCTGGTAGTTGCAAATTTTGGGTCCAATTGTGCAAGGATCGTATGTCCAGATGCCATATTTTTTGACATGAAGGCCAACCATTCCAAGGATGACATTCTGAGGAAGTTGTTTCCTAAACCACCTGTACTACCAGCTTCCCAAGCTAGATCTGTTGAAGCAGGAGGCAATAATTCTGGCAGTCGTGTGCTTCATGCAACCAATTATGAGGGGAAGAGTTCTAAGATCCTGCCATCAAAGTCTGGTGTGGTGGAACCATTACAGACTGATGCTGCATCTGATAAACCGAGTGATGCTGGGGACGGGGCCAGTCACACTACAGTTGAGAAAGATTGCATAACCAATGGGTCAAATCCAAAGTCTCTGCACGCTGATGCTGCTTCTGAGCCGGGTGATGCTGGGGACAGTCACACTAAAGATGAGGAAAGCTGCATAACCAAAGAGTCATATCCCAAGTCTAAGCAAGCTGATGTTGCGGCTTCTGGATCCCAATCTGGCAGTAAGGAAACTGGAAACAAGGGGAAGAAAAAGAGCAAGAACAAGAAGCCCAAGAAGAAAGGAGGCAAAAAGTAGTCATCACATGTTAATATATATATATAATATATATGCTGTGTGAATCTTGTTATATTGGAACTTGATGGTTCTTTTGATATATATATGTCAGACAAATTATCTTTGATGAGTATTACTTTTTATATTTCATTACATGTCAGTGATTTGCAGGATGCATCGGCTTAGAGATAAGCTTGGTACAATTTAAGAAGTTGAATTATTAAAACGAAAGATTTTGATTTGAACAACTTGCATAGGACCTTTGTTTCTGAGAGAGAATTGAACATCTCTCAACTGTTATTTTCAACTTTCAACCAAGTCTAAAAAACAAAACAAGAAAATAACAAAAAAGAGTCTGACACAGGCAGGGAGAGCCTCAAAACTCAATTATCATCGTTCCCAAATAGCTTGACTCGGGACAATGGCGTCCTCAAGTAGCCATCCACCTCGAACTTCTTCGGCGAAAGCTGGCGGTACTTCTCAAACTGCTCTCGCGCCTCTGCATTCCTGTCAAGCAAACTGTAAATCATGCCGCGGCAAAAGTAGGGCCTGAAGTCTTTGGGATCCTCCTTTGCCAATTCGTTATAGCTATTCAAAGCGTCCTCCACGTTCTTCTGAAGGAACTGAATTTGTGCCATTATTAATTTAACGTCGCGAGCCTCCTTTGCTTTGTTCTCCTCCTCCGCAATCTGCAAGGCGTCCTCCAATCGCTTCATCACCGCCTCGCCCTCGCCGCTGCGGTCCATCAGCAGGGCGTTCTCGAACAACGCCTCGAAGGACAAAGGATCCGCCGCGAGTATTTCCTCGAACACTTGGCGGGCGCTTTCGTTTTCGCCCATTTCGGCGAGCACCCTAGCCATCATGAACTTCCACTCGGTCGCCGAGGGCTGCGCCAAGGCCAAGCGCTGCAGGATCTTTAGCGCTTCACCGTCCTCGCCGTTTTCGAGCTTCTGCTGCAGAAGCGATTTCAAGGCTTCGATGGCTTCCGAATTGGAGCCTAGGAAGTCGGACAAGGGCGATGAGGATTGATTCTCGTCATCCGAGACCTGGGTTGGGGCTTGTTCGGTCAATGCAGGCGGAGGGTCGGCTCTGGCGAGCAAAGTTGAGGACTTGGTGAAGATGGTGGCAGCGACGCCAATGAGAATTGCAGCTTTGGCATAATGTTTGAGATTTTGGAGAATCGGGTTTGAGTTGTGGCCGCCGTTGCTTGGGAGGAGGGTGTTGTGGTTGGTTGAGGAAACTGTGATTTTGAGGGCAGGGGCATGGTGGGAATTGTGGGAATGTGGTGGGGCAAAACGGAGAAGAGATGGTTGAGTTGGTTTAGAGGGAGTGAGTTTGAAATGAAAGAGAGACGAGGACGATGAGGAGGAGGCTAGCGTGGAGGAGGAGTTCATGGTTAAGCGGCCGACGAGTTCTTGAGAGTTTGGACTTTATGGGGAGGTAGGTAGCTGGGGACGAGTGGGAGAGTGTGACTTTTGAGAGAGAGACAGAGAGGAAGTTTCACTCCGTCGGAACTCAAAGTAGAACCGTTGGTTTGGTCGTTGGTATGTTTGGACTTCAAACCGATTATGATTTACATTTTATTTTATTTTATTTTATAGATTTTATTTTAATTTTGACTAGCCTCTTCGCACTCGCGCCTATGAGAGGCTTTCTATTTTAAAAATTAAATTTCTTTTAGAATTAGAAAAGATAATAGATAGTTGTGTTTCATAAAAATAGGATTCATTATTTGATTTTTTTCTTTTAATTTTAATTTTTTAAATATATAAAAATGTAAATTTATCATATTATCATCAGTTAATTAATAATTTCAATTCTTAATGTTTGCATTAACTAATGGCATTTTCTGATGTTTTGAATGTTTTACCATTCTCAGCCTTTTGCTTTATTTAATTTTGATAAAAATGAATGTGGGTGGGTGTGGATTTATTGAAGGAGAAGGAAATTTTTTGGTAATTACTGAGAGTGGTGAGGAATTGTGTAGATTTATTTAAAATAAATTATAACTATTTATCTACCCATGTTTGTTTCTCTTTTCATATAATAAGGGTAAAATTGATAAAATAGGGACATAAGAGGTATTTTCTGAAACAGTAAGTTGATGAAGCCTCTTCTCTTAAATAATAACCTGCCGATAGTGTAGGCTGTAGGATAGTCAATTACTAAAAAGGAAAAAGAAATTTAATCGGCGTTTTACAAAACAGAACTGGAACAAGAAGAATTGGGCTTTTTGTACAAAGTTAGTCTGAAGGGGCGACCCAGATGCCATATGAAACCCAATAATGTCGGCCCAGCCCCAACTTGCATAATTGCTTACTTTACCTCACGCTTGTTCTCTCTTGTATTTCTCACTCCCCCACTAAAACGAATCAAAAGATTACCATTCCTCTGGTCGTTGCTAATTTTTTTTCTTTTCCTCATGTTTTGCTTGTGTTTCAACATAAATATAAAAAAAGATTATCTTTGTGTTACAATGCTACTTTTTTCTTAAAAATTCCGACTCTGAGACCAATATACATATTTACAACAAAATATAGAACAAACATTACACGGCTGTGAACTGAATATACTTCATGGTGGGCAGTGAAGAATTGATAGAGGCCATATTATACTCCCAACCTCTTAACGCCACATTCTGAGCAGAACTTAGAGGTTTCTCTCAAGTATGGAACCCCACATTCGTCGCAAAACTTGGCAGGACTGGATGGCTGAAATAAAACTTGGTCAGTAAGGAATAAATAAAGACATTTTTTTTATGCGGTTATGAAAATATGCTTCAGACATTAAAATCATTCTACTTTGTTTCCCATTGCAGTTGACATAATCCATCACTTAATAGAGGAGACATTACAAAAGACACACAGCACAAAGCAAAGGGAGCGTTCAAGAATAGCAAAAACATCAAAAGACGAACGTGAATTTGAGACAGCATGCAAAATAGAACTCACCAATACATGCATGCGTCCCCCTACATGGCCTCCTGTGAGGGGTTGTAAGCAAACCATGTGTTGCGATATAGTCGGTGAATGGTGAGCATGAGCAATTTCAGGCAGTTGCGAGGCAGCACCACATTGATGGTTTTGAGAATAATGAACAGCATGTGGACTTTGGTTGATGGATTGGTGATGAGTCTGGTGAACAGGCTGAAACTGAGGTTGGTGCAACAAGGGTTGCATATGATGCTTACACGGAGTCGTCTGCTGATTTTGTGGCTGCTAAAAGGAAAAAGATAAATCTCCATTTTTACACAGACAATGTTTTGTATATCCAGAAAAAAACACAGGCATAGGGGCTCACAATAGCAACTAATCAAAATATAAGCCATATTGAGCACCATTAAGTTTTAAATAGATTTCTACAAAAGATAAGAGATTTATTCTCGAATATGTGGTAAAAGTGAGTGTGATACACCATTTGGTCCTAAACCAGATATGTCTTGCTGTCATTAACCAATAAGGTGTCAACAGAGACTTATATGAGTTTATTAGTAGCTTCACAATCCCCACGATTGGAATCTCCATCCACTTAAGAGGCATGTTATTTTGCCTTTGATGCATCAAGTTTAGTGTTGTAAATGGCAAGTACAACATATACATTGATTATTTTCCCAAACGGCAAAATAATTGAATTATAAAAGAACCATGGCAGTAATACAACTAATCCAAAAACTTGATGTTTTTTTTGCTAGAAAAGTTTGAAGATCAATCTCACAGCGCATGCAGCTACATGCCCTGCAACCATCTAAGGCTGATAACAATATAAAACATCTAGGGCCAACAACAATCTTGATATAGGCTGATGCTCATCTCAATATATTGACAATCCAATCAAACATAAAACGTTGTTGCAATAATCATTAAGCATAGAAATAACTCTTACTTCACTTACGGAGCGGAATCCCTGAGCAGCAGCCAAAATGGAAGAATTATCAGTGCCAGGAAATGTCTGAAAAGGATATATTAAGAGGATGAATTGATACCTCCGCATTCAATTTAGTTAGTAAAGTAAAATATTGTGATGTTATTATAAGTACCACCAAATATAAATTTCCTTATCATGCAATTTTAATTTTGGATTTACTCAAACACGACCATGAGGAGAAAGAAAAACAAAAGGAGATTTCTATAATCTAAGACCTATCTACATCCCACAGTTTCAGAATGTTCTGTAATGGCCCCCATTCTTGATGGTTAACCTAAATTTTTTGTCAAAGTTAATGAGATGAAAATGAGCTCCAAGTATTACAAAATAAGTGACATCAAGCTTACAGGTAAACCAGCAATATTAGGTGAAGAGTTTGATGCAACACGTCTATACTTGTGTCTTGGAGAATAGAACTTAAAGTCTCGAGCATAGACTGCTACTTCATTCCGACCAGTCAATCGTTTGAACCTGCAGCAAAGAGAAAGAAAAAAAAAGGAAAAGGAAAGATTTAGGCACATTGCAAACTTCAAACCAAATCTGATTTGTATCAGCACTTCATGCAGACAGGTCTCGACCAAGACAAAAAATAAATAAAAGAACGATACTTCAGCACAAACTATCATATGGAAGGGAAAAATCCTACTATTCTTCCCAGTTTAAAATAAATATCTTGACTCATGACTTGCATTCTCAGAAATTTCTATATGTGTTATTGAATATTATATATATATATATATATCCCATGGGTCCTACAAGGATAGTCTTCGCTTCGGGCTTTTCCAAATTCATCCTTGTAATCCTTGTAAAAGGTTGTTTTGAAAAGCACAAACAGCAGCTGTTTATCATCAACTTAGTTGCTTAGCTTTTAATAAGCACACATAGAGGTAGTAACAGTGGGTTCAGAATCTCAAGCCTAAGAGATGTCAGAAGTCATGAAACTATATAACAGTGGCTATCGTTCGTACTCCAGCTGCACAGCCTTGTGCCAAGTTTCCATGTACTCATTTACTTTGCACTCTAAAAAAGGAGTGTGGCAAGCTAACATTGACCAAAGAGGATGTCTTGCCCAAAGGAAAACATTGATTAAGTCTTAAGAAATGGAAATTAGTGCAAAAGATGAGCCAAAAATTGGAATATTTTAACAGATAATCACACCCCAAAAAAGAAGATGCAAATTGATTTATAAACTTACCATTCTGCATCATCAGTAGGCATGTTATTAGGATTTTCAACAATATCCAAACCATTTACTACTACAAAACGAACTCGCTTCTCGTCTTGTATGACCAACTCTGGAAATCTTGTCCTTGTTTCGATAGATGTGGCCAACTCTCTTCTTTTAAATGTACACGGTCCTTTCGGAAAGATATAGGCAAATCAGATATTATCACAAACAAGGGCAAGATTTATTTAGGAACCACTTATTATTTAGATGCTATTACGAGTAAAATTGATTCACAAATCAACATAGATCTTATATGCAGAGAAATTGAATACCTTTTTTGGGAAATTTCTTAGCCAGGCATCTGTACAACCCACCAGAAGCTTCAAGGGCAACCCCAATTGTCTTCTCACGAAATCCACTCAAGGAATCAAGCCTAATATTTGCTTCATTAACCAAAGTTTGGTACATATTTGCGACATACATCAGGGGCAAAGCCAGTCTGGGGTCCCCTTCATACCGGACCTCCCCGGGCTTTCTCTTATTGAGTTTATCTTGGCCAGACTGAGCACTATTATAGTCAGCAGCAGCCTCAGAATTAGGCACTTCAACGACATGTTCACTAATAAAATGATCCACAATAAGTTGCAGAAATCGTGCCCTTGCTGATTCAATAGGTGACACATCTGACTCCAAAGCCAAAAGGGTTCGGTTCAAATTTCAAACTTTCCAACACAAATACACAAAATTCGAAGAAAGCAAGTTAAAGTTGGTACCTTGAAGTGATAAGAGATCGTAGGGAGCCCTGGAACTGGAAGAGCCGCCATGGTTTTCAAGGCGCGAGCGGTCTTCTTCAACTCCTACGCGGACGCCGTGGATGGGTAAAGAGTTGGTGTAGGATTCATGTATACAGTCATTAACAACGGCACTGGAACCGTCGTCGTTGTCGAGGCTATGCTCAGTGACGGTGTCGCGGTCGACATCACTGATGGAGTCGATTTCGGAGGCGGGGCGAGCATCGACGGTGTTGAGGTCGTGAAGAGGGTTTCCAATGTAGGAATTAGGCGATCTCATGTTGTAGTGCTGCACTGGAACCCTACTCCCCATTTCTTCCAAATTTATTTTAACCGAAAGCCCTTCGAATTCATCTCATTCGTCGTCTTCTTCCCCTTTTTAACTGCAAACTGCAAATCGCAAAGCAGAGAGATTGTGTGTTCAGAGGAAGAAGACATTGTTGAATTTCTGAAGCTATTGTTTTAGTCAGTCTAGTAAATCAGTAATTGGTGTGTTCTGGGTTTGAAGCATAATAGTGAACTTTAACGGCTATACAGACTAAGAGAGAGAGAGAGAGAGAGAGAGAATCCAAGGCTGAAACCGTACCTCAGCTTTCGGATGCCAAAAGCGCTTCCAAGCCTCCCACCGATCTGCCGCACCAGCTCCCAACCCAAGCCAGGTAGACGCCACTTTTCTTGTATACTTATACCTGTGGAGGTGTAGGGGATATAAATTGGGCGCGCCCTCACTTTTTCTGCCATGAGCCTTTTCCTCTTTTATACATTTTGCGCTTTTTATTTTTTTATTTTTTATTTTTAAGAGTGTTGCTAAATGAATTCTAAAATTAACTGAGTACACCTTACTATCAAATTATTTATTGAATTACTAATTTATCCTAATATGAAATGACAAAAAGGATATATTGAATAGTGAAACAAATGTAATTTTAATAGTAGTAATGCTACGGGCACTAACTTAAACACCAACTTTTTATTACCAACTGATGTGTCACATAACATGGATTGTCTATTTTAATTTAATCAGCTTTTTTATGTTTTTAAAATTTATTTGATTAATTTGTTTAACAACCAAACCCTAACATCATCCTAGCCGCAGCACTGTCATCGCTGCAGTACTAGATCTGCCATGATTCCACCATTGACAAACGTCTATAGATCCAATATGGCTTTTCTCTTTTGCTGGTTCCTTATCCCAAGTTTATTTGAGGCCATATAACACTACAATGTGATGGACAAGATGATAGATGAGATACTCATATTACTTCTTCCAAATTGGGTGTGACGGAGGATTTGCCCCAGATTTGGGTGAAAAGACCTCCACTCTTTCCTTGATCAAGTTCATGATAAGTGACGACATACAAAGTTTAAGGGCCACACCCACAATGAACGAGACTTAAAATTTTAGGGTAAAGTCAATTCTACTATTTTTTATTTATTAGATTTATATTCTTTGTTTAGTTGCCAGCTTGATGGTTATTATATGGCTCCTTGTAATAAAGTGTATTAGGGTATGCTAAGGGTATTTTTGGTAGTTGAATAGGGTGAATTTAGTTAATTTTATATTTTGATTTTAATATTATGGTGTACTTAGATCATAGAGTGTGTACTCAGTTAATTTTAGGGTTCGTTTAACAACACTCTTATTTTAAGAGAAAAATACTTTTTTTCTAAGGACTTTTTATATTGAGAAGGGCAATAGTATACTAAACTCACACACTAAAATACTTAAAAGATAAGGAAATTGGTATTAGCTGTAAATCGATCAATTGTAAATTAATCATTTTAGTAGCGTGATTTGTTACAAGTTGAAAAACAAAAAATAATAATAATTCTCTCCTCCCTCTGCGGGTTGGGCCCTTCATTCGTATATCAGTTCATGCAATGCATGGATTGCAGAGCTCAATAACCGTTCACAGAATCACAAACAATATTCAAAGAGGAGACATTAATCTGGAAGATTAAAATGAGAAAGGAAAATGATAAAAGTAAAGGCCACATTAATCTGTCTGGGCCCTGATTTAAAAGGCCGGATTTGATACATTTATGTCTAAGAAATTAGACGAGGATGTAGAAATCCACTAGGGAGGGGATATAATCATCGTAATACAATTCATCCTCTAGTAATGTCACCGCCAACACTACCTCACTGCTAACACCATCGGTGTCATTGTTGTCTCCACCATCACACTTCTCATGCAACCATCATAGTTGCCACAGCTGGTCACAACCACGACGTGAAAGCTGATCATCTTTGCCGCCATGCAGCACCGCCATTGTTGTTGCCACCACCATTGCTGTCATCACCGCTGCCTCCCGTCCCTACCATTTTTAATCAAGAGTAATCAAACAAATCATAGAATAAAATTCATCCTCAATCCAGTTCAATCATGTATTATTTGGGCCGGAAGATAATTTATCCAAAGCTTATATCCCATCCAAAGAAATGAAGCCCAATTAGATCGGCTTCATCTGACCCGCCAAAATGAAATTAAGGGCTTTGCTTTGGATACACAATCGTTACAAATTTAGTTTTGCTTTTCAAAATGTCTAACTTAACTTTCCTTCATCTTTCTTTTCCCTAAAGTGGAGAGCAAGTGCATTAATATGCTAAGCAAGTGGCAGATAAGTAGCCTTATATATTTGGCATATATCTATTTTATGATGGCCTGGCCTGATATAGCCAGTGAAAGCCATCTTCCAGAGTACAATATTAACAACAAACTAAAGTACGATAAAAAGTAGAGGACATATAATCACATCAGTTAGGCAATGAGAAACAAATTGCAAAGAAAAATAGCTACTCGAGGACGTTGCCACATCTAGGCATGAATACCACGTCTGGAATATCAAAATAATAAGATGTAGAGTGAAATTTGCACCTTGCTAGTATAGCTCGCCAAAAGCATCATCCGGTTCAACTGAGTCTGGTCAATCCTTTCCTTGTTATGCATCTTTTTTTATAGCAAAGCTGGCTAACCAGACAATACCTTCCAATCCAGGAATTCCAGCTGCCACATGTTTTACTACAGTCAGTTCAGGATACTGCAGCTTGAAGAATTCAAGAAGGAAATTTAAAAAGGAAATTATGAATTCCAGAAGTAGTTTTATCTCATCATTCAAAAGTAATGCAAACTTCTTTTTTTAATGAAGGCATCACCTGAAAGAATTTTAAAAAAAAGCCTTACCCATTAAAGGCGCTGTACGTAGGAGATTTTCCCTCATTAGACCACAGAGAATCTTTAATGTGCCTCAACAGGTAGTTGTCATATTTCATCAAGAGGAATCAAACACACATTTTGCAACAAATCATCCCGTCCATCCAGAACTCAGTTCAAATGGTCACTGGGTTCATATGCTTCCAATTAGTAGAAGTAAAGCCACTCTATGTTTCCAACTGAGATATTCAAGACATGCCAATCAACCTAAGATGGATAAGCAATTAACCCCCTCTCAAGTTCTTGCATTAGGAACCGCATAATCACAAGTTCCAGTTATTAAACCCTTGTTTACCATTTCAGTCTGCAACTCAAAGGCTTCATCCAAATACCCTAGCTCATAGTACTTTTTTAGCAGACAAATACAAAGAATCTCATCTGGAAGGATACCCTTCCCAATCATCTCATCAAGCAATATTTTTGCTTGCTGTACCTGACCAAAGTGAGAAAGACCCCAAATCAAGGAAGTATACGCATACAGATCAAGTTCCATACCCATTTCTCTCATTCTCTTTTCCACGCTCAAAGCTTCTTGAAGATTTCCATGCTTCAAATTTCCATCAATTAGAGTGGAGTAAGCAGCTTTATCTGGAATCATACCCTTGTCTAGCATTTCATTAAACAGCTCCTTAGCTGCTTCAATGCAATTATTTTTACAGTGACCATCAATTAAGGCTGTAAAGACTGCAACATTGGGTTCCAAACCAATGTCAGGCATCCTCCTAAAGTAATTAATTGCCTCTTGGAGCAATCCCTTTTTGCACAAACCATCAATTAACGCACAATATGTTACAACAGTGAACTCAATACCATTGTCCAGCATTTCTTGTAATAGATTAAGTGCCTCCTTGGTTTTTCCAGCCTTGAAATAAGCATCCATAAGTGTTGTGTAAATGAAATGATTTGGAGTTGATCCACAACCCTTCATTTCACTGAATACAAGCTCAGACTCTTCAAGCTTATTTTGGGAGCAAAGGCCCCAAATGATGGTTCCATAAAGTAACAAATCGGGTTTAAAGCCTTTCCCCTTAATTTCTTTCCATATTTCCATAGCGTTCTCCATCCTCTTAGCCTTAATATACCCATGAACAAGGGCAGTACATATTTGCTGGTTAGGACTTATTCCAGTTTCCAGTACTTCCCTGAAGACTTCTTCTGCATCCTCCATCCTCCCATCTTGACATAGCCCATCCAGTAGAGCTGTATACGTTACAATGTTCGAGCTAATCCCTTCCTGAAACATCTCCTTTTTCAGCTTCAGTGCTTCGCTCAAATTGCCAGCCTTGCAATTTGCATCAATCAAAGAAGTATAGGTGAACTCATTAGGTGAAAGGCCAACTCGTTTCATGTCCATAAAAATCTTAACAGCCTCTTGCATCATCCCTTCTTTACAGAAGGCATCAATTAATGTGCTATAAGTTATGACATTTGGCTTCAACCCTTTATTATTCATCTCACGGAGAAAATTCAAAGCCTCGGGCATCTTATCAAATTTACAACAACAATTAATCAAAGAATTGAAGGTTATTACGTCAGGCTCACAACCTGCATCCTTCATTTCTTCAAATATGCAAAACGAATTATCTAATATTCCAACCTTTCCATATCCATCAATAAGAGAATTATATGTCACAATATCAGGTGTAAGGCCCATTCTTTTCATTTGTGCAAACAAGCAACTAGCAGTATCCAAATCGCCTTCTTTGCACAAATAACCAATCATTATATTGTAAGTGAAAACCGAAGGTGTAATCCCAGCCCCAAGCATATCCTTAAAAAACTTCCTTGAAAAATTCCCCTTCCCTGACTTTGAAAGCCTTTGCAAAAGGGCATTACAAGACCGCACTTTTGGCAAAACTCTAAACTTCTTCATCCTCAAGAAACACTCACTTGCTTTCTCAAGCATTCCAAACTCAACCAAAACACTAAACAACGCATCAAACACTCCAAATCCCAGACGACAAACATTCCTTGTTGACCACAACACATCAAATACATCACAACCCGGCAACACCCGCCTCAACGACACCAGCTCTTTAAGAATCTCATGGGCATCAAAATACATTCTAGCATAAAAGAGTATGTGAACCAAAATACAATAAGATTCAGTAGTATGGCAAAACCCAATTCGGGTTTTCGACCATCTGAACAATTTCAAAGCCAACTTGGGGTCTCCCCTGAGTTCCACCAAAAACTTGGACGCCCAAATAGGCGCCAAAGCCGAACCAAACAAGTTCACAATTCTGGGATCGTCCCAATAGTCGTGTTGAATAATTATTCTCAGGGATTCTGTATTTAAATTATCGGAAAGCGAATTGGGATTTGATTTGGTGACAAACGGGAATCGAGTAATACAGAGAAAACTGGTGAACCAAACCAAAGGGCAAGCTATAAGAGAACCATGTGATGATGATAATGATAATGATGATACATTGATGAAAAGGCAATGAGATGAGTATTGAGGTATCGAAGAGAGAGGGCTTACTCGATGAAAGGAGGCTCGGCAACCCATTTGGAAGAGATTGCGAAGAAATATCAGCATCTTTGAGAAGATGAAAAATAAAAATAAGAAGAAACCGAGAGCGCCTTTAGTTAGCTCCATTTTCACAGAGTAGGGGCTTCCATGGATATAAAGATGAATAAGACGAATAATGGGCATTCATAGCTCGTGTGGCGTATGGCTCATGAAGAAAACCAAGAAGAAATAAGTGTTTAGGGTTTTTGAGCAAAGCAAGAGCGGTTTAAAGGTTGGAAGCTTGGGGATGGACAGAAACTGATGAAATGAGCCTTGAGAGTGAATAGATTGAATAGAGAGCCCGGCCCGACCCGACCCGACCCGTTTCTCCATCTCTTTCAATAATAGAACCTATTTTTGATAGATTTCACTTATATTTATCCATACGAACTCATAATATCATGCACTAGAGAGAGATAACCCACATGATTAACAAAAATATTCTTACTGAATTTGCCAGCATTATATTAAGTGGTGATTAACACCTGATGGTTTTATCAGGGCAAAAAGAAAATTAACAGAACCTCAACCTACAACAAATAAGGAAAAAGAAGAAAATGTGAGAAATAACAAGTAGAGATCTTATTAAATCTACTGTTACATTACAGGCTACAGCCATGCACTCAAACAAGCACAGCAAAATGCCTCAAGCATAAAGAAGAATTCCCATTAAATCAGATTTAAATACAATGAAAAGGTTTCGATTAACATAACGAGACAAAAAGGCCTGCCATCCCTAATTCTATAAAGAAACCAGAGCAGCCATGTTACTTAATCAGAACCAACCACCAAAATGAGTTTGGAAGGTCCCTCGACACAATAATATTCATGGAAAAAGAGCAGAGTCAGTCCTCTCTCCCTCCTTCACCCAATCACGAGAACATGACACCGATCTTCTTAGCAAAGTCATCCCCATCTTCATCTTCCATGTATTCCTCTTCACCATCTGCATTTTCACCTTCTTCATAGTTATAGTCACCATCTTCCCCTTGTTCATAATCATAGTCTCCTTCCCTCTGATCTTCAGCTTCAGGTTCCTGGTCCTCCAATGGTTCATCATCAATCATCCCCTCTTCAAGCTCTCCAGCATTATGTCCTTGTGAAGACTGACCATGAGCAACATCAGTTTTTTCATCTTCGGCTCCAACTGCATCTTCGGTTGCATACTTGGGTTTTTCCTTGGCCACAGTAGGCAGACTGCTTTTCACCTCTGCGACTGCAAACTCAGAGTCACCTGGATTGCTCACCCTGCTTTCTCTCTGATTATTGCCTTGTTTATTGACAAAAGATTTCCCGCTCCCAGAAGCTGCTGCTTCAGCTTCTCTCTTCCTCTTCAGAATCTCACTAAGAGGCTTTGGACCTTCAAATGAAATATCACCTTCCGATTGTTGATAATTATCCATCACATTTTTCCGTTTTCCAAGGTATGATTGCTCTTTATTTTCTCCATCTTTCCCACCTTTCAGATCTGAAAGACGCTTAGGACGAGAAAAGTCATCACTTCGGTCATCCATTATTTCTCTCCTACTACGATGAGCCCCAAAATTTCTCTCCTCATTATTATAGTCCTCTACCCTTCCTTTTATTCTGTCTCGAAGCCTTCCTTGTTGGGAGGATATTGGAGCCCTTCTAGGTGACAATCTGCCTCGACTCCTTCCTCTGTCAACTTCCCTTTCTTGGTGCAAATCACCACCATTAACTGGTGGAGACCCGCCCGGAAGCTTTATTCTACCATGAAGACGACTACTAAGGGAGCCCTCATGTGAGGGCAGTTGCTGTGAATCCCGACGAGGACGGTTTTTTCGCTCCTCAACATGACCATCTAGTGCATAATCATGGCTGACGATGGATCTCAGACCATTTACCCTCCTGTGCTTGGATAAACGATGTCGCAGATCTAACTCATCAATGTTCTCTGGACTATCAGATTTACGATAACCCCTCCTCTCAAGACGGGCAGGACCCACTAACTGTCTCTCAGATGAAGCCCTGTGCTGGTCCCAAGCATATTGCCCTTGCATGTGATCGTAAGGGTCATAGCCCCGTGGGTCACAAAACCTTTCTCGATCAACATCAGCCATTGAATTGTAATCAGCTGGACGATCCAGATCATATTCATTCACAGAATTCAAGTTCCTCCCCTCATGACCTCTTGTTCTTCCGAATTGATCTTCACCATGGTAGTAATCAGAATCTCCGAGCTCATCATCTACAAGAACATCAAATCCAGGAGAGGACTCCCTCAAGTGCTCATCAGCATCCTTACCGTTTTGGTAACCATGATGGTCTGATACATGAGCCTGAAGTAAATGATTGGCCTGACTTGTAGAGTCTCCATTGCTAACAGGAGGAACACTTGTTGCCTTGTATCTATGAGCCTCGTCATCCAATGCTTTAGTTGATGGCACATTCCTCTCAATGCTAACTCCATTCCTGACTGGAACAGTTTGAAATTTTGGAGCGGGTTTAGCTTGAGGAGGCACTCCAACTGACTTTGAGGCACTTGCCTGGGGAACCTTCAATTCTTGAATGCACTTTTGAAGGCCACCGAAAACCTTCTTAAGACTTGAAGGCTCTGTGCCATGGTTAGTTGCTGGTGCCTGTGGAACTTTACTACCAGTCATAGGATTTGGTCCATGCGAGAAGGCACATCTGTCACCCTTTAAACACTGCCCTTTTTGGAAGAAAATACAGGGAACTGCTTGTTTACTTGAGTTATAAGTCACATGCGTTGCAGGCGTCGTAGGTGCTGCCACAGTATGTGATAGAGGCAAAGAAGGTCCAGCTGAAGTTGCTGCTGGGCTTCCTAACAATCCATCAAGAGGCTGTAGAGGAACAACATGCAGTCAGAAACAATGTCAAATAAAATGATTGGAGGCCTATAGGCAAAAAATAACGTTTTTTTTTTTGTTTGCATAACTTTAAATATGAAACAAGTAAATTTGGACAAAGATAAGAAAACAATACTTACTGGGTGCCGAAACGCGCATTTTAAATTCAAGCAATTACCATTCAACCAGAACCAGCAATCCCTGGGGTTGACCCGAGCATATTCACTGTGGCGATATTCACATTCACTTCCCTGTCAACAGAGTATCAATATGGTTAACATTGAGATAATTCAACCATTATTTATGGTGTATTAGTACAGATAAAATATGTGTTTTCCCTTTACATTGAGACACTACTATGTAAAAGAGGAAAAGAAAATGCCAAAGGTAACAAGTCAAATACATTGCTAAGTATCAAGTCAAGTCATGAGAAAAAAAAAAAAAAAAAAAAAAAAAAAAAAATGGGGGGGGGCGTGGACATGCTTTATATATACCATTCACACAATTTCAGTACCTACTATACATGGTCAAGAACACAAACCCATATCTAGAAATAGCCTAAAGTAGAACCCAAATTCTGTAACAAATTAACTTTTCCCAGCTCAGCAGCAAAAGTAACAGAGACTATCCCGCAGGCTACCAAAAAACCTTAGCATACATCAATTGTGAAAAAAAGGTTTAATTTTCAGCTGCAGGCACTATATTCTAACAAAAATTTGCTTGGGATAAGGTTTCTCATAGATCAACTTAATAAGCCCCTAAAAGAAAGCTCATAAAGATTCCAAGGACTGGAACCCATTAGGGATTCTGACATAGAAAGCTTATCGCATAATTATTCAAGAAACCATAGCCCTCATACTTGTAGCAGCAATTCAATAAAATTAGTCCTCGTTATATACAGATATATTTAAACCTAGAGTTAACTATTTTTTTAAGAGAATAGGCAAATCAGAATTACCCAAAGGAACAAATAGTAACCTAGAAAGATCCATCATAAACCCAATTCCAATCCCATCAATTGACATCCAAATATCCCGGAGAAAATAATCAATTATAACAATAGTGAAACATTCAAATCTGAAAGCTTATGGCCAGAAATTCCACCACAACTTCCAACCAGCCCAAGATCCCACCAGAAACGAAACAAAAACGAAACTCTAAACCCTAAAACTGAAAGCAAGAATACCCAGAACAATTTGAATTCAAACAAAGGCCGAACCTTTTTACAGGTGAGAGGCGAGGCCAGAAAGTAGACGCAATCGGTGTTCCTCTTCAAGGCCTCCTCTTCAGCAGTCGTCTCAGGTTGCTGTGGTGGCTTCTGTTGTTGCTGTTGCTGTTGCTGCTGCTGTTGCTGTGGTTGCGGCTGTGGTTGTGCGCCAACTACCATGGCGATTCTTTAATTAATACTTCCACGGATCGTCTCGGTAGCAGATCGATTCCAAGCAAGGAAGAGAGAGAGGCCGATCCAATCTTGAAGAGGAGCCGCCACAAGATGGGCAAGTCTTATAGCGAGAGAGAGAGAGAGAGAGAGATTGAGAGATTGAGAACGAGGAAGTGGGTGTATAATATGATGATGAGGATTTAAGCTAAGCCATAGTTTTTCATTTTAAACAAATAAATATATATATATTATTATTATTAAATTAGGGGTTTTTTTTTTTTTTTTTTTTTTTTTTTTTGGGAGCAATAGGGTGTTTCTATTGCACATATTTCTCATCACACCCCCCCCACTCCCGAAAATAACTTCTTCTTTTTGTCGAGACCTACAAAAAATAAAAACCCCAAAAAGATCTTTGACTTTCCAGTTTTACCCATTTATGTTTTCACTTTTTTTTTTTGGGAGTGAAAAGCAATAGGCACTTTCCATTTTTTAAAACTTAGAAAATATATATAAAAAACTTAAGCAATTAACTTCTCTTTTCATGTCTTGTATTTTATAAGTACATGATCTTATATTTTTTTTAAAGATAAAAATTAAATTTATCAGTATTTTTTAATATGAATTCAATTTATCAGTATAAATTATAAATACTTGCACTCCATATTTATTTATTTTTGGTCGAAACATTCCATATTTATTTAAACCATATTTTATATCAATAGATTTAAAAGTACTTTTATTTGTGCCACCTTTATTTTGGTAAGTACTTTATGCGACATTGTGACTTCCGTGTGTTGTGTTATTTTATGAGTTGAAGATGTTGAACATGATTAGGTTTTGTTGGGCAAGTTTCTCAAGACTTCCACTATGGAAGTCCGGAAGGACATTGTTGTCTGCTGGCATTTGGGAAGCAGTAAATCTTGAACTGTACTCCCTCCAACCCTGATGAAAATTGTTCTTTTTCCTTTTATCAGATTTCAAATTCGTCAAACAAGTATGTGAAAGGCCAACATTACCCTTCTCTCCTGGAAAGAACAAATATAAAAGTTAAAACATATCCCCTACTTGTAATGCCACAATTCAATGAGGCTTCTACTTTTCATTTTGAATATTGCTGGATGGATCATCACAAATCAAAGGCCAATGGTCTGCACAACAAAAAATGCGTTGATACTTACATTGAGTACTTGCTAACTTTTTTTAATAGGCTTGGCCAAATCAAGTCTTTAGGTTTTTACATTAGAACTGGAGATGATGGCTGGACATCTTGACATGCTCATGAATACAACGTGTGTATGAGCATGGACATATGGGGAAGAAAGGAACAAAGGCCTCCACAGCAGGAAGTGATTCGAATTCGAATATCATGAGCACCAACCCCAACAAGAAAACGAGGAAGGGATGTTGCCAGTTCTCCGAATATACTCCGCTTGCTGCTCCGTTTTTGCTGCTTGCTGGTTTCTCTTGGCCTCTGATGCTGCTCGCTTTTCTTGAGCCTTATGCCTCGCAGCAGCTAACTTATTCATAAGCTTACTATGGGCCCGTCCCCTTATCCTTTCAACCTCTACCTGGAAGCAACGATTGTCAGTATCAAGAAACTGCATAATTTCCAATAGGATTCATAGATTACAAGTTCAAGTTAGCTAACAAGTCTTTGAAGCTAATGATTTTCTATATTTAGTAAGGAAAGCCTGTTATTTCACACTCTTTTTAAGTATTCGAGCAAATCAAATAACCAACCAACATGATATATGTAAAACACAGCCCAAGCAACTCAACCTGTGAGAAGGCTGGCGTTCTACCATTTTTTGTCCTGACAACAACAAAGACCTAAAGAAAGATGGCTGCCATACAAAAATAAACTTGAACAATTTTCAAACGCAAAGATGGATTGTATGCCTTATGAGTAGGAGAAACTGAAGTATGAAATAATTAATTTATCAGAAAATTAGAAGGGCATGCCTTCTGATTCCACCTCATAAAAGCTGTTGGGCAAAACAGTATCTGCTGCCTAACAGGTTCTCTCACATGTCTGCATTGCATTATGCCACAATGAGCAAGTGCACTGAGACTTTAGGGGATGAAGCTCTAGAGAGTGCATTCTTCGTCAGGGGCCACCCTCTTGCAGTTTAGCATGGCCAGTCTTTATGTTCCAGGTAACATTGGGCTATAGTCTTACCATGTTAGATGATCAGTCCTGCCCAGCTGACCTAAATTGGCTATTGTTATGTTGTCTTGCGAGAGTTTGTACGCTACTTTATAGACTTTATATTAAAAAATAATAAAGGGAAATATACGATTGGGAATAGAGAATGGCTGCCGCAACATGACTTCTAATAGAAAGCAACTAAAAAGTACCTCAATCTTCCTCATCTCGGCTTCTGTTTTTGCTTTCTGATGGTTTTCCCATGCTTGAATTTTCAACTCTTCCCGTTTGAACCTGGATAATTGCAGTCATGTACACATGATCACTCCACAATTTATAATTACAGAAAAGCCAAAGCATAAATGAAGGGCATGAATTAACCTAGCTATATACTTGGCTTTCTCAGCCTCCTCCCAAGCTGCTGCACGTGTCTCAATAACATTTTTACCCGGTTGTTCTGCTGGTACAGTTCTCAGCGATGTAGATGCATCCTTATCCTCCTCTTTGCTAGCCCAGGCAGCAATGTTCATCTTGCCTAGCTGTGTCCCGAGAGCCATTATCTCTCTCCTAGTTTTCATTTGTAACTCCTTTTCAGACAACTCCTTGTTAGCCTCTTGGTCAATCAGAGATGAAGCTGGTGCAGCTCTGCCAGGAGTTGATGGCCTTGAATTAGTAGGACTGCGAATTGGCGTTGTTGCCCCCACAGGAGTTCCAGTCCTGGAGGGTTCTTGGCTAGCAATAGGTGTCATCTCTGTACCCATATCTCTCATTGACACAGACCTTGCTGTTGAAGGGGGAGGAATAAATGTTGTTGTTCCATGCAAGGCTGCAGAAGCATCATGCTGACTAAGATTGACTGCACAAAATCATATGCAAGTGCGCAGCTAGTAAGTTTCAAATTTTCATCGAAAGTTCACTTTGTAAAGTATTGTGCATGAAAGTTAATTTAATTGAGAACCAACACACCACCCAGTGCAAAAGAAAAAAATACAAAGAAATTAAAGAATACACAAATTAAATATACCTACGATATAGGCCTGTCTAGGAACCATCAAAGATAAGACTATAAAGGAAGAATAAGTCTGATAAACAAATTACAGAAGCAGTTTTCTTTCTGGTAGGCCTCACTCTACTATGAAGAAGAGGAGGCACTAAAAAACCTCATCCTTTATAAGGGTCTACCACTGACAAAAAGGTGTTTTTGTGATTACCAAACAGCTTGCTTGAGTAATAGTGATAACAGTGGTCCGATGTATCTGATGTATCTGAATTATGGTCAAACGGTGGTACGGATTTGCAATAACACAAGAATAAAACCATTGTCTTCAAATCATTTCCCACACCAGACACCAGTAAGGACATGGGCACCTACTCATTTTCTATTAAGTATATATAATGGCTTTTCCTGTTATAAAATGGTATGAACGAAAAATGATGTACCAAAATGTTCAAGCATTAAATGATAATTCCTACTGAAAATCCAATTCAGTAAAGAAGAAAGACACATTCTTACTTGCTGACTCTCCAACAGAGTTCTCAATCATGAGCACAGGTTTGCCATACGAATCAGCAATGGGATATGGGTCAGACTCCCAACTAACAAACTTCTTCCCCCCACTTTCCATCTTAGCTTGATTTGTGTCAATTCGTTTTGTATCTGGTTCTTCAAAAATAGCTACTTTTTTATCTGAAACTTCAACAACAACCTTTGTGGTCGGTTGTCTACTCCCATAACCGAAGTTACCCACCTTTCTCGATCCAACTCCTTGCCCACCCTGCATTTGAGCCTGCCCCATCTTTGGGCGGTTCCAAGTTGGACTCGCTATCCACTTCTGTGCATCATCCCATTTGGATGGTGCTGGTTTGGAGAAGGGCGCAAGAGGCACTCTTTGTGGTGCACGCTCTGCCTTCTGAAACTCAAATATGGATGAGGACACACTCACAGCATCATGCCCACTATCATAATCTAAAGAAGGGTCTTCGTGGTTCCTAACTCTGGAATTGACTGATGTGTTGTCCTTCAATCTACGGTCACTAAGCATCTCTGAGCCTACAGAGTCAGCAGCAGTCGAAGTCGAGCATTCAGGAAGGACACTAACAACATCTACGTCTTTGCAGTTATCAGAACCGCCACCCCCTGCAAGAATAGATTAACCATCAATCCCAAAGGGTAAGAAAATCAATAATCAATTTCGCCAATTCTTAAGAGGTTTTATTAGATCGCATTAAATTTATTCTTCCAAATAAAATAACAAAATTTTCATTTTTTGCAGAACCCAATCGAAATGCCATAGCTTTACGTTTATTTAGGCTAGTACATATGCAACCATTGCTGCTTCAATCGAAGCAAACAGAGCCAACCACTCCGTTTCTGTTATATATCGGAATCGCCACTGACCCAGTGGCTTAATTCAAAGAATAAGATATCTAAGATTCAAATACTGAATGAAGCAAGCAAGTAACCACTAATCAAAAAATAAAAGTAAACCAAAACTCAAAAGAAAAAGAGCTAACCAGCTTCATCAAAGTCAGAAGGTTGAGATCTCAAAGCAAATTTAGATTCAGGATCTTCCTTTTCCTTCCTCTTCTTCTCTACTCCCAGTAGCATTGTCCTCAACTTACCTGGTGAAAACCCCCCACCGCCCTGCACTTTCAAATAACCAATGAACAATCCAATAACAGCAAAAGTCTTGTACTGGGTCTTTGTGTTTGCACCAAAAAGATGAGAAAGGTGAAAACTTGGATGCAAACTGTGGGTGTAATTCGTGAAATTGACAGATCAAAAAGGTTGGGTTTTTCAGTTTTTTTCTTTTGAAAAAAAAAAGATAAGAAAATGTTGGATTTTGCACACGCTTGAAGCAATAAAAATAAATAACAACAAACAATATTTGAAAACGATGCGTTGTTTTGTGCGTCTATAACAGTAATACATTGGAATGAGAGAAGAGGAGTGAAAAATATAAATCAACACATTGTGTCCAAAAATAAGAAGAAAATAGGAAGGAACCTGAGGCTTTTGGATCCTTTCGTAATCCATAGAATTTTGCTGTTGATGAGGAACCTACAACGGGAATTTTTCCGAGCACATCATGCAATGCGTTGTATCTGTAACATTTTTACTCAGTCTCTGTATATATAATAGGCATAGCTCAGGATGCGTGAGTTATTGAGTTTTCTTTTTGAGCTTCAAGTTGCAGTCAAGAAGTCACGTTTCAGTCGCTCTCTCTCTCCCCGACACTATTTATGTTTACAGACAACGTAGACAAAGGACCCGCAGAAAGTACCTTCTTTAGCTATCTCCACTGTGACTCTGCTTTATTCAGTTTACAGTATTTGAGGGAAAAAATAAATCTATATATCAATCAAACCAATGGAAGAAGAAAAAAAAAGAAAAACTGTGTGCCGAAATAAAATATAAGAAGGAAAAAAGTCTCACTAATTCAGGGCCCGAAACTCATTGGATGCCTTTTATAAATTCGGAAATTTGGGCATGGGCTTGTGTCTCTCCATGATCCCAATGCAGAAGATCTGCTACTTGCAAATATCTTTGACTGCTTGACATGGGATGGGAGAGCTTTGGCAATCCTAATTATCTTTGGAAAATTTTAATATATACAATGTTATTCTGAAATAATTTTGTATAAGTAATCTGTAAACACAGTAAGCAGTAGGTTTTTCCAGTCAAAAGGAACCAATTCATATTCAACAAACCAACAGAGAGTTTTAACTTCGTAGCTGCATATGCATTGAATATGCAAACATTCTTTCCTTTTAGATGACAAGCGACACAGACTATCATAAGCATTGAGGGAGAGAGACCCACAGACACATCCATTTGGCTCCTCCTGCCCCTTTGACCGTTCAAACTTCAAACCAATCAGATTCCTGATTAGTTTATACGTCGAGCATCTAGACGCATATCATAATCAAATCGAACGGTTGAAAGGCCAAATTGACACATGCTCCCAATACTTTGTTTATTCATTTGGTGGACAGAGATTATTTTGGATCTAAAGTTTTATTTTAGTGAAACTTTTCCTTTAAATATTATAGACCAAATCCAAATTTTTATTGTAATAATGGATTGGGACGTTTCCAAAAAAACAAAAAAAAGATATCGCAGTTTATTTGATTATACATATGGTTCGGTCTTGTTGAATGTGACAACTTCTTGCATTTTAATGCAAAAATACTTGCTTACAACGGGATAGAGTATTATCCTCATTACATGTAAGTTTTCTTTTTCTTTTTTAATAGCATTCCGAACACATAGAGGAGAGAAAACAACATCAACATCACTAGATTTAGTAACTTCGGATGATGAATTGTTTTATTTTAAAATCTTGCATGGCATAATCATGTTCCAACTTTTATACTTTGAAATGATGCATCTGTGGTCTACTATTGTCCATTTCGCACCAATGTTAACCTAAATGTGCCCATGTAGAGGCACTTAGCTTCAATTATGCTTCGCACTTGTAATGAATCTTAGACACCTTTATGTCGATTCTTACCCAAAAGGTCTTGAAAACCCACATTTTAATTTATTATTGAGTCCATGCAATTCTTCATAAAGATATATTCACATAATATATACCTACATATTGGTTATTTTTTGTTATCGAAATTATATTGAATTATAATGTAGAATTGAATTGCATTGGATTATGTTGTATTTGAAATTGTAACATTAATATAATTATGAATATGAAATGATTGAATTGAAATGTGCTATTACCAATGGGTTTTAACTGTCGTTGACGCTCAGGCCATTAGAATCCAACTTAATTCCAACCCTTTGGTGGGATTCATAATCCTACTCCATTTGATTCTAATAAGATTACACAAAATCCAACCCAGATTTGATTTAGGATTAGTAATCCTGTCCAACAAGGTAATCAAACTAATGTAATGCTTTTGATTATCAATACATCATTTAAAAAAAAAGAGAGGCATTGAATGGATAAGAATCATTAGATATTAAGGGCATGTTTACGTATCAGTAATGGGTATGGGAAGGAATCAGAGAATTTAGGAATCAGAGAACTACTGAATCGGTATGAGAAGAATCATTCCCATTACGCTGTTTACTAAACATACAGAATTAGTTAAGGAATGGGGTTGATTCCCATTGTTATTGTTTACTAATTTTCATGAATCAGAATCCAAATTAATTTGATTACTAAAATGCCCTACACATTTTCACTACAACACATATATAATTCTCAATAATGCGGTGTAAACATGATTTGCACAAGTGAAGTAAGGGGAAGCAGCAGCAGAGCCTAGGTGAAGACCAGGCCAAGCTTTGAGGATTCGAGACATTGGAGAGGAGATGAACGTAAAGAAGAAGGAAAAGAACGACAGCATATGTAGTATAAATAAAGAGTGCCTAAGTCAAAGTGATGGATATATTTCTACATGTGAGTTTGTGTCATTGTGTTGCTGTATGTGAGTGTCAAGTGTCATCCATGTTCGTTTTTAATTTAATCAATGGATCGTAATTTTGCTAATTTGTGTTTTGGGTTTTTGATGCTTTGCCTAGTTCCTGTTTTGAATTGCATTTGCATGTGTTGCTTTTCTGTTTTATGTTTTATGTTTTCTGTTTTCAGTTCTCTCATTTATCTCAGTTCTCTATTCACAATAAATATGCAAAGAACAGACCAAACTATTGGAAAGGGGGTTTTGAATTGATCAGTAAGAGGGAATCCGTTATCAAAGAAATATTCATACGAAAAAATAAACTCCAATAAACAAATATCTTTCACCTACGTATTACAACAAAAGTTTGTTGTTGTTTTTTTTGTTGCTATAGACATGCAAAAATATATCTATGATATGAAAAACAGTTTAACATATGTGAAAAGATTATGATCAACACAATACATCGAAACCTGTAAAAGGATATTGGGAAAAACCAAAAACTAGAACAAAAAAGAAACAATTGATCTATGGCATGAAGGCTTTTTCTCTTTTCCTTTCTGATCAACACAATGCGAATATTGGTTACCTAAGCCTAATCCTTGTTCTGTATGACAACAATAGTAAAGTGGTAAGAGTAGTAATTATCACATATCCCGTATGTAGAATTATAGAGTGGAAGGGAAACTCTAGTAATTATCACGTATGTAGTAATTATCACATATCCATTGATTGAAACTCCAAACAGCAGCAATCACTATGGGTTGAGTTGTGAAGACAGAAGATAGAAGAAGAAGAAAAAGGTAGATAGATAGATAGATGGAGTGACTTACATAGTTTTTGCTGCTTCAGGGAGGCTGTGTCTGCAACGTTAAGGGTTTGAGTTGTTTGAACTCCTTCTGGCGTGTATTCTCCTTCTAGCGTGTAATTTTTATTTTTTTTATTTTAGGGTTTGAGTTGTTTTGGAATTATAGTATAGTAGTAAGGGTATTTTTAGAAGTTAATAAGAGAAAACAGGAATGGGAATCGTATCGACTACTCCCCCCTAGTTGATCTGATACCCAGTTTTGAGGGAATGTGATTACGGATTTTGAGGTGGGGCCCACTTATTTTTTCATTCCTGATTGCAAGTAAACGCAGGGGAAGTCAGGAATGGAAATCATTTCCTTTCCTCCCATACCCATTACTGATACGTAAACATGCCCTAAATGGCTTTGTTGATGGAGGTGTCATGTTCGCAAGTGTGTTTCCTGTTTCGGGAGAATGAGCGGAGGAGTCACACGTGTAAATAAATATGAACCCAATACAAGAGGGATAAGGACCAAGTAACCAAAGCTCAAGAAGCAGCCCATAAATGTTCAAAGCCCAACAGAACAGTACTCCGATTCGGGCTCTCCTATTTTTGCCGGCTGTTTTGGAATTTCTAATTTCGCCGAAAAAAAAAGAAAAACAAACCGAAGGCGATTCGATTTAAATTTAGTTTGGATTTGATTGTTTCTTTCTTTCTTCTTCGCTTTCTCGCGGGGCAACTCCAATCTAATTTCTTCCTCAAATCTCCAAACAAACTGTGTTGGCTTCATCACCAGGATTCGGAAAGTTCCCGTTTTATAATTGTATAATTCCTTTATCCAGAATAATACCAATAAATAGAAAAAATAAAAAACGAAGAAATTGGTGCAATTTGGGATGGGGCACGGCGGCGGCGGTAGCAGCGTGGGGCTGGTTCAGTCGGCGGTGAAAGCTTACAATTTGAGAGACGCGTCCAATTGGTGGCATGACGTCAATGACTCTCCTCTTTGGCAAGACCGTATATTTCATGCTCTCGCTCTTCTCTACGGTCTCGTCGCCATCGTTGCCCTGGTATTTATATCTTTATCTATATGCGTCTCCATCTCTATCTCTATGCATTTCTTTATCAATTTCTATACGAGTAGCATGTAGGTGCCAATTTTGATTTGTTTAGCTGAATTCTAAATCTCGCATATTAGGATTTTTTTAGCTTTCGTTTGGTTGCTTGGAAAATGAAGGAAAGATACAGTACTTTTGAGTTGCTTCGAAGATTAATTTAATGGTTAATGTAGAAATTTGATGAAGATTTATACGTTATTTTAATAATTATTCAATACTAGGTTCAATTGATTCGGATACAATTGAGAGTGCCGGAGTACGGTTGGACCACACAGAAGGTCTTCCACTTTCTCAATTTTGTTGTCAATGCAGGTTTGTGCGTTTCTCAAGTTTTCTTTTTCTTAATTTTATTTATCGTGGTTGGTTCATTTTCAGGATTCTAATAGTGTTCTTGATGTGTGTTGGGTTGGGTGTAAGTTTTGATTTGTTTATTCTCTCTTTTATTCTTGTAGTTCGAGCAGCAGTGTTTATTTTCCGCCGGCAAGTGCAGAAGCTGCATCCAGAGGTTGAAATTGATAGTCGGCGTCATTTTCTTAAATTTAATTGTTCTTAGTAACTGCTAAATGAAGCTTTTCTTTGTTTGCTTTCCAGATTGTCAAACATATCTTGCTTGATATGCCAAGTCTTGCTTTCTTCACCACTTACGCACTCTTGGTTCTATTCTGGGCAGAAATTTACTATCAGGTTATATCTCATTCAAACTACTTGGGGGTGGGTAGTGGTTGGACTAAGGTGGTTTCATTCTGACCCTTACTGTGTACATTGAACAGGCACGTGCTGTTTCTACAGATGGACTGAGGCCAAGCTTCTTTACTATTAATGCTGTGGTTTATGTAATTCAGGTGAAATTTCTGTTCCACTGTTTGACTTTAAGTCCTGCCAAAAGGAGCTTTTGGAGTAGGAGTCTTCTACATGGAAGCAAGTCATGGTTTCTAAATAGGGCATTACAATAATCTTGTTTCCAGCTTATTTTTCTTCCCGCCATATTTCTTAATTGTTTCTCTCAATTCATGTACATGTAGAATTTTTTGATTATATGGCAGCAACTTTTGAAAAATTATCAAAGACAATTTAGCAGGTGTATCAAGTAACAATGATTGTGAGAGTCATTTAGGGACCCTGTAAACAATGCAGTTGAATGGTTTTTGAAGGAACTTTCCATATATGAACACAAGATCTCTTTCAGGAATACGGCTCTTAAAAACCTTTTGTTGGTGTATATTAATGAGATATAGATTTAACCAGATGTCAATTGAGTAGTCAAAACTGATAAATCTGTTCGATGGGGTCCAGGGCCAAAGTTCTTAAGAAAAGAGTTTGAAAAGGAGTGGTAGGCGGTTATAGAATTTGTTTATGCTTTGACCTACAGTTGATTGGAAGCACCAAAGGGGTTTAGCGAGTTGTTTATTAGATATTATAAAATGCAAGAAAGTAGATAAAAGGTAATGCGGTGATGGCTTTGTTAGGTGCCCACAATTGTTTGTTTATGCTTTGACCCATAGTTGACTGGAAGCATCCAAGGGGTTTAGTGAGGTTTATTAGATATTATTAAATGTGAGGAAGTGATGAAGGCAATGGGTTGATGGTTTTGTTTAAATGTCATGCTGGATGGGAATATCACGATGCAACTCATTTCTTCCTGATAATTAGGTTTACGATTAGGCCTGTATGTATCCATTGCATTCCCTTTAGTGCATTGAGGGACTTAAAGAATGGGATGTTTAAAAATAGCTTCAGTGAGGTGTCTTCCCTCTTCATCCTGCAAGTATATGGGAAAGCACGTGATAGAGAAAAGGGAAAAAGCAGCATGGGATTATTTTTGTTTATCAATCTACTATTTGACATGTTATATAATGCTATAATTGCAAGAAAGACTGCTCCTATATGCACGTTTATCAATCTACTATTTGACATGTTATATAATGCTATAATTGCAAGAAAGACTGCTCCTATATGCACGTGCATGTTATTTGGAATTGGCTTGTCCTCGCGGTTGTCATTGATTAACTCCTTAAATAAGTGCCTTCAGATTCTAATATTATTTCACCAGACCTTAAAATTATTTTGGAAGATGAAAAATTGTTCTGAATCATGATGTATTTTTATTTTCCATAATGGGAAAAGAAAAATGAGGTAGAAGCTCTTTCCATTCCCTCTCTTTTTCTATATTTTCATATTTTAGAATGGAATAATTGCATGTGCAATTGCAGACACAACTATGGCCATTTTAACTCACGTGTCTTTCAACTGTTGTTGGGACTGAGTCCAAATTAATCTCCTACTCACCTATTTGCATGAAATCCATGCTTAACAACTGATATTCTGATCTCCAAACAAAGTCTCGCTAGGTTCAGCTCTATGTTGGCCACTCATCATACCCCAAATAGTTTAGAAGAGTTTTCTGCTCGTTTCCACCTTTATATTAATTAAATTGAAAATTTAGAAATATAGAATATTGGTCTTGACTGAATTCAAAATTTTAGAAATTATAGCAAAAGTTGGGAGATTTTTTCACTAGAAACATGGAGAGAGTTTTAAGGGGTGCCTGTTTGAAGTAGGATCATTGACTACTTGTTGGCTCTTCAATTATAGTTGATATGGTCCAGATTGCACTTAGGGCTCGTTTGGGAGTGATTTTGGATACACCAATAATTTCTTTTCCATTTAATTACTATATGTGATTTTATGGAGAAGCACATGGGAGGTGCTTCTCCCCAGAATCGCTTAAAATCGCTTAAAGTGATTATATATAGAAGCATGTGCTTCTCGCCAAAAGTGATTCTGGCCATCGAGAATCACTCCCAAACAAGCCCTTATTGTAGTACAACTATGTAGTGCACTCTGCACAGTTGTATGTATATTGCTAAGTTTGCTTGTTACCTTTTGGGAATAATAGTAATACCATTGAATCATCTTTAATTTTTTCGATTTAATTGTTACAGATTGCTATGTGGTTGATATTATGGTGGAAGCCTATACCAGTTCTGCTCATCTTATCTAAGATGTTCTTTGCAGGTATTTATTTTCTAAGCACATATAGTTTTGAAGATTGTTTGTTTATCTCAATGATCTGTTATTCTAAGACATATGTTCCTGCAGGTGTGTCCTTATTTGCAGCCGTTGGGTTTCTTCTATATGGCGGAAGGTAATCGCTCTGCATTTGGTTGCCTGCTGCATTGTCTGACATATGAAACATCTACCCTTGCAAAGTTGCATTGTGGCGTGTAAAAAGAAACTCTTACAAAAGCACAAATTGGAATTTAGTTGCCTTCACATAAGTTTACTGGTTGAATCGAATTATACTGTGTTTGGTTCTAAATGATAAACATCAGACATTAGAAGCTCTAAGACAAGAGGAGACTGTGGACGAAGTTCAATTGGCATAACGCTCTTGTCCACGTCTTCCAGCCCAGAAGAGCAAATAATTGAAACAAATGAACACAATAGAGAGTCTTCTTGAAAAATTGTAGTTTCTTTGATGCATCATATTTAATTATGTGTAACTATGTATCGTGCCTCTTGTTTTACTTATGTGTAGCTGTCACTGAATTTTGGGTGTAGTTGAACAAATGGTTCTTATTCTCTCTCTCTCTCTCTCTCTCCCCCCCCCTCAAATAGTGTTAAGATAAGTAGGTCTCTCATGGTGCTTATGAGTGACGGATGTTTAATTTTTATGGGTACCTGTAAGATGGGTAGAGTGCTGAGATGCCTGTTTCACCTTCTCCCTTTCTGTAATGGAATGTCATTACCTTTCTGAAGTTATGCATACATGTGTGCTACAGCTAATCTCACTATGTGAAAATCACGCATAAAGTATGAATTCTGTAGCAGTAAGCATGGCTGTGGCATGTGTGATCCTCAGAGAAATTTTTTGGAAATAGAACACCTTTCCACTGGTTATTTGGTGTGTATGTTATATTTCTGATTGCAACGTATCTCCTGCCAAATAATATGATACTTCTTTTTACAGGCTTGACATGTATGTATAAATGTAATTTTGACATAAAACTTACTTTATGGGCAATCTTCTAAGGTAGTCTCTGCTGTTGTTTCTGGCAGACTCTTCTTGATGTTGCAGCGATTTCCTGTAGAATCAAAAGGACGACGTAAGAAGCTGCAGGAGGTAAACACTTCAAAAAAAATTTCTTAAGCACCCATGAGTTTTCATCTTTAGATGTACTTATTTTCCCTTTTTTGTGTTTTTGGCGTTGACAGGTTGGCTATGTGACAACCATATGTTTTACATGTTTCCTTGTCAGATGCATAATGGTGAGTCTGCTTGAATGTTTTTGGAGTAAGCATACTACTAGTACTACTTGAACTTGAGGAAGTAGGTCAAAGTTTTAAACAATCAAAACCACATGGATAGACTGTTTTAGTTTTCCATATAATATGTGTGTCAAGCATACAACCATATAATTTACATTGGATGTTGTACCAACTGTCATCAAATTTGCTAAGGCTGTTCATTTTGCTCAACGAATGGTAATAGCTGAATTGTCGCACCTGATTTATTAATTCCTCACTTAAGCTTCTATGGTTCTTATATTGTGCTACAGATGTGCTTCAATGCATTTGATAAAGCAGCAGATCTTGATGTTTTGAATCACCCAATTCTAAACTTTATATATTACCTGGTAAGCATTTGGTTTATATTTTTTGCTTGGCTAAAGTAACTTTATTGGTTTTTTAAGCAGCCTCATTGGAGTTTGAAGTTTGGTCGTTGAAATTTTCCTTCCCCATTTCTTGTAGTTGGTGGAGATATTGCCTTCTTCTTTGGTCCTTTTCATTTTGAGGAAGTTGCCTCCAAAGCGCGGGATCACACAATATCACCCTATTCGCTGAGGATGGAGAACATTTGATGAAAGAATACCAAGAATGGTCTTACAAATACGTGAAGTTTGAGATGCTTATCTACTCTCCATGGAAAACGAAATGTTGGTTAGAGAGGGAAAAGTTGACCATTGTGTGCTTTGAGGAACAGCTTTATTGGATTCTGAGTGTTTGTTCTCGGCAGGGGGTGGTAGATTTGTTGAAAAGAAATGACCTTTTAAGGATTGTCAAATGTGTTGGTATCGTGGTCTTTTATTTTGAGTGTGTTGAATCATATGACTGGTGCTTTGTTGTTTTAACAGTCTTGAGCATTCCATGAATAGGAAGAGGGGACCCCAAAAATTGTGATTTCTGTATGATTGCTGTCACATACTCTGGGTGGGTATTTTGGGGAGATTGTGTGAAGAAAACTTGCACTCTTTGATATTTTTGTCTTCAATACGGTATTTACATGTGATTGCAGTCATCTGTTGTACAATAAAACTGACTATCTTGTGAATTGTGGTGTTGTGTCTGATATATAGTCCATGCCTTGCCAAATATAATTTCATTTCATGTCATGTCATGTATGAACAATGCTATATATTCATGTAGTAAACTGCAGAAATTAGGAATCAATTATGTAAAATTTGCTGTAAATAACTTGATCTGGGAAATTGCTCTGTGATAGTTTTGTTTACAACATGGTGTGTACCTGTTCCGAGACTCTGCCTACTTCTCTTCGTGGCTGAAACTTGCGGTCGTCTTCAACGCCATCTAGATTCCGGCCTTTTGGCAGGGAGGGTTTGCACCCTGAAGTTGGAACTCTTAGGTTATGAGATATGTTTACCATCTGGTTGAAGAATGGCAATGAAGGTGTTAAGAAAGTGGATTGGATTCAATTGATTAGGGTGGTTCAGATGGTTGACTATATGTGATGGAAGCCATTGATTTCACCCTCCCTCCCTCTACTGGTCGTCTGTGTCAACCGCCATATTGAATGGTAGGTTTTACCTCTCATTTTTCAAGTGGGTTTTGAATGGTAGGTAATGTCCATCTCCAACGTAAGAAAAAGAGGGATTAATGAAACTCGTGCGTGGTTCTACAGCTTGGATTACTTGCGAAATTAGTTTAAGTTACTACTCACTTGTGTTTGGGTGTACATAAACACTTGTGGTTTGCTTATAATTAGTATGTAAGTATGGCCTTGATCTCTGCATGATAACGGATGGTTTTCTTTGTTTTCCCCCCAAAACTACTTAAAAACAAAGTTGGTTAACTGAGAAGATTACTTTTGTGTCTTTTTGGACTGAGTTGAGTTAGGAGATCGTTGAAACTCTAAACTCGGATTAACTTGTGAATAAGTTAAGTTACTTGGGTCTGCTGTTCTTTCTTTCTTTCTTTCTAAATATATTTTTTTTTCCCATCTTACATTTTTGGGTTTTTAGGTTTAATAGCCGTTGAACTTTGACCTGATTCACATTTTAGTCCCTTAATTTTTAAAATAATTCCCGTGATCCTTCATCCTCACTTTCAATTGCATTATTAGTCCTGCTGTCAGTTATGTTATCTTTTTCGTTAAATACAGGGACAAAATGGTATTTTATGACGTTTTTAGTTCCTACCATTCTGAAAACCCATCTTCCCTTCCACACCCTCCCCTGTAAAGACCCCTGTAAAGCACCCCTCTCCCCTCCCCCACGCTCCCCACCTCATCGCACGGCAAACCCACCATCCCCATCTGCCGCGTTCCCCTTACCCCTCACCCAACTCGACCACTTTCCCTTTCAGATCCAAACTCACCATTTCACCTCACAGACCACTCACTCCAGCCACAACCCAACCACACCCCCTTCATCTCCCATTTACCCTTATTAGGGCATAGAAATAACCAATTCAGAATGGAAAAAGATGCTAAGATGTAGAGAAAAATCCAAGAAATCAAAGAGAAATCAAGAATGTTGAAAGAATGGAAAAGATCTTGTGATTTCGTGGTTGCATTCTCTTCTTCAGATTTTTTAGTTTTTTTTAATGGTCTATCATTTTTATTATTTTTAAAAATATTTATTTTTATCTAAATACATGTGTTATCTTGTTAGTAGGCCACATCATCCTTTAAGGAGAGCCAAGTAATTTCCACTTTTGACCCTCAATGGCACATCATGAGTCATGCACATGCTTAAAATTGACAAAAAAAGCCCAACGGAATTGACGCTAGGACCAATAATGCAATAAAAAGTAAAGTTGATGGATCATGAGAATCATTTTAAAAATTGAAAGACCAAAATGCAAATCAAATCAAAATTTAGTAACCAATGCACTCAAAAACCCTATATTTTTCAACAATCGATCCAATTCCAAACCGATGGGTATTTGATCGCTTGCTCCCTGTCTTACATTCTACCAAAATTAGATGACATGTTACTTTACTACTAATATATTTTTGTGCCAATCTCGTAAATACATAATTTTCTAAGAAAGATTCACTATCATACTTAATATAGAAGTCCAAATTATAAATAAATAAATAAACCTATATGAAATGGACTTTAAAAATACACCCAAAATCCATTTACAACATAACAAAAAGCCTTTTAACTTCTTTTAAATTACAAAACTGCCATTGATTTCTTAAAACAAACTCAACCCCAAAATCTCATATAAAAAATGCCCAAAACACTCAAGTATCAAAGTAATTTAATAATCAAAATTCAATTCAATAGAGTCAGCTATCATTTTTTTTGGGTTTGTTTATAGAAATTAAATAGTATATGATTTATTTATAATTTTAGTGCTAATAATGGATATATAACTAAATATCTCATTTTGCAATCCATGATTCAAAAATTTTCCAGAATTTTTTTTAATTAAAAAAAAAGGTCAAACTATGATCATATTATATTCTAAAAAAGAAAAATAATGAAGTAGCCGATATAATTGTTATCAAAATAAATTAAATGCCTCGTGCGGTGGGAAAGAGCCAACGCGCACCGTTTTTAGGGTCTTGAGTGAGTCAAGAAGTGTTTGTTGTCTAGAAGATGCAACGTCATTAGGGCCCCACTAATTTGGCCTCTTTCTTTATATAAAACTCGTCCACGACACTGAGCTGACTCAGCGTCTACATGGAGATCAAATCCTCTGTGACGCAATATATAAAAGATAATTACCCTGGATATCTTGTTTTCTCCCACGCACCCAAAAAAAAAGAAAAAAAAGCCAAATTAAAAGAGAAAAAAGAAAAGGAAAAAAAAAGACGCAGATTTGGTTGACAGCTAATTAACTGGTGGTTACGCGCCTATTTGCATGGCAAGGCCAACCCAAGGTTAGGAGGTGGTTGCTGTATTGTCCATCTCTCACTCATTCACTGAGACAAAAGGAGAGAGATATATATATATATATATATATATATTAGAATTTGAATTAACAGATTTTCAGCGAAGGACTTGGTGACTCGGATTTTCAGTGCAAGGACTCACACACTCGGAATTCTCAGGGAAGGACTCTCCGGCCAATTATAAATACTTTCCATTCCCCCAAAACCCTTCATCATGCCTTCCTCCTCATCACCAACAGTATTTCTTCTTCTTCTTCACCTTTTTGTTAGATTATCGCTTTTCGATCCAGCAGGATGACCATCCTCGTTGAGCAGCCTGACTTTGGTAAAGTTTTACTTTTTATTTTTTGGGTTTTTGCTGCATTACATTTTCTTGTTTTTCTTGTTCGACGTTGAATTCATTTTAATTAGCAGCGATTGAGGTGGAAGAAAAGAAGGTCTCTGATCAGACGGGTGAGGAGAATGAATTGGTGTTGGATGGTGAATTTGTGGTGCCTCCAACAAACGCTTTTGGCCACACTTTCAGGTCCCTTGTGTTCTTGTCATATTCTAGGCTGCATTCAATTATGATCATGAAACATTTTAATATACATTTTGCCTTTCCTTTCTGTTTCCAAAGAAGCTCAAGAAATGTCATATTCCCTTTTCCTTTATATTATATATCATCATTATTACGACTTATGTGAAGTTTATTCATCAAAATGCAGGGATTATGATGTTAACAGTGACCGGAGAGATGGGGTTGAGGAATTCTATCGAATCAACCACATTAACCAAAGTGTTGACTTTGTAAGCAAACAGCTGCGGATTAGATTTTCTTCAATTTGGAAAAGGTTATACTAATAATGATTAATTACAGGTGAAGCGGATGAGGGAAGAATATGGCAAACTGGATAAGGTGGAAATGAGCATATGGGAATGCTGTGAACTTCTCAACGAAGTTGTGGATGAGAGTGATCCTGACTTGGATGAGCCTCAGATTGAGCACCTCTTGCAGACTGCTGAAGCCATCAGAAAGGACTATCCTGATGAAGGCTGGCTGCATTTAACTGCCCTTATCCATGGTATATATACACATATACTAGTTTCTCATCATTTTGACTGCTCTTCATTCTTAGTTAATTTAATTATATGCTTCTCGAATTTGAGTCATATCAACCATGTTTATGCATTTGGTTCATTTTGATTTTTGCATATGTCACCTTGAGGATCAATTGCTTAAACTTTGTTTCCCATGAAAATTAGATCTTGGAAAGGTTCTTCATCTTCCTGCTTTTGGAGAGCTTCCTCAATGGGCTGTTGTGGGTGAGGATCATCATCTTGTTTAATCTTTGGTTCAGATAATCTCTTCTCTCACCTCTGTTTCTATAATTATTCTGAAACTAACTGAAATAATCTATTAATTACAGGTGACACATACCCTGTCGGGTGTGCCTTTGATGAGTCAATTGTTCATCACAAGGTCTCTCTCAAATTTTGTACCAGGATCCACCTTTGGAATATGAAATGATTCAGTCCCCCAACTTCATTCATTTCTGAATCATTTTTCTGTGGATAGTCTCTAACTTCTGTCTGCCTGTCCTTGCAGCATTTCAAGAAAAATCTTGACTACAACAATCCTGCTTATAACACTAAGTATGGTATTTACTCCGAAGGTTGTGGACTCGACAATGTACTGATGTCATGGGGGCATGATGACTACATGTACTTGGTACATATTCGCCAAAACCATTCCAACTTCTGCATTGTTCATACACTATCATCCATGTACTTAGAACTAGGAAGGAAATAGCACGGGAAATTGATAATTTACTATCTGAATTTACATATATATATATATATATATATATATACACACACACACAAGTCTTGCAATGGTAAACTTATTTATGTGTCCTGTCTCCAGGTGGCGAAGGAAAACAAAAGCACTCTCCCTTCAGCTGGTCTTTTCATTATCAGATACCACTCATTTTATGGTACATTGTGAAATCAGGTAGCCCTTCAATTTGCTTTCAAATTAGTATTTAATCTTTATGGATCAAAATTACTTTGCAGCTTTACACAGGGCAGGAGCATATAAGCACTTGATGAATGAAGAGGACATTGAGAATTTGAAGTGGCTCAAAATATTCAAGTAAGGATATTCACTTCCCCATTTAAAAACACAGTAATGTAGTAAGACTATATGTCATTCCTACCATATTTTCGACATACTGCTTTGCCAAAAGTTTGATACAAGTCTAATAATTAACTTTGCCATTCTATATGCAGCAAGTATGACCTTTACAGCAAGAGCAAAGTTCGCATTGATGTTGAGAAAGTGAAGCCCTACTATCTCTCTCTAATTGAGAAGGTAAAGACCAATTGTTCTTGTTATTGGAGCTGGATGGAAGGAAATTTTGCAAGTGCATGCACAAGATCCTGAAGTTCTCATTTCATTTAATTTCAAAATAGAGCTTAAATGCCACATTGTTTTTTCTTTCTCTGTTCCTTGTGGTTAATTTTGACTATTCTGTTGCAGTACTTTCCCGCAAAGCTGAGATGGTGAACGGTGAAGTTGGGAGCTCTGAAGTTGGATCAGTAAAGAAATCAGATGGAGGTAGCAGCTGAATAAAAGGCGCGGATGTAGAACTTTCAATGTTCTTTTTTCTCTTTGTTCTTGTTTCCTTTTCTTTTACCCCTTTATGTTTGTTCTGTTATGAACTTATGAGGAGGTGCTTTACCTTTTCCCTGAGTTTGTATATAAAAATGCTACCTCCGCAGTTGCAGTTATTCCATTGCCATTGTTCTATGCTTTTAAGCTTCAACTCAGTTTATGCAGAAATACTATAGTGTGCTTTTATATTAAAGATGTTATGATGCAGATGAAAATTAATAATAGTATTAGTTAGAACAGGACAGATGCCAACAACCAGAGTTTAACTGACGAGTGTTTAATCATTAACCAAGCAATTAAATCAGCAAATTAATGATCCAATTAACCAATAAACTGCCATAGTCTAAACTCGAAAGTGCACTTTCATCACTTGTCTATTTGTCATTATGCTAATCAATGAATGAATGATTATCTCCACTGCACAGAGTCAAAACGCAACATCCGAACACAAAAGTGAAAGGATGCATTTTGCTTTTACCGGTTATGGCAAAGCCTCCTTAAGTATTTGCTACCACTTTACAAAGGGTGTTGTTAAACGAACTCTAAAATTAACAGCACCCATTTACAAATGAGTAGTAAAACATTGTCACAGTCAAACAAAGAGAACCATATGTCTATTTGTACATCAGAAATTGTCTAAGAGAAAAACCTTAGTTCTAGTTAATGTTCTTCAATTTAAAATGAAATCAAAATTTTTTAAAATTCAGTTAGCCGGACTGATCAGTATATAGTTGTAGTAGTAAACTTGACTAGTTGTATTATTGGTATATATAAAGTCCATTTTCTTTAATACAATATATCAAATCGTCAATGAATGTCGTTGTAGGTTGGGTGGATGGTGGGTGGATTTAGAGTTAGACGAGCCTTCTAAGTTAGGTGTGAACCTTGAATTTTATATCCCTCTAACCCATCTTTGTCCAACTTAACTTTTCTATGTCTACATAGAAAATGGCCAATTTAATATAGTATATCATAGACGCAGAGAGCACTATTTGTCTTTTGCATTCTTCTCAGAAAATGAGATTGACATTACAGCTAAGCGTTTTGTTGTGTGTTTTGTTTGGGGGCTTCCTTCCTTCTTACTCTCTGCTGCCGTTGTTGACCATGACCCTTGAATATGTTCCTATACTTAAACAGACAGACTGTTGATACGATTCTATAGGTTTCCTGAGAAAACGGTTTGATTGTTTGATTCAGCATTGGTCTTTTTCACTTATTGTCATGGTGAGCTCTGTTTCAGACATATTGGCAAACGGAAGTTGGGCAATTTGTAGTCAAAACTTGTAATTTTTTGGACCGGAAGTTTTCTTTTGATTTCCTACGAATTGGGTTTCTCAGTTTTTGGTATTTCATTAATTGGGTTTTTGTTTGATTTTTCATACCTCTCCCCGTTTATGAGATTTTGGGTTTAGAGAGTTTGCTTGGAGCTCGTATACCATCTGTTAATATAGTTGAATCTGAATTGTTGGAATTTTGAATTGATCCTTGCACCCTGGTGATTTTGGGTTGCTGGGTTATTAAAAGTCTATCCATTTTTGCCTTGTAAGCTTGAGGGATGAAAGGAAAGTTTGGAACACCAGGAAGTTACTTTGTGTTAAACACAGGAGATAAAATTCCAGCCATTGGACTCGGGACATGGCAGAGTGGAGGAGATCTTTGTGTTCAAGCCGTAAAAACGGCATTATCAGTAGGCTACCGTCACATAGATTGTGCACATCTTTATGGTAACGAGATCGAAGTTGGGGAAGCTTTAGCTGAAGCATTTAAGGGTTCACTGAAGAGGGAAGACGTTTTCTTGACTTCTAAACTCTACTGTACAATGAATTCTCTCAATAAAATTGAGAATTATGTTAGAGTTTCTCTTAAGAACCTTGGAGTTTCGTATTTGGATCTGTATTTGATGCATTGGCCTGACAGCTCAGCGTTTGGTGATGCCACTGATCCTCCTTCAAAGTCTGGGAGCGAGTATAGGCAATTCTTGAATCGGTTGAAGAAAGCATGGAAAGCTATGGAAGGTCTGGTTGAGTTGGGTCTGGTTAGAGCTATTGGGGTCAGCAATTTCAGTGTTCCGCAAATCAAACAACTGCTCAAGTTTGCAAAAATTGTACCTGCAGTCAATCAGGTTGGCTTTTGGTAAATCATTCTTGCTATTTTTCAATAGTTCAGCATCAAAATTGGTCTTCAATTAGTTGTTGATAAATTGGCTTTCACGTTCCTTCTTTAATCATATTATCCATTATATTGATCGAAGGGCTAAATATGTTAGAGTAAATAAGTGACTTAATCTAGTAACAGTTGATGATAAAATTCATTGGATAGAAGGTTTTTTGTCTTCAATTTTCTCTGTAGTCTACTCACATGAACAAAGCATCTCATTTATTTGGCTGACCTAATAATTTGCAAGTATTGGACGCTGGGATTCAATGCAATATGAAGGAACCTGCATTAATATAACAGTTGCATAAACATTACCTCTACTGAAGCAGCCCATTTATGTCATACTCAGGTTGTTGTTGCTATATGTATGCAAATGTGAAATGCAAAAAATCATCATTTGAATCAGATGAATCTTACAATCATTTCAGTTGGTAAGCTGATTAAGAAGTGGCCTACCAGCACAGATTTGGCTCTAAAAACAGCCCACCATTGCACAGTTCTTACATGATTCTGAGCTTAAGACTTAATTTTGCTCGTTAGATATTTGAACTTTGTTTGATATGTTCATATATCTTTGCACCGATGCTAAGATTGTTCTCCAAAACTAGTTGAATCTAATTTGATCAAAAGAGACTGAGTTGTAGGACTATTACCTCTCGTCTCTTCCTTTCTGACTCAGTGTTGACATTAGAAACCAATTATGAAGCAAAGTTAGTGCAGATTCTCTATGATGTATCGTAATACCCACCTCTTTTCTTGTATTGTTTGCTAGATTGTAACTATCATCAATGTAGGTTGTTAGGACCCAGTGTTGAATCTGCTTAAATTCTTCGGGAAAATAAGAATTTTTTGTGGCTTCTGCTGCCCTTTTTTTTTCTTTAAGACTGAAATTTCTCCTTGGTGATCACAGTATGACATAATTCAGGTTCCTTAATTGATTTATGATTAAATTTTAGGTGGAGTTGCACCCCTTTTGGAGGCAAGATGAACTTGTAAAGTTCTGTCAATTGAAAGGTATCCATGTATCTGCTCACACACCCTTAGGAGTCCCAACCTCGACTCCTGGACCATCTGATAGCAGTTCAGGTGGGGAAGATGAACCTGGAACTCCTCGCATATCATTCAGGAGGTCAAAGTCTGTGCATGGGCCTATGCTAAAATTATCAACAGTTGCAGAGATAGCAGACAGACACAGAAAAACACCTGAGCAGGTACTTTAGATTCCACAAGCTTCTTTTCTTTTTCATACTACTCATATCCTCCAAGCTATATACTATTGAGTAGCATAGTCTCATCCAAGCTATGATACCAGAAATAGAAGTACCATTCATATTTTGCATAATTTGCATATCCCTGTGATTGCAAAACCAAGTAAGCTTCTATAAATTGCCTAAAGTCTGAAGTTTCACCAGTATCCTGAACCTTTGCTCTACACCCATAAACTAATGTCCAGGGCTCAAATCACTATAGATATATATATATGTATATATATATATATGTATATATATATATATTTATTTATTTATTATTATTATTATTATTATTACCTCAATAATAAAAGGTTCAGATCTGAGCCCATAGTTTATAATTTTTTCCACTATCTGACTGTAACCAAGGTACACTTGCATTTATCAACTATCCCATTATCAAATGGTTAACCATTTAACACCAAATGCAAGTGGTTGAAATGGCATACATATGCTCAAGAGTATAGCAATCCCCTAGTGGTTAAGCATTGGCACAAACAAGTGCTCATACTCATGATGAGTAGTGAAGATATGACTTCAACTTAGTAGTGTTGAAGTTATAGCAATCTGAAAGTTGCTAAACTCGCAAACCCTAAAACTTTGAGGTGATGCATGACTGATTGCCCTGGTCCTAATTCAGATGGAGGATTGTTGATTTCAGGACTACAATTTGAGGGTCATGGTTAACGTAAAAAGACTTGGCTGCATTTGATTGCGGTAAAAGTTTCTTCTAAGTCTAAACTGTGAGGTTTAGGTAAATTCTAAATAACAGAACACAAAATATGATTCATGGTTCATGATTGAAGTGGTGCTTGTCACATAACAAACTCTAAAACTTATAAGTGACATTAGTTAGTCTCAAACTCTCAATGCAGCTGCAGCTGCAGCTGCTCCTACCCCAAAGAACCTACTAATTTGTGCTTCAGTTGAGTCAATCTTCCCCCTCAAGAAGCTTTCATCAGCTTTTCAGCCACCAATATATATCAGCCATGTCATTAGGTTTTTTTTTTTTTTTTTTTTTTTTTTTTTTTTTTTTTTTTTCTCTTGAGAGATCTTGTTTCAAGGAAGGAATCAATCACTTGAGTATTGGGTAAATGTATGTGCTATCGATATTGAAAAGTCTCCATTGTGATTGACATATCTTTTAGGGTTGGAAACTTATCATCTAGTTTGAAGCCTTTGAAATGTAAAGAGAATGGAAAGCACTGGTCTAGGATAAAGGATCTAAATCTTACCAAAAGTTGAGATGATCCTGTAGTTTCTTGCAGTGGTCCAAAACCATTAAAAATATAAAGATGGTGATCCGAGTAGTGGGCAACTCCACACTTCTTACCCATGTAATTGCACTTGTATATTCAAATTGTAGAGGAACATAATCATACAGGATTGTGTATTGGAGATAAAACTTATTATAGCAATGATCATAGTAAAAGTCTAGAATAGAGACGTAACCACTTATAATAATTATGCAAGATTAAGGAAAAACTCATGGCCACTAATTTATGCCTTTTGCAAATTATTTTTAGATTAATATATTACCTTTAACACAATAGAACTTAAGAAAACATGGAACTTGCAAGATTGACTTTGGGAAAATGTAAATGAAAACTTGATATAACTAGACTAAAAACTGAAAGGTCTGGAGTGGGCTCCTTATTGAATAAACACAATTGTGTGCTGAATTACTACTATTTTCTCTTCATTCTTCTCTGTCCCTCCGATGCTTTAAAAAGCACCCATGGTGTAACTGTATTATAATGAAAGATCAAAACTACTACTGGGTTTTGCCAAAACAAGAAGCTGCACAACTGGGCATAGGATCCTAGGAACCAAACTCAATTGCATTTCCAGATGATTCTGTCCTCAACGAGGACCAGAAATAAAGGTACTGCTCATGGTTTTAGTAATGTGTTTGGCATGCTTACTCTGTTTCAGGTTATTTTGCGTTGGGGGCTGCAAAGAGGAACCAGTGTGCTCCCGTGTAGCCTGAAGCCTGATAGGATAAGGAAAAACATAGACATTTTCAGTTGGTCTCTGTCAGATGATGAGTGGAACCGGTTGAACCAGATTGAACCACAGGTGTGCCTATTTGGAAATGGTCCTTTGAATAATCTTTCAGAGAGTGGCTTTGTGTCTGGAAGTGGTCCACTTCAAGCTGTGCGTGAGATGGAAGATGACATGGAATCCAATGCCTGATATTTGAATAATATCTTCGGATGATGTGCCGTGCCATTTTTGTTCAAAGAAGTGATCATCCTTTAGTATGTATGCCCATTGTTTGCAAGAATTCTAGTTTGTGGATGCTGAATAGAAAGTCAAAGGAGACATTAATTGGAAGTGGCAAATATTTCTTTTTAACTTCTTCAAATTCTCATGGGTGTATTGATGCTACATTGAAAAGAAAAAAAATGATTACTGAAGTGAACCTTCAAAAATAAATTCAATCTGTTTTGTTTTTTGTTTTTTTTTCTCTTTTCTTGATCTTTACATGTATTTGCTAATAAATCTGATTCAGATATGCCGTGGCCTTATGATTATGGATTAGTATGCCAAGCAAGGATGATGTTGATCTGCACTCTGCAGAAGCCTGGATTTAACTTTTGTGTTTTCATTGTTTTGTGTTTGTGTTTGTGTTTTCATGACAAAGAGAACGAGTTGGCCGTCGGGTGCCATCAGCCATGACCAATACCGTCGTTGAAACTGATGAACTTATTTGATGCCAGCAATCAAAATAAAAGTGTTCTTTCGCAATTCTCATGCCTTGTATTGCACGGCGCATGAGATGAGATTGCCGTCCTATATGTATTATATTATATTTTAGGGTTTTCTTCTGTCTCCTTTTCTTTGAAGTAAACGGGTGGGAAGTCACCAGAAGTTAAAGAAAAATAAGAAAATTCTGCCCTAGTTGGGAATTGTTTTCTCAACTTGAACCCACAGTTTGGAACAAGAACAAGTCATAGTATTAGTAACCATTACAAGTTGCTTTGAAGGTAACTTCAACATTCACAAGATGGTCCATCCTCGCGCCTCCACGCTACCGTCCTTTCTGACCACCAAATGTCAAACAAATAGACTAAGATTAAGATTGATGTTTTTCAGTTGACTTTTTTAACGGAATGAATATTGATGTGGCTGCTGCCGGCTACCTATGAATATGTATTTGATTTGGCAAATGCAATATCCAAGGCCACCGCTGGTCTGGTTGCATTGCATTTAAATCCCCACCAAACAAAACCCCTTTTCAATACAGCCAGCCACTTGATCATTTTCACCACGATATTATTGTACCAAGGCGTTTGGTCCTGTGATTTTTTTTCATTCTAACCTAAAATAAGCACACTCAACTTTTTAAAAACAAATAAATAAATAGCCATGGAATCTAGCCCGTGAAAAATTTCTTTGACTTGTAGACTATAGGTCTCAAGTTCGAATTCCACGGCATCATAATTGTGTGTTTGAGAGAAATCCTCGTCTCATGTAGTTTAGACTATCGCTTGTATTCAAATAAATACTGCCAAAAATAAATATTGAAATCCTGATGCATGGAAATGGACACGTAACGGTCATATGATGCTTGTTCTTGTACGTCCAACAATTTCAACGGTAGACACCGTATTCAAAATGGTTGAACCCTAAAGCAAAGATGACATATGCATATATAGAGAAGAAGAATGAATGGAACTCTACCAAATTCATCCACTTTTTCTTTCCTTTGACCATTGAAACAATGGAAAGGGGCTACTATTTTTCCCACATGCAAGGAAGGGACTACTATTTCCCACATGCAATGCAAGGTACTATTTTCAACGCCGCTGTGATTAAGATTGTATGTAATTGAACCAACCAAGTTCCAACCACCACAACACGATCAGATTCAGTCTTTATTTTATACATGTTCGAGAGCCAACATTCTTTCTCTTCAAAATCTAAAACGTATATGTAATTTACCGACAACGTTGCTGTTGCTTCAGTGAGATCCCTCTCTGTTACATGGACTACAATATGGATAATTATTTACAACAAAACCAACTCTCACAGTGCAAAAATTAATAGCAACTTATACAGACCAGAAAATTGAACTAGTTTCATATGTAACATCACTTTCTGTACAATCGGGGTTTCCCTGGCTTATCTAAAAAGAAAGCTAATTTTTGGTGCTGATATTGTCGAGCCAAGAAACTAGCTGCTGAGTTGAAGGTCTCACCTTAGGGCTTCCGCTTAAGCAAAGGCATGCAATCTCAAATACACACAAAAGTTCCTCATCATGCTTCTTGTCATAAATGAACGGATCAAAGACCTCAGTTTCCCTCTTTTCCCTCTTCATCTGAAATGCCCAAGAGATCAAATCCCGACATCCTCTTGGCTTGCACATGTCCATAGGCCTTTTTCCAGTTAGAAGCTCCAAAAGAACAACACCGAAACTATACACATCGCCCTTGTAAGTAGCAACAGAGGCTTGCCCATACTCAGGAGGGATGTAGCCTAATGTCCCAACAAGATCAGTTGTTACATGAGTATCATAGGGGAGTATGAGCCTGGCAAGACCGAAATCAGCCAAGTGAGCTTTAAAATTCTCATCTAAAAGGATGTTACTTGACTTTATATCCCGATGAAGGATATGGGGCTCGCATGATTGGTGCAAATAAGAAAGCCCTCTGGCAGCCCCTTGAGCAATTTTAAGCCTCATATACCAATCTAGAGAGGATGGGCCATCGATTTTTTCATGTAACCAGTAATCCAGACTACTGTTCTCCATGTAAGAATATATCAAGAGCCTGTCACTTTTATATGTGCAATACCCCTGAAGATGGACAAGATTTGGATGTTGAGCTCTTGACAAGGCTTCAACTTCAGCACGGAATTCTCTGTCCATCTGGCCACAGTCACCAGACAGCCGCTTGATTGCAACCTTCTTACCATCAGGGAGGCTGGCCTTGTAAACCAAACCAAAACCCCCACAACCAATGATATTTGCTTGGTCAAAATTGTTGGTTGATTGTAGAAGGTCATCAAGAGAGAGCTCCTTATCAGTATCCTTGTTTTGGAACAGAACTACTAGTTTTGACCCAAGTTCTTCCAAATCTTTCCCATTGCTGTCATGTTCTTCTTTTTCAGGATCAACCTCTCTTCGGCTATGTGCCCGCAACACAATTATGGCCATCAGAGTAAGAAAAACTGCAGTTCCGAACACAATTCCGACAGCTATACCAACAATAACTCCTCTGTTTTTCCTTGACTTTCTGGATTGCCCAAGAGGATTACTCACCTTTGAGCATGGGGGGAAATGGTCACCACAAAGATTATTCCCTCCGAAGCTTGAATTTGGGAAGGTCCAAAACTGACCTCCTGTAGGAATCGGCCCATATAATTGATTGTCTGCAACATTAAACTTTGACATAAAGCTCAGATTAACCAAGGATGGCGGTATTATCCCCGAAAGCCTGTTACCAGACATATCCAGAGTCTCTAAGCTGGTCATCCCGGATAAATTACTCGGAATTGGTCCCGACAGATTGTTACACTTCAGATCAAAAACATGAAGCAATCTCAGTTTACCAAACTCTGGCCAGATTGGACCACTAAGATTATTGTTACTAAGTTCCAGTGTTGGTGGAAAGCTCCAAACTTGATTATACTGCAATCCTCGTGCACTCACATTCCTTTTCATGAATAATGGGAAATCAGGGGAAGGTTCCTGAATTGAGATCCTCCCATCAATGAGGCTCCGTAGTCCAGATATGTTTCTCGGGATTTCCCCAGTAAAAGAATTGTTAGATAGGTCCAAGTAGAAGAGATTGCTAAAATTGCCAAACCAGACTGGAATTGTTCCTTCCAAGCGATTCCATGACAAATCCAGCAACTGCAATCTGCTGCTGCTACTCAACCATTGGGGTATTGAACCTGTTAGCCTACAATTTGCAATGATGAGAACCTTCAATTTTTCAAAATGAAGGGTTGGATCAGCAGGCAATTCTTCATCACGGAAATTCAAGGTGAGAACCAAAGTAGTTAGGTTCTGGCAATGCTGTAAGATTTTAAGGGCAGATGAAATATTGGAAATGCTGGAATTTGACAGTGAGAGGTAAGAGAGGCTATGAAAATTCTTGAAGCTTTCTGGTATTTGGCCACTAAAGTTGTTCCGGGCAATATTTATGGTATTCAGATGCCGACAAGAGGGAAGATTGGACGGAATAGGCCCATAAAACCGATTGGAACCTAGATCAATAGAGGCCAAACTAGTCATTGCTGAACAATCAAGATCAATTGAACCCTCCAATGAATTGTTTCTCGCATTAAGCAAAGAGAGAGTCGGGGAACTCGCCAAGGAAGGGGGTATCTGACCACTAAAATTGTTCGAATGAGCAACAAAATACTGTAATCTTCCAAGGCTGTCGAAAACATCTGGGATAGTTCCTGAAAACCCATTAGTCGAGATATCCAAGCGAACAAGGTTAATGAGGTTACCAATTTCTTTGCTGAGCTGCCCGGAAAGCTTGTTATCTTGAATGTTCAGTCTGGTTAGCTTTTGCAGGCGAAATATACCTTCGGGTACACCGCCTGTAAAAGTATTCATGCCCAGACAGAGGTCCTCCAACGAACTACAATTGCCAAGACCTGGTGGGAGATCACCAGTAAAGTAGTTCACAGCCAATTTCAGTGCCCGAAGCTGAGTAGAATTGTTACAGATGCTAGGTGGAAGGGAACCATTCAAAAAGTTTTGAGAAATTTCAAGGAACTGGATTGAAGGTAAATCAATATCGGCTGGAATGGGGCCAGAGAAGTCATTAGAGCTCAAGTCTAACAGCTCCAAATTTGGCAAATGGAAAAGTGGAATCGGAAGCGAGTGTTTGAGGAAATTGTGAGAGAGATTGAGGGTTCTAAGCTGGTCCAACATGCCTAAAGATTCAGAGAGGTTGCCAGCTAGTCTTTTCTTTGGAAGCTCCAACTTAACCACTCTATAGGTATCTATAGAGGAATCGTTCAATCCAAGAGAGGATGAAGAGTTGCAAGTGATGCCTGCCCATTCACAGCAATTAGATGATAAATTGTTCCCCCACCCTTCAATCACAGTTTCTATGCCTTTCATGAAATCCTCCAATGCTTTCAAATCATTTGGATTGCATGTCAGGTTCTGAGAGCTCGAAACGTGAGCTTGGAAGCAAAACCCAATAACAATGATGACCACCCAGAAGTCTTGAGCACCCATATCAGAGAAACACACCCACAGGGGGACAGATAGAAGAAAAGAGAAGAATAGATAAAGAATGTACAATCAAGTAGCAGCAAAACCCTTGTCAAGAACCATGCTTTATGAACTGGGTTTTCTTGTTTCAAACATTATGACTGAGAACTGAAAGCAAATAGAAGAAAACAAAAGAAAATTAAGCAAAATTAAACGATGGGGTTATCTTGTATGTGAAGCAGGAAAGCAAAACAAAAAGAGAAGAAAAAAGAAAAAACTGACCTGCCAGATAGAGGAATGGAAGAAAGAAGGGAAAATGGCTGGCTTCGAGTCTTTGACTTCAAAACACGTTTTCTGCTATGAATCAATGAGCCAATGGATGGATGAAAGCTTTGCTCCTCTTTTTCACTTCCAGTTCTCACAGAATTTATTTTATTTTGGTTGCAAGATTTTCTTTTCAATTTAGGCTGCAAGGCTTCTTCTGTTATCAGTCAGTATTTTTATGAGAAATCTGGTAAAGTGGAAACCGGGGGTCTGTAAGTGGTGACCGGCAAAAGCCGGTCAGTTGCAATGAAAATGAGGTTCGCTTGGATGAGATATGGACAGCCAGAGAGGTATAAAGTCAACTACTGGGTGACGACACGTGCACTAAGTCTTATAAACTGCGCGGTTTCGGCCGACGCCGACTTCATAAAATTTGACAGGTTGCGGTTGCCTCAATTTAATAGTAGAAGAATGTTAACAACTTTTTCTTTAACTTTTTCTTTTGGATTTTCTTCATTTTTTGTTTGACATGTGTTATTTTCCTTATCCTTAAAACAATGTCATTAATATATTATACAATTTAACTTTTGCTTTCCAAATTTACCCTTATTAAATGTATACAATTTGGGGAATGCTAGTAACCTTCTCTTTTGAACATTTTTCATTTTTTGCTTAACATGAGTCATTCTCCGTATACTTAAAACAATATAATTAATATATTATTCAAGATAACTTTTGATTTCCAAGTTTACACTTATTAAATGTATTCAATATTATTCAATTTGCTCTTTTTTTTTTTTAAAGCAAATATTTTCTTTAAAAAAAGTAATTGACGTTAAAAAAAATTTAATAAGATAGTAAGAAAGTTGTCAAATTTTTTTGGATAAATTGAATACATTTAATAAGGGTAAACTTGGAAAACAAAAGTTAGCTTGTACAATATATTAATGACATTGTTTTAAGTGTAAGGAGAATGATACATGTTAAGCAAAAAATGGAGAAGGTCCAAAGGAGAAGGTTAGAGAGAATGTTGTTAGCATTTCTCATACAATTTATTCAAAAAAATTTCACAACTTTCTTACCATCTTATTAAATTTTTTTTTCTAACGTCAATTATTTTTTTAAAAAAGAAAATATATGCTTTTAAAAAAAAAGAGGAAATGTCCGGTTTTTTATATATTTTATTTTAACCCTAAATAATAATAATAAAACTTGACATTTCCTCTTAAAAGCATATATTTTCTTCTTTATTTTGTGTATTTTTCTTTCTTTAGTAATTATTTTTCTCAATACAACTTACAAGCAATAATCTTAACTTACCAAAAAAAGACTCGAACTTAGGTTTAAGAGAGCGAACTCATTCCTTTAGTCGTTTGTATAGGAAAAAATAAGTAAGTTGGAAATTAACCAAATTAACCAACGGTTTGACATTGAACAAGAAGTGGGAAATTAAGAAAATAGGGAAATGATCATCACTTAAATTAAGAATGGTACTATTTGCGAGAATTTAGGGATTCTGACCAGGAAATTAAGAATGATCATGACTTGAATTAGGATTGGTTTTCAATTTCCAATAATGCGACAAATGATGCATACAACAAATATTTATTAAAATTTATTTGATTAATTAACGATATCACTTACCAAATTAGGTGGTACTGCTACAAAAATATAATCAACGTAACATTTTTCTTTTCCGAACTTGAAAATTGATTGAATAATTTATTTTCATTTCGTGGTAAGTTTGGGTGAATGACTCAGTAAATTTATTTGCACTAGAGAACTCCGACGTCAACCAACCATCGTCCACCGATAAGAATTCGGGGACAAGTTGAGAAATAAATCGAGTCCCCGTGCACAGACCGCTGTTGATGACTTTGCTCTGTGTGTTCCAAAAATGTAGATACATAAATAGATTATAATATGAAGATGATGGCGTGGTGCGCCGGAAATTTGAGACTTTATAATCAGAATAGTCAAATATGTATGTCTCATCTCAAGAAGACTCTCAACTCTCAAATCTCAAAATTCTCAACATAATATAAACAACTAAACACGACCAAAAACAAAGAAATACAAAGAAACAAGGGTCAAATATGAACAGCAGGGTAGGGCCATATGCATGGACTCGGACGTTTTAGGGTTCACATAGGCAGAGGCAGGCAGAGGCAGGCAGGCAGAGATCTTGTTGTGGGACATGTATGTTATGTACAATACATCTCATTCTCTGTCATCCGTCGACTTTCTTAAGCAAGAAAATGAATCGGGTTTTAGCATTTCGGGTCAGGTCAAGGCCGCAGGGTTAGGTTAGGTCTAACTAATTTTCATATAGCATTTTTATTTATTGTGGCATCTACTAAAATATCAAGGGCTGAGTCAGTAGCACGTCACGTGTATCACACTAAAGAAAAAGAAGATCAATGAGAAAGGTATACGTGACGATTTGATCTTGATGAGTGAATGTTCATTATCTTTTCACCAACAAAAGGAGAAAAATAAATACAAAAAAACAGATATTTTTCAAGAATGAAAGATGTCACATGTATATATATGATGTAACTCACATGTACTATCTTATCCTAAAGGTTATCCTTTCAATAGACAAATACGGTTTGCAAGTTGCCTGTAAATCTATTTCTTGATTTTTGTTTTTAACTTCAAAATGTTAATTCAACTATCGAACTAATTAAATCTCACTTTTTTTTATTTTATTTAATTTTGCATGTTTGATAGATTTGGTGAATGACTACGGACATGATAAATGAGAATTATGGTACGTAGATTATATAGTAAGGTGGGAATATGCTCAAAGTCAATTAATGTTGAATTAGGCAACAAAATTGAGGGTTGTCCCTAGGACGGCCTAGGCAGAGGAAGCATATTTTGTAGACTTTTAACCCAACATGGAAACTCTAGCTCTTTTTTTTGGGTAAATAGTAGGACATGTCCCTACACTTGACGGGTGAGATTAATTCACTCTCGGGTTCGGCTTGCCCCTGACCACAAAGTGCTCTCAACTGGTTTCGAACCTCTGCCATTAAGGCACCACGCCCGACAATTTACCAACCACACCACACTTTGTGGTTTCAAACCCCTAAACCCTCTAGCTCTCCCTTCAAATGTAAATGTGATATGCTACAAACCTTTGCCCCATAGTACTTTATTAGGAGGAGGAGGAGTAGGAGGAGGAGGATTAATCCAAGTACAACTTGGGTTACTTTTCAATTAATAATGCCTGACCTATCAAAATAGGATAGGTACGTGTTTGACTTGAAACAACTTCATCCAAAAGTAAGAAAATATATATTCACTTACTCATAATTAACAACACTATTAAGTAAATGGAAACAAATTAATAGCACCATCCACATCCCAATCCCATATACCTCGCTTGATTGGATAATGCATATATCAATATTGTGAAAAAGTTGAGCCACTACAAATTGCCTCCCACTCTAGGCCGACCGCATTCATTCGACACGTGGCGTTTCGTTAAATCTAGTGGCAACGGATCATTTCCAAATATATGTTAGCTAGTGGCATCATTATCTTGATAGCTAGTTATACATCATGGAGTTATAGCAACCATGTAATTAAGAATAATAATCATGGTGTTATATATAGTGGGTATCGAGTATAATCATGGTGTCATGAATCATATCCATATACTAGTACTAGATAATACAGAAGATGCATTTATGTGTCGTGGGATCTAAGTCTTTGAGAAAAATATAATGAGGTTTTCACTTTAAATTACCAGTGCCTTACACGTTTCAACTAATTGCATAGCATGGGTTATCATTCCAACTACTCTCAAGTAGAAGTAGTTAGCAGACGCTCAAGCAAATCGATCATCAATATGATATATTTAGGTATGGGCCTTGGCTTGGTGAGCCCGTGTCCATCCAAACTTGAAATTAAACAAGGCCGCCTAACCTTGAAAGACCGAGTGAGCACAACGGCTACATTGTTTTGCTTTTAGCTAGGCACACGACGAAACGAATTGGCCTTTAAAAAGTCCATACGTATCTATCTATCCCAATGAAACATGTAATTCCAAACACAAATCCAACGCCCATTCCGACAATCATTCCTGTATATTTGTTTGATTCTCTGGGTGGCCATGGTCCGAGGGAAGGATCATCATCGGGCACCTCGGGTGGACAGGGGAGAGTGAGGCCGCCGCAGAGATTATTATTCCCTCCTTCAAAGCTTGAACTTGAGAAGGTCCAGAACTGGCCTCCTGCAGGGATCATCCCATGTAATTCATTGTCTGCAACATTAAACTTTGACAGAAAGCTCAGATTAACCAACGAAGGCGGTATTATCCCCGAAAACCTGTTACCAGACATATCCAGAGTCCCTAAGCTGGTCATCCCGGATAAATTACTCGGAATTGGTCCCGACAGATTGTTACACTTCAGATCAAAAACATGAAGCAATCTCAGTTTCCCAAACTCCGGCCAGATTGGTCCACTAAGATTATTGTTACTAAGTTCCAGTGTTGGTGGAAAGCTCCAAACTTGATTATACTGCAATCCTCGTGCACTCACATTCCTTTTCATGAATAATGGGAAATCAGGGGAAGGTTCCTGAATTGAGATCCTCCCATCAATGAGGCTCCGTAGTCCAGTTATGCTTCTCGGGATTTCCCCAGTAAAAGAATTGTTAGATAGGTCCAAGTAGAAGAGATTGCTAAAATTGCCAAACCAGACTGGAATTGTTCCTTCCAAGCGATTCCATGACAAATCCAGCAACTGCAATCTGCTGCTGCTACTCAACCATTGGGGTATTGAACCTGTTAGCCTACAATTTGCAATGATGAGAACCTTCAATTTTTCAAAATGAAGGGTTGGATCAGCAGGCAATTCTTCATCACGGAAATTCAAGGTGAGAACCAAAGTAGTTAGGTTCTGGCAATGCTGTAAGATTTTAAGGGCAGATGAAATATTGGAAATGCTGGAATTTGACAGTGAGAGGTAAGAGAGGCTATGAAAATTCTTGAAGCTTTCTGGAATTTGGCCACTAAAGTTGTTCCGGCCAAGATTTAGGTTATTCAGATGCCGACAAGAGGGAAGATTGGACGGAATAGGCCCATAAAACCGATTGGAACCTAGATCAATAGAGGCCACACTAGTCATTGCTGAACAGTTAAGATCTATTGAACCCTGCAATGAATTGTTTCTCACATTCAGCAAAGAGAGAGTTGGGGAAGCCGACAACGAAGAAGGCATTTGACCATCAAAATTATTTGAATGAGCTACAAAATACTGCAATCTCCCAAGGCAGTGGAAAACATCTGGGATAGTTCCTGAAAACAAATTAGTTGAGATATCCAAACGAACAAGGTTAATGAGGTTACCAATCTCTTTGCTCAGCCTCCCTGAAAACTTGTTATCTTGAATGCTCAATCTAGTTAGCTTCTGCAGGCGAAATAAGCCTTGAGATAAGCCACCTGTACATGTGAGAGCATTTGTGCTAAGATCGAGGTCCTCCAAGGCACTACAATTGCCAAGACCTGGTGGGAGATCACCAGTGAAGTAGTTCACAGCCAAGTTCAGTGCCCGAAGCTGAGTAGAATTGTTACAGATGCTAGGTGGAAGGGAACCAATCAAAAAGTTTTGAGAAATGTCAAGAGACTGGATTGAAGGTAAATCAATATCGGCTGGAATGGGGCCAGAGAAGTCATTACAGCTCAAGTCTAAGAGCTCCAAATTTGGCAAATGGAAAAGTGGAATGGGAAGCGAGTGTTTGAGGAAATTGTGAGAGAGATTGAGGGTTCTAAGCTGGTCCAACATGCCTAAAGATTCAGAGAGGTTGCCAGCTAGTCTTTTCTTTGGAAGCTCCAACTTAACCACTCTATAGGTATCTATAGAGGAATCGTTCAATCCAAGAGAGGATGAAGAGTTGCAAGTGATGCCTGCCCATTCACAGCAGTTAGATGATAAATTGTTCCCCCACCTTTCAATCACAGTTTCTATGCCTTTCATGAAATCCTCCAATGCTTTCAAATCATTTGGATTGCATGTCAGGTTCTGAGAGCTCGAAACCTGAGCTTGGAAGCAAAACCCAATAACAATTATGACCACCCAGAAGTCTTGAGCACCCATATCAAAGAAACACTCAACACAGGGCCACGAGAGACAGAGAGAACCAACTACCAGAAGACGAACAGCGACAGTAATAAAAAGAGAGAGAGAAACAATATGCGCACCTGTCCGATAGTGAAGACTTCAGTTGACCCGAAAAAAAACATGGCGAAGACTTCAAGACATGGGCAAAGATGGAAAGAAAATACTTGACTCTTCCACGCACAAAAAATCAGAGATATTTATGAATCCATCCAAAGTCTAAAATATCGGTAGTTCAAAAGTGCAGAAATTTCGATAGAAATATCGGGATATTATCGATATCAATAAAAATTAAATAAAAGCCAAGAAAATTATATAAAAAAACTTAGAAATTTTTCTTGAAATTTTGGAGGATATTTATTTAGTCAATTATCTATTACTTTATCATAAAAAAATTAGAAGGAAATATATTGCGTAATGAATTTAACTGATTTAAATTGATTATATAGCGAGCTAACAAGCACTGGGACGGTAGAAAATATGTAATAATTAATGAAAGAGATTAAACACACCATAATCATTTATTTATAATGATTTACTACAATATTTTACACTTTATACATTGCATGGTAAGATACACGAGTGACTTGATACCACATAGAGTTCCTATAAGATTCAAATTTGAATTATTTACACTAACACCTCCTGAGGTTTTTGGTTTTTCACAAAACCTCACAAAACTCATTGAGGTTTTGTAAATTACAAGAAGGGTAAACTGCCAAATACCCTCTGAACTATCACGTTAATTGAAATCTCTACCTTGAATTCATTTTTTAGCCAATTTAGCCATTGTAATAAATTTATTCGCAAATTTCACCCTTGCTGTTAGTTTTTTCACAATTTCATACAAATGCCGTCAAATATAAGGGTAAATTTGACATTTTACAAGGTATTGTATTAATTAAGAAAAATAAGGAAAATGGTATAGCCGCCCGGCTATACTGTCATCCCTTATCCTCACTTTCCATTTCACTTTCAGACCCACCGCAGCCCCAAATTCACCGCCTCGCCATAACCTCCCCTGGTTCGAATATGGGATGTGGCTACACTACAACAGACTCGAATGGACTCACATCGAATGGAAGATATCTTGCTACTAGGAAGGTAGAAGCAAGAAAACAACCGCAAAAAAGGAATTAGCAATGGGGATTTCCAAAAGGTCCAGAGGCGTACTTCCTTCACTTAAGGGGGTTGTTGCTGCAAAGGCTTGTCTTTTTCCCTGGGTTTCATCACCAGAGCATGCTGAGGCCCTCTCTCTTAGGGAGGCGTTACAATTTTCTGGTGATATGAGCTTTAATCACTTGCAGATGGAGTGTGATGCATTGGAGCTGGTCCAATCGCTGGGCCGTACAACGGCGGATACTTCCTCAATTGGTTCTTTGGTGGAGGACTGCAAAGCGATCCTTGCGCTTTTGCCTACTACTTCCATTATGCATATCTCTAGAATGGCCAACAAAGCGGCCCATAGACTAGCACAACTATCTTTAACTCTGACCTCAGCATCCACTTGGTCATGGGATATGGGAAAAAAAAACTTTGATGAGGGTTTGTGTACAAAGCTTTGATGCAGATATGGGTTGCAGATTTGTTTTCGTTGTTGATTTCTTCGGCCTGGTTTTTTTTTTCTTTCAAACTTTTGGTTGTTTACAGAGAGAGAAGAGAGACGAAGAAGAAGGAAGTGCATGTGCTATTCACGTGGTGTTTTTAACAGAGATTGGGATAGGAAATCCCAAAAACTAACGGTAAGGGGTAAATTGACGATAAAATTTAGTACGAGTGCTAAATTGGCTGAAAAATTAATTCAATGTGGAGATTTCAACTAGCGTGATAGTTCAGAGGGGGTATTCGGTAGTTTACCCTTACAAGAACACCCCTAAGGTTTTAAATTATTTTCACAAAACTCATTTTCATTGATTTTTCATCAAAAGATTGATGATTTTATACAAAAAAATCTCCAAATGACAAAGTTGGCCTTTGAGATTAGATTGTATATACTTCATTGAGGTTAATTTTGTCATTTGGATAAGTTTTTTTTCAATGAAATCATCAATTTTTGGAAAAACAATCAACGAAAAAGGATTTTGTGAAAACAAATTAAAACCTCATGAGGTGTTAGTGTAAATAACTCTTAAAAAATTTCACTATCTTCATCATCTCCATATTATCGATATTATAGCGATATTTTTGTCAAATGTTGCTGAAGTGTGAGAGAAATTATCAACATCGATATTTTCCGATATTATCGATATTTATACAATATGTGTATGGATATGTTCCAAAATATCCTAGACTCGAAAAAAAATAAAATTATCCTCTATATTTAGTCAATATTATCAATAGTTTAGTTCTTGAATCCATTGTAGAAAAGTTCTAAAACAAAAAATTTCCTCACCAAATACAATTATCCATCAATACTAGGGGTGGACATCTAAAGCCAAAATACCGAAACCGTACACTAACCAAAAAATTTATCTCTTGTGCAATTATCACTTTTTCCAGCAACTACAACAACTCTCCCTTTCTGAATTACTGGATCTAAATCTCATGAAGCTCTATTTTATTTTCCTCTTAGTTGATTATTTCTCAAAACGAGATTGATTTCCCTTATATTTCCTTTCTGCTTCTTTATTTCTGGGTTGAATCTTGGGTATTTACTGAAATCTCAGTTTGTTTATGATTTCAAAGTACATCAATTGTGCAGAGATTGTGTTATCGTTGGCCAAAGAGATAGATCTTCTGTTTCTTTCTTAATAGAATTGACCTTCTTTGTGTAAATTTTCTTGGGTTTTTTTACCCAGTATTTTTATTGGGTTGTTCGATCTTCTTCTTTTTTCTTTAATTTTATTTAGACAAATCATACCCATAAATTATTTAAATATAAAAAGACCAGCCAATAAGTTGTAATTAGAGAATTTTTAACAATCCAACAAAAAATGCCTTGAAAAATATTCAAAGTCAGCATTTTAATTAAACTTACATTGTTTTTTTGTCTATGTTATTCTCAAATTGTAGTATCAGACACGTTTTCCTTGTTTTTATTCTCCAATATTGAAAATGCAAATTCGTTATATCATTTTCATTATCTGAAAATATTCTCCAAAAACATTACCACACGGCCCCTTATGAATCCATTGTAGAAAAGTTCTAAAACAAAACATTTCCTCACCAAATACAATTATCCATCAATACATAACGTCTCAAATAATTTTTACTTCAATTTTGTAATTATTTTTGTAATGTTATATTTATTAAATTTTTATGAATATTTTAATCTAAATAAACTAAATTTTAAAAACTTGAAAAATAATTACACACACAAAATTAGAACAACATTTAAAAAAAAACAAATAATGAAAGAAGAATGGGCAAAACTTTGACCAGTACTGTTTTTCCATAACTTGAGCACCTAAACTAATGCATTAGTTGTGTCTGGATTTGGGCCAAAATTCCATTTTGGAGATTGCCTCACCCAAATCAAATATTTCAAACACGAGAGGCGTGTTGAAAATATTGTCTATTCGCCTTGTCCACACTTAGCTACAAGGTAATTAGAGAAGACTCCACTATCTGTCTATGTGAGTTATTTATTTAATATTAATTTATATTCCTTATTTCTATCGCTTTTTAAGCAAAACATCCAATATGAATATTGAAAACAAAATTAAGGACAACCACAACGAGTTAATAGCAAAAATGAGAATTTTATTATTCATCAATACATTTTTTACTTCAATCAACCTAAAGTTTTTAACTTCATTTTTTACTGTTAGATCTTGATTTATTTTTACCAACATTTTCATCTAACACAAATTCCAATTTACAAAACAAAATTTTATTTCGGAAACTTAAAATAGAATTACACAAAATTAGAACAACATTTAAAAAAAACAAATACATATTGAAAAAAAATGAAAGAAGAATGAACTGGAATTCCGTTCTAGTGCCACTTGGACTCTTGCCGTGTCAATGGACCAACCTTGCGTAATCATTCCGGATTCCTTTTGTAGACTAGTAGTTAGTCACGAACCTAAATTAACGGCATTCCTAACGAACCCTTGCACTTACATAAACACCACTACATTCACACACGATTAACAGACGGAACCAGGCTCTCCAAGCATGTGTTGTGAAAGTTTAAAAGCCAGAGTGGCAGGGGCATTTTGGTAACTTCGAATTGAATTTGAAACCCCCCCACAGATTGCGGTTTAAGTGGGGCCAATGATATTTTTTAGGTTGGGCCGGCGACCCAATTGGATAGGGCCCAAAAAGAGTCCAAATGTCTGAACGTGTTTGACCTCTTCTTGTTTATTAAAATACGATTCCATAAAACCTCTGGGAATTTCCTCCATAAAACCTCTCCGAATTCATCGTTCTCTCTCTATATCTATCTAACCCATTTCCTTCGCTTTCTTCGCTTCCCTTTTTGTCCACTCTCTACCTCTCCCTTTCCCTCTTTTATGATCTTCTCCTCTTCCTAGGGTTTCCTGTTTTCCGTTTTCCTAAACAAGAAAGATTTGCATTTCCTTTCCAATAAGGAAAGGAAATAATGGATTCTTCCACCAAAGGAATGGAAAACAATGCTGTTGAGGTTAGAATTTGTAAACCTGCCGGAAACTTAAATGAGGCACCGGCGTATGGGCTTTTCCCGGAAAGTCCCAGAAAGTGCGAGAAAATGAATCATTCAAATTCAATCCCCAACGGTATTTGTGGAAAACCGGAACAGAAAGATTATGATGATCAGGAAGAAGAGGGAGATCACTTTTCGGAAATTAAGATTGCGAATGGAAGAAATGGTTACCTCGAAGACCACGACGACGCCGGTTCCTCCTCCTCGATGACCGAAAACTCGGACGACTTTCAAACGGTTTCGCCCGAAAAGTCCGAGCACGTGAAATTAGCCGTTGATACGCCCAATACAGAAAACAACGCAGGCGCAGGGATCCTCCGACCTCATGCGCACCTTCCGAAGCCAGAGGCACCGCCTGGCCTTAACAGCTCACCCCCAGCTTCTCCAAACGGCGACGCTTCAGCTAACCAGAAGTTCGGCGTCGCCATGCCGGCGATCGGGAAGCTCATCCGAGAGAGAAGCAGCAATTTCTCGGCGGCGTTCGTGAGGAGATTGTCGTCGCTAAAGGATAACAACAATGACACCGAAGAAGATCCAAAATCGAATAAGCGGGACGTGACCGAGTTCAATCTCTCCGGCCTCAAAGTGACGGTCAAGCTCAAGACCGAGTCTGATGTTCATCAGCAACAAGGACAAACACTCAAAGGTCGAATCAGCTTCTTCTCTCGATCGAATTGCAGGGACTGCACAGCGGTGCGAAGTTTTCTGAGAGAGAAGGGACTGAAATTCGTGGAGATCAACATCGACGTGTATCCAAATCGCGAAAAAGAGCTTGTAGAGAGGACAGGGACGTCGTCCGTACCTCAGATATTCTTCAACGAGAAGTTGTTTGGGGGTCTTGTGGCGCTCAACTCGTTGAGGAACAGTGGAGGATTTGACCAGAGGTTGAAGGAGATGCTTAGCTCGAAATGTCCCGATGACGCACCTGCAACCCCCGTGTACGGCTTCGATGATCCCGAGGAGGAATGGACGGACCAGATGATCGGGATTGTTAAGGTGTTGAGACTGAGGTTGCCTATTCAGGACCGTCTGATGAAAATGAAGATCGTCAAAAACTGCTTCGCTGGGAGCGAGATGGTGGAGGTCCTCATTCAGCACTTGGACTGTGGGCGTAGAAAGGTACGGACCCCCAAATTTCCCAAATCTATTTTTTACCGTTATTCTCCGTGTTGCGGACCACTGTAACCACTGGGCTCGCGGCTTCGTGTTCTTTTGGTTTGAAATAAATTCCGCGGGACTATTTGGTTACAGTGTGCTGCGTGGCATTAAATTTAATCGCTGGCCTGGCCTGGCCTGCTTCGTATCGAATCGCTGACTAGCCGTAATCTACTAATTACAAATAAATAAAATATTAGTAACCGCTAAAAAAATTTCAGCGATACTGGCTCTTGTCCTTTCGGATAAACCTATGAATTCGCTTGGCGTCTTCGACACGCCCATAACCAACGTGAATGATGACGACTATGTCCGCAAAATGATAAAATTAATACGAAATTTACAATTACATAATTGATTAATTAAATTAATAGTGTGGTATTTGCTTAATAATATGGGTTACCGATCCAAACCTACTAGCTATTTTTTCGTCATTATCTGTAGCTACATCTTTTCATTGGATTGAGTAATTCCATTAGATTTATGGAAAACATTATGACATCTACAATATCAAGTGACTGCTATTATTATAAGGAGCTTTCCAGTGGGCCTACTTTCTCTGTTGGCTTTATTTTCTAACGCTCCTCCTTTTGCATTAAATTTTATCCCTGCCCAATGAGAGTAGTTGAGCCGGTGGAGCATGTTTTTGGTTAAGTTACGTTTGCCTTTTGAATGATTCCTTCGAAAACAAGAAAAGGTTCTGAAAGGGTCCCGTCCCCATGAAGGGGTCCCGCTATATATATATATATCATGTGGAACACACTCAGTCAGATGTTGGTTCCTTTCCACCCATGAAAAAGTAAACGCGTAACGTTTTTTGACATGGCAATGTAGCCCCAACTCTTATCATTTTCCAGATATTTCATAATTGCTAGGAATTGGTCCGAGTTTTCAAATCTAACGTTTTAATTTATAATGATGACGGATAATTACTTCTTTTTTAATTTTATTTTCTTGAAATTTATGAAGTTTTAGTTTGGCAGTGTTGACTTCAACAACTTGAGAATTATTCCACATTTTATCCAAGTGCGGCAGCCAAATTTTTTGAATGAATCCTTGAATCTTAATCTTTTGAGTCCATTCTCAGATACACTGAGGGCATTGCACGGACGTTGCACTTATCTCTCTAGTCACAGATGTTAATGAATTGTATGTTAACACATGCAGGCAGTTGAGATTGGGAGGCAGCTAGCCAGGAAGCACTTCATTCATCACGTCTTTGGGTAAGAAAACATCTCTTGAACTATCTGAAACTGAGGACATTGGTGTAGTTTTATACATACATATTTATCCTTCTTGTATTTGTGTAGGGAAAATGATTTTGAAGATGGAAACCACTTTTATCGCTTCCTCGAGCATGAACCATTTATTCCCAAATGCTTTAATTTCCGAGGATCCATAAGTGATACTGAGCCCAAGTCTGCGGCTAAAGTTGGCCAAAGGCTCACCAAGATCATGTCTGCCATACTCGAGTCCTATGCCTCAGACGACAGGCGCCATCTTGATTACATTGGCATAAGCAACAGTGAGGAGTTCCGAAGGTAAGATCAATTACTGCTTTTCCTGGATTAACTTTGTTCCATTTATAATAAACTGATATTATCAATGTAGTATATATAGATTATAAATTGAAGTAATTAAAAGGTAGTTGCTCTTGGTTATGTCTAATCTGCTGTCACTAACTGTGGAATAAACAGTATACTAGGATGCAGATTCAATTACATAAGCATTTTAGTAGTAATTCTATACGCAGAAGTTTCCCCAGTTTGGTTTACATTGCATATTTTGAAGATATAAATATGATGAAGTGGCTTCCTCTTTGAATGAAATAGTTTGATTGGTTTCATTTGCTTTACTATTTTACTTTCATACTGAAGATTTTTTCAAACTATTGATATACTGATGCTTATTATGTGTGTCATCTGCATTGCCATTTACGGGAACTTCTGTTTTAAGCTAATTCCTTCCTTCTTCTAAATGCAGGTACATAAATTTGGTTCAAGAACTTCACCGAGTGAACCTTTTTGAACTCTCTCCAGATGCGAGGGTATCCTTCTTCTTGAACCTCTACAATGCCATGGTCATCCATGCAGTTATCAGGGTAGGGCGTCCACAAGGTGTAATTGAAAGGAGATCCTTCTTTTCTGAATTCCAATATTTAGTTGGAGGACATCCTTACTCCCTCAGTACCATCGAAAATGGGATCCTTAGAAACAACCGTAGACCTCCTTATTCCTTGGTCAAGCCTTTTGGAGCTGGTGACAACCGTACAGAGGTAAGCAAGATAATTAATCTCCAATTCTTACGTCCTATCCCCCCTCTAAGCCTTGGACAATATAACTGTTCTGGAATAAAATTTTCTGCAGTTTCATTAGTAAAGAAGATCAATTTCTTAAGATTTTTGAAACTTTTCCTTCATATGTAGTCATACATACTAAGTATCGTAACAGGTTGCAGTTAGTTTGTTTGCATACATATTCTCAATCTCTGACAATAGTACTAAGTCTCATTTCATCCAATACAATTCAGCTTGCTTGTGCTAAAGTGAATCCATTAATTCACTTTGGACTCTGTAACGGGACAAGGTCAAGCCCAACTGTAAGGTTCTTCTCGCCACAAGGAGTTGAAGCTGAATTAAGATTTGCAGCAAGAGAGTTCTTTAAGAATGGTGGAATGGAAGTGAACTTGGAGAAGAGGACTGTGTATCTCACCCAAATTATCAAATGGTGAGCCATCGAATCATTGACCTTTTCAATGCTGAAGATAAAAATGTTGTGTGTATTCACTTCTACTTCTGATATAAATGTTCACGCACTCTACTTTCTATTGAAAAAAAATATTATGCAGGTTCAATGGTGATTTTGGACAAGAAAAAGAAATTCTAAAGTGGATCCTCAATTACTTGGATGCAACCAGAGCCGGTCTTTTGACACATCTTTTGGGCGATGGAGGTCCTATAAATATCGTGTACCAGAACTACGATTGGTCCATGAGTTCATGAAAATATGGTGCCGCTGTTTAAAAACTGAAACTTATCACAAGTGATATTTGTACACTTGCATTGGCAAGGGAAATATTGTATATAATACCTCAATTTTGAAAGAAGAATAGAGGAACTGCTGTTAATTTGTATGCGTTGTGAGCCTTCCCTTTGTTGGAAAGAGAAAAGGGGGAGAGGGGCAGGGAATGGAGCCACTTTAGATGATTGTTCAAAACAGGGAAGGTGAAGGCATTGTAATTGGGAACCGGCAATGTTTACTGTTAAGCTTAGCAACATTTTGGGCGCTAAACTGCGTAACGAGATTTCCCTTGTAAATTATTCTTGTGTTATGAATTCAGTTTTGCTGCCTTTTGAATGATATTGGGCTGCACCTAGTTTTGGATCCAGTATAAAACATTTGTTTGTTCTGCAACTTGTTACTAATCCGTACAGAAACTGTTCACGTTTTATTTTTATTTATAAAAAAGCCAAGCAAAGCTTATGAAAATAGCGGGCCATTCTGAAATAATTCCTCAAAGATGTCATGAATTTGGATAATTTTCATTCAACTTATAATATGTGTACTTTTTTGAAATTATTATGGTTCCTAACTCAATTTCATGACTTTTCTCATTGTAAGTAAACATCTCATTAAAAGACTTTCATCTATTCCCGATCAATAACACTATGACCCCGTTTGGTTCACGGAATGAATTTAAGAGGAAATCACTTCCCATGTCATTTCCCAAGGAATGGGAATGAAAGATTCATTTCCTATGTTTGGTAATGTCGAGAAAGTAACCGGGAGATTTCACTTTGTTTCCTTTCCCATGTTTGTTTTGAGTAGGAATGGAAAACAAAGTTTGTATAATTTTCCAATTATACCCATATTAAATCAAATAAAACAAGAAAGCATTTAATGATACGTTGTAATTCTAAATTATTTATAAGAACAAAATAGTCATGAAAATTGTGCATTGAATGTTGGCTCATTTTCCCAAACTTTCTCATGAGAAGAGAAAACAAAACCCAAGTTAAGAGGAGGGCTTCACTTTCCCTCATACTTTCCCATGTGCTTGGTAACCATTTCCCATGCTTGAACTTACCAAACATGGGAAAACAATTGAATTCCCATTCCCAAGGCTCCTTTCCCATGAACCAAACGGGATCTATGATAAATGTGATAACACTTCCACGTGATAGAGCCTTATTGGCCCGACCATTGAAACTAAGTTTTTCTCCTTATACTGCCTCATATAAAAAATTCAACTCATATTTATCTCTGAGAAATTTTCTGCACACATTTAGCAAAGAGTGGACTTAATTAAATTCCTAAAGTTGCACTATTAAAATTTTTTAAACTTCATTAAAGTCTACAAAACACTTTTCAATTTCTTTTCCGGATTGCAAGAGGTAGAGCCCATTTTAAATATTACGCTGGGCCTTGGTTTCCTTAGTCAGAGCCCGTTTTAAATATCCAAATGGCCTATTCTAGTTCCCTCCTCTTGTTCCCGCCAAAGAACCTGAAAATGGGAAAATAAATCCAGAGAGTGAGTAATGAAATAAAAAGCAAAGTAGCAGTGGTTGGTTGCAGAAACCAAATCAGAAGAAAATGGACAAGGCACCAGCAACCGGATGCTACAAGTGCGGCCGACCAGGCCACTGGTCACGTGACTGCCCTTCCTCCGCCGCTACCCCAAATTCCAATTCTAACCTCGATCCTAATCCCAATCCCAATCCCAATCCTAACCCTAACTCTAACCCTAAGCCTACCAATCCCAATCCCAATTCCTCTTCTTATTCTTTCAAGAGCGGTACTGGTGTAGGAGGAAGCGGTGCTTCGAAGGCGAAAAAGGTGTCAGTTCCGAAGACTCGGCCGAAGCTGACCCCGCAGCTGCTTCTCTCAGATGATGGCCTCGGCTACGTCCTCCGCCACTTCCCTCGCGCTTTCAAGTACCGTGGCCGCGGAAACGAGGTCTCATATTCAATTATACTCTTGTTTCTTTTCTTTTGTGGAAGAAAATTCATCATGTGATGCTAAAAAGATTTTTGCAATTTTTGCAGGTTAGAGATTTGGGGAACCTAATTGGGCTGTACACCGAATGGCACTCACGTTTGCTCCCATATTACTCATTTGATCAGTTTGTTCATAAGGTCGAACAAGTTGCTTCCACTAGACAAGTAAAGGTACTGATCTCTCTCTCTTTCTCTCTATATCTTTCTTTTTCTTTTAAAATAATAATAATAAAAGTAAATAAATTCCTTTGGAGTTTGGACTCTGCTTTAATCTTTTACTCTTTGTGTGCAAAATTTTCTATTAAATGTTTCATTTTTTTTATATTAGATGTCTCTTAGAGAATTGAGAGAAAGAGTTGCAAGTGGAGGAGACCCGACAAAGTTGCGTGAACCACCAGTCGAACAAGGCAATCCAAATGATCAACAGGGTATTATGCTCTGTCATTTTCTCATTTTTGTATAATAGCTCTAATTCAACAGTGTATTAGGGTACAGCTTCAACAATGTCTTGAGTGCATATTGCCTGAGTTGTTTGGTATTAATTGGAAAATGCAATTACTCTACTATTGTAACAAAAGACCTGTCAAGAAAATTGAAAAAAGAAAAACACATTCTCTGCAAAAGCTTATTGGAGTAACTGACTGATGAGAAAAGTAGCTCAATAGTCATTAATGACTATGGTAATGGAATCCTTAGAGGTTGAGGTTATAACCCAATTAAGAAATTTTTCGTAGAGAGTACTTTTACCATGATGTTAGTATGCTACGATAATGGATTGGCTGCTGAGTGGAGCACGAATAATGCTGAGAGAGGAACATCATTGCACCAGAGATTAGTTGTTCTGAATCCACATGAAAGATGTCAGGGAGAATGATATTGATAAGTGGAAATCTACTGCCATTATTTCTATGTTACTTCGTTTTTAAATAATAATAATTAAGTAGGAAGGTCTTCTTTTCTGTACGAAATAATTTAATTAGAAGTTTTTGGGTCGTTCTTCAGTATTTGTAATAATATTTTTGTTTGATCAATGATATTTGAACTATTCGCTTTGGAAACAACTGCTATTTTCTATGTTCCCCTGTTGAATTCTGATCCTATTAATTTTCTGCAGAAACCTTGAACCCTGAGGGACCAAGCCATCAGCCGGGAGGTTCGTCTTCAGGGAACCATGATGCTGATGATATGCAGGAAGATATGCTTCACGAAATTTACGAGAAAGCCACTGAAGTATGTGCTGCTATTTTGTTCAATTTAGTTTATTCAAGTTTCTGTGGGTTCATATATAAGCTTGGTTTGTTATGAAGTATTTGCTTGTCTTGAGTGTTTACTACTGAAGATAACCATCACAGGATTCTTTTGAAGAAATATGAAAGGCATTTCACTAGAAAATATTGATAGAAAACCTTGTAAAGTTGACGTTTCACTGAACAATGCTGCTGCGTTTGTTGTCCCTAGTACCTGTGTGCAAAAGTTTGATGGTCCCCCTTTGCTTTGCTAATTGTAGGAACCTTCTGAGAATTTGCATTGTGATATGGTTGCTGCTAGTATATCTGCACCTGGTAGTTTTCAGAAAGAATTAACCAATCAAGTTCCAAATAATGAAGCTAGTGAATCCAAGGAAAATCAGATGACAGATGAACAGAGAGCACGAATGGAAGCTAGCAGATTGAAGGCCCTTGAGAAAGCTGCAGCAAGGCGCCGCCAATTGCAAGTGGCTTGAGTTTCTGTTTTTCTTCTGTCCTGTTCTAAATTCTGTTTCATTGTGTTGAGCTATGGATGGCAATTGAACTCATGGAGAATAGGCATCAAGGCAGAAGTTTGTGTCTTGATATTCTTTGTACGACAAAGTTTTTCTTCATATTTTTGTTTTGTTATGTTTTGTCTGGGGCCTCTCTTTCTTGTAATGTTTGGTCTAGACTGGCCCAGTCTGTGTGGGTCAAGGATGTTGGGCTTCCGTGGACGAGTGTATGTATTGAAATCAAAGTCATATAAGTAAGTAGGGTATAATAATAATATTAGCATTGTTTATTTGTTTCGATTAGTCTTAATCTAGTAGTCTCTCTCAAACTAAAACCAAATATTCGTATCAAATCATCCCAAAAAGCAGCAGCAGTACATAGAGGAAGCTTTGTCTGATTATTTCTGGTCCTAAATCTCCGGTAACATAGGCGGGTGAGTCGTCAGACGAAGACCACCGGCAACCACCGTGGTCTAATCCAATCAACGCCAGCTGGCATGAGCTGTTGGCAAGATACACTTATCCTAAGCATAACGTGATGAGCAGCTCAACCTAACCCTTTTTCTTTTTAACTTTTTTTTCTTGTATTTTTTTTGGTTTGGTTGGGCCGGAATATAACGTGAGCTCGATTGAATTACTTGGTGCAGCTTTCTGCCACGTGTACAATAATAATGTTGTATGCATGAAGGAGAAGAGTTATGAGAGAGAAAGGTGTCAGGTAGGACAATAACTTCAAACCCCTGTAGCCTGTCTGGGCTTGTGGGTGTGAGAGGGAAGGGGGGAAAAAGACCCATTGAATTTAATTCGATAAATAGTTAATAGTGTCTTGTTTTGCCTTCAATTCTTTCACCCTCTTCCCGATTTAAAAGACAGAGACGGACACTTACCGACCCAAAAAAAAAGAAAAAAAGACAGAGACAGACACTGAGACACCTCCTCAAGCCCTGGCTTGGCTCGGTCAATATAGTCATCTCCCTCTTCCTCTTGGCATTATTATTATTATCAGACTATATGCATGCAGAGTGAGAGTACATAGATGAATTATTATCAGTTAATGATATATTCTTTCATGTATGCAGCTAGCTGCTAGCTGCTAGATTCGTTATTCTTCTCTAATTTGTGTGATTGAAAGAGATCTGGGAAAATCTCTCAGATCTCTGCAGGCATGTGTCATTCTTCTGGTATGTGATTTCCTTCAAGTTTCAGCAATCCGGGTGGACTCGCTCACTCAACTCTGCTCAACAGAAACAAACAAACAGGGCTCCGAGAAGTACTTGGGGAAAGGGAAAAGGGGGGTTTGGGTTGGTGGGTGAGTAAGTTTTGGATCCCATTCCTTCTGAGGTTTCAAGACTGTTAAAAAGTTAGAGCTTTGAGCAGCCCAAGACCAAGACCAAGCCAAGACAGAGGAAGACAGAAAAATAGAATCTTTATTTTATTGGTCTCAATAATGCCTGCCTACGCACTGCACTGCAGCTTAAGAATATACAAATCATGGAGAGGAGAAAAGAAAGTTTATTTCTCGTCTGCCTCAAGTTGTGTCTGGGTTTCCTTCACGTGAAGCTTACGCTGTAAAATCCCAATTGTAAATGTCCTCCTCCGTGAGTTTTTTCGCAAGCAACGATGCCAAATTGCCAAGCCCCGCTCTGTTTTGGTTTGGAGGAGCCGCCACTGAGCCAGTAAGAGTAAGAGTAGATGAGCAAAGTGATTTTTTGTTTGAAGCTGTCGAATGAATATGCATTTTGCAGTTGAGCTTAGTGATGGATCGAGTCAAAGAATGAAGATGCTATTGCTCTGAAAATGAATCAAATTGGCGAAATGGTAGTAGATCTTGGAGATTTGGGTTTTTTTTTGTCTGAAGGAGATTTGGTTTTAGAAAGCGATTTGGTAGAGTATCCAAATCAATATATAATAAGCTAAAGACGCAACAAGGAAAGTGTGAAGTGGTGGCTCAAAAAGGGCAACCACCTTTTTTGTTTTCAAGATTGAATAGCTCCATTCCATATATATGCATTTCAGGTTCTCAAGTCTGAGTTGGGCTTTCTCCATCTGATGCCGCTCTTTTTGGCAGCAAATCCAAGTGCATTATTCATATGGTGATCTGAATAAACACAAACCAACTCAACCATCTATTCCACAGATTTTGAAAATGGAGCAACCCTATTGCTTGGTTTCACCTTCATCATCGTCATCGAGTTACTGCTCTCAGAAAGGTCCTATCTTTCCCTTCTTCCTCTTCTTGTCCTTGTTCTTCTTCTTGTCAGTGGGTTTGGCTCGAGCAGGGGATGCAGAAGCTCTGTTAAGCCTGAAATCAACAATCGATCCTCAGAACTCGTTGCCATGGCGGCAAGGAAGCAATGTGTGCGAGTGGAAAGGCGTGAAGGACTGCATGAAAGGAAGGGTGACAAAGCTGGTCTTGGAGTATTTAAACTTGACAGGGGTTCTGGACCACAAGATCTTGAACCGGCTGGACCAACTCCGAGTCCTGAGCTTCAAGGGCAACTCTCTTTCGGGCCAAATCCCAGACCTCTCGGGCCTCGTCAATCTCAAATCCATCTTCTTAAACGACAACAACTTCTCCGGCGTTTTCCCCGCTTCCATTGCGGACCTGCACCGCCTGAAAGTTGTGGTTCTCGCCGGAAATCAAATCTCCGGTCCAATCCCAATGTCTCTGCTGAAGCTCCGTCGTCTCTACGCTCTGTACTTGCAAGACAACCAGTTCACTGGTCCGATACCCCCGCTCAACCAAACCTCTCTCCGATTCTTCAACGTCTCTAATAACCAACTCTCCGGAGAAATTCCGATGACCCCACCTCTGATTCAGTTCAATGCTTCGTCGTTTTTGGGCAACATCAATGTCTGCGGCGTGCAGATTGACAAACAATGTGGGGGCACTGTTGGGTTTCCACCGTCGATGAGCCCAAGCGATCAACCAAGCCCAGCGTCAAAATCAAAGCGTGGCAAATTGATAAAGATAGTCGCAGGAAGCGTAGGTGGGCTCGTGGTGGTCGTAATCTGCTTGGTTCTGGTGTGGATGGTGTGCAGGTGGAGTCGCGGTCGTCGTCTTGGTCGTGGTGGGGAGGCCACCAGGAGCAAAGCCGGGGTAGCTGAGCTGGCAGCAGAGAGAGGATCAGGGGAGGGGCCCACAGGAGGACCAGGTGGTGGTGGTGGTGGCAGGGGAGGTAATAATGGTGGGAAACAAGGGGGGTTTTCTTGGGAAGGCGAAGGTCTAGGGAGTTTGGTGTTCTGCGGTCCAGGGGATCAGCAGATGAGTTACAGCCTAGAGGATTTGCTCAAGGCTTCTGCTGAGACACTGGGTAGGGGTACGATGGGCAGCACGTACAAGGCCGTGATGGAGTCGGGGTTTATCGTGACGGTCAAGAGGCTCAAGGATGCCAGGTTCCCAAGGCTTGATGAGTTTAGGAGACACATGGACTTGCTTGGTAAGCTCAGACACCCTCACTTGGTCCCACTCAGAGCCTATTTCCAGGCTAAGGAGGAACGCTTGCTCGTATACGATTATTTCCCCAATGGCAGCCTCTTTTCACTTATTCATGGTATGTCGGTCATCTACTACTCTACTTATTTGCCTGCTCATTTATTCCTTTATTTCTTCTTAATTGACTCGTTTAATTTATTTAATAATTGCTACGAGTTAAATTTCATGGTTGTCTTGTGTTGCTTGTACATTTGCACGTACAAAATAATTAATTATAGTTGAAGAAAGAAAGTAGAATGTGAGATTAACTTCTGGTTAACAACATAAAATTTGGTTATCACGTTTGATTACTTATTTAGGAGAACGACTATCATACAATAAAGATAACACTTTTTGCCATCTCCGGTCAATAATACAATTATGCATGTAATAACTTTATCACGTATCATTATGTTATTGGTTGGGAATAGCAAAACAGTGCTATACCTTTTACTAGTAAGTTTTTCTTCTTGTTTAGGTGTCTTAGTTGTCAAAAGATAGGATTATATCAGTATAATACATAGTTTCATTCATCCTTTTTCTTTTGTTTTGGTCAAGATCCATCTTTTTCTTTTCGATTCAGAAGCGTCACACAAACAAACTTTGTAACTAATCATTTTTAGTAAGCATTAAAAGGTCATGATCATTGATTTGTTGGTGGACCATGTTGGATTTGCCATCTTGATGTAGTGAAAATATGATGTTGACCGGTGGGGATGGGAGCAGTGAATTTTCTTTTCTTTTCCACCTGCATTGTAGGGCCCACCCGTGTAGGTTCCCGGAAACCATGTGTTTGGCCGTCCATATTCATGAGCCTAATAGTTTTGGTGCTTGCTTATATATATAAATAATTTTTGAATATCCATCCTTGAATTTGGGGTGGACCCACAAGTATGCAGTTAGCTTATTCTACACCGTTGAATGAAAATAGTAATAAACTAATCTACACTTGTACCTTGCTGGGGACCCGGGGGGGCCCCTATAAACTTATAGTCTCAATGGGCCTATTCCTCTCTTTAACAAACAAAGAAGTAAAGGAGAGAAGAAAGAAATGGAAAACTTGTCCTTGCAAACAAACAAGTTGTGTTGTAGTAGGATTGTGATTTACAAGGAACATGACATAACAAAAACATTTTTGGTGGTGGTGTTTGGGGTTGGCAAGCAAATATTCTGAAAAGTTGATATCATTTGGCATGTGTCATTGTCGTAGACTCGTAGCATATAGATGCATTCTGTATCTTTCTAAGTCAGTACATCGTTCTCCGAGAGATTTTAGGTAAATAACGACAAGATATCTCAGATGTGTTTCCTGCTGTTTAGTCTCTACTTTAGAGGGTAATTGATAACTGAGTTACATTAAAGATAACAAATCTCAATCTTTGAACAAACAACTCGTCTTTTAGGCTTTTACTTTTGCACGTTGTACAGTCCTGTACATTTGACCATAACCGAGTGCCTTGGCTTGTGGTTGGTTTTCATAGCTTCTTCAAAGTTCATGTCTTTCTCAGACTATATGCTCAAATGTGAAAATATATTCCATGGTGGCTTGAACTTAGATATACACTCTGCTCAGCTTTTTAAAATAGAATTTCTGTTATATAATTTTATGCTAAATGAGTCCCAAGGCTAGGTAAATTATGACTTTCCTCAACTTTATGTTTTGCATCTAGCCGTATTGGAAGCCTTAAAGGCTTACCTTTCATGCATGATTTATTGCATTGACGTACTTGAACTAATTTTACACAGGTTCAAGAACTTCAGGAGGTGGGAAGCCTCTTCACTGGACATCATGTCTTAAAATAGCTGAGGACTTAGCAAGTGGTGTGCTTTATATCCACCAGAACCCTGGCTTAACTCATGGAAACTTGAAATCCTCAAATGTCTTGTTAGGTTCTGATTTTGAATCCTGCTTGACGGATTATGGTCTCACTTTATTCCGAGATCCTGATTCGCTTGAAGAACCTAGTGCAACTACTCTGTTTTATAGAGCCCCTGAATGCCGTGACCTCCGAAAACCAACAACCCAACAAGCTGATGTATACAGCTTTGGTGTCCTCCTCTTGGAGCTCCTAACTGGGAAGACTCCCTTCCAAGACCTTGTTCAGGAACATGGTTCGGACATCCCTATATGGGTGCGTTCAGTGCGCGAAGAAGAGACGGAGTCAGGGGATGACCCTGCCTCGGGCAACGAGGCATCAGAGGAAAAACTTCAGGCACTTCTTAATATTGCAATGGCTTGTGTTTCAATTGCAGCAGAGAACCGACCTACAATGAGGGAGGTTCTAAGGATGATAAGAGATGCAAGGGCAGAGCCTCAAGTGTCTTCCAACAGCAGTGATCACTCACCAGGGAGATGGTCAGATACTGTTCAGAGCTTGCCGAGGGAAGAACACTTGAGCATTTGAGTGGTTGGTTGGTAATTGAATCTTAACTCAATTGGCGGCTTAAGTTATGCATTTTGATTGATTCTTTTGGGATTTGAACCGTGATTCTTGTTGTACTAGGCATTGTATGTAGAGTGCAACCACACTGGTGTAAAGGTTTTGTTTGTGATCATTTATTCTCTTCTCTCATGTATTGTTTCAGCTAAGTTTAATTGCACTTTTAATTACTTTTTATTAGCATGGTAATTGTATCACCTTACACAAGTTTTTGGCATGGAGCTTCAATTTCAATTTTCAATTTTCAATTAGTGATGGGTCAGCACAGGTTTCTTATTGGTGGCTGGTTTGCTAAAAAAAAATATAGAAAAAAGCTATTGGCTTGGCTCGTTGTTTGGTTTTTCTTTTCCATTTCTGGTCCTGTTGGTTGTTCGGAGTAGTGTTGCAGCAGAGTAGCTGTTAGGTGTGTCCCGTCCTGTGGATTTGCTTTAACATTTATAATTATGAAGAGAGAGAGAGAGAGCGAGAGAGCTTCATGTGTGGTAGTAGCAAAGCTGTAGCACTAGCGTACGCAATAGTCAGTGAGAGTGACAGTGTAGCACAAAATCGAAAGAGACATGTTAACAACGGAGGCAACAGGAAAAGGGAGCAAGGCCAGGCCGCGGGTATGGATTTTTGCATGTACGCCACCTGTGTGCAACTGCAACTGCAACGCATTATATTCGACTGCTGACATTTCAACCCTATCGCCGGTCTTCGTGCGTACCGATGCATCCATCCATCCATCTTTACGTGATAAAATAATGAACAGAATATGTACCTTTATTTTTGGGCTGAACAGAATATCCACGTGATAAAAGGGAGAGAAACATCTGAAATGGAAATAACATTATTTTATTATTTTCGAACATTTATGATATATTGTATGCAATAATTTTTTCATGTGACAATATATAATTAGTTAGAATAGCAAAACAGTGTCAGCAATTATATATTATACAAAATCAGTATGATATTATTATTGAATCAGCACAGTTGGATCGATAGGGTTGTTTTTTAAATAGATAAATAAAGAAGAGAAAATAATTAAACAATGTCCAATTGTCCATGAACGGTGAACCTAACCTAGTATATATATATATATCATATCATATCATATCGTATCCTTTTAAATATGCTAATAATATTATTTGTTATATTTATAAATATGTTGTGAGTCTGACTCGTGAGAGCGAGAGACAGTCAGAGAGAGAGAGAGAGAGAGAGAGCGATCTGCCGGTACAAATTCTACTTAATTTTCTCCGTTTCATTCAGGTGCTACGCTCAGTGAGGCAGCGAGGCAGTGATATCTTCTGACGGTAGAGACAGGAGTCGTCTCAAAGATAGAGAGAAAGCGAGCGCTTTCTGATCGGTGATCAATTTCTCTCTGTTTAAAGGTTGGAAGGAATATTAAGGAGGAGGGGCACTGGACGACGATCTCCTATCTCTGTTTGCTCTGCTTCATTTCTCTATCTGAGAATAATACTTGTCAATTTTTGGAATGGACGAGCGGCAGACGCCACACCCACAGGTACTCTTCATCTTCTTCTAATTTGCAGATTATTTTCATTCTTTGTCAATTTTCAGTCCAATTAGGTAACACCGATGCATAACAACAAGAAGAAATTAACAAAACAAAGGAATTTTAATGATGCCTTTTTTTTGTTTTATGTTCTCTCCGACTTTGCGATGATGGAGAAGTTGAACTTTGAGTCTGTGATTTTGTTTGGGAAGAAAAATAACAAACTTGAATCATTAGAAAACTTCCATTCATTCCGAATAACTACATTTCAGATATGGTCGTTTTCAAAGTTTCAAATGAGTAATCGACTTTCAAATCAGGCAAACAGTAATAGCGTGATATAACAGAAGCAAAAAAAAGAAGCATATTACGTCATGGATGGGCATGTAAGTAAATTGTTAATTTGAAATTCAATTAAAATTTAAAATGTGTTAGTTGGCTTTATTTAAACTGAATGCCCACCATCCGGCAACAATGCAAGGAATCTTCAGCGTAGGCAGGTACAATTACACTTACAGCTATAGAAAATGCCTGTTTCTGTTTGAGTCCAAATAAAAATAATATATATATATATAGGTGGATCATGGATGGATATCAATTATTGATGCTGTAAGTGTAAGGTTCCATTTCCACCCATGCTGCTAACAGACAAATTTCACTCATCTCACGGACTCAACAGTAGTTGATATTACTGTCTTAATTGCCACTATCTTCGTATGAATCAACAATTGTACATAACCAAACATATTCTGATCTTCTTTTTCGTCGTTCGCTACGGACTACAGTATCATACTATTTTATACGCTTAATTAGCTTGATATGAGCAAACAACTAAACAGGCATCATGTGATTAAGCTTAGCATGATCTAATAACAATATTTTTAAGCTTAAAGTAAGAGTATTTTTAGTATAGTGTTTGTTGCCTCGGTTATGTAACATCACATGGGACTATGGAGAGTGGTCCAAGAATTTGGGGCACTGTTCGTCACTTTACTGCTATAGTAAGAAATCTCTACCTTACTGCTTTACTTACTCATCTAATTTCATTTAGCTTTGTGTTAAGTCCTAAATCCAAATAATTAGTTTTTTGTCACCTTGTTTAATTTGGTTGACTTAGTTGTGACAAATTTATTTGGTATTGGCTACATGGGTGGGTGACATCTTCAAGAAAGAATATATAACATACTCCAATAATGTCACAACTTCTGGCAATGCTTTGCCTACTGCTTTAGGTTTGTCTGTCGTTTCTCAGGGTACTTCTTCTAGTCCTTGGAGCCCTAATGCTAACTGCTGTCAGTCAACAACAATAGAAATTAAGATTAAGAAATTGTAGTCTGCCTAAATAAATGCTAAACATGGTTTTATTCATCAAAAAAGAAACATAAGCTAGTGTAATGCTGTACTCAACTGTTATTTGGATGAGTTTTTCATACTGTTTTAGAAGACTTTTACTTTTATTTTTGTCAATGTTTGTAGAAGACTTTTATTTTCTCCGAACACTAGAATCTATGGTCCAGTAGCTTACAGATTAATAACTAACCATTTTACTTGTTTTTCTCATTCACATGTGCTAAGTAAGATGATGTGTTTTTTTTTCGGGTGTCTGTGTATTCACCAATATACTACTGATATTTTCTTCGTAATTTAACACAGACTGATACTAGTTCTTCAGATAGAACTCCCACTGTTGTGTTGGATATTGAGAGCCTTGCACAACCCTCAGATAGAAGCTCAGGAAGCCCCAAAATGACTGTAAGTAGTAGTCTCTTTGTTGTCAATTTTGACACCACTTCTCACATGAGATGCACTAATTTACTGGTTGATCTAGCGAGCTTCATCATGCTTTTCTTTAATTTACACTTTTTTTTCAACATTCCCTGTAGAGAGCACTCTCAAGAAAATGGTCTTATCGAGCAGAGAGATTCTTTAATACTGACGAGGAAGACACGGATGAACCCTCAAAGAAACTTCTAGTGAAAGGTATAATTTACAGTCATCTATCTATTTATGAAGTCTCAAAAGACAATTTGCAATCTGATTGCCGACAGAGGGGCTATATATCTTCACTTGTTGAAAAGTCATTGTCATATTTTATTCTAATAAGATTGGTGCCATGCCAACATTCAGAATTATTGATCATCTTGGCATATTGCAATTTAAACTTTATGTGTACATGGTCGCCTTGACAGTGAACTCTCAGTTGGAGCCCTTGAAGCAGTCATTGATCACCGCAAAAGCAATCTCGGCAGCCTCAAATGCTTTTACAGGCTCCAATCTTGTTGACACGGGGGATGGACGGAGCAAGAGGTTGAATCGCTTTATGGCAATCAACCCTCGGAAGATCCTTTTCATATTTGCAACACTGTAAGTCCCCCATTTCATTCTCTCGTAAACATGAAAGTTAGAGGTATTTAGTTTGGCGATACTATTTATTCAATGTCCATCAAGTCTCTCAACAAATATGATTGATGAGATCATTCTTTTCAAGCATCATTTTGGATGAATGTGAAATGATTGTTTTTATTATTATTTCTTCTTCTGCTAATTAATGTTTCAGTTTATTTGTATGTGATTGTCTGTGTTTGTTGGTTTCAGGTCCAGTATGGGCACATTAATCCTCATATACTTCACACTGGCCATTAATAGAACAGTTTGATAAACCATGGATGGAGCTGTGCTCTGCATATACTTATATGATCGCAGCATTCTCTCTCTCTCTCTCTCTCTCTCTCTCTCCTCTCTCTCTCTCTCTCTCTCTCTCTCTCTCTCCAGTTGGTCTCGGACTTTAATTTTCTGATGCTGCCTTAATTTGTTGGTAGCTGTGTGTGCTGGGGATAACTACTGCATATCCATGATCCATGCTGCAATTTTTATCTAACGGTTGGTCTGCCTCTGCGTGTCAGTTGAGGAGATCAAATATCAGTATATATGATTGTTGTTAAATGATCCAGCGTTTTCAGCTCACCAACTGCGGAACTTATGTGCATGGTCCAGAGCTGGCTAGGTTAATTTTGCTGTGATTCTTGTTTTCAACGCAAAAGGGTTCTATTCTATACATATAAAAAACCTGTCAATTCCCAGTCTCATTTATAAATTATAGGGCATCACCCAGGTGTTACCATTTAAAATAAAAAATAGAAAATCCTCCACAAGGTGAAGAAGTATGTAATTAATTAGGCATTTTGAATTAATTGGCACCTCTCTGATATAACTGTTGTACCATCGACATCTCGTTTTGTATGGATTCATCTAGATTCATGTTACAAGTCAGTCACCTTGAAAGTGAAAAGGAAAGAAAAATGCTTAATCGTAGTTCAAGGAAAATAGAGCGTTATTAGTGCATGTCAAAGCGTATCAAAGTAAGTTCTTATGTCAAAGTAAGTTCTTTTCGCTACCAAAGCCTAAGTTTGAGTTTTGCCACCGACAATTCCACTTGGTATATAATCTGTAAAAATCAGAAAATGAGCTAAGATCCCCTCTGTTAGTCCTCAAAGAGGTGTTGGTGTGTCCTGACCTAAAGAAAAAAAAATTGTGTATCGAAGTAACTGAAATGGGAAAATACTTGGTAACATCGCAATCTATGACTACTAAAATTACAAGCACTCCCCAAAGAATCAGTAGTCGTTTGACCAAAGAAAACAAGAATAAATAGCCGACGGTCCATCAAATTTGGAACTCAGCGCGGTGGAACTAAATGTTCTTTCTATGACTGACTACTAAAATTACAAGCCCTCCCAAATGAATCAGTAGTCGTTTGACCCAAAAAAAGAAGAATCAACAGCCGACGGTCCATCGTCCTGTGAAATTTAATGGGCCGGTCCCGCCTTTGTTTGTTAATAAGACAGGATTGTGTCTCGACTTTGTTCAGGCTCGATCCAAACCAGTTTCATACTTTTCAGGCGCCCTGAAAGGCAGGGAAAAATGCTTAATAATAGCTTCCATTTACATTAAAAAAAAAATTAAAAAAAATTATGAGGGTGGTGGTAAATAATGCCATTTATTCAAGGGTGTTGTTAAATTAACTTTAAAATTAACTGAGTACACCACCCTATGACACCTTAATATTGAAATCAAAATGTAAAATTAACTACGTACACCTTATTTAATTATCAAAAATATTTCTGGTACGCTCTAATACACAATCACACAACACTAAACCCTAATAAAACGTTTTATCATCCATGATCAATTTCAAAGGCTCTTATTTTAACGTTTCATAATTAAAGAAACTTTTTTGCTACAAGGGATATTCGGGGAGAATCAAACATAAAATCTCAATTTGAAAAGTAACGCCCTTTCGCGATTCCTCTTTGGTTCTTTGTAACTTTGGCAATGGCAGTATTTTTACCCCAGCAGAGGTCACCAGAAGTTTGGGGGGTTCCACTGGTTCCTTGGTTGCCATCCTCGTCAATTGCAACAAACATTTTTCTTATAGGATCTTCTGGTCATGAAGCTTTTGAAATATTTGGAATTGCACCGTGGTAATGCTTATTTACTATGTCTTCTTTGGTCTACATGCAACTTATGATATGGCCCATAACTTCATAAGCAGACAAGCCAGAATCCCTGAGAAAGTCGATGACAGCAACATCAGAGAGAAGGCAGAGCCTTGAAATCACAGTACCGTCTGAAAGTTCTTTGTAGGAAAGCTTCTTTAGTTTCATTTTATATTTTGAAGCAACTAGTTTTTAGAACAAATTATTCTTAATGATTATGAAACAATAAACAAAACTATACTACTTGCAACAGTGTGCTTATTAAAAACTAAATGAACATCAGATATCAAAGTAATCTTTGTTTTTCGATACGATAATAGAATGCAAGCTCACCATATGAAAAATCAAAACAAATGCATTAATATGTGTACAAAAGTTCAAATTCAAATATAGATTGGACTACGAACTCACTAATTTTTTCGCTTATGTTTGATTATGATTGTAGTGAGTAGGGTGTACTTATTAAAATTACATTTGTTTTATAATTCAAAATATCTTTTTTGGTCATTTTATATAAGGGTAAAGTAGTAATTTAATAAATAATTTGATAGTAAGGTGTACTCAGTTAATTTTAGGGTTTGTTTAACAACACCCTTATTTAACTATTTGCATTCAAATAGTTGAGTTATTATAGGATTAAAAAAATAGATGAATTTTTCCAAACTATTTGCTTTTTACAACTGTGATTAATTAAAGTTGGGTTTAGAGAAAAAGTTGTGATGATTAAGTGGGCTGGATTTGTGAGTTCAAAAGATTAAAGAAAATGATCTAGTATAACATTAAAAGGATTAGGGTCGAACTTCACTATACAAATGAATTTTTAAAAATATTTAAATAAATTTTTTTATTAAAAGTGTTGTTGGTATTGATTCCCTCATAATCAGAAAATAAAAGTACCTCTTTAGCTGTTTTCCCTTATAGCTTTCTCTTATAGCAATTTTTAACAATATGTGATTTTCTCATAGTTTACCAAACGGATTGGGCTTCTCAAAATTTTTAAAAAATCATTTATCACTCCAAATAAGAAATACCAAACAGGCATTTGCTCTCCCTTTTATATTATGGCAAAAAGTATTCAAAAAATAAAAAATAGAAGTAAACAAAAGAGAAATGAAAAAATCATCACCCCAAAATAAAAAGTTGATGAATAAAAAATAAAGTGTGGAGAAAGGAAAGGTGGAGAGTCCACAATAATTGGCATCAAATGCTTATGGGGATTCGCACTGTTGCTGAATTCCAAGATCTGCAACTAGAAATTAAATTATTCAACTTTAGGAATAAAAAAAGAAAAAAAGAAAACTAAAATAAAAGCCCTCAACTTTTTGTTGCCCCCATTCTTAGCTTCCCCATTGGCTGAGCTCCAAGCCCTCCGAGCTATCTCTTTTGTCTTTCTTTGGAGAAAAGAGAAAACAAACAAAGAGCACCACTCTCCCATAACCAAATAACCCAAAAGCTTTTCAACAAAACAGAAAAGAAAATGAAAAACAATAATAATAATAAAGAGAAAGTAGCAGTGAGAGAGTAATAGAGTTGAGCCAGCCATCACTACTACTACTACCCAGAAAAAAAAACAAAAACAAAAAGAAAGCAAAGAGGGCCAATTAGGGCTCCGTCGGAAAGTTGAACCCAAAAAGGTAACGCCCTCTAAGCTTTTCTCTCTCTTACCACCACACGTACCCACTTGGTGCTCTCAGTGCTTTCCATTATCCGCCATTTGGAGCTAGAGGAAGCCAATGGTTTAAAAAAATTTCTGGGTTTTGGTTAGTACTGGGTCGGAGTCGTACTCTGCTTCTTCTTGTGTTGCTCGAGCTTTCAAGATTGTGAGTTTCAGGGGTTTTGCTTTTTGTGCCTTTGTTCAAGTTTTGGGGATTTGGTTATTGCTTTTGAAATTGCTTTTTCTGCTGAATTTGAAGCTTTTTGTCACCAGTTATCAGTTATGGCGGTTTGGTGTGGTATAATTGAGCTAGCTGTAATCGTCGTTGGGCCATGGAATCTAGGGTTTTGATGACCTAAGGTTCTTTTAATAATTGAACAACCCCAAAGCAGTGATTTTGTGGGATCAAGAAAGAAAGCGTTGGCTATACGCGATGTGGAATTTCAATTCGTTCAGAAAAAATTTGCGTTGATTTGAATTGCTTAGTTGATTGTATGCTGTCCTTTGTTAGAGAGATTGGGATTTAATTGTGGAAAAATAGAAGGAAATGGCGATGGAGTCGAACACGGGGTTTCACCACGACGAAACTTTCGGGTACGGTTTGAACCGACACGCGATATCATTCCAGTCTGGGGCCATAAACAGCACCTCGGATATGATTCCGATGGGGAATTACTTTGGGACGGATGGGGGCATGATGTTCTCTGCGAATTCGGGTATCATTAACAACAACCCTGTAATTAGTCAATCTGGGAATTCATCAGGTTCTCTTCTTCTCGATTCGGTGCCCGGGCTCAAGCATGACACAGGCTTGGCCGTTGAGTGGTCTGTGGAGGAACAATACAAATTGGAGGAGGGCCTTGTCAAGTAGGTCATTCAGAATCTTATCTTTTATTAAATTTAATTTTGTCATGTATGTATGTGTTTAAGTGCCCCAATTATGTATAATTTCCTGTTACTTGGATGTTCATGCTGTTTTTGTCCTCTCCCTGTTGCTAAACTACTTTTAGTTATGATCCGCCGGAAGTTGTGACAAACTTTCCGGCGCAAATAGGTTTTGTTGTTGATGGAGTCTCCTATTGTCTGCACTCTGTGTAACAAACTGCAGATTCTGTGGGCATCCTCATATTGGCATAATATATATATGTTTTCTTTGTCTTAAACCATAACTTTATGGCCTCTCATCGTGCTCATAATGTTCTGGGGTCTTTCACTCTTTGCCATTATTATCAGTGTTTCTCATTCCTGCAACATAGAACTTGCAATGCTATTGTTATGCTCTAATAGCCCAGTCTGTTTCACATGTCTGTTTGTTATGTTCATAATTTCCTTTGTGATGTGGATTGAATTTCTTTCACTTCACTTTATGTTGCATAGTTGGTATCTTACTATGGTGAGTTTCATCTAGGTTTTGTTTTAAAGTTTAATATTTCTGTGCCATCTTTAAAAAAAATTGTAGATATGCCGAGGAACCAAGTATTATGAGGTACATAAAGATTGCGGCAACATTGCGTGATAAAACTGTGCGTGATGTTGCTTTGAGGTGTAGATGGATGACGGTAAGCTCTTTACTCTTCCTAATGCAGTTTGTTCGTTACTTTGGAGATTTGTGTTATCTGTTTACTTAAGATTTTTTGATTGAGTTAGAACTACTTTTGGAAATCTTTTTGCAGAGAAAGCGTAGGAAACCTGAAGAACATATTATGGGAAAGAAGGGGAACATTAGGAAGGTATGTTGGTGAAATTTAGATAACCTTCTAACATTGGTTATTGGTTCAATTGTTTTAATTTTTATATTGTGAAGTGTCATTCAATTCATGGCTCTGAGATTGAACATTACTGTATGTATCATCATTGGTGAACCTTGAAAAAAAGAATCCTATTTTGCATGAATAACTTTTTATGTAATGTTGGCTTGAGTTGTGCTCCAACTCCGTTACGTAAGCTATAACACCAGAAGTGGGATTTTGGTTTTAATTGAACCAATTAATGTCTTTAGGATCTAATGTTGATTGAAGAACCCGTATTCTAAAGATCATGCTTCTTCAGGATAAACTGATGGAGTCTTCCTCAAAGACAAACATACTGTCAGCTCCACCACTAGACATGGCTGCATATTCTCTTATGGTGCACCATATGGACCATAATGAGCGTTTGCATTGTGAAGGTTAGAGAAACTTCCTTGTTCCTGTTTATTATTAGTTTTCATCTAAGTTACTTAGTTCCTGTTTATTTATAAATTTCTTTTGATAGTTTCATTGATGTAATTGTTCTTTGGGTACTCTCAGGAATAAATGGCACAGCCAAGCATCTGTTGGAGCAAAATGCTCAAGCTTTTAGTCAAATCACATCTAATCTTTCTACATACAAGGTCAATGCATAATCCGTGGTTCTTCATGTTGAATATTATACATCGAATTTTCATGCCATAGTCCAGGGAAAAGGAGATGCATGTACCTTTTATTTTTTTATGTGTACTTCATATTATAACAGCATATATTGCTTTATACTCTTCTTCTGGAATTTCACTTTGCCCGTTGATCAGCATATATAATGAAATAATTGACTTCATCTAGTTACATATTTATTTTAAGCTGACCTTTGTTTTGGTCGTTTTTGGACTATCCATTCAATCGATGGAATTTGGTTATGTTAAACTAATGCCTATTTGGTGATTCAACTATGATGATTCTTCAAGGGAATGTCCTTGTATGCCTAAGTATCTGAATCTTAAGATTGTAATGTCAGCTCTCTTCTTTTAGTATGACTTTTTTACCTTCTCACCAGTTCATCAGAATTGAAGAAATAGCTTATATTTGCCCCATCTTGTGTATTATCATTAACCCACAGCACTGGTACCCCAAATTTTTCTTCTCTCATTTTAAAATGCGCTGGCATAAATTTTCTCTGCATTTCAGATGACCATATATTTTCATTAACATAAGAAGCATGTGCTTTTCTGTCTTGCTTAGAGGTTTGCTTCGTTCATAAACAGTTACAGGAAAACATTGACCTCTTCTGCCGCACGAGGAACAATATAACTTCAATCCTAAATGAGTATGTACATATCTTCAATCTATATTACAAATAATGCCAATTTGTGAGACACTTGACAATGCTGTTTCATTTTTTTTTTTTGGCAGCATGAGAGGTATGCCTGGCATAATGAGCCGAATGCCACCATTGCCTGTATCCATTAATGAGGAGCTTGCTAATAGTATCTTGCGTAATACAACTTAGGTAAGTTCATGTGAAATGACATAAAGTGAACTCATATATGTCTTACTTTTCCTGACACGGGCACTTGTGAAGGAGGGATGATTGTCTACCCTTTATTTATTCCTGTCATATAAACAGTTAATTCTAGATCATTTCAGCCTGTAATCTAATATGCTATATATGCAAGCAGAGTTGAATATGCTGAATATGAATGAATATGCCTGAACTATTTTCGGATATAGAGTTGATATTTATTTATTTTTATTACCAAATGCAAGCAGACAAATCAAGGTCCTGAATCCTGATGGACTGCCTCATTGTCTGAGCGCAAAGTGTACAAGTTGGGAAGCAGAGTTGCAAATATCTGACAAGGCCTACGCAGAGCCTCCTCAATTCAAATCATGGTCTCAATATGTCATTTGATCGTGTAGTGCTCCATCCCCTGGCTGCATGTGTCGTGTCTAAATACATATTATGTACCCTTACTCTCATTTGTGCAGAAAATAAGTGATATATAAATATAGTTGGAGCTGCAGGCACTTTTTCTTCCTTTTTCTTTTTTCTTCTCTTGTAAATTTCAATTTATAATTGCTAATTCCACCACTTCGCTTATGTTGGGTACCGTGGTTTGATTTGTTGGTTTGCCCATTTTTCCGTCCACCTTAATGAAACGCTTCAAAATTCAATTCTATGGGGAAGAAAGGGTAGTGATTTTCTAATTCGATCGGCTCTCTCTCTCTCAATTTATGTATTGTCTAGCTCCATCTTTGAATGTTTATCGAATGCATGGTCATCCAAGCTTCCTCTTTTCCCATCTCCCAGTCACCAGTCACTCACAACCCGACACAAACATGTCCTGTATATATAGATAGTGTAACAAAAACAACCACAAACAAAAAACATGAAAATAAACAAAAAAAAACAGATAAAAATTGTTGTACTGTACTACTGGACAAATTTAAGGTCGAGGCTGCATTGACGACGTGTCGTGTTTAAGGCGCAAGAGCGATCACCTCCTGTAAGACGACAGCAGCCTGATTGTATCGATCTTGGGTTAAAGGAACGCTACGAATTTTCATTGCATGATCCAACTGCCAAAAGAAACAAAACAAAATGGGTTTGTTATTTCAAGGTGAATAAAACACCAGAAGGAAGTGAAATGATGCAGCTACAAACAGAAGTAAATGGTTGGTTAATCACCTCTTCAATGGAGCAAAACAATTTGTTGGCAAGTTCTGTGAGGGCCCTCTTCTGATCCCTTGGTGCACAAGAGATCATCTGATTAAGATCACAATACAAGAATGTGGATTTCAGGCGCAGATCCCTTCCCAACAAGTCCCACGACGACTGACCGTCGTTCATCAGATCGCTCCCAATCGACAGCAACTCGAAGGCACACTTCTTAATCCTACAAGCACTTCCCTTCAATTGAACATCCACCATTTTACCATGTCCTACACTACACACATAGCACATGAACCATTTTTCTTAGTCATAGCCTCATAGGGACGAGAAGGACAATGTTTCCCTCATGTCACAAGAAAAGCATATACATCTCAAAATTCCAATTAAAAAGTTGAAGCCTTTATGCTTAAGAAAAAAACAAACTGAGACGACTGTGACAACAAGATATCTTCTTGTATTAAAGCAAAAGCACTTTTGATCAAAGCACAAAACTTTCCGGACAAAAAGATTCTTTTACTACATACAATGCTAAGAATAACATATTCAAACAATAAAATTTCTAATTCCTTTTAATTGCATCCACATGTTTACTTCGAACGATGCCAAAAGAATATGGCAAGGATTGTTTAAGAACCGAATGAAGTGGTGTTGATGTGAGAGAAAGAGAGGGACGGACTTGAGCTAACCCAGCAAGCAGCTGCTGGAAATTCATTACTATCTCGTAATTTGATTGAACCCAGAAGCTTTCATTGAATTCCAACGATGCAATGGAGAATTTTCGAAGGGACTTTTTATCCCTCTTCTCTTTCTGAGGAAAAAAAACTGTTGGAAATATGCATATGTAAATCCACCCCTCAACCCAAGAAGGAGCACATAATCAACATGTTGTTCATCCTATATCAAAGAGATTGAGGCACAAAACAAAACCCAGAGAAAATAATAAATTTAAACATACCAAATTCGAAGCAGTAGAGAATAATAAGAAACCAAAAACAAACAGGGAAGAGAGAGGAACAACGAGAGAGATGAGTCCGTCAGAGTTACCTGGACGGTCTTCTTCAAAACAAGGATGTGTCATATGTCTCTAGTCTGTACTAGTTCAAAGCAAAGAAATTACAACTTCATTTTGTCTTCCTAAAAATAATATAAATATATTTAAGAAGTTAAAGGTGGGGACTGCGGTGGTGCGAGAAATATCTTAAAAAGAAAAACAAAAAGAAAATGGGAATATCTTAACTAGAGTTGGATTAAAAAGTAAAACGTAAAATATACCCAGAGAAAATGATAATGATACTGAAATCAATGGTGAATAACCAAACACAAATGGGGTAACGCGAAAAGCTCTCTTGCTCCAATGCCTCGCCGATTTTCTCTCTTGGATTCGCTCTGCTGCACTCACTCTTTGTCTTATCAATTCCAAACCAATTTACACAAATTACAAGAGTTGTAGCTCAAGTCGTTAAAATTATCTTATTTTTATGTATCTGAAGTTGTGGATGTAATTTTCGCTTTCCAATATATATGTATTACTTCTTGTGAAATATACATAAAAAAATGTTTCGTAAATTTTGTTGAAATCAATACCATTAAGATTAACTTCCAACTCTACTACTGGTTTAGCGGCTTAAAAAATTAACAGAAAAATATAAATAAATAAAAGTGGACTTATAAGAGCAAGGCCCAATTCTTATCGAAACCGAAGACACGCTGTCAAGCCGAGGCCTGAGACAATAAGCATTTAATAATTGGGCCCAATAATGCATCGTTTGGTTCCTTGTGGGCCTGTAAAGAGGCCATTTCTATCCCAGACCCCCAGTTGTTGTGAGACTCTATTGGCACTATTGAAGAAATTTGGGCCCTTGAACAAATATTGCGCCTTCAAATGAAGACTGCCCAATAATGTGAAGAGAAGCCCAGAAGTAGGCCCAATAGTCTGCTACTTCTAAACGAGCCCAAAAGTTGGCCCAATAACTTTTAAACCAGACCATAGGTCACCTAAAATGCTGAAACCAAGCCCCGATTTAGGTCCCAAAATCCATAACTTGGCCCATTAAAGTCAAAAAGGGCCCAAAAGTCAGCCCAATAAGTTGAAAAGGCCCAAAGTCAGCCTAGTAAGGTGACATGCCCAATAGTCGGCCCGATAACGTGAAAACCGACCCAAATGTTGGCCCAATAATGTGAAAAGGGGCCCAAATGTCGGCCCAATAATGTGAAAACATACCCAAATATCGGCCCAATAACGTGAAAGCAAGCCCCGAAGTGGGCCTAATAAGTTGATTACAGGGCCGACTGTCACCCCAATAACGTGAAAACATGCCCAAGTTTTGGCCAATAACGTGAAAACCTAAATTTTAGTCCAATAAGGTGAACATAGGCCCAAGAGGGTCAATAGATGGCCCACAAACGAAATCGCCCCAGTTAACTCAAACGGGCCAAAATTTTGGGCCTAATAACGTGCAAAAAGGCCTGAACCCGGCCCAATAATGGGAAAGCTGGGCCAGAAGTCGGTGCGCGAAGGTTAGGCCTACATAAACAATATTGGTGTTGCTCCTTAACAAATATGACCGGCGCAATAGGACTAACCTACGAGGACACGTGATCTACCAATTACGGATGAAATATGTCATTGCGTAGTCATCATCAAATTTGTAGTTAAAAAGGCATTATATTATTAGTAGTAATGTTACATTGTTTGGGAATCAAAAAATCAGTTGACTCTTAATTTAGTGGTATGGTATCTCTACTCACGATATTGAAAGCATTCTCAACTTCATATATCTTTCTTTTTCGCACGTTGATTTTAAAAAATTAAAAAATAAAAAAAATCAAGGAAGCCAATAGCTGCTCTTTTTCTTTTCTTTTCTTTTTTTTTGAAAAAAAGGAAGCCAAATAGACCCAATTATTATTTGGGTGGGCTCGGACAAGTAAAATTGTTAGCAGAAAAACCAGACAACTCTTTTTCTTTTTCTTTTTTTCATAAGAAGAAAAGCCCTTAATCACATTAACTTCCAAATCAAAGTGACATCAAATGCCTCTTCGTATTCACCAAATTCCACAAATACATATATTTTCTTCTTCAAATTTCCACTGTCGCCTTTTGCAATCAACTGCTCAGGAACTCCCGGACAAATAACTTTCCGTGTTGAGAAAGTAATGTTTTTTTTTTTGGGTCCAAAATTAGAGAAGAAGATTAGCTTTTGTTTTTGTCCAAGTTCCATTAAGAAAGAAGATTGATGAATGTTTGTGTCTCTTTTGCCGTCACTAGCAACGAAATTCTCCATCCCAAAAGGCCAAAACGCGTTATTCCAAAAAGAAACTGTTTCCTGATGTTATTGTAAACGACATACGAATGCAACCAAACCAAAGCATAAGACACACACAGTTTCTTCCTGGGTTTTAGTCAAACATTTAATTAGTTAATAAACCCTAATTCTTCGAGCATCTGATACTCCGAAAGAAGTTAGCCGCCTGATTGGTCCCTTGCGTTATTTTAATTCAAGTATGAGTCAGTATGGTGGGCTGACACAAGTTACAATATGGTGACAGAGACATAATTGTTAGGAGGAGGAAGGACGATATGCCATGCCGCTGTGGCTTTTGGGCGGCAGTGGCACCAGCGCACCACATAGATTGATGAGTCATAATGTCGAATTTGGAGGGGAAAAAAGAGTCATCTGGGCGGCACCATGTCTCCGTGGACCAAAATTGCTTATGATTTTGGGGCCCTTGTTCACATGTGTTTTTATTGTATTTCCAAGCAAGCACATGCACATGCAGAGCACACCAGCAGTAAATCTCAGTCAAGTCTATTGGTCATGGTGGATAAAGATTCAAACAAGGGAGATGCTTAATTGGGCTGAATTTAAGGAGATTATGAGTTGATAGGCATCTAATTATTGACACTAAAAAGGGTATTAAGGATAAGTAAGATGTATTATAATTATTAATTATCAAACAGAAAACAGACTGGTTGGTTGGTGCAATGGTGTTGGTGTTGTTCCTCAAGTCACTCACATGCATTTGTCTTTTGCCCATATGGAACCTCTATATCATTGACATATTGTGGATTCAATTCTCAATTCTCAATTCTGCCTGCCTCTGCCTCTGCCTCTGCCTGCCTGCCCAAAAGATTATAACCATTCAATTCAAAGGGGCCTGAGCTGAGAGAATAGGAAACCAATGTTAAAACCTCTCCCATGCAGTGTGTATCTGTGATAGCCCAGCAGAAAATGAAGGAGGAAAAAAAATATTAAAAAAGGAGGTCAATCGTCTACCATGTTATGTCACATTGAAATAGCTAGCAGTTTCCCAGTTTCTAGTACAATGATAATTATTATTCCTTAGCTTGGTTCCTAAGGCCGAGGTTGTGTATAAATAAAAGTTAAAACGGCAATTTGAAGACAGACAGACAGAGAGAGACAGGTGAGGGTGAAAACGTTGTGGTTGAATGAAATGTGTTGTAAGTTGATAGACAAATAAAATGAATAGAAAAGGGAGATGAACATGATGATGATCACATTGAGAAGAAAACTGAAGAGGGGAGAGAGGGGAGAGAGGGGAGAGGTCCAAAACAAAACAAAAGTCAAATCACCAACTGGGGACAAGTTTGCCATATCAGAGGAAGGGGTCCTATGCATTGAATCAAAACTTTTCATATTGTCCAGAAAGTCAAAAAGGGGGAGTTAGGTTTGGATGCATTCTATTCATCATTTTCCCACTCCTTTCTTATACCTTTTTTTTCCTCTGTTTTTCCAATTAATTATTTATTTTCAAGATTTAAGTAGCAAGTATTTGTGTCTAGTGTAGACTGAATGACTCAGTCTCCCTCAGGCTCAAGCAATATCAGAGAGAGAGAGAGAGAGAGAGAGAAATAGTCTCCTTCTGACAATTGTCACAACTTGAGAGCTCCCCCTCTTGACCCTCCTACTCTTCACATTTTGTACTCTTCTTCTTGTGCTCTTTATCCTCCTGCTCCTGCTCCTGCTCCTGCCTTGTATAAGTAACCGACGCAACCTTGGACTCTCTTTGTTCCATATATAAATATACATATATATATATATATATATTTTCAGCCTGTTCACTTCCAAAGGACGACGAAGACAATGATAGAATCAAACCCACCTCTCCTACACCATTATGGAACACTTGTGCGCAATCCATCCAATCTTGTTCAAGTTGATCAGCAACGCCACATTGGAGGGCTGGTCCAAGCTGAAGAATGCCAGCTTCCATTGATAGACCTTCATGGTTTGAAAAGCCCTGACACAAGGGAGAGCCTAGAATGCGCTCGAGCCATCTGCAGAGCGTCGTCGGAGTGGGGGTTCTTCCAAGTGCTGAACCACGGCATCAGCCCTGAGCTGCTGCAGAGTATGAGGAGAGAGCAGCTCAAGCTGTTTGCTGCACCGTTTGAGAGAAAGGCTACTTGTGGGCTTCTCAACAATTCATACAGGTGGGGGACTCCAACCGCAACGCGGCCAACTCAATACTCTTGGTCCGAAGCTTTTCACATTCCTGTCACCAAAATCTCAGAAGAAGCTTGCTATGGGGACGACTTTGGTTCTCTCAGGTACGTTTTTTTGATGTTCTTGTTTAAGCAGTCTTTCTTTCTCCATCTTCTTCCCCCTCAACATTAAATCAAAGCTAATTAAGATTTAAAAGCATTGCCAATGCCATACAAGTAAATTAATTAATCTGATAATCAACAAATCCATCCTCAAAGTAAAAGTAGAATTGACTTGGCCTATCAATTTGAATGTAAGTCATGTACAGTTACTTAAAAAAGAAGAAAAGACAAGGCACATGCCACACATGCCACATGATTAATTCTATCTAGCTACCTGTGTAACGTTCTGGAACCCCCCAAAAAAGAAGATCAACCTCTACAACTTGTGTAGGGCATGTGGGGAAACTGGTCCCTCTAAAAGTAAGTGTAAATGCACAAGTTGCCTTGAAATACAAGACAGTAGGCAATGCAGCATGGCAGAGTATGGCTAATTATGGGGCTGCTTCTTTTGTTGCAACAGGGGAGTGATGGAGGAATTTGCAGCAGCCATGTCAAACCTGGCAAAGTTGCTTGCTGGGATTCTAGCGAACAATCTGGGACACCGAAAGGAATCGTTAGAAGACATTTGTGACTCGAGCACTTGCTTTCTTCGATTGAATCGCTACCCGGCTTGTCCGATATCCCCAGAGATGTTTGGCTTGGTGCCTCACACTGACAGTGATTTCCTCACAATTCTTTGCCAAGACCAAGTAGGAGGACTTCAGCTCATGAAAGATTCCAAATGGGTTGCTGTGAAACCCAATCCAGATGCACTTATCGTTAACATTGGAGATCTTTTTCAGGTAATTAATTAATTACAGTCTAATTATTAGAAAGCAAATGCAGTAAATATACCATGTGATGATATAATTAAGCACATGTTATACTTGATTAGTTTAATTATTAAATTTTAAATATAATTAAGCGTAGATTTAATTACTTAATATAATTGGGATTGTTTTGTTAATAAAGGCGTGGAGCAACGATGTGTACAAAAGTGTGGAGCACAAGGTGATGGCAAACGAGAAGATGGAACGCTACTCAATCGCCTACTTCATGTGCCCTTCCTATGATTCTTTAATTGGGAGTTGCAGCAGCACATCGCCAGAATCTTCTTCCGTCTATAGAAAGTTCACTTTTCGAGAATACAGGAACCAAATTCAACAGGATGTTCAGAAACTTGGCCACAAAGTTGGCCTCTCAAGATTTCTTCTTCAATGAGCTTCCTTTGCCTTTACCTTTACCTTGCTTTCCTCCTAAACCAAATAGTCAATAGTCTACGGTCAACAGTCAACAGTCAACACCTGCTGTCTTGTCTAGAAGAATCCCACCCCGCCCCACACATTTCTTAGTACTTCAACTGTAAAATTATATTTATACTACTCCCCATTTGTAATTTTCACTTAAACAAGTACGCAGGGGAAGGGAGGGATATCGTACCACAATACAATACTATCCTACATAGATTACACTTATGTTTCTGCTCCTCTTGGAGATTAATACATAAATAAATATAAATATTTTTTTTATTTTTCCTGTCTTTTTCTTTTTCACTTTCATACCAACAGCGAGTCATTAAAATAATCCGCAAAGTGGGCAATATGCTACGAATCTAGCAAACACTTTGGTACTTATACTAACATAGGATATGACTATGAGATAAAGTTGAAAGTTGAAAGATGAAATAAACAAAGATGCGATTTGAGAAGCAACAAAGACTTATCCAATCACACAAACTTAGAAAACACCAACGCAGCTAGTGGCTATTGCCATTGGGGAATAGATTTTCACACACATGAAAAAGAATGAAATGAAATAGTAACAACACGTAGGAGATAAGCCAATTATGGTGCCAGCCATGGAATCAAGATCAAATCACTACTTACTTTTTACACCAACCAGAATGACAGCCGTAAACATCTCGGATCTCGGTCAACACACGGAAAAGACACCACAAAACACAAATCACACAAGACATAATTAACAGGGTAACATGATAAGCCCTTGAAACAGAAAAAAGAAGAAGAAATTGTACTATCTTCATACGTCGGCGGTTGCAGATAATAAACCTTTTGAAAAGAAGCCATCTCCCATGTTGGCGGTTGCCGTCACATTGAATTTCTACAACCTCCAAGCTCAAACCTTAAGCATCATCAGATCACACCAAGGAAACTCTATACCTGCTGCTGATTAATATTTACCATTGCATAAAATACATAAGAGCCTGCTGCAGAACAAAATATTGATATTACTAAGGCCAAGTTAACGTCAAGTCTATTAGGTAAAAGAGAGAAAGGGAAAGTACAAACAATTATGAACGAAATAATTGGAGTAGTTTTATCTTCAAGATTAAAAGTGGGCAGCTCTTTAGAAAGGGGAATGCTAACAATCTTCTCCTTTGGACCTTCTCCCTTTTTTGCTTGACATGTGTCATTCTATTTACACTTAAAACAATGTCATTAATATATTATACAAGTTAACTTTTGCTTTTCAAGTTTACCCTTATTAAATGTATTCAATTTATCCAAAAAAAAATTTACAACTTTCTTACTATCTTATTATTTTTTTTAAACGTCAATTATTTTTTTAAAGAAAATATCTGCTTTTGTCCAAAAGGGAGGAAATGTCCCTTTTTTTTTAAACACAAAGGTCTTTTTTTTTTTTTTTTTGTTTTTTTTAAAATTTTTTCCTCTTAAAAGCACATATTTTCTTTTTTAAAAAAATTGATAGAAAAAAATTAATAAGATGGTAATAAAGCTGTGAAATTTTTTTAGATAAATTGAATACATTTAATAAGGGTAAACTTGGAAAGCAAAAGTTAGTTTGTATAATATATTAATGATATTGTTTTAAGTGTAAGGAGAATTACACATGTCAAATAAAAAATGGAGAAGGTCCAAAGGAAAAGGTTAGAGAGAAGGTTGCTAGCATTCCTTCTTTAGAAATGTCTGCCTAAGTTAAGTGTATCTTATTAATTCAAAGCATGTGTATGCAATACACTTTATCCAAGAATCCTAGAGTTTTGGTCACAAACCAAGGTCAATAGTGGCAAAGAAATACCTAGATGAGCAGCATCTGTGGCGAGATGAAGCGAAGAAGACTGATCGATGCATCTGATCACTCTTCAGTATTATGCATCATCTACAACTTCTTCTCACTTCGTTGTACTATTAACAGTTTAAGATACCTGATTCAGTCAAGAAACATTGCCACCTTGTCTTTGAGACTGCTCTTCTTCTTCATTATGGGGGCAATTCCTTCTCTAACAACATTACTATGACTTTCTCTAATGATTTCATGGGCAGATGTCACATCCTCTGTCAACAATCGACTCTCACTCTCCTTCTCGATGGTTTTCTTCATCAAGGGGCCTAAAAACAGATCCAGCATGTCCTGAGCAGGATCCCCTGTTCCACCTGAATTTAAGCCAATTCCTTTACTTGCCAAACTCCTGTTCGGCTTGAAAGTAGTTGTATCTGCGATGAGTGATCTTCGATTACAAATTTGGGCATTAGCAGAATCTTCTAACTCATTACCGGAAGAGACTATTTCTGGAAATCTGCTGTCTGATTCACATTCTTGGTTCGATGCTGCTGCTTCTTGATTTATATTCCTATCAGCTCTAATATACTGCATGATAAAGATAGCAACTTTAGACTTCTATCTCGTGTACTTATCAACATGATATTTCTCTAAGTCAATCTAAACAATCGTCAGCCATAGATAGTGAGGTAATTTTCTCAAGTTGGTGTTCAAGTATAAGATTGTACAATATATCATAATATCTTGTTTATGAATAGAAACCATAGCAATATATCATACACAGATGTAAGAACAGAAAAGATCAAAATCAATTCCCTTCAATATTAAAGTAAGAGCAAATCACCTCTTCAGCAATGATCACTAAATCCTCCACTGTCAGTTCAACATCATCATCAGTCGAAGTCCGGACTTCTAGTTCTTCATCACTTCCACAGCTGGAACCCTTTGCTTTTTTCTTCTTTGGAGCATCAGATTCCTGAACTTTTCTTCTCCCATGTCCATTACAATTCTTCTCAGGAAAAGTTCCATCACATTCTGCATCCTGTTCATTTGAGTTTCTTTTTCTTCTTTTTGTCTCACATTTTACAAGAACATGTGAGTTCTCCCCCAGTGTTTCCTTTGCTTTTTGTCTCTCTGGAGCACCAGACTCCTGAGCTTTTCTTCTCCCAAGTCCACTACACTTGTTTTCTGGAACATTAGCTTCATAGTCTGCATCTTGTTCAGTTGATTTTCTTTTTCTTCTCTTTGTCTCACATTTTACAAGAACATGTGAGTTTTCTCCCAAAGTTTCAGTTTCATAAGAGGCAGGTCCTTCCTCTTTACCATTACTAGGCTTCCTTACCTGGCCAGCAGAAGATATGCCCAGCATCCACTGTGGTAAACGTCTCCTACTTCCATCATCTGATTCTGGGGCAACTCCTACCATTTCTTTTTCTCTCAACTAAACTAACCTATAAATTCATTAATGGTGGAAAAAAATATAAGATGGCATCCAAAAATATAACCCAAAAATTATTCAGTTAGCTACTCAATCTTTTAAAATGAAATTATCATGTTAACTTGTATTACTAATCGATTCAACAATCCCAAACAACTGAGGCGATTAATTTTGACTGTAATCAAAAGCGAAAACAAAAAGGGGTGATTAATATGCAGAGCTCTAGACTCAGTTCCAGTGTTTTACTTAAATCAGAACCCTAACAAATTAACAATGCACCAAATGGGTACACAAATTGCGAACTCTTAATTCTTGGTTCCCGAGAAAACAGGCAAAACAGAAGGAAAGGGAAAGCGAAACAGAAAAAGGAAATTAAGAAAGTACATACCAGTACAGTACCACGTCGACGAAGTCAACAAGAAGAAGCGAAAGAAATTAGAGATGGTCTGGATGGATGGGGTTCCCAAGTTCCCGTCGTCCTTGTGTTGTGGCCTGAGAATTTGACGGTCATAGACTCCGGGAAGTGGGAACAGCTAAACCGGGAAGGGGGGGGTATGGGGGTTAACTAACTCAATTTGCCCTTAACCAGGTCGCGTCGGGTCGGATTGGGATGGGCTAAGCTTGGCAAGAAACGATGGGCTTAATTGGACCTGGACTTTTTTCTAAATGTCTAAAACGGATCATCGCACTTCGAAAATAGAAAAACAAAAAAACTAAGCAAAAGGACAAAATAGAGAAGAGAAGTATCTAGATACTTCTGAAAAGAAAATCTGCGGATGCAATTGAATACCAATCGCTCATTTGCAATAATTTTTACAGGCCCTATATTATCCAGTGAAAAGATTAGGACCCATATAAAAACTCTTCCTGAGAATTGAGAAACAAACTTTGCCATCTCCTACTTCCTTCCTTTCTTTCTTTCTTTGTGTGTTCTTGTTATCCCCTCAACTCAAGCTACTACCAGGCTAGCAGAAATGAACATGGCTCTTACAGGAGGAACAACTACTACGTCGTCCTTTTCCCTGACCAAGATTGTTGGTTTCCCTCCTCCTCCGTCTCCAAGCCGTAGTTGTTCTAGGATTCTGGGTGTCAAGGAAGGCCAAGAAAGATGGAGAGGTGGCAATGGCATGGCTGTGAAGGCCAGGTTTGGGTCTTCCAAGGGTGGTGCTGGGGTCTTGGAGCGCCCAAAGTTTGACCAATCCCAATTTGACCCTGCTACCCAGCTTGAACAAGGTACCTACTTTATCATTTATCCTTCAACTGTCTTGATTTTTCTCATCTGGGATTTTTGTTTTGTATTCAATAGTTGAGATTTGTTATGAAAAGGGGGAGAAAAACATATTAGAAAACCCAACTGCAATGCAGCACTGCACACTGCACTATAATGAGTTTCTTCTGCCTTTGTTTAACGTTTTAATTACAGGAGGAGATATTGGACGACTCAAGGACAAGAGAGGTATTGGGAGTGGAGATAGTTACAGAGTTTTGCTGGTTGATGATGTTCGCCACACTGAGAAATTAGGTAATTTCCTTTTCCTGCATATACATGACATTGATATATACAACTCTACCAGACTTTTTTAACTGCAAGACTTATTGTACTCCTTGGTTTGGGGATTGAATTTTTGATGGCACTCTCCAGCCTTATTCATGAAGGAAGGAGGTGCTGCTATCATCAGGAGGACAAAGGAAGGATGTAATTTTGGTAACTAACTTGGATCATTTTTGTGTTCTTTTGTAGTTGCAAAGGTCGTGCCCCAAGTTGTTCCATCTGTTACACCTGATGATGCAAGAGGACTATTTCTTAAATCAAGGGAAAACGGGGTTGCTGTCGTTATCGTTACAGTAAAGGTAAATTCTCTAGTGTATCTTTTGTAGCATAGCTTTGCATAAATACAACTCTTTGGTCAAGTTTCTTTTAATTCTTGCATCTTCATTGTTAGTTTCTTTTGGGTTTCTTGGCTTCTTGGCCCAAATGGATGTTTTCACATTACATGGGGGAACCTAATAGCACTTAGCTTGACTGATAGACAATGCTGTCTGGGTTGGTAGCTACGACGAGTATATAATAGGAGGGTTGGGAAAGAGATCATAAGATTAAAAACTAGTTCCACTTTTTTTGCTACACCTTGTTCTTTCGTGTAATTTGCTCTAAATTTTTTAACAGCAATCTTACAAAGCACAAAATAAAAAGGGTATTGATAGCAGTACTTTGTTTTGGTTGTCAGGAACATGCTGAATTTTACTCCCAAATGATGATTCGTGGCGGGTTACGATCAACAATAGAACCGGATTCAAATAGTTCGTGAAGCAGTCAACTAGAGATCCTGCAGTTGCAATTTAACAGTTGCATTTGTAATAGTGATCCAATTTTGAAGTTACAGCATGCGTTTGGAGAAATTTTTGTTGAAGAAGACGAGAGAGTGCGGGCATTATTTTTCAATATGTAGTATTGTATTCATAAAATTGGGTAGTTCGACAGTTACATAGTAATACGTATGTGCGGGTATTATTTTTTGATATGAATCCCAGTGAAATTCATAACTAAAAAAGTTAAAGAGTACATTATGTAAAAATTGCATCTAATCGTATTTTGGCCTCCAGAATTCTCATAAAATAGAATACATTACTCAAATGATGAAAATGAAAGAGAAGATTTGTGAAAACCAGCTACACAAATTAACAGATAGGAAGCTGATAGGAAGCTGGGAAGGACTTCTATTCTTACACAGGAATTAGGCTTTATTCATGATAAGAGTCAGTCGAGTCAAAATGGATTTTCCGGCATTAGCATAAGTGAGATGGAAGCCAGAAACCACATGAGATGGCATTCTCTGTTTCACTCAGATTCAGAAAGTTTTATAAACAACTCCTCATCTGTAATCGCCCCCATCTCCATCGCTCTCTCCAGTGCACTTTGCCCTCCTCCATCTTGAATTGATGGGCGTGCGCCTCTGCATAACTAGTATGTTAGTACATGGCATGGCATTATTATCAACATCGACCCAAGATGATATCAGTTACTTCAAAAGTTCACTTGTTTAATAGCCAATTGAAAGGAATTTGAACATTCAAAAGTTAAAATGATCAGGCAAATGGAAGGGGCTGCTCATATCAACATAATAGTACTGAGATGAGACGATATCAGTTAGTTCAAATTAACTGTTACAGTCATCTTATTTATCAAGCAGACAAAAAGTTTTCTGATTTATTCAAAGAATGAAGAAAGGATCAAAAAATTTCATATGAAACACAGTTTTCAACACCAATAGATACATTACCTCCTAAGTAGAAACTTTGCCAACGAGTTGTTCCCACTGGAGATACAACGGTGCAAAGGAGTCCTTCCATGGAAATCACGCAAATTTATGTTGGCACCAAATTGCAGCAACAATTCAATCATCATTGGATTGCCAGAGTCACAAGCCAGATGCAGTAATGAACAACCTTGAAGACAGTTCCCTGGCTCATTGGCATCCTTGATTCTCTCACATGCTGCTGGATCGTGCTGTTTCATCTCCATTGTGTGAAAATCTGACTCCAAGTCTTGTGCATCAGCATGGTGATATAAATCAACACCCACCACATTATCAAAGGTGGTGTCAATGATGTTCACATCTGACATCACAATAAGACGATAGACTTCTTGTAAATTACAAGTCTTCACTGCTTGCCATATGCTTGCTGCAAGAAGAGGCATGCCCGATACAGCTTCTCTAACAACCATCACTTTCTCTACATACTGCTTTTGCGCAGAAGATAATTATTGTTAACATCAAAAATTACAGCCTTGTTCTTAATTACATGAGAAAAATGTCACGATTAACACACAACAATAGGGAAATTGGAAGGTAATAGGGAGATGAATGCAGAATGCAACGGAAATTGGAAGATGATACGAATATGTGTTCAAACAGTAAAATACAAAGACACATACACATGAAAAAGATACCGTAAGGACAAAAACTTCTATATTAGTGTCTACCAAACTAGCATATACAGTTGTCCCTGTTTCGGATCATATGAAACTTTTGGATAAAGTTGGTTCTTAAGATTCACCATCCTTTATTTTTCCAGTTATAGTAACCAAAAATATTTTCAAGAAAACTTAATGCAACTTTCGAGCTATATGCATTTTTCCACATGTTTTTTTTTTCTTTCTTTCCATATTTTATATGCATGTTCCTGTTATAAAATTGAGGAAAGGAACTTCATGGATTACCTTTGCTTGAATGTATATTTCCTTATGCTGAATTGCATCTTCAGGGCCTGGTTTTAAAATTGAAGCCCTAGTGGCCTTTGAGCCATTTGCTCTGCAAAATATTTAAACGCAACATAAATTACACAGCGATATACATCACTTCTAATACCACAAAGCACATTACTTAGATAAATCCAACAGTTCGGAAGGGATTAAAGGAAGCTGTCTTTTGTGAATTATTATTTTTAATTGTAGGCTAAAAGTACTTGAAAGGTCATGTATGCTTTTTTGTGGACAAAAGTATCCATTCATAAAAATTCCAAACACCGTGCTACTCCATATATCCATACTGTATAGAAGAAAAAAAAATATATGCCATGAAGCACCTATCCATATTCCATTACTGTACTAGAGAATTTGTTGATAGTTATGAACTTAACATTCTTCATAATTGGGTTTCAACATCTTACACTTAACATTCAAGTTTCTGGTGTGGAATTAAAAGAAACCGAAACCCATAAAAAAACATCCTCGATTACATTTCTTTTAAGCTTCCACATACAAACTTCAATGTGGAAATCAACAATAACTTTTTCTTTCTTTCAGAATATAAATAAATTCTGTGATGTGATAACACTGGCCATATTGCAAATACAATTGGAATTCTTACCTTTCATTTTCAAGTAGAAGCGTTCGTTCCCATACAGAGTTACAATAAGCATTACCCAAGTTGCGAAATAAGTCCACAATTGTAGGTTCCCAAACCTTGACATCTAATGTTAGAGATCTCACCTGCAGTTATTAGTACAAGTCATCTTTTAATGGGGGAACTTAAACAAGAATTCAAAATAAATGTATAGAGAAATTCATAATAATAGGATTTGACCAACACAACTCTAAATGCTTTAACTTCCCTAACTTTTCGCAAATAACAAAGACAATCCAAATTATTAATCGTATAGAAGGGTAGGCCAAGAGGACAATGATACAAAATAAAACTTATTAATAAACTGGAAGCTGGCAGACATCTACCCTAGAGCAAAACACAATCAGTTCTCAACTTTTCATTTCTTTGCGCACCTTTGAAATATGTACACCAAGATTCCGGTGAACACCAGAACATTCGATGCACACCAGTATGCCAAGATTAAGAGATGCCCAATCAGGCTCAGGAGCACTGCACTCTGCACAAAGATCATTTCCAGGGATTTCCCTGAGAATACTAGAAACAGAATCTATTCTGTTGAATTTTATGGTATCTTCTCTACTTTCATTGCTATTTAGTGGATGAACACCATATGTGCCAAGACCAGATTTACTACTCTTGAGATTCATGTTTCTAGGATGTGGCTGCATAAGATACAACGAAACTTTGTTAGTCGCAATACTTGCATGCAAACCTTGATTTTTAGTTATACGGAAAAGTCACAAAGCAGGGAGGGACCTGTTCAAGAAGCTGAGAATTCAAAAGAGATTGAATAGCTCCTGTTATTTTGTTTATCCAATCCATCCTATCTGCATCATTTTCAGCCTGACCAAAACAGAATGGAAAATGTTGCCTGTCAGAATGCTGTCCCAGATATTTCAATTATGCAGCTATTGATTCAGATGGAATGAAAAAAATGCAAGGGTGCAAGCGATGAAAGGTACTAGTTTGCTAAGATTTCATTATGTTGCCAATTATCTTTAGCCTAAATCATCCTCCTGTTTTCGCTTGTTTTTTAAGATTTCACTATGTTGCCAATTATCCTCTTTTATAGGAGACTCTCCTGTTTGCTTACATGAATTGCACGAATTAACAAAAACACAGCCCCTTTCATCAAAATGTCTATTATCAAGATCTTCTTCCTGTTCAAGTATAGAAAGCTAATCGTGGAGGAACTCTTGCACCACAAGTTTCTCTCCATGGGAAGGGGCTAATGACCAAATAAGTACTAGTTTTAAGTAAAGATTTGATGATGGTATGAGTATGCATTGGAGCAAAAACATTCCAATTTATCATTAGTGCACATTTCCAGTTGCAGTGACAACTCATCTCCTTCATCTTAACTTTTAGGAGTCAGACAAAGTGAGGTGTGCTTTGGCAGAGCATGCTTGTTGGCGTCCATACCCTCTTGACCCTACCAAACCTGAAACTCAGTCAGCTTTTTTAATTGGGTTTTGCTTGGGGGGTGGGGAGGAGGGAGGGGATTATTCAGTATCATTGACTTGAGGCAAAAAGTACCCTATCTGCCTGCAAGGGGTAGACAGTGACAGTTGTTTTTATCAACATTAAACTAGTTTTGCGGTTCACTTCAACTACATTCTCACATTTAAAGATGTGGCATCCGAATGAGATAAAGAGAAAATGCTATCACATATCAACTTATTATTTCCAAAAGCTATACATGAGCCTAGTAGCTTTTTCTCGTGTTTTTCTTAGCAGAGTTATCTCTTTCGACCATTGTGTTTCCAGAAATGTCTCGGTGGCCCGATGAAATGATAATGCAACAAAATAACCTTTCTTTCAACAGCAAAATAGGAGTACTAGAGCTCTTGGATTATAAACTTGGTTTCAGGATTTCAAGGTCTTGTGCCTTCAAATTATTGGCAGCTTACCTCAAGTAGTTGGTATTATGGTCATGTTGAGAGTTGAGATGAGTTAAGCCATGCATACAATTTTTAGTTCTACAATACGACACCATAATGAAATAACCAACAGCCAATCAACTAATTACCTGCAATGTGTAAGTTTTCAGTGGGGATATTATTCTGAAGCAAAGTCGAAGATCTGTATCCTCTGCATCCATCTTAATTGTTGAGGTGCACAGATCAACAGTACGGCAGCCCAGAATGTTCTCATTAAGTGAAGGTCCCCTATGTCTTGAACGAAATCTACCAAACACACCACTGTGATGTTCAGGTGAACGTGTGAAGTGATGTGATTGAGAGCCCTATGATGGTAACGGATGCAAGAAAAAAGAAAAATCAGGAGTCCATGCAACAAAAACTAACATTATCACTGGAATATGACATATATGATATAGTTATTTAAAGATCATTCAAAGATACAGAATCCAAAAGTTACAGATAAAAATAAGCAGAGAAAACTGTACAAATGCCTGATGGTTTCCGAGGATAATATCCAGCATGCTTTCTATTCTTTTTGTGTTTAGTTAGAATATATTATTCAGCTTATAGAATAGTAAGGAGAAAGGGATTCTGAGAAAAGGAAAAAAGAAATAAAGAAAGAACAGAATCTTTGAAGATATGGTGGAGGAAGTTGGTTTTCTATGGGATAGAAGTAGATTATTGGTGTCTTTATGGGCTTCATTTGTCAAAGCATTCTACAGATTTTCTCTTTAGCATAATTATTTGGCAGCTCTGAACTAAACCAATTGTAATATTTTTCTTGTAATTCTCTGGTTCGTATATGTTAAGCATACATGAATTTCTTGTATGTCTTTTCTTGCATCTTTCTTTTTTCTTTCTAATTAAAGTAAGGTTTACTATAGTAAAAAAAAATGGTAACACACCATGGGTTTGGTACCCTTAATTCTGTAATAAAATAAAGACCCTTGATTGTTCAGTACGAAAAACCTCCTCTTCCAATCTCCCCTTAAACTTGAAGATCGTTTCAATAGATATCCTTGCTTGATCGTCTGGACCTAAAATATGAAACAAAATTAAGAATTATGTGATTATTCTTCTTTGAAGTAAAACTATACTGCCAATAAAGTGACATATAATTGTATTAAAACTTGAATTCCAACAATACAAATAATAGGAGATTCTCAGAAGTAAAAATTGAAGACACATTCTAACATTACATATCGCAAAAATTGAAGTAAAAGGTGCAATCATGCAAAAATTCGTCAACCAATTCTATTACCTTCCCATTTGCACTGGACTGCATAATTGCGTCTATATTTTTGTAAGAAGCCAAACCAAAGGCACGATTGCCATCAACCGCTGCAGATGGCTCAATATTACTGGAAGCTCGTACACTGTCCAGCTCGGCTTGTGTTCTAAATTCCTGAATCCTTTTGTGAAGTTTCTCTTGCTCAACGGTGGACTGTTCTTTAGATTGTTGTGCATACGTCAACACCTGATTTCAGGAAAAGAAGTTCATTATCAATTGAAACTATCTCTCCCTAAACACTAAATAAACATAATTGTCAAAGATGGCAACCATAAAAAGGTTCTGCCCATGGCATGAATGTACGGGTGACATGAGATCATCAAATGAGGTCAGGTTCAATGGGTTGACTCAAACATAGAGTGCAACTTTAACATGAAACTTCCAATTGCCAAAAATTAGATCAAACCTTGTTAAACTATAATTATTCAATACCTAAAAATATTGTGAGAGAAGAAGATCTAGTCAAACTCTATGTGATGGTAATCCCTATTTCTCCAATAAACACAGTAAGAAAAACAGGGTCGGGGGAGAGTTCTATGCATCATTGGCATGAATGTATTCATGTAACAAATGTCAAGGAGTTAGGCCAACAAGTTTTACTAGCATTTGGGTTGTTGGCATGAGGATGCACTGACTGTAATCACAAAGATCGAGGTTCAAAACTCCACAGGGCACAAATGGTAAATGATATCCATCGCTCAGGAGATATTTGTTTGACAGAACTGAATTCTAGGCATCCCATACCCATTCCTTGGAATGGAGGAAAGGGGTTTCTTAGAAACTCATGGAATCCAGCATCCCAAACAAGGAGGGTCGGTCAACTAGTTTGGTAGGTGGAAAAATCTCTACAAAGTTTAACTTAACTGATAATTTTTTAGCTGAACCCAATGCATGGTAATTCAGCTTACAGGCAGGATAAACTTCACCTCTCTTATTATTAATAACTCCCACCTTTAATTAATCCATAACTATCAAATGAAAAGTGAATTACATTCATACCTGGTGAATATATGGTTCCATTTGGCTGAATAACTCGTATCCCTAACCATTACAAAAAAATTATTCTTCTCAGCTGTCAAAATGACATACATTCACATGTAAAGAAGATAAAATATAATGATTGCACAAACAGACCAGCTTAAAGTATCTCAGATGAGCATCCATGATTGCACTAATAGATTCCAAAAACTCGTACTTCTTTTTTGATTCAATATTCATTAGTGAGTTTACCTGCAGTCCTTAAAATCACAGAGAAAGGTCATTACAAGCAGAAAGATTTAAGGAAAAAATGCACGACACATGCAAAAGAGATCTGCAAACATAGAAAGACATACTAGGTTAAAGCGGCTCTTCTCGAATGTTGATTTTGAATTTTGTAGATCCTGTCATGAATAAAGGTTGGTGAGCTCCTCAATTTTTCCGATAAGAGGGTGTCTACTGTCTAGACAAGAGATTACTAAAGTAACAGGCACACACCTCCTCTAGTTCTGCTACAATGTCTCCCCGTGTACTCTTCTTTAAGGACACAAACTTTTCCCGTGCCTGACATTGAGTAAAACAAAATTTTATGCAACTTCATTAGATATCAACTCAAGTGCCTGAGATTTAAACGTGAGACGAAGTGGAAAACTGGACAAAAAATACGAACAGAAAATATAAGACGCGGAAGTAAATGCGCATACATGGACAGTTTCAAACCCCAATGTGTATAATTTATTGGCTCATCATCCATACAAAAAAACAATTTTAATGATTTCCACACAGATCCCAATCTTTAAAACCCAGACCCAACAGCATTTAGGTAGAACCAAGCAACTAGAAGCTTCCCTTCTTAGGGACCAGAGCTATAATAGAAGAAAGTATAAATCGAATTAATATCATTGCCCCGTATCATATATTCACACAAGTAGAAAATTTTCATGGAGATCTACAATACCTGATCATAACCATGTATAGCTTTGTCAAAACGACGTCGGGACTCCTGCAAAATTAAGAGAAAAGCTTGTAAGAAAAAGAAAGCAAAAGTTTTGAGAACTTTATCACAATTTACGCTTTGTCATCTATCTTACTACCACAATGCCTGCACCAATTTCCATTAGCGTAATTATCGTAGAAGCTAAAAAAGGAACAAAGAATTACCTTTGCATCTTGCATATCATCTGTCATAAAGTTCATCAACCGATCAACCAACACATGCTCTACCTGTAATCCATAATTTTCCCACCAAATATTTAGAAAAGAGAATAATAAAAATAAAAAGAGATTTCAGTATAATGTTACTCTTAAATCTATATTTTCTATTTGGTTTGTCTGGGAATGGTTGAACCCCATATGTACATCAACCTCACCAAATCATGTGCCGCCATTTTGAGTGACCATTACAAAACACATAGAAAGCATGCCTCACTTTCACCATGTAACATATTAAGAAAGATTATTCCATAGATTGGCTACCTAATGACTCACTTGGGAGCGAAGAAGCTCTTTATAAGTGGCAAGCTCTTGAAATGCAGTAACGAATTTGGACATTACTGGACCTGCAAGAAAATATCACATAAAAAGCAAGTTAAACTATATACATATATATAGTTTGGAACTTAACTGTCAACTCGGAAAAAAACTAAAGGACAAAAATTGAAAGCAATAATCAACTAGCAACTCGAAAAAGAAGGTAATCTAGTTGAACTGAAGATCTTTTCTTGTTTTAAATTTAGTACATGAGAAGTTCTCTTTCCCTTCTGTGTTTTACTAAAATTACACCACAATTACAGCTTATGATACTAAAATTTCTCTTTTCTCTTTCACAGAATAAAATTAGACTAAATACAGCATTGACTACCATTAAAACCATTTTGTATTTAAAAACACTAAATTGAATTAGAAATCATTATTGTCATTTCATCCTATGCACCTTTATGATTTCTATACATTTTTCTGGAAAAATAAGTACGTAAAGCAGAATACAATTATGAATCCCAACAACCTCCTATGGATACGCTAACAGGATCATCCAGTCCACCACCAAATGCTTCCAAAGAATCTGCAAAAGTGGTGTCTCCATTACATGCTTCTCCGAGAGCCGCCCTGTGAGAAAAACAAAGACAAGAATCAAAACTTGCCTCTGCCAATGACTTTAAGTTTAATTGTTAAAGATAAGACTTTAATAGGGATCGAAATAAAAAAAAGAACATCTACTGGTGCCACTTATCGTCTATCCTGCTAATGAGTAGAGACTTTGTTTATAAATATTGAAATGCAAAAGATAATCACAAAAATAAACTTGAAGGATAAAACAAAGGAAAGAAATTCACTTCAGTTCAATAACTGAGAATGCAGTGACATCAAAGATTCTGCTAAATGCTACCAACTCTAATGCCGACCAAAAGCAGCCTTTCTAACAAGCAAGATTTTCTGCAACTAAACGAGGTGTTGCCCCCTTAACACTAAGCAAACTTCGGAGTCTTTGTTAACATTGGGGTATTCACCCTTATTCAACCAAACTCCTACACTCTTTACATATGTGATATTTATTTGATGTTTGCTTCTTGGTTGTAGGTTTTTTTCAATAATAACTATTATAAACTCCTGAGGTTCTACACAAATAGATGGGAAACATCGTAAACACTTACATAAACTTCTTACACCCTTTGTATAATTTTTGGCAGCGATCTTTCAACTCATCGGCTGTCTGTTCTAGAGAATATATCTGTTGAAGAAGGCAAACCGATCATTTTGATATAATTGAAGAACACGAGAGACATCCACAACATCAACAAGTCTGTTCTAGAGAATATATCTGTTCTAAAGCTAACATACTACAAAATTTAACTTGTATTCTTATATTTTAATAGAGTTAGTCATCAAATTGAACAAGGTCACAAAATAAATGAAAAAAGTAAACTACACCCACCACCATTATTGCTCTCGGGTATGATAAATTTTAAGAATTCATACCTTGTTTCATGTTTTATGCTACAAGGTACTTAATCTTGAAGTAAATATATACATAGTTATTCAAAGTCAAAAATTCCGTTGCAAGCCAGTAAAGCTCGTTCTCAGCTGAAAATATTTATTTCTACATTAAAAGCATTGCACATAAAATCCGAGAAAACGGAGCTATTTACAGTGAGAGTAATGCGAAGATTTCATCTCCCAATTCATATAATTTTAGGGGTTGAAACTTTTCTCAAAACACGAAATCCGAATATGTAAATATTTATCACCTGCTTCTGAAACATTGGGGAATCCTCGAGTTTGATAAATGCCGCCATTTTCCACTCGAATTTGGAGATCCAATCTCTCTTTGTCTCTTTCTTTCTCTGTATTCGCTCTCCAGCTAGCTCAGACTTTTCTCTTTCTTTCTTTTTCAGATCGAATTCGAGGACATGGAGCAACTCGCAAAATGCATATTGCGTAGGGGTTATTTGGTCATTTCATTTTAACGTTCACTCAATTTATCGCTAGCGATTCGCGCACACTAGAACAACGTAGAACCTGACGAGGACAAGAGTCACGAGACGACAGCAACAGTCGCAAGTTAGATTAGATGTAAGGATGACCTTTTGCGCGCATAACTTCTTAGGACCCTTCGATTGTGATGGTGAAAGATCTCCCACCGTTGAATTTCAAATAAGTCGGTAATTTAGTTTCCCCCTTTGTGGATAAATTGACCCATAATTGAGTTATAATATAAAATTTTTAAAATATTACATAGAAGATCTGCAAAGGATCTGAGAACCATATAAATCAAACTCAACACGAAAACTAATATCAATATGAAAATTGTTAAACCAGATACAAGTAAGTATTATCATGCAGTTGACCCTTCTTAAATAATACAAGTAAGTATTATGGATACAATGATAATAATTCATTTTCAATAGTGCACTTATTGTTCCCGCCCATTCTATACCATGTTTGGTGACTAGAATTTGATTTGATTATAAGTAGGATTAGATTGCATTTGATTACATTGGATTTAAAATGATAAGTAAGCCTTCGTTGGTGCTAGTGTCCCTAATTCGTGTCTCGATTATTGGGTATTGAATTTGAAGTTCAAAGGGTTGGAATAATATAATTATGTATTTTTTATAAAAAATAAATTATCCTACTAAAATGCACATGATAGGATTATGGTGGAATGATATATCATATACATTTATCCTACCCACCAAAAGATGCCCTCGTGTAAACGGTTGATCTCATTGAAAGAAAAAAATAAATAAAATTTAACAGCATGATAACAATACACCATAAAACAATTATCGATAAAGTTACTAAAAAATTGTTTAAAGATCCCATTACATTTTAACTGCATGAACAATACAACACAAAATGGCTCACAAGACATGTTCTAACCTAAAAGTAATTTAAATTAGGGCATACCTCCATGTTATTTTTATAAAAAAAAAAAAAAAAAAAAAAAAAATATGGGAGCCCATATATGAAATAGACTTTAGAAACACACCCAAAAGCTCATTTACAATATAACAAAAAGGTTTTTAACTTCTTTTAAATTACAAAACTGCCATTGATTTCTTAAAACAAACCCAACCCAAAAACCTAAAAAAACAGACCAAAACACTTAATAGGGCATCAAAGTAATTTAATAATCAAAATTAAATTCAATAGATGTAATTGTCATTTTTTGGGTTTATTTATAGAAATTAAATAGTGTAGGGTTTATTTATAGTTTTAGTGTTAAGAATAGGTATATGATTAAATATCTCAAAAAGAAGCAAAAAAACGACTACGCGTGCAAATTAGAAAAGAAAAGGAAAAAGTGAAGGTGAGAAGGAACCCAAAGCAACCATTGTGTGCCACTCCCGCTCCCGCTCAAAATCTTAGCGCTGAGTTCGATGCAAATAGCGGCCAAAGGGTGGATCGATGGTGACGAGAGCGCAGCGGAGATGCTTGGTAGGGTTGCAACGGAGCGACCCTTCTTGCTTCTTCCGCCTCTTCATCGAGTTCCTCTCCGTGTCGGCAATGTAGTGGAGCTCGTCGGCCCCTCTGCTTCGGCAAAAACCCACATCCTCATTCAAGTAAAAAAAAAAAAAAAAAAAAAAAAAATGCAATTACTATCTCAGAGACAAATTTGATTTCTTTTATTTTGCAAATTATTTGGGCTGATTGTGTTATATGTGATTAGGCTGCTGTGAATTGCATTATCCCTACAGAGTGGAATGGGGTGCACTATGGGGGCTTGGAGCGTTTGGTAATGTTCATTGACTTGGATTGCCGCTTTGACATTCTGCGCCTCTCGGAAATCCTAAAGCACCAAATTATGGAGCCCAATGGTGAGTTGAATTGGTGTCTCTTTCTCTTATATATCGCTTCCTTCATTTACTAAGAATGATGAATAAAGGCTTTTCATTTGATGTTGCTGCTAAAATACGACCTTTTGCTCTGTGGATTTTGTTTTAGGGTCAATGTATTACGATGAGGAGTTGTATGCTTTGTGCATGAGACGCTTCTTGTATGTCCGTTGTTATGATAGTCTTGAATTTCTTGCCACTCTCAAGGTGAGAAGAATCTCTTTCACTTTCCTATAAGTTTTCATTCACAAAGAAAATAGAAGAGGACAAATATCTTTTCTATCTCTAAAACTACCACCTTTATTCAAGCGAGCTCTTCATTAAAGCCTTTATAGATAGATGTAGAATTTCTTATGGTAGTTTTTATTTTGGCCTCGATCCCTTTTTCCCTCTTGCATTATAGACATTGCACTATCGGCTTCAAAAGGAAAAAGAAGTGCATCATGTTGGCATTCAATTGCTCATGATTGACAGGTTTGTCTTAAAATCTGGAAATGTTTGTTTTGCATTTGCTTTCAGATGTCATGCGAAGTTTCCTATATAATTGGAATCACTTTGACACCTGTCCATGCTTTTTCCTCCTTCGCATGATGTTGCATTATAAATATACGAACGATTTAACAGACCGGATTCAGTTTAATTTAAATATTGATCTCTTAATGTCCAACCAATTTTAACAGTATTGGACCTTTCCATTGGGTAGATCGTGGCTCAACATTCTTTCCCTTGGGGGGAAATAAGAGGTAATTACTATAGTTGGTTACTTTTAGCATACCTACAATCTTTTATTTTGTAGAATGACTGATCAAACTATCTTGTGCATAGGAAATGCCTCTCTCTTCAGAGTGTGTTTGACGCTGTCGTTCAGGATATCAAGAAGCTTCTGCTGGTGCATCCCATGCTAGTGATGGCTACAAAAGAAATCATATTGGGGAATGCATATGGCGGGGACGAGGTCAAACAGTGAGTTCCTTCGAAAGCTCAAAAACTTTAATTTCAGCTATGTTGATTTCAGTTAATTGTGCATTCAGAAAAGATAAAAGGAAGGGCAAAATCTTAATTCGTTCTTAGTGTGAATTCCCGGTTTATCAGTAGTCAACCTTTATTTTCATTTTTCTGACAAAACAAAACGTAGACTTTCATTTACAAAAAGGCAGAAAATATTTCAGTTTAAATTGTATAATTGTTTTAGCTTTTAACATGAAAACCAATCTCTTTTCCCCTAAGACAATACCCCTTCTGCTATTATGGTTTCACCTTGTCTTTACATGATTTGCTGTATACTATGCTATTCTCAGTTGTTAATACACTGAACCATGATCCTCTCATAACTGCAATTTCAGAAATAAATCTTTGCTGGATGCCTCAGGGTTAAGAAATTTAGCAAGTAATACTCAACAACTTCCATATCGTGAGTATATGCCATCCGTCTGGCAGGTAATATTCATCAATAGTTGCTTGGTAGATATAACATGAGTAGTCAATCTTTAATTGTATGATATTTGATATTTAAGTGTGCCATTATAGTTTTCGTGTACAGTTTATCTTAGCCAAACTAATATTTCGTTTTTCGGTTAGTTTATTTTTGTTGCATATGCAGTGGGCTTGTATGTTTAATCAGTACATTACCAATTCACACGAGTGGTTTAAGAAATAGTAGATTATAGCCAAACATTTATGTCATTTTATAGCTATTTAACATGATTTAACAATGCACTTGAATTTGCGCATGCATTTTATGGAGGATTCTTCAGTTATTAAGGAATTGTTTAGGGATTGCAGGGAATATTGAAATTACCGCTGAGAAAATCAAGAACTCTAGTGTTTACAGAAAGAGAATTTATTTTAATGGTGGTCATCTTTTTTCTTTACTTTGTAACTATCTGTTTATGAAACCCAGTTGACATGCTAGTTCGTGTGATGGCATGTTTGTACCTCTAATCCGTTTTTTTGCTTGTTGCAGTCCTTTGTTACACACAAGATACTTGTGCGAGCTTCAGGTTCATAATTTTCCCTTTATGGCAACATTTTTGGTTAAATTTGTTCTCTGTCATTGACTACGAATGTACATTTGTCTATCTCCTTCCAGATGATCATATCCCTACAAGACACTATGAAGAACATTCCGTCTATTTGTCGGAATGGTTGTTGCCTTCACTTAGTTTTCGAGACAAGTTTACCATAAAAGATGTGAGAAAATTTTGCTACGTTTCTCATGATCTGAGAATTGTTTAAAAGAATTGAATAATTTTTGTTGCACATAATAGATTAATGGTGTAACCCGATTGTGCAGGCTGGTATCGTTATTGTCTCATGATGCGATGCGAGTCTGGAGACTGGAACATAGCAAGGGGGTTGTGTTGTGGCCCTACCTACGCACAAAAAAATGAAGGGGAAAAAAGAACATAAACCATATTGTATTAAGAAGATGAGAATATCATAGAGTAGACTAGTGTAGTGTACATAAACAAAGTTACATTATATTGATATTTGTTTAATTAAAGCTTGTAAATGTTTTTTGAAGAACAAACACATTTTCCAGCACAATCAATCCGACACGATGATGATACGTTGTTATATTGTCATTTCGATTCGATTGGCAAAAGGAAGCCTACGTTCAAACAAACAAACATTTTACCTCATTTACAATAACTACATATGGGATAGGGAAAAGGAAAGGGAGCCGATTTGAGAAGAGAGAGAGGGAATGAGGTTAGTCGTTTCATTTTCCCCCGGTGTATGCAATTTTCCCGCCAATCCAAAAAGCACAATAATACGAGCATTGGCCCCAATCCACAGAAAAGCTTATTTTTATGATCGAATGAGCGTAAATCCGATGGCGTTGGAAAGGGAGCAACCAAGAAAGGAAGAAATGGGTTCCAAAAACAAAAACAAAACCCTACTGGATCTCTTCCAACCCACTGCCTCCTCCGCCAAACGCTTGAAAACCGATTCCATCAGGGCCACACACTCCGACTCTGTCTCTCCTGTACCACCACCATCCCATGATGACTCTTCCTCTTCCGACCTCACCGCCCAGCAAAAGTCACGCATGGAATTACAGAAGCTGCTCGCCAAAGCCAGACGCAACCTCTCTATCTGCTCCAACAGACTCTCCAACTCCAACTCCAAAGGTAATTTATTTTAATTTAATCAATTAAACAACAACAAATTTCATTTCTTTTTCATTCTGATATAATTAATTATTAATTTAGGTGAAGGAGTGAAACTGGAGGAGCTACTGGTGGAGGAGACGTGGTTGGAAGCGTTCCCCTCGGAGCTTCAGAAACCCTACGCCAAGACCCTCTCCAAGTTCGTCGAGAATGAGATTTGCGGCGGCGCCCTTCCCATCTACCCGCCTACTCACTTGATCTTCAACGCTCTCAACTCCACCCCTTTTGACCGGGTCAAGGCTGTCATCCTGGGTCAGGACCCGTATCATGGCCCGGGTCAAGCGATGGGCCTCTCTTTCTCTGTTCCTGAGGGTGTCAAGGTTCCCTCAAGTCTCGTTAATATATTCAAGGAACTTCACCAAGATCTTGGCTGTTCAATTCCCTCTCATGGCAATCTTGAAAAATGGGCTGTTCAGGTTTTTTTTTAAACATCTTGTTTCTACATTATGCTTCATTGAGCTTCTTTTCTGTGAGTTGTGAATTGCGACTGACGTTCATCTTTACAATTGATTCTATTTCTAGGGTGTTCTCTTGCTCAATGCTGTTCTCACTGGTGAGCTCATGTCTTGTAAACACATATTTTCTGATGCTTGTTTTAGATTTTACAACTAAGCACTAATTTTGTTAGTTCAACATTGTTCTAAAGTGGGTTGATTGTTCACAAATGCCAATCGCTTTAGCTACTTGCCGCCACCTTTTTCTCAATGAAAAGAATAAGTTCAAAGTGAGAGTTGTAGATAATGTTTTCCAATTAACCATAGGATAGGAATCAGGAAAAGCATATAAAGGTGGCTCTGGATAGTTTTTTCTTATCTATTTTTCTCTCTCTCTCTCTCTCTCTCTCTCTCTCTCTCTCTCTCTCTCTCTCCTTGTTTTACGCCATTTTATTTTGTCTTATGACCTTTAAATTTCATATTCAGTTAGGAATCATCAGGCTAACTCTCATGCCAAGAAAGGATGGGAACAATTTACTGATGCTGTTATCAAAACAATTTCACAGAAGAGGGAAGGAGTTGTTTTTCTCCTATGGGGAAACTCTGCTCAGCAGAAATCCAAGTAGGTTTGTTTTGTGGTGTGAGTTTTAAATTTAGTGGCTCTGCAAATGGAACATTTCCAACAAAATAAATATTACCTCTCTCTCACACGCACACAAACAAACTGACATGCTAGTTGTTATATACTTGTCTATGCTCTCATGTTTTGGCCTAAAGTACCAAGGAATCGTGACACCTTGGCTCATGTTAAGTGTTTCAATTTGAAATGAATACTATTTAGGTGAACAGAGGGCCTAGCTTTGCTGTATACGGCATGTTCTCTCAATCATAAAACAAACTTTGGCCCATTTTATCCTTTGTTCAACTGTAAAATTGTCTAGAACATCCCTCAAAATGAGTCATTGACGGAACCAACTTGATAATATGTGAATATTGCAAACATCTGGCGCTGCTTATATAGGCATCTGAGGTTATTCCATTTAGAAAGTTCTAAAGATATTCTGAGTGACATCTCCTGGTTGTAAAATTTTAAGGAATCTCAATACTTGTACTTTCTATAGCTCGACAAAAAAGAACACAACTTCTGATGGTCTGGATCTTTAACTTGGATGGAATGCATAGTCTCCGGCTAAATGGGTTGAAAAGAGTTTAAGGGGTTTTTATCTTTCAACTGATTGGAGAATTGAATTACAATGCAGGTTGATTGATGAGTCAAAGCATCACATTCTCAAAGCGGCACATCCTTCTGGTTTGTCAGCAAACAGGGGCTTCTTTGGCTGCAGGTCAGTTTTAACTCCATAAGAAATGGTTACCACACAACTTCTATCCAAATAAAGACAAGAGGGTGGGGACAGAGAGCCCCTCCATGTCTACTAATATGGCATAATGGCGATAAGCTTACAATTAGTTTGTTAAAAAATCTGGGATAGGCTGTTATAATTAGTATGCATTTTCCTGGGATTTCTTTGTTTGTCTTTATCCATGCGAAATTTCACCGTATTTGCAAGCATGATACTGACTATAACCCCTTAGATTTACATGTCTCGAAATATAATCTTATGTGATTATTATGTTAAGAAAAATTACATGGTAACCAGATAATTTGCTCATGATGTGAACAGGCATTTTTCTCGCACGAACCAGCTTCTGGAGGAGATGGGTATTCCTCCCATAGACTGGCAACTTTGATTAGAAAAGCATCTCACCAAGCAGCACCTAATTGTATTTTGTCTCAAAATATCTCAGTTAAGTTCATCATGTATGAGCAACTTTGGGACTTGTTCAGACGTTGATACATTAGTCTTTTTGTACAGAATACGGTAGTCTAACTATCCAAGATTCCAGGTAGTGTTGCCCCCTAAGCAATTCATTTTGTCCGATGGAGTCAATTGATCCGGCGTTCTTTTGAATGTTTCTGAATTTTCTCTGCTCATCCTTTCCCTTTTGCGAGATACTCCCAATTTCATTTTCTAATCTCATCTACAAAAGGATTATTAGAAGGGAGATTAATTGTTATACTTAATATAGGAGCTTAAATTATAAAAAAATCTTATATGAAATGGAATTTAGAAACACACCCAAAATTTATTTACAACATAACAAAAAGGCTTTTAATTTCTTTTAAATTACAAAATTGTCATTGATTTTTTAAAATAAACCCAATCCCAAAACCTCATAAAAAAACATAAAACACTCAATAGAGTATCAAAGTAATTTAATAATTAAAATTAAATTTAATAAGGTCAACTGTCATTTTTTAGGTATGTTTATAGAAATTAAATAGTGTAGAGTTTATTTATATTATTAGTGCTAAAAATTGTACTAATTCTGATATGTAAATGCGATTTCTCACATGATAAAAAGTTTAGACTTTGGATCTATGGATTTTGAATTTGAAAAATGATTGTTGGTGATAAGTTGATTGATTGTTAAAAATGCAATTGCAATCACGGTTGGCAAATTCTACACGCCCTCTCCACACTCTGATCTGGTGTAGTCTAGTGGCGCCAGAAACACGACCATATGCTTATTATAAGCCCAACAAAACTTGATGAAGAAAGTTGGACTTGGATTTCTTGTGTGCACGTGACTAGTTGTCGTTGGCCTCACGCTCAGTGATGGTCAACACACGACACGCCACCACTCACTCATCAAAGAAGCGAAGCGAAGGACTTTCCTTGTCAGCCACAAACTAACTGATTAAGTAGGAAAAACCAACCAGCGGTCCTGATTATTGTTGGGTATCTCTAATTTACGTACAATTCTAAGTCGAGTTGCAAAATCACCACTAGATCCTATTACCATATCCGAAACAAGCAAGCATTAGACCCAGAAATCATATCTGCTCACTTCACTTCCATACAATACCAGGTTGGATTTATATTTACACGCTCAATTTTAATGTTGTTTGATTGTTAACACTACTGTTCTTGTTCATGAGTTGAATTGAATGCCCTCTCTCTCTCTCTCATTTATTTGTTTAAATTTCTCATGCGTTGCGAAGAATGGCATGCTGTAATCAGTACTATGAATAATGAATCTCTATCTCTCTCCTTTTCCTCTTCCTGCTTTTCAAATCATAATGGAACCCAATCAGCAACCTGGATTCTGAATGCTTGTTCTTGTAAATTTTCCAGATTGCATGTTGTTCCTGAAAAAATAAAGAAAAAAAATAAAGAAGGCGTTTTGAAAATATTATTAATCAAGGGTAATATTGTTGTTGATTTTGGGATAGTCATAGAGTTCCTTCAATGCCTTTTCAGGAAATGACGAGCATTATTTCAAGCCACCACTGTAATTGGTCATTTGGGGTTCAGGAGAACCTTAACACAGGAATGGGATTCAATAAAGTTGTACTTCCTGGATATAATGGTTCGTATTTTCCTTCGAGAGGAGGATTGGTTTTTTCCAGTGGTAATTGTCACATCCGTTATCACAGTGATCGGAGACATAGGCCTATCTTTTCAAGTACAACAGATGATGGCATAAATCCAGATGACTCAGAAGATCCAAATGATGCAAAAGATTCTTCTCCCAAACCTGAAACTGGAGGGGTATGTTGATGTTCTTCTCTCTGCTGCCGTATTTGTGATATAACTGCTAACAAAACCATTGGGATGTGAAACGTTGGTTACTCAAGCTCGATTCTGGTCTAATGGGTTCGTCGTCCCAATTTGCTCAACTGAGTTTATAGATTAATGAACAGTTTGGCCAAATTCAATTTGCATGGAAAATATTGTTTCACATGTTCCCCTGTTTCCGTTATGTATATTATCATCTGCATATCCATATGATCTATGCTGCTTAAATCAATCCCTATTGCTATCTTCTATAAAAAATTTATGGTATCTGCTATTCATTTGAAAGCATTACTTATTTAACTGTGCGTATTTGTACACTATTTTAGACGGAATTAATGGCAGATGTTGAGTTTAGATGGCAAAACATGTGTGTTTTTATTGACCTTCCTGTGTATTGTTTCAGGTGAATAGTGAAATGCTTAGAGAGAATCTTGAAAGACTTGTTGGTACAGATGATTCCTCCTTCAGTGGGATAGACCTGGCAACTCTTATTAGGAACAAGTATGGGAGGTCTTATGACGTTCAACTCATAAAGAAGGTATGTTTTCTATGCGATGCGAAGACGACAAGCATAACACAGGGTACATGTTAGAGTTGTCAATTTTTTCGTGATTATGGGATCTTAATTGGGGTGTGATTAGAAAACTGTTTGGCCCTTTTACATTTGTCCAATCCAATCCAATCCAATCCAATGTAGGAGTTCCTTGGAAGAAATCTCCTTGCTTTGAATGTCATGTGGAAGTATATGGAGCAGGTATTCAAATTCCTCCTACTCAAACAAATTTTAACTTTCTTGTTGGAACAAGCAACATGTCTGCAAACTGCAAAAGCAAAGTTGATAGTAATTAAATAATTAATCCAATCCAAATCTCTGAGTTTGCATGGTTTCCTTGGTGTATGTTATGTATGAGCTTCTCTCAGAGATCCTTTCCACTGACTGAAGAAGAGTACCTATTGAGGCTGGACGATGTGGCAAACAACTTGAAATGCTGGGGAGCTGTGTCGCATATCCGAAACAGCCTAGCAAAGCTCAAAGAGAGGCCTCGGATAGGAAAGGTAATCAAATCATCCAATCCTATAATTTGCAAGTAAACAACAGAAATAATAATGAACAATGATTTGTTTGTTGATTTATTGTCCATATAACCATTTCTGCAAGTCATTTTGTGCAGGCAGTGAGCATTTTTATCGATATGGACGAGTCTGGAGGGCGTGCAAATGAATGGATTTACAAGTAAATTGGCAAACTGTGGAGGAATTTATAAGTGAAGCAGAAGCAGTGGGAGTGAGTTGCCCACCCCCCACCCACCCAATGTATTTTACATCAAGCTAGATTAATTAGCCAATACTTATACGTCAGCCAGAGAGGGTTGTTTGAAGATGAACACAAATGTTCAGTATAATCAAATCTGTGATTTGTGCATAAGTAATTAGTGCTGGCCGCCTCACAAGGTCACAACACAAGGAAAATCAAATGTCAATATCACTACAAATGATCTCACTGTTGGAATTGGATCATACTAAAAAGGGAGGCAGGGGGTTGACTTCATGCATGAATTGATGAGAAGAAACTCTATATTCCTTTTACTGCAACTGCATGCATTTGTGGAGATCTTGGTAAGAAGACGTGCTACTGCGCTGCCTGCCTTATCACATGCACGAAATTATTATTACATTGACAAAAAAAAAAAAAAAAAAAAAAAGGACCTGCAACTGCTCAATTTTCAGCGGATTTAAGAAAAACCAAGACAAATATATTGAGAGTATTTTCATAGTTTTAAGGATTTTGCTGGTAATACAAATATATTTTCACTTTTTGACACGTGTCAAATTGTGATTGGCATGTAATAAATAGGAATTGCAGCTCCCGAAATATTTTGCTGGAATTGAAGAAAGAAAAGAGGTAAAAAAAACTAAAAAGAGGGAGAGAGAAAGAAAGAAACAGCTTCCTCCCACACTGTTTGTTTCAGTGTCTTTATATTCTCCAGCAAAACCCTAATATGCTCCCTCCCTTTTTACCTTGTATAGATAGAGTTTTGTTGTTGATGTTAAAGATCAAAAGCAACAAATCAAATTGTGTTAGAGTCTTAGAGACATTTTAATCTCAAGACTTATTATAAGTGAATTTCCCAAAACCCAACTTCATTTGTCTGTCTCTCATTCTCAGACTTCCACCCTTGAAAATGATCCTCAGAAATTAACCAAACAAAAGAAGGAGGAAAAACACACACACACACACAAACACACATACACTTATATTGAAGCAATTCATTCATTCATAGCAAACATTGAGCTTCAGAATGATTGATGGTTATGATCATGATGCAGCAGCAGACCTCTGCACCACCCGCGTCTCACTCAATTACTCCCCCCTCCTCCACCACCACCGCCATTAGATCACCTACGGCAACCCCCACACACTCGCAGCAGCCATCGCCTCTCTCTCGCCATGCTCTGCCTCTGCCCGCGCCACCTGTCGATCACGTGCTGCCTATCGCCGCTGCGCACCCTTCCAGTGAGCCTGCGTCCACAATTCCGTGCCCACTTGCGAGGGTCCGGCTCTCCGATATTGCCCCGTATGACGGGGCACCGAGCGGGCCGTATTTGAGGGCGGTGGAGGCGCTTTCGGGGTCTCTGATGAGGCACAATGCGGCCGTCATCGAATTGGGTAGCGAGGACGCGGCTCTCTTGCGCTGCGGCTTGGAAGCTTCCAGGTTGTATTTTAGGAGTAGAGCTCAGCTCGGTGCTGGGAAAGGAAGCCGTGGAGTTTACATGTACAGAGCTGGCAGGTATTGCTTAATTTGATGAATGACTGAGTGAGTGAGTTAGGAAATAGAATTAGGGCTAGCGTTGTCGTGTGCTGTATTGGTGATCAATGCAGTTTGAAATGTGTGTTTTTGGGTCAAAGAATTCGTCTTTGAGGATTTTCACATTGTAATTACTAATAACATTGTATTCAACTTTATGATTCTTTGTTTGTGCACTCATTTATCTATCTGTTTCTTGTTGCATTGAGCTTTATGATAACAGTCTTGTTATCGTTGTCCTATGAGAATTGAGATTTGGGCTTCTGAAGAGCTTCACTTGTTGCAGGGCTTTGGAAGATTGGGACTCATCCCCACCATGCATGGCTGATATTTTTAGGTGCATGGGCAAGGCGGCCCATGTTGCGTTGTGTGCAATAGCTAGGCATCTTCGTTTGCGAAGCGAGTAAGGATGGTGATGATGGCTCTTTAACTTTTCACTTGCTTTTCTTCTAGTTTTCCTGATTACCATTTTTGTATATCTGCTCATGTAACTCCCATCTTTGCAGTGTTTTTAACCAGTTACTTGATGATACTCCCCTTCCTGCTAATGAGGTGTCTTCATCAGTGCTTGTTGCAACCTACTCAAATGCTTCCATGCAAAATGGAAAAGGTGCTATTGGGGGAGGGAAGCCAGGAATGAATGGTGAAGTTGAGAAGGGGTTGTTGACATTGATTTCCTCAGACAGTCCTGGTATACAGGTGCCCTTCTTTTTCTTGGTTATCATGGTTTCTGAAAGATTGGTTAATTTGCAGATGATGAGCTTTGCATCTTATTGTCATTTGTTTCAACGTCTCTTCTAAACAAAAAGATGATTTGCTTCATGATTTCTGTAAATTACTTGTGCAAACTGTTTTCTGGTTCAGGTATGTGACCCCAATGGTCGTTGGTACCTAGCAGAGGTTGGGTTAGCTCCTGGGGATGTTTTGCTACTTACAGGTAAGGCACTCAGCCATGCTACAGCTGGCCTTCGCCCTGCTGCATCGTATAAAGCTGCTTCTGATTACTCCTCAGGCATTAATAATGGCGGGAGGTACAAATTGTCTGCTTTCCTTTGTTCCCATTAATATGTTTGTCCCGCATTTCAATCATATTTACAGGAAGTTCATTTGGAATTAACCTGATTGCATTTGGCGATTGTAGGACATCACTTGCATTTAGGCTCATGCCACAAGGTAACGCTATATTAGATTGCTCTCCAATTGCAGCGGCTGGTCATGTCATTCCCCAGAGCTATGTCCCAATATCTGTAAGCCAGTTTATGGATGATCTTTCTGCTGAGGAAGATGTATTGGGCAGTCGTTCTGATAGTACTTATGTAAGTTTTATCTTCAAGTACCTGATGTAGGGGGTTAAAGTTTTAAAAAGAATATAATGAGATAAAAACAAATAATGATGGAGGCTTTCTTGGATTTCATTGACAGGCTCAATGCCATATTTGTTATGATCTCTACACTAGTTATCTATTCATATCTTTAAATTCATTGAACTAGGCTTCTTAAGACTAGAAAAGCCTGCTTCTGTCAGTTTTGTGATTTAATAGAACTAAAAATGTTATTGCGTGGTTTGCACATGAAAAGAATATCTTAAACAGTAAACCTAAAAAGTATCACTAATTTATTATTTGTTTGTGGTAATGTTTATATACTTAAGACTTATCAAAACATCTTAAGCAACTATATTTCCTTTGCACCACATTATTTGTATCTATAATTTTTATATTCTTTTACGAAAAAGACAACTTGTGTGGCCCAGGACTGACAGCTTTCTTATTATGGAATTTGCATTTGCAGGTAGCTCGAAATAATTCAAACAAAGAACCATCTTTAAGAAGTGTTCTCTCAGATCCCTTATCGTAAGTGGTTATTTGCCTTTGAACTTAGTTCCTTATCTGCCTAGCAATATGCTGTCCGTTTAAATTGTAAGCCTCACTGTTGTCATGTATGGGCTGGTCACTCGGGTATGTCTATGCAGTGGATGATGCCTGCTGACCAGCTTGGGGTTTCGAGAGTTTCACAATGATAATGAAAAGTTCTGAACTTATAGTAAATAACAAAGATTACTGATAAGATCATTACATCAAGACTTAATATGCTAGGATGGTTGGTGGGATGGTTGATATTTCTAAAGCTCAATCTGCAATTGTAGACTAAGTCTTATCTCTCTAAAACTCCCCCCTCCACTTGTTGGTTATCTCAACATGTATTTATTCTTATAGGGTGCTAAAGTTTCTTCTTTTTTCACTCCCTTTTTGGTGTGATCTATAAATGCTTCAGTGGTGCATTCCTTGAAGATGCTGTGGTAGTTTCCTGTGGGCATTCATTTGGCGGTCTCATGTTAAGAAGAGTCATTGACACAGTAAGTAGGCTATCTCCTGATACTAGAAGACATATGAGAAATGCTGCTCTTATTGCTTTGTAGAGGCCCAGGGATTTTGTACGTGTGGATGTTTGTATCCTACTTCTGATTTTCTTATGACCAAAGGACTGCTATTCTCTTAATATCCTTCATGCCTTCTTATCATCGCCTTGCTAATGGATTTATTACCTCTAGACGGGAAAGGACTAGAATCATAACTACAGTTGTTTTTTTCCATCACAGTCAAGATGTACCCTCTGCAGTGCAGACATTGAGATCGGGTCTCTGGTTCCTAATCTTGGTAAATTCCATTTTGCTTTTTAGTTCTTCCTAAATATGTTCTTATTCCAATTTGTTTCATAATCTTTCTACATAAAAAATATAAAAAAATGCGCACACGCACACATGCATATTATATTTTTTTAATATTGGATCATCATGCTACACCTACATTTCTATCCACTTTTACAAGGCAATACATTCCTTGTTGTTTCTATTTATATTTTGACATAGAATGATTTCCTCAACAGCTCTGAGAGCTGCAGCTGCAGCAGTGAAGCATGAGGATGATCGAAGGCTATTTCATAATGCGACTATCCGAAAGCGTCGGAAAGAATTGGGTGACCAAATGGATTTATCAAGAAGACCAAACAGGGTGAGTGATAAAAATGCCTGATATTTCTATTACATATTCCATTTAGACTTTTGAAGTCATGCAAGTCATTGTCAGAATATATGAAAATGGGAAGTGAAATGGGATGTGTAAGGTTAACAGATTGTAGGTAGGCAATTGTGACATATGAAAATTATTAAGCTGTGGGGCTGCTGAAATTGATAAGGTGTCTTGACAGAGTTAGATGGAAGATTTTGTGTCATATTGACTACGGTTATGGTAAATGAGGAAAGTCAAGTGGTGGTGATTCATGGAATTTGCAAAATGTCTTTGGAGTAAGGAGGGTACACATCCGTGTTTCAAGCATTCCTATTGCATAATTTGTTATGCGTGTGCAGGAAAATGGAGATGTTGGTGATGATGGGCTTCGTGGGGTGCAGTATCCATTTTCTGTGAATGAAAAAGTGGTAATCAAGGTGAGTTTATTTCATTGTTTATCAAAATTGTCTGTTGCCCATGATTGATCAAATAGGAATTGTAAAGGGAATACTTAATTATGCAGGGGAACAGGAGGACTCCAGAAAAATTTGTTGGGAAGGAGGCGGTCATTACATCGCAGTGTCTCAATGGCTGGTGAGTTGGCATGACTAACCTGTGCTTCTTCTTTTTTCGTAGACAGAAACTTTTGTATCCAATGCTTTCCTCATGTTCATGCAGGTACTTGCTCAAGATTATTGAAACTGGAGAGAATGTTCGCCTGCAATACCGTTCCTTAAGGAAGATGTAGAACACGCCAGCCAATGAGGACAATGCTCTTCACAAACCATCGAGAACAGCATCGCACGAAATCATTAACTTGTTGTAGTACGTAAACCTCGATATAGAAGTTGCTCGTCAGTCCACCACCCCTTTGTTGTAACTTCTTGTGTTGGAATATGTAACCATAAGAGAAGTAGTGTATTAGAATCTGAGAGTTTCAGTTGAGCGCATGTAAAATGGAAAACAATGATACGTTTTTAGTTAGTGTTTTGGGTTTTACAGGTGATGGTACTTTGATTATTAAACTCTACCCTTATCCAGTAGTGAATTAGGCAGCGAATGAAGACGACCACAAATGACACATGATGAGTAGGCAGATAGAGCTTCTGTCCTCGCTCCTCTCTCTCTCTCCTCCTCCTCCTCCTAATAATGGATTTATTTATTTACATTTTAAATTAAAGGAAGATTGTCCCTAAACTTCAATGTCTGCCCAAATGATTCAGTACGGAATCAAGTTATTTCATTGCACATATAGAATGTGCACAATTTGCAGTTGTACAGTAGGCGTGGCTTGTGGGACGCTTCTTCTTCCCTCTTTCAATCTCTCTCACAAACACAAAAAGTTTGCATTCAAAGTTGGCAAAGCTCATGTTCCTTTCTCTCTCCCGCCCACCTCTCTCGTCCTTTTCTTTTCTGCTGCCTACAAAAGCAGCCAAGCCACCGCTACGGCCTGTGCTAATAATTTCCGATTCGATTCTGAAAACTTCACCTCCGGATGCAAAACATTTAGAGACATTTAGAGGGAATTTAAGTGAAACTATGTCGTTAAATTAAAATCCACAATTATACTTTTATTATTATTGGTTTACTGGAATAGAAATAGACATAAGAAAATGGATTAAATTGAATGTTTACCCAAACATTTTACAAGGTTAGAACTTGTGTAATTCATTCACTGGTTTTAATTTTAATTTCCTTTCAGTGAGGACAGGAAACTAAAGATATGGGGGACAATTCCAATTTACAAAGGCTAATGAAATTTCACTATCACTCTTTCTATTTGTAATTGATTGATTCGGGTGTGGTTTTGCTTCTCTTTGTTTGTTCGTTCGTCTCTTTCTTGCTTTCAGTTTTGTTTATGGCTTTTGGCCCCACTCCTCTCTCTCTCTCTCTCTCTCTCTCTCTCACCTTCTCCAGCATGTGGTTCCTGTTACACAAAACACCATTGAACATCGCATTCACGCCATTACTCAACCGCTCCAACCCATCCGAAAACGACCCGGTTGCCCTCTCCAGCGCTTTTACGACATCGTTTAGCCGCTTCTTCTCCTCCTCCTCTACCGCAACTCCTGCCACGTCATCAATGACCTCACACACTTCCCTTACACGTGTCCCCACGTCTTCCAACTCCTCCAATAGGCCTTTCTGTTTCTTGTCCTTTTCGCCCCCGAATCGCCGTTTCAACTCGGCAGACATCTCCGATTCCAACTCGTTCAACGACTCAGCCCATGAAAACTCCGCCGGCACTCCGACCCTTACCATCTCAGGAGATCCGTGTATCGTCGCCACCACGACTCCGGCGACGAACACAGTCACCAATCCCACGGCGTGCACGGTTCGACGCACGAGCTTACGGACCCTCGAGGCCTTGCCGCGTGGCACGTTGCGGAGCCCCGTGGCCATATCTCTGACCAAGACATCCGCATTGCTCCGTTTTCCGAGGTCCGAAGCACAGCGCTCGAAGTCGGAGAGAGCTTTGCTGGCTCGACGGAGCTTCTCCGGAGACTGATTCCCGTCGCCGAGAAGGTGAAGAACGAAGGTGAGAAGAAGGCGACGCTGGCGAAAGCGTTCGATGTCTGCAGAGACGGAGTTGCAGAGGTCCAAGAGCTTGACGCTGTCGTCCAAATACCAAGCAAGCGAATCATCAAGAGCCGCTACTTTGAGGTTGGAGATGAGAACTCTGGCTTCGGACTGAGCCAAGGCGAGGAAATCGACGGCCTTGGAGAGCCAAGACAGGCTGATCGACGGTGGAGTCAGCGTTTTCAAGCGGCAAAGCAGAGCGTCATCGAAGGAGCGTGAGATGAGGTCCAAATTGTTGGGAACGGAGTGTTTCTTAGCAACGCGAAATGGCGAGAACAAAGAAAAGTGGGAGATTTCCGTTTGGTACATTGCCAGATGTGAATGTTTTCAGGGAGAGAGATTGAACTTTTCCGAGGAAAATGTTCCAATGTCTGGCCGAGTGAAGAAACAAACGGCTATATACAATATGTGTGTGTAGAGGTTTATATTAGAATATGAAAGGGTACCGGGAGAGAGAGGAAGTTTGGCAATTGGCATGCAATTTCTGATAAAAAGTTTATGCTTTCTTGGTTTCTTCTTTCTAAGACGCGGTTCCGAGAAGAAATCCACTACTCTCTACATCCTCAATTTACGCTATTGCCCGTCGCTTCTGGGATGTTCTTACTGAATGCCGGTTTAGGATAGGATTACACAAATGCCCCTAACTGTTTGACCAGAGCTTTTATATCAAATATGGAAAGGATATATGAAGGTTAATTTAGGAAGAACAAGTACAGTGGGAGTGGAGGAGGGAAGGGAAGGACTGGACCGTATCTTTCGGTGGTGGACTGAACACGCTAATTTGGTGTAAAGGCCCGCTCATCCGTCATTCCTGCCTTCCCCACTTGGCACTTTATATTATTTATCCTTTGCATTTCTTATCATAAACAAGAAAAAAAGTTCATATCGCTTAACCTACCACCTATCGATATCTTTAAAACTACCTCTAAATTTAACTCCTGTGTTTGGTACATCTCAAAAACACTTTTAAATTGTTTAGTTAAAGCGAAACGAGTTTGTACGTCTCAAAAGCACTTCTAAATTGTTTAAGTAAAGCGAAGCGAGTGGCAGAAAACTATAAGCGGTGCTTACGTAATAAAACAGAATCTAATCTGCATTTTGCAGTCTGCTGTACGCAAGGGGAAAGGAAGTAATAAATGTATACCTCCTAATATTAGTAGGCTTAACTAATTCTTTTCTCTAACCTTTAAGCGTGTCAAATTGAATTTCTGGCAAGCAAAGCTTTGCCCTGTCATCCCTCCCCACCTACCTAACCTTATATTTGTGCTAATGCTTATATGATGTTCCACTAATCCATTCGCATTAAAGGAAAAGAAAAGAGTTTCGGCTTAAACAAGGATTTCTACAAAATTTCATGTTTTCTTGAAGCTTTTTCAAAGTTGTGCATGCTTGTATAAGAATATTGCAATAGAAGTTTTGTTCACGGCTTAAAGAAATAGCAATAAAATTTCAATAATAAAATTAAAATTGTGAATGTTTTTTATGTGGATTGCCCTAATCACGGGATATCAAACGAAGTTGCGGCATTATTAATCAGTCTCTCACATCACATGTATGATGATGACAAGTAAACCAATAAAATATTGAATTACAACAAGGCTGTTAATACAACTCAAGCCAATGGTTTTCATTAGTTGGGGTGAGGAACCGCCTGACAACACTAGCCACAACTTGCTAATATTGCCAAGTTCTTGGCCCTTTCCCCTTCCTGGAATATATCATATATACAAGAATCTCATCATCTCTCTTTTTTTTTCTTTTTCTTTATTCTTTTTTAGAAAGTAAGCGATAACATATTATTGATGAACAGACAAAAGTGGGAACTATGGTGGTAGCTCCTTTTAGTTTCTTGCAAAATTAAATGATATCTAATTTTGATATTGATGAAATAATTACAAGCAATCCCCCAATTACACTTTCATCTCCAAGGAAAAACAAAAGGAGGAGAGAATACGCACTGAAAATAATAACAATCTTTTACAATAATATTTAACCGTATATTTTTAATGGAGCTCCTAGAAGAAACATTGATTAATCAACAGAGTCTAGGCAGAGGTCTAGCATGAGTTGGGGTAGCCAAAACATGATTATGCTTCACCATCCTTGACATCTGCCCCTTCATTTGCCTGCACAGTTTCTCTAACTCCACCACCCTCCATTGCATCCTCTGCAAGTTTAGTGTTTCTTCCATCTTCCCTTCTTCTGCTAAGCTCTCTTCATCATCAGCATCACCCTTGTACACAAACCTTTCATAATTTACACATTGTTGTTTTGGTTTTGGTGTTGGTGGTGTTATTTTGGATTGTTGAGACATAAGGGCTTGCATGGCAATCCTTGGTGGGATTTTTGGATTCTTGGCAAGCTCTTTACATGCTCCAAGGCTCAGCTTTTCATAGTTTAGGCATCTGCATAATCTTGACCGCTCCTCAAATGAAAGACTAGGATGAGACTGCCCACCACATATTAAATTCAAAAATTAACTATCAGTAATCAACTACATTAAACATGAGTTTCTGAAATCATACAAGTTAAAAACACATCTTTTAAGTAATAACATATATTGGGCAACGTGGGAGCACGTGTGGCCATAGGGCTCAAGACGTGAAGCCTTACTTCAAGATATCATGAAGTTGAGCTTCCATCTTAAAACCAAAAACCAATTGACAATAAGGAGAGTAGCCCAACTCCTTATAAACTCAGACTAGGTCTACTAACTTTTTAATGTGGGACTCTCAACAAAAATCACATTCACATAAATTAATTGGAATATGCATGCCAGCCAAAAGATATGGGCCATAAATCATGTGAATACTAATATTAATTCCTAATAGCAACAATACCCCTTTCCCATCAATAGATTATGATATTGTGTTCCCCATTCTTCAAGTAATAGTAAAGGATGCCCATCATTCTTTTGTGCCTCTTTTCCTTTCCCCATCTGGCCATGGAGGCTTTCTATCTTTTTTCATTTCCTTTTGCCACTCTCAGCTTATTGGACAATGACATCCCCATTTTGAAACAGAGGGAGGGATTGATAAAGGATGGGGTTACCTATACTTTGTATAGCCTAGCCACATTCCAAAGATTAGAATGCATCCTTATTTCTTGAGAGACAGAAACAGGCAGATTGTTTGACCCAAAAAAAGAAGAAGAAACAGAAAGGCACACTCTCTGCAGGAACGATGAACCAAATTTTCCAGAATAATCAACTAAGTTTCTTCCTTCTTTTTTTTGGTCTGATTCCTTCATGATAGACAATTTGGAAACAGAATGCTAATTAATGCAACTTCTCTACCCAGAAAAAGAAAGAAAAAAAACAAGGAAATAAGAAAGAGGAATTGTTAAGTTCACTTTTTTCAAAAGCTTTCAATTATTTTGTCATGATGGCGCAAAAGAACACGGAAATAAAAGAAGGGAGAGGTATGGCATGCTCACCTCAAGATAGATATCAATGGCTCTGTAGGCCCCATCAAAGCAATCCCTGGCAGAATCAGGTAAACTCTCTGCAACTCCCAAAAATTTAGAGATCTTGAGATTCTGATCAGGGGATATTTCACCCAAGTACTTATCTATCAATCTCCCGGCTATCTTCAACTTCTGCACTGACACTCCATCACTTTTAACAAACACTCTTATCAATCTTATCACAAGATTGACATCATAAACACCCCTGTCATGCCCAGACACTAGCAAGTCATCCAATGTTGCTTCATCAAGCATTCCACCAATCAATCTTTCCAAACCAAGCCTGTACTCTTTACTCAGTCCAAAGCCAGACACAATCCTCAATACCCAAAACAGCGCTCTGCAGGAAAACGTTTTTCTCCCAACCGAAATGACCCCATGAACAGCTGTGTCCACAAGACCACCAAACTCACATTTTGAATTCACAGCAGCTGATGATGTATGATTATAATTAGCTTTCCTCTGAGCTGAAACTTTCAGGTAATGAAGGAGAAATCTTGTGAGGATCAAGCTGTTGTTATCAGTTCCATAAGCACCCAAACTCTGGAAGAGTTTTTCAATGATCTTTGGTGGTAAAATGGCCACATCATCAAACCACCAAGCTCTGCTTGATGAGCTTGGCTTGATTGATTCAGGGGTGTTCTTATATGAGGAAGAGGGTCTAAACCCAGATGCAGTTTCTGGAGAAGAGGACGTAGAAGACGACGCGGCAATGAGGCTGCTTATATCTGAATTTTGAGCAATCTTAGCCAACAGAGCACAAATGAGTTTGTCTAGCAGACCAGATGAATCTGCATAGTTGCAGAATGAGCCGCAGCTCTTGAGGCAGACTAGTATGTCTTTCCATGACCACTCAAAAAGTCCATCAAGAAAGACTTGTGTTTGCAGCAATAGATTGCAAGTTGAGAGCTTCTCAGTCATTCCAAGGTAGACTGCACAGCAGTGGAGGAGGGACACATTTGAAACTGTGGTTGTGATTCTTCCATTGTTGTAACAGAATCGAGAAATTAACTCGAACCCATCAGGACCTCCAGGGAAGTCATCGATTTCAATCCCTGAATTCTTGATCTGGGTCCTTCTCCTTTCCTGCTTGATGATCTTCTTCAACCTTCCTGAATATGTTGATAAAATCTCCTGCAAAAGTGTGTTGGAAACTTTTTAAGAGATTGTTTGATTACATGGAAAGAAGTGTAACAAAGTTGCAGTTTCCATACCTCATTCACAAAGAATGTTTGCTGACCATTAATGTGGATTTGAAAATCAGAGAGTTGTGACATAGCTGTTTTTGCATTGAATGAATTTCAACAAACCTCTATCTGCATCACAGACCGCGAGAGAAGGCTGAAAGCTAATGTGCTGCTGGCCCAAGACAAGGGGAAAAGGAAAATGTTTGTACACGCCTAGCAGTGACCCTATTTATAAAGGGTACAAGTGTCTGATTAAAAATAAATCAATAATAAATAAAGAGTACAAGTTTTTGACCTTTAGGAGGAGCATCATGACTCATCAGCAATCTTTTAATTTAATCAGTGAACCGTGTTGAAACAAGAGGGCTTCTGTTCTGTCCCAAAAGATTAAAAAAGGAGAGAGAGAAAGAGAGAGAGTAGATTTTTTCTTTGCAATTGCTGCCATGCTTTTCCATCCAATGATCCATACAATTGAGGATTTGATATCCCACCAATAAGATGTCATGGTATGGACATCAAGGAAGGAAGGAACATATTCCCAATGAGAATGAGAAGTTGTTTTGCTTTGGGTTCTTATTTAAGAAGTGAGTTTTTGAACAGGAACAAATAAAAACAAAGAAAGAAAGAACTTACACAAGTTTTCGCTCATTCGATTAATCCAGAAAATAAATGTTGGTTCAACAAATAGAAAGATAAAGATAACGTGGAGATTTTGTCTTTTTATAGGGAGACAAATTCTGCAAGTCAAGAAGGTTGCTCTCATGGAATAGTTAAATTGTTATTCCTTCGTCATACATGCAAGCTCAAGTTGCCTGCACTTTAGGACTTATTATAATTAAGGACAATCAGATTTCAGACATGTGAAGAAGGGGCCCAGCCAGCAGCACACAGAGAGAGAGAGAGAGATAGCAGCAAATGAAGGAACAATAAGTTATTCTGTCTCTCTCGTGTTGTTATAGATGGGATTATATTTTGTATTAGCCGCATCAGGTTAAGAAGCAAAGCATAATTTGTAGTAAACAAATAAAAACTAGCAAGGTATCAAACTGGGAGAATCAACATTAATTAAGCAGCTAAATAGTTAATAATTGCGGATGGGGTTTGGCAATTTAAGGTCAGTTTTATAAAAATACAATAAAAAAGGTCGAAGGTGAAATCACAAGTGTTATATCATTTAGGTAGTTGAGTAGAGCTGTGCATTTTGGTACTTGTGTTTCTACCTTTCGTTGAAAAAATGAAGGAAGAAAGACTAGGCAGTTGATCAAATGAATATCAATTCTTCGGTTTTTTTTTTAACACAAGTGATATTGCGGAGGGTTTTTCTCACATACACTGCTAATGTGTCATTAGACGGCCATTTTCCACCGAACTAGACCTCATTGGCCCATATCCATCCTTTGTTAAAACTTAAAAAATAGGATTTCGAAACAAAAAACACTCAACCATGCAATTTCGAAAATACCCCATTCCATTGTGACCAGTTAATATTCATAACTTAAAAGGAAAATGATGAAAGCAAAATTTGAATAGTGCCAACGTATGGAAAATAAATTTTACATGCAGGCGCAGATCACAGTTCGAAGAAAGTGGAGGAGACCCATATTCCATCCGACTAGCTTAAAATGCCAAGTAAAACAAAGTTCAACACGAATGCAGTCCGACCTATTTGCATAGGAGAACCAAAACTCTATCCCATAACATTCAGTAACGGTGCCTGTTCCGGTCTCGATCCCTGTCCCTGTCCCTGTCCCGCCCATATTCTTTGTCCCGATCATAATCATAATCTCGAGGTCGATCTCTCCCCCTATCCCTTTCCCTTTCTCTGCTTCTACTGCGATGCCTATCCCTGTCATCTCTTTCTCTGGTCTTGCTGGTCGGTCTATCATCACGTTCCCTTCCTCTCTCTCTATTTCTCTCCCTGCCATCTCTGTCAATTACACCTGCCATATCATTATTGTGAACAAAGTCAATCACTTATTTGACTAAAACAGAATGGCAACAACCATTCAGGTAAAGTTCCTAAAATAAGCTTCAGGCTGAATAGAGATTTTTTAGTGCTATGATTGTATGAAATGGAAAAAGGGACAATCATGTCGGAGAACAGGTTAATTAACTCCTAGGTATATAACCCCAATAATTAGGGATTTTAAATCTAAATTATTAAATCAATTACAACATACTTAAACATTATGGATAACCATGCCAAAAAATGCACAAGTACCTATTTCCTCCACCTCCCATCCAGCACGTCCAGCACCTGGAAGAGCTCGTCCAGTTTCAGTTTGTTGTGTTTTAGCACGAAATTTTTTCTTAAGGTTGCCAAACTCATCATACATCTCGCCATCATCCTGAGAATGGCACAAAATTTCAGCTAAACCAGGAAAAAAAAAATTGAAACTTGAACAAATGCTATCTATGTAACTAAATCTTACTTCTTCTGCCTCCCGCCGACGTCGCTTGATTTCCTCTAATTCTTCTTCATCAAGTTCTTTGTAACCCCCACCACGCCCCCCTCTGTCAAATACATGTAAGGCAAAGCAGTATAATCTCTAGAAATGTCACAAAAGAATGCTAAAGTAAAGTACAGACCAAAAAATATTTCTAATAGAAGTAGAGGTAACCTAAGAAAACAGGAAAAAAACAGCATATTGTCTTCTTGCTTAACCACCACCAATGTGTATCTAATTCTGCAGCTGGAGGGAAATATGACAGTTTGAGAAAAAAGAGTGGCAGGGGGAAAGAACGTGGATCCCTATAGCGTGTGAAACAGGAACAGGTACTTCATGGACCAATTAACTTTGTTTACAAGGAGAAGACAACATGATTTATATTCTTCACATATAAAGGTTATTATTCAAATAATTATGTATATTTTTTCCGTTTAATATTGTGGGTGTGAGGGAAGGGAAGCATTTACACATTTAGGTATGAACATAGGTACATAACAACCATAACAGGAGAAGACTGTGCATAAGTATGTTTATGTTATATTAGTATCACATCGTCTCCAACACAATAGATTCCTATTCTTCACTGGCAACTGATAATATATTAAAGTAATAATCATTTAATACCTTACACCACCTTCATTGTGACCAGGTCTATTTGTGTTGCATATGTTGCATTTTGTACGCTTTGCCCAGTTGATGTTGCCACACCTGAAACCAAAAAAGCAGACGGAAAGTGTGAACAATAATGCACTCAGCTCAGCTCATGACACAATATAAATAACATCTTTGTCCAACTTCAAATAAAAAATGCATAAGATACTGCTATCTAGTTTTCAAGCACAATAGAATTAGCTTACGAGATGAATGCAATATGCAAACTTCTATATATCTGAATATCAACAATTGAGTAGGCCAGTACAGCATCAATCATATAGCCTCATCGAACTTAGCCTTCAAGTATGAAACCTAATGCTACATGAAGTAGTTACAACTCACAATGTCAAGGTGTTATGTGTGTCATAAAAACCAATTAACTAAGGTTGATGCAGGATGGCACTTACCTCCCAAAACCACGCAATATGATAAAAGATACGTTAAGATGTAAAGAAACTCAAAATCACAAGAAGATAAAATAAAAAACCCTTAAAATCTAACGAGGAAACCATGCTTCCAAAATATGGAGATGCTGAAAATCCTTCACTATCTTATATAGGAAAAACTTCTGAGATTGTGGTCACCTAATTTATTAATTAAGTTCACATGATTTTCACCTATTGTAAAAACAGCAGAGCCAATTTTTTCTTAAAAATTCAGAGCTGCTCATGAACTAAATTATTGAATAATTTCCCACCATTCCACTTCATTGGACTGGAACTTAACAACAACAACAACAACAGTAACAAGAGTCTACAAGATAGAAAAGGCCTTGAGAGTGGGAGGGAGAATGCAGTCTTACATTGGACAAGGCCAATCATTTGGACCAAAGAGTCCACCTGTAGGAGCACCAACAGGACCACCACGGCCCCCAGAGTCAAGTCCACGACCCCTGCCACGACCACCACCTCCTGCGCCACCACCGGAAGCACCAGTAGGTCGAGCACTTCCACAGCGATTGCACACACCGCGAAATGCAAAATTCACGTTGGAACAGCTGCTATAAAAATATGGCATGAGAAGCCATTTACTGTGTAAATATTACATTTAAGAAATACAGATGCTCAAAAAAGTGCAAGAAAGAGCTGCTCACCAATCTCACATCACAGACCTTGTATTCGGACATGTCCAGTCTCCCTCTTGTTGCCATGCTTTCCCAGGAGCGTCACCCCGACCTCTACCGCCGCCACCACCTCCATTTGTATCCTGAGCAATTTCCTCGAGTCCATCATACTCACCACCAACAATTGGATCGCCCACAGGATTCTGAATCTGATCATCTTTGCTTTTTGACTCTGCTATAAAAACCCCAATGGCATTACCATGGAAATCCTTGTCGTTAAACCATTCAACGGCTGCTGATGCAGCATGCGGATCTTCATATGTTACAGTAGCATCTCCCTTAGGTTCGTTTGTCAGTTTGTCTCGGTACAGCCAAATTTTTGGTCGGCCTGTTCGCTTGTCTTTCTAAATAGTAGAAAGCAAGAATGAAAAAGAGTAAGCAAGAAAAAACATATGAGAATTCCATATGCACAAAGAAACTTATGTTGAAGGTCAGTTAAAGAGTAGCAAGTGCAACTTCTGACAATATCCGGTCAAACTCCCTACCTTTAACAACCCAATGGTGCCAAAATATTCAGCCAACATATTTTCATCAGTCCCCTCAGGCAAGTTGCAAACATAGACAGACCCAATTGAAGGAGCTCCTTTTCCTGGATAGGTTGCCATATAGCTCCACTTTCATGAAACTGGGCTAAGTGAAAACCAACTCCAATCCTTCACAAAGGCATACTTTCAGTAAGACATTTTTTTTCTAGTTGTATTGAAATATGCAAATATTAAACGTATTAGATAGAAAGACATTTATTTTGCAAAGGATTGAACGTGGCAGAGCAATCCAAGGAACGACAATGTATTTAAGTGTAGTTCATAAACAAGCCAATGATGATAAAATACATCGGGTTAAAAACTACTGCAAAGTTGGGATGGTTTTTACCAAATTACTGAACCATTCGAAACCATTGAGGAATATAGCATTACTCAAGCAAATAAGAAATATGAGGCTCCTAAGTCCTACACCATCTGAACAATGTTACCACGAAACGAGCAGAAAACCAGCAAAGAAAAATTAAGACTTCCACGGATTTGGCATCGTCATACAATGTCAAATGTCCCAATATCAGGGCTTCCGAATTTCAAATTCCTTTTCTTTTAGCTGATTGTCAGGACCAAATCTTCCCTTACCTGAGTTTCCTTTCAACCTAACGGCGGTCGCAAGCCTCAAGCCTCTCAAATGTGCAAGCCTTAACCCTAATTGTGCGATTCCGCTGTCTTTATCTGCGAACCCCTAATTATAATCGCGAACGATTGAAGAAGATAACTATGTTAGTGCAGGATCAGAAGAGAGAGAGACTGGAAGCCCTAATTCTAAACTTGGGTTCCAGCTTCAGCCACTAGCACCAATTATCGGTTTATTGTAAATTTTTGTATTACCCTAATATTTCACACTTTAAATCTTTTTTGTTTCCTTTTTTTTTGTCTTTTTTTTTTTTTTTTTTTTTTTTTTTTCCCACCCTCCCTTCCCAACTTCCCCGTTTCTCCTCGGCTGTTGCACGTACACTCCACTAAAGCCAAGTGTCAAAGTGTAGGACACCCGTGTCCAACAATCAACGTCGTGTCCACAGTAAAGACACTTTTTGGACACGGGTCACTATATATGGATATTGTGAAACTGGAGAATGAATATCAATATTTTGTTTTTTTAATATATATATAAGTATTATTATAAATTATTATTTTTTAATTATCGTGTCCCCATGTCCGAATTTTTTGAGATTTTTCTTTTTCCCGTGTCGCCATATCTGTGCCCGTGCAACATAGGTGATCTACTCGATAAAAAATTCGCCTGATAGGTTTATCTCGACAAATTTCGCCAGGATAGGTCTTTCTTGGGATAGGTATATCTTGAAAAACATTCCTCGAGATAGGAATTCGATGGGATAGATATAAGTTATAACCATACCAATTTTTGTCGTGATAAGTCTATCACATCAAACTTTCACTAAAATAGGCCTATCATAACAAAACTTCGTCAGGATATGTCTATCCCGACATAAATTTGTTGGGATAGGTTTACCCAAATTCACCCCATCAATCATTTACCGGGATGGATATAACCCCACAAATATTTGTTGGGATAGGTCTCTTCTGACAAAATTTCGCCGAGATAGATGTACCCGACAATACTTCACTGGGATAGGTCTATCCTACAATACTTCACATGGATAGGTCTATCCAACAAAATTTCATAGGGATAGGTCTAGCCTGACAAAATTTTCACCGTAAAAATTTTGTTGGAATAGGTCTATCGTGACCAAACGTTCGCCAGTATAGGTCTCGCTATCTAAACCTTCCCTCCCTTACCGCAACTCAGACTCTTCTATTTTTACTTATGACTCTTTAATTTCTTCGTATAACTAAACACCTCCTCATCACCGAAATTGCAAAGCATTTGAATTTGATACAGGACTTTTGCAAAGTTTGGTTTCATTTTTTTCAATAAAAAAGATTCTAACATACTCTAAGAACATTAGGGGAATGATATATTTTGGTCATTAAATCACTTGTTTGTGGCATGAGTCATGACCAACAATATGTCTTCATTTACTTTCTTTAAAAGAAAGAAAAAGAATATCAACGGGGTGTAGCCCAATGGAAAAGAGCCTTAACTTGTAGACTAGAAGCCTCAAGTTTGAATCTCCACAACATCATAATTGTGTGTATAAGAGAAATCCTCATAGTTTAGACTATTACTTGTACTTAAAAAGAAGTAGAAGTACATAGTGATGGGGCTAATTCCTAATCAGAATCCGTTGGAAGCAGAGGTATTGCCAAAACAAAGACATTTAACGGACATGCCAGAAACCGGTATTTGGGTAACAAAGGTTACTAGGGCAAAGAGAAAAGCAATGAATTTTAAAGGGCACATTTTTTAAATGAAGGTCGTGAGGGGTTTAGCCTATAAGCTAGTTTGTCCTTTTGTAAAAGTATATGAATTTTAAAGTCATATGCTGCACCAAAAGAGTATAATATGTGCATGCATTTCAATGGTAAGCAAGCATTCGCTACAACAAATTATTCCCAAGGGACAAGATAGCTGGACAAATTACTTCTTGAATAAAATTTGTAGGCTAGGGATGCTGGGACATTTCTTTTTCTTCTTTAGCAGTACAATTACTTGGAAAGCTCAGCTTAAATAGTAAAACTTGTAACATTACAAATAATACGCTAGTAAAATCAGCTTAATCACTTCAAATAATATTATACAACTTATAATACAGCAGCGTCGGTTTGTGTCTGTATCCTCTCCTACTCAAGTCAAAATTATGAAAATCAGGACTTGGGCAAAACAAATTGAACGCCTAGTCTCTAAATTCTAACCAAAACATCATCTTCGGTCATGGGTACCCCTAGATCCAAAGGGAACTCTTCCACCGTCAACAGAGCTTCTACTTTTAGCATCTGTTTTCCTGTCTTCCTTGTGATCAAGTGCTGACTTTTGCTTCCGTAGCATTTCTTCGGAATATCGTCGCCACAACACTTCCTTCTCTTTTCTTGCCATCTTATTGTATCTAGGATCTGACTTTAGAAGACGTTTTGCTGTGGACCACGAATTTAGAACGGTTTTTCCATCTTCGGTCTCCTGGGACGCTGCTTCTGCAGTCAAGACTTCAGCCAACAGAGCTCTGAACTCATGCGCACATCGCTGGAAAAGCCAAACGATTAAGTAGGATTACAAAGGGTGCATTCTTTTACCGGAATAAGTTACAAGCAACAGAGACAATTCTTAACTATGGAAACAAAATTCAAATGGATCCAAGCACTAGATTATATATTACCTCATTTAGCCTCTTTATGTGTTCCCGGAAGAGCTTTTCCATGTCAGATGGTTCTAAGTCGGGGTTGGCTGCACGCCTTTGTGGATCCTTCTCCAATTTAGGTTTAGATCCTGTCCAAGATGCCTGAGTACATGATAAACAAAACGTATAATGATTTATTAAAACACTATACACCACATTCATACCATACTAGATATGCAGCAATACATCTCAGATGCATGGTTTTAGATAATGAAGCCCAGGACAAAGTCCCTAAAACATAAAACCAAGTTACCAAAGGTAATACCTGAGGATCTTTAATTGTTTCCACAAGTAAAGCTTGAAAAGTAGCAACTGCCTCCTTCCTGCGAACTTTCAGTCGCACCCTCTCCGTTTCTTGTTCTTCTCTTTCCTTCCTCTTCCTCAATTCTCGCTCCCTTTCCCTCAGTTTCTCCTGAAAGCCAGTGCAGGGAAGACAAAATCTTAACCATTTTCCTTTTTTCAAAGTACACTCTCGTAGATGCAATAAACTAATAAGATATAGGTTCTGCTTTTTTTTTAAGGTCCTATAAGTTCTTTGTCAAATGCTTTGAAGAACTAATTCTGAAATCCCCACCAACACACCACCTGAAGTGATAAATAACAAAATAGCCAAACAAAAATGAAGAGGCATATTGGTTAATAAATCAATCATTCCATATTTACCACCTTAAATTTCCCACTTCTTTTAATAAAGGTTTTCTCATACGTAAGGTTCACTTATGTTATCATTATTGGTTAATCTTCAGAAGTTTAGCAAATTAACAAAGACCAATTATTAAAATGTATAGTTATATACACAGATATATGTTCAGTACAAGTATTTGATTCCAATCATGAAAACCTTTTGAGCCTATGAAAGTCCCGTTTTATGTATCAATAGCGTGTGTGTATGTGTGTGTGTGTGTGTGTGTGTGTGTGACTCTGAGAGAGAGAGAGAGAGAGAGAGACAGACAGACAGACAGACAGACAGACGAACAGACAGAGAAAAGGAGGAGGGAGTTCCTAACAAATGTAGATAGAGTCTTTACCTGCTCATCCCGCTTAGCTTTTGCCTCTCGTTCTGCTTCCTCCTCCACAGCTTTTAGATCAGATATATACTGATTGAATAATATTTCCCTATCCTCATGCCTAACAGATTTGTATCTTGGGTCATTCCGCAGACTATCTTTCACCTACAGCAAGTCCCCAACAGAAATGATTCTACAAGAGAAAAATTAATGCAAGGTTCATATAAAATTTCTAGCACACTTAGTATCTCATATTTGTTTACTTGGTGCAGAACCTACATTCAAAAGTTTTTTAATATATAATTTATTGACCCCATTCTTTAGATTTCACAAAATGTGGCAGATCCTTGTGTCATTCTAAAATATCTTAATGATCTAAAACACCAATAAGAATTGCTTCAAAATGAAGCGGCCCAAATTCCTCATTGGCACAAAAGACACCCAGAAGCACATTGTCTGGAAGCACACTCTTCTGCACATCAATTAAACCACAACCTGAATATACCTACCCTGGACCAACGAGAACTAACAGTAATATCTCCTTTTTCTTGAAGCATGGACTTAAAACTAGTTGCAGCAGCAGCACGCGCTGCTTGAGCCTTTTCTTCAGCAGCCCTCTTCAATGGAAGGACCCTGCAAGTACAACAAAAATCATATATGACCATTCTGATATAAATTTATCATAGAAGCAAAATTAGATATACCGTGTGAATCCAAAGAGATATATAGACTAAAAGACACACCCAAGAAATATGGGAATCTAGTCACTAACTTACTACTTTAGGTGGATATATATTCTAGTTGCTTTCATTGAAGGCAGATGATTATTAATTATCAGGATTTGTATTCCTTCAGTGGACATCTTGTCCTCTGTGTTGTACAATTCCATTTCATTAAGAATAAGAAGTCTACTTTCCTATTGAAAAATAAATAAATAAAAGACTTAACTTCACAGCTTTATATGCACAACACCAAGGATATATACATGTAGTCTTCTTATTAGGTGATACCTTTCATTCAACAAATGCTCACGATCCTTTCGATCTAAAGCCTCAAAGCGTGGATCATTGGCCCATTTCTTTCTGAAACTTTGGTAATCGGTGTTATGATCAATATCCTGAAAAATTTAAAAGATTCCATAAGCAATCTCCAATCCCCACAGTTCAGCTAAAAATATAGACACAAGCAAGATTCAAACTAAGGCAATCTAGAAGACCTCTGATGCTTCATCCAATAGCTGCTTAAATCCCTCTATTGCAGCCTTCTGAGCTGCTCTTTTTTCCTTTCTTTCTTCCTCTGCACGTGTTTTAACGTAGTGCTCAAACAACGACCTCCTAGCTGAATGACTTGGAATGGCCTGCAACAGTAGAGACCTTTAACAATAAGAAAACTATAACCGCAAATTTCTTAGTGTAGCAAGACAGAGAAAAACAGTAGATAACACTGCAGATAAAAGGAAAATTCCACAACTACAACAGTTTGTGCCCTGGAGGTCAGCACAGACCTCCTGCCTTGAAAGAGCCTGCCTACTGTACTCACAACAATTAATGCAAATATTACCCTTCCCAAACAGTGCATATATTGACTTCCCAAAAGTTAACTTCTCTCAGGACTAAAAACAATTTTAGTATTAGTTGTTAGCATGCACCCTAAGCCAATTGATGACACTAGAACTGACCCAAGAACTGGCAGAAACAAATTCACCCTTCCAAAAATTAGTAGATACATGAATCCAACAAACTTGTTTCAAGCAGTTTGAGTTGTAGGTTAGCCCCTTAATTCCCAAACAATGAAATTCCTAATATTTAGACTCAACAAACCTTAAATCGTGGATCAAACACTATCTTTGGCAGTTCCTTCTCCCACTTCGAGAATGGTGCCACTCCTCGTTCCTTAAGCATCTCCTGCATATATAATGTCCAGATGATTACCATTTCTCATCAGCCACATCTAAAGTTGCATCAACTCAAGTAAAATCAACTAAAGCCTTCAACTCAATCAGGAATGGTTGTATTTCAAGTTGCATCAAAGAGAAAAGAGTCCAAAGAAGCAAACCACACTTTCTATATACAAAAGGTCCAAGTTGAAAACTTCAAGAATGATCACCAGCATGGCATATTCCAAAGTTAATTTACTCAAAACCGTATATAATAAACAAAAAAGAAAATATTTAAAACTTAATCCCACTATAAGAGTACAATTTGTATCACTGTAGTAAAAAAAATGTGAATATCATCAATTTTTATGTCATCAGAATACGAAGTTGTAAAATAGTTATCATATTTTGTTGAATAACAATTACTATGACCTATTTATAAAAGAAGAAGAAAGATTCCAAATTGAAGTGAAAAGCTTCAAGGTTCATATTTACTTCTGGTTTAATAAAAAGCCAGAAGTGACAAGATACCTTGAATTGGGTAATACACTCCTCCTTTGTTGGCCCACTGTCTGCATCCTCTGAATCTGATGAGGAATCAGACAAGTTGCCATCCCCATTGATGTCTTTTAGCTTATCTTTACTATTATCGCTTTGCTGGCCCTTAGGTGTACTCTCAACTCCTCTTGAACCATTTGATTCTGATGGTGCTGGAACTGGTGAGGAAGTAACAGGAGCTCCAGAATCCTGCAACTTCTTCTTAATCAGATCAAGTGCAGATGATGTTCCCTGCACAGCTGATGGTTTAAAAGCCATGGCTTCACGACCACCCGTGTTAATGGCTGGAGCAGTCAAACTAATCGGAACAGATCCTTTTTCAGTCATTACATTGTTATTTGGGATTGATACTGGATGTTCTTTTGGTACATCAGCATCCTGCTTCTTTCTCAATTCTATCACTTCATTCGGGATCTGCCAGCTGCTTACCTGATTGTAGAAAAAGCAAGAAAGATGGAGTAAGGTTAATTATGTGTCGCGTGACTAGTAACACCTACTTATACGACAGAGTTTCTGAGTACCCAAAGGTTTTAAAAGGCAAGCATACGACCCATACCTTGGTTTTGCTATTATGGTAAAACTTTTTCCCATCGCTTGTTGTGACCAATACCCAATCAGTTCCAGATAAATTTACCCTAAACCAAAAAAAAAACCAAAACAAGGATAAATAAATAAATAAAACTTATGCTGCTTCTAGATTGTAAAGACATTCTGAAACAACGACGAGAGGGTAGGGAAAAAAGGGACAAGCCCGAAAGGATAAAGTAGAACTTACGTTGAAACTGGAGTTGGCTGCATAGAGACCTTATCAGGCTGCACAAAACAGCAGTTCAAAATTAGTCAGACATAACACCAACCCCATCGGCAAGGCTAAAGTTACTCATGATTCCTAGAAAAAGGAAACAAGCATTTACTTATAAGTTATAACCAGATCTAGGGGCGCTGAAGTTTAGATTCTAATAATTCTCTATCCTTATCTTATAAATCCCTATAAGAATGAGATTTTTTATAATATAAAAAAAAAGAGTTGTATGAATGGAATCCTCATTGTCATAGTATTCAAAGCAATGCCATCTCTGATCCAATTAAGACTAATAGGATGCAATTTTTCTATAAGTAATAAAAGGACAGCAAAACTACCACAGGGTCTGCAATAGGAAACACTGCAAGAACAAAAGCAAATTCAGAAACAAAAGTTCTTTTTACTTTTTTGTCTGAACAGACGAAAAGCTTAAAGATTATCCTGAAAGATCCATATTATCCGAAAGCACTTGCAGTTTTCCATTCTAATGCACAAGGAACCTCATTCCACATCGCACTAAACTGATATATACTAGCATACCAACATATCAACAAACAACCTAGACACAAGTCATAAATTACGCATGAGAAGAGTAGGGACCAAAGCTCCATACCTACAGGGATATGAAGAAGAATATGGTCCACTTTCTCACCACTTATATTGGAATGTGGACACAACAAGGTGTTCTGGTTAAAATAAAAATACTATTTAATAGAAGGAACATAATAAATTCAAGGCCGCAGAATGAAATGATGCAGCAGCAACAAAATCCACCTCAAAAGATTTTCAATCTGCATCTCAAATACAGTTAAGAATCTTGCAACAGCATTTGGTGGTCAATCCAAGATAAGGCATCTTGCAAACTGAAATTTCACAAAAAGTTTATATCATTTGAACCTAAAAATTAATTGTAATTGCACATACCTCCTCCTTAAATCCAGGGGGCTTATCATAAGTTGATTCGCCAGTCAAAGCATTATAATAGTATACAACTCCTGTCTCTGTCTTGTGGGCAGTCCAGGCATCCAATTGTTCATTAACAGAAGCTCTATTCTCGTTGCCTGCATCATGGAATTGTTTCCTGTTATCTGTACAAGGCCAATACCCAATGTACAATTGTTTAGAGGGGAGGGGAGAGAGAGAGAGAGCTAATACATCAGTATGAAAGTCAAATCATACCAATACCAGGAAGAGGTAATTCTATCTGTATCCCTGAAAAGCCAGCCAGTTGATGACCAGAAGCAGCAGAAGGCGAAGAAATTGCTGCAGTATTTCCCACAGGGGTGACACCGGGAGGCTGAGAATCGGGTAAAGGAACAGAAGGGAGAGGCATAACATGTGCAGGCAAAGGAAAGGGAACAGGAAAAGCAGCAGGATATGGCAAAAACGGTGGCCTAGGAAAGCCTCCTATCTGTGGGGACTGCAACCAGACTCCCTGAGGAGGAGCGCCCATAGAAGATAAAGATGAGTAAGGAGCGCCTACTTGTGGCTGAACAGCTGATGACGCGACAGGAGCCATTTGCATGCTAGGTCTAAGGGCTACAGAAGAAGAATCAATGGGCGCAGACGGTGCAGTCGGATTAAAGGATATTTGCACAGGGTGTGCTATTCCTGGGGGGCCAGGGGTCCCAGGAGTTCCAGGCATTCCAGAAGTCAAATTAAAAGATGGGGCAGTAGGAACCCATGAAGTTGTTGTGCCCATATTAGGAGCTGATGATAGATTCATTGTGGAACTTGAAGAAGTAGGAGCAGGCAACGAACCAGAATGAGAGCTAGTTGATGACAATGAGACATTACCAGTTTCTTGTGCCAAATCAGGTGGGATATTCTGCAATAAACAAAAAAATTACAACAATTAATTCTTTGGATAACTTTTCAAGTTTTCATTCCACAGGACCACGGGCAACATGCATACACTAAGAATATAAACAATTCATTGACAGACCAGAGCTCTCTTTTGCTTTTAGGAAAGGATAATAAGAACTTAGTATAATGTCAAAACAAAACTTAGTACAATGTCAAAACAAAACTTAGTGTAATGTCAACAATAAACAGTAACTTAATACACCTTCCTACAGCATGCCCTCTGGTCTCCATTGCAGCAATACTCAGTTACTCAATATAATCTCATATGCATTCAAGGAAATAGCCCTCACCATGCCAGATTGAAACTGCTGGTTATTAGGGAAAGAAAATCCAGATTTTGGAATGTTGTATGAAAAAGAGGGACTGGCAGAAGAAGACAAGCCAGGAACCGGGGGCTGAACCCTTGGAGATGCAGGCGGATTAGACTGAATTGCCTAAATTAGAGAAAACATCAAATTAGAGCCACAAATCATAACTACATCCATATAAAATGCAACACAGCATTAATAAATTGATACTGACAGAACCAGGTGATGACTGCTGAGAGGCTCCAAAACTGATGTTTGCATTGGGAGGCACACCGTAAGAGAATGAAGGTGCGGGAACCGCAAAGCTGGGTGCATTGGAGAATTTAGCCTGCAAAGATTCTTGTATTGAATCAGTTGTAGAACCACCTGAGCTATTAGAGGTATGTGGGCCTACACTTGAAACGAGTGAAGCTGAAGTTTGTGTTGAAGCGCCACCAGCAGGTGAAACAGATACAGGGGATTGAGACACGGATGGCTTCACTTCCTGTGGTAACCAAGCTGGCGATGCCATTATTTGAACTGCGTATAATAAGTCAACAAGATAAGAATAAAAATTAACCGAACTATAAGCATACACTTCATTTAACAAACCAAATCATATGCTTCTGGGGGTAACAAAAAGCATGTCTGTGCCATTACCAACGTCACTGCATTATAATCAAATTAAAAAATTTCATAAGAATCCTTTTATGTCAAGCAGGTTTCAAGCCTTGGCAATGCTAACCATGACAGGGGGAGCATTGCTCTGAAATGAAACAGCACTACTGGTGCCCTTTCCAAAGAGGCCTAAACCTTTTGAAATGAACCATAGCAAGCACATTAATTTAATGTTTTTTTTTAACCTAGGTCCCTATTTTCATTATTGTATGGCTAAACTAGGTGATAATATATAATACACATGCATAATGTGTGTCTGAATAAACCCCGCCCTGACTTCAAAAGAACTTCTCAGACCTTTATCACTCAGTGATCAGCTTCAATGCTAGCTAACTATTGAATAACTCAACAGGGTTGGTACTTGGTACTAAAATAAAAGGAAGCTAAATTAGATTATACCAAAAAATAAATAATAAAAAACTGAAATAGAAGATGATAAGTAACAGCGAAGCACGAATAGCAGAGACAAAGCTAAAACCCTAGTGCATAGGGCTCCATTCTATTTGGAGAGAAAAGCGAATGCTGTTTCTTCGTACAATTGGCAATTCATTGCCAAACATAAGAATCTAGTTGGAGAGACGCAATAGAAATCAAGTAAGCGAAAGCGTAAGCACTATCCTCTAATTTCCTAAGAAACTATTTTCCCTGGAAACAAAAAGAGAGCAGGGAGAGTTGTTTATGAACGAACCAGAAAGTGAAGGCAGAAGCGGTGCGTCGTACGATAGAGACTAGGGAGCAGAAATGAGTAATTTATCAGAATAAATATCAAAGAGAAGAGAAGAGTGGACGAGGTAGGTGTCTCGTCCGCAGCCGACGGTGAAAGTTAGCGTTCGCGTCAGTGTATCTTCGCCTGCCGTCGTTTTGACCCCGCAGAGGCCGAAGCGAGAGTACGGAGGCGAATGGAATTCAGTTACAAATATTTTGAAAAAAAAATTGAAAAAGAAAAAGGTTTAAGAGCAAACAACAGGTATATGGTAGAAATTAGAATTGAAAGGCCGACGGGGTTGGAATTTAGGGCTGCGACGTGTGCGGACTCAACCCGACTCGATTCGAACCTAGTGTTGTTTGGGTGGGGTTAAAGGGTTAAAGGGTTTTTTTTTTTTTTTTTTTTTTTTTTTTTTTTTTTTTTTTTTAGATGGTTTGCAGGACATTAACCCGAGCTCAATCTAATCATAGCCCAACCCATTAAAATGTAAATAGTTTGGTTTGATCTAATTTGACCGATATGAAAACTTCATAAACGAAACCAGACCGTTTGTAAACGAAACATTGAACGAAATATAATTGGATCATTAGTTTGTCACTTTGATGGACTATTGAATAATGTTAGGATGTTGGATATTTATACATTATAATGGCATGTGCATTGTTAGTTTTTATGTGCTTTTTATCTAAACAATGGAAAGTGGGATTCGAATTCGAGTGCAAAGTGAGGAGCACATCGGCTCTATTAATTTGGCTAAACCCATATATATTTGTAAGGGCTTTTTCGTTCCCCCAACTACTAATGGGATTGGGCTGTTGTAAAGAGCCAAATGTATGAAATTGCCCCTTGAGTCTGAGTTCAAGGATCATACCCCAAAAGTGTTTCGAAATGGTAGCTGAGCCTTAAGAAACACCTTGGTCTTCTTCACTAATGAAATCAATAGTCGCTTACAGATAAATTCTTGACTTGGCATGAAAAGTTTGTGACATTGGAGCTGAGCATTCATAAGTTTAGCATGAGAGAGAGAAAAAGCTGTGATTTCCTATGAGAAACAGAGGTTTAAAGCAAAGGGGAATGGATTTTAATGGGATTCGTTGAGGAGAGAGAGAGAAATAGAGAGAAATACAAGAAGTGGGTGGTTTGAGCAATTTTCCAACAGTCTGACAAAAGCTTGGTAAGATTCTGGAACGATTTACCATATGATAAAATGGGAGAAGATATAGGAATGAGGCTCGAAATTGCAGAGGTTTAAGAGATGAGAGATGAAGCTTGCTATCTGGATGTGTTTATCGAAAAGAGAGGAAGAAGATAGAAGCATGGGTGACTCTAGTAGATTTCCAGCAGCTTGACGAAAGCTTCGTCATGCTCTTGGGTTGCTTGACAGAAGAGAAAATGGGAAGATATTGAGGAATATGACTCGAAATTGAAGTTTTCCAGAGATAAAATGTGATGTTTGCTCTCTCTATGGATGTGGGTTTTGGGAGAGAGAAGAAGAAGATAGAAAAACAAAGCATGAAATTGAAGGGTTCTAGAGTGGATGCTTGCCTTCGATTGGTTCTCATGGTTGCTGGGAAGCTTGTAGCAACCAAGGTAAGTTGTTTTGCTGGGTAGGAAGTGGCTCCTTTTATAGGTGCTGGAAACCTTAATTTTGTCAAGCCTCCCTCCCCCTTTTCTTCACTTTCTTCCATTTAATCTTGTTTGGTGAAATTTCCCTAGCCTGAACCCATATGCACGTAGCTTTTTGGGGTTCCAAGGTCCTTAGGCAGCTAGACTCCTCCATGTGGGTGAGGCGCCACCCACTTTTGCTTCTTGTTTTCTCATCAAAGCTTAAAGATGAAAAAATGGGTAAGGGTGCTAGTAAAAAATGTGATCAGCACATGAGTTTGCTTGGTTTTGATGGTTTGGCTTCGATCTGGTTTTAACATAGTTACATAGATGTTGGATATTTGCCACGATGCTAGATATTTTATAAGGTGCTGGGTTGAGCTATTTTGTTTCCAGCGGCTTGTGAGTTCTTTTTGATTTCGTTAAGCTGCTATAAGCTTTGGCTTATGTGAGATTTTTTAAAGTGTTATGGGCCTTTTCTTAAGGTGATAGGCTATTAGGTTTTCTATCTTATGCCTACCCATATGTTTGGGCTCAAGGAATAGGCTTGAGTTTTGATGCTCCTAAGTAACCCAAAACTTCCACTCATTTTACCATCAATGGGTCTCGTGAATACTCGTAATCATCCATATCACAACTCGCTCAGCAAGCCCCAGACATTGGCGTGGCTTAGGTCCACTTAAGCTTGTAGCGTGGCGTGTTGCTTATTTGCTTGGTGTGGCATGTGTGCAAGTGCATATGACAAACTCTTGCGTACTCAAGTTGGGTTTCTTCCCAAGTTAGGTGTCGTACTGGGCTATAAATATATTTGGGCCCATCCTTGAATTTTTTGGACCTCAACAATGTTATTTTATAATATTGTTACATTGATGATTTTAGAACCATAAGATAATAAGATATTAATTATTTGACATGCTTTTGTATTAATTGTAAAGTAAAATTGTTTTGTTTAATTTCACAGTCATGAAAGCTGAAACACTAAACCCTAAATGAGACATAGACCACCAAACCATATGAAGCATGCTAAAACCAAACAAAATACAGTCTATATGTAGTAGGGTTCTTCCCTAAATTTATCTAACAAAAACCAAACAAACTACATCACTTAATGGTTAATTGATTTACCCATAGTTTAGTGGTGAAAATTCAAACCAAACCACCCCTCTTATATTGAACCTTTTCTCTTCTAGCTCTCTCTATTTATTTAATATTTTGCTTTTAATTCTATAAGAAAATCTGACAAATTGGAATATTTTTTTGATGTGATTTTTTGTTATTATTAATATTTTTTGTTATACATGTAATATTGGGAGAATGAAAAATCGAACCTAGAACCTCAAGTGCATAGGTAACTACCTTTAATCACGTGAGCTACAAACTTCAATCTTATGTTATTTATTTATATACATATTTAATATTGAAAATCGGTTTAAAAAACCAAACCAAAGTTCAACTTGGGCAGGTTGAGAGGTCAACTCAACTCCTAAATTCACAGGGTTGAAAATCGGAATTCACAGGGTTGGATCAAGCGAGATTAGACCGGATATTTAAAACAAAAATTATATATATTAATTGAATTAGATGTAAGATCACTTTGTAATGTTAAAAACTGAACTAAACCAATCTGACCTATATTTTGCTTCCCATATTTTAGGATGATTTTCTTTTAGAATATTTCTTATTGAGAGAGATGATAACAAATTAAACTTACGCATACTATACAGAATACTTTGACTCGAGCCCAAAACCTTTTTGAGGAACAATTGCTTGGGCATTTTTTTATTTTTGAATCAAGAAGGTGGACTTCGTCAAGATGTGGACCTGTCAAGTCAATAAGGAAGCAAAAAGAGACCCACCGCGTCGGCTCCGTCCGCGTGCGATTTCCCACAAAAGAAACACATGAAAATAAAAAAAATACAAAAGTAGAAGGAAAAGAAGTATATTATCCACGTCTTCCACATTTTGAGGCCTTGAATGTGCACAGAGAATCGAAGTGTGTGTGTTCCAATTCCATTCCATGGCTCAATTTTAACACGCAAGCCCCCGCGCACTAGTCTCTTCTCTGCATTCCTTAAAAACGTACGCTGTCTCTTGTTTTCTCCAACTCCATCCACCCTCCCAATCTCTCTCTGTTTCTCTCCTGCACCTGCTTCTGCTTCATCCCCTTTCCTTGCCTCCGCAGTTTCTGACTTTTCATGGGTATTTCAGCTTCTTCCCAATTCACTTCAGGTTACCAACAACACCCAAAACTCTCGAGGCTACGTTTCTGCTAGACAACTTTCACCATAATTTATCGATTTTTGTTTTTTTGTTTTTTTTTGTCTTTGTTGCAAAGCAAATTGTTATAGCGGTATTTGTGTTTCTCGTTGGTGCTGGAATCCATGTTTACCAATGCAATTTCTTACATCCATATTTCAATTAGGGGCTCTGAGTTTATCTCTACCACTAATTAATGATTTTACAATCAATCTCTGCGAGCTTCGATTTCTCGCAGCCATTTCCTCAGCAGCAAAACTGTCCATGTGGGAATTTCGTCAACCCAAGAAAACCGCAGAATATCTTTTCGCTTCCTTCCTCTAAACGAAGAATAAAACAGCTACTTGTTACCAAATCTTCGCGTGGAAGTGCAAGAAGAAAATGGGGTTTCAGTGCTTGTGCGATTTCACCTGATGGCCCTGGGCCCAGTATGAATGTAGAGCTTGCAAAGTCAGCCAGACGGAATGCCAAAATCTTGGTGCTAAAGCGTTTATCCAGTGAATTGGATGCCGATGAATTTTCCAAAGATTCACCACAAATTCAAATGGGCACCAATTTCACCAACTTCCAAGAAGACCCGTTTGTAGATAAGCTTAGAACTCAGCTAGGAGTCATACACCCCATTCCCTCGCCCCCGATAAACCGAAACATTGCGGGGTTGTTTGTGTTCTTCTTCTTTGTAGGCGTTGTGTTTGATAAATTGTGGACTTCAAGGAAGAAAAGCAAGTCGGGAAGTGAGAATGGTCGGCGTGAGGGGTGGCCGCAAGTGCCCACGAGCTTTTCATTGTTTCTGGAGAAGGATTTGCAGAGGAAAGAGTCGGTGGAATGGGTGAACATGGTTTTGGGGAAGCTGTGGAAAGTTTATAGAGCTGGGCTTGAGAATTGGCTCATTGGGTTGCTTCAGCCGGTCATTGATGATTTGAAGAAGCCCGACTATGTTGAGAGAGTTGAAATCAAGCAGTTTTCTTTGGGGGATGAGCCTTTGTCTGTTAGGAATGTTGAGAGGAGGACGTCCCGTCGTGTCAATGATCTCCAGTGAGTTAACGTTTCCAATTCAATCGTGCATGTCTTTTGTTTGATTTGGTTGCTTATTGTCTCTACTTTCTTTTTCTGTTTATGCAATATCTTCTATACGTAATTTGGCGTTGGATGTTATAATTGATCTTCTATATGCAAACTCTCCGTCGAGATAATTGATTTGCATAAAAATATTTCGTTCTGTTAACTCTAAAAAAAATCAGTCTCGTGAGAGCAAAAGAGATTGCCATTAGGATAGATCATTATGAAAATGTTTTGCATGTTTTTATCAAAATACTTGGGTGATCTGGGAGCTTATTTGTGATAATAACTTTCTATTCTAACTCAATATTCCCTTGAACTGATGCTATATCCCTTTATTTCATTTAGGTACCAAATAGGCCTACGTTATACTGGTGGTGCTCGAATGCTGTTAATGCTCACACTAAAATTTAGCATTATTCCCATTTTCGTGCCAGTTGGTGTTCGAGATTTTGATATTGATGGAGAACTTTGGGTCAAATTGCGACTAATACCAACAGAGCCTTGGGTGGGAGCTGTTTCTTGGGCTTTTGTTTCACTTCCCAAGATCAAATTTGAATTGTCACCCTTCCGCTTGTTCAATTTGATGGGTATGTCATATTTTCAAGACTATGTTTCTGTTTTATAACATACTATAGCATATGTTTGGTAGGAAGGCTAGAAACTGGGTAATAAAGGTAAGGGAAGGGAGGGATACTGATGATCCTTTGTGCTATTTGGTTGAGGTAGAAGTGGAGGAAGGAGACATCACATAAATTTATGATGTTGCCAAACAACATGAACTAATGAAGAAACAACGAAATATTATCTGTCAAACCATGGTTATTCTGTTGCTTTTTTGAATGTAAGCACGACATGAAAGAAAATAGAAAGACAACCCACGCTTGTGAGAATAGTTCTGATGAACTTACTGCAAAACATCAAAATATGTTAAGAAACTCAAATGTACTAAGCATACCATCAACAAGCTAAACACATTGAAGATTGTTTTATTTAATGTTAATTGCATATTTCTACTACTGAAGGCTAAATCATTTTATGTTGAAGATACTGATAATTTTTTCCTTCTCTCTGCTTTTTTTTGCATGTATTGGGCAAATTCAGCAATTCCCGTTCTTTCAATGTAAGTGAATTTCATCACCCTCAGCTAGCCATTATATATAGTTTTCTCTCTCTCTCTCTCTCTCTCTCTCTCTCTCTCTCTCTCTCTCTCTCTCTCTCTGTGGCGATGCTAGACTGAAGAAATTAGTTAATTGTAATTACCGAGTTAGATATTCTTTACAACAACCTTCTATTAATTGAACCTTATCACTTATTATGAATGAGACCACAGGTCTTTTTCAGCAGCCACTGTTTGATTCATATGCCCCTTCTCATGGGAATTTCCTTGAACGTTCAGAGGCAAAATAAATGTTACTTTTCAGACTTGGATGAAGAACAATATACGTGGGAGCGTGTTCCCACCAGAATTATGAGATAAAATAAACAATAAATATTCTTTTCATGCATCGGGATGGCTAGACAATTAAACAAAAATGCTTGGTGGTATATGGTGACTGCATTAGCATTATTTATTTTTCTTCAGGCTGCATAACCTAACATTTTGACATAACCTTTTCTTACCTAACATCTTGGGTTTTCTTTGGAGATGTGTTATCCATAACATTTGGGTTGGTATGTTGTTTCTTTCTGTCACCTTGTGACTTGAATCCCTGATTGGATTTGGCAGGTTTTTGACAAAACTTCTCACTGAGGATTTACCTAGATTATTTGTACGCCCAAAAAAGATCGTCTTAGATTTCCAGAAAGTAAAAGCAGTTGGCCCAGTAGGAGACGATTTCAAGTCGGGGGACATACAAGAAGGAAACAAGGATTTTGTTGGAGAATTATCAGTGACCCTTGTAGATGCTCGGAAGCTTTCCTATGTTTTCTATGGTAATGACTGTCTTGTAATGTAGTCCTCCAGCACAAGAGAATCAATTGTGCTATGGATTAGTGAAATTTCATTTGCTTTGATTCCTAATCTAATTACTATTTTGACACACAGCAATGCTGACTTTTTAAGCTGCCATTGGTTTGTGCAAAAATGAATATCCTAATCTCCTCCTCTGGAATCTGTTGATTCTTCTAAGTGTTAACTTCTCCATATATACAAAAAAAAAAATTCTGAAGCCCCATAACCTTTTTTTAATCTAATTTTTCAGGCAAAACGGATCCCTATGTTACTCTAAGCCTGGGAGATCAAATTATACGCAGTAAAAAGAACAGTCAAACTACTGTTATTGGACCTCCTGGGGAGCCAATTTGGAATCAGGTGAACCTTCTTCTAATATTGCTTCAAATTTTTGTTTTAAAAATTGTATATGTGCTCATGTGTTTGCATCTGCTGGCAGGATTTTCATATGCTTGTAGCAAACCCTAAAAAACAAAAGTTATGCATCCAAGTCAAGGATTCTCTTGGATTCACGGACTTAACTATTGGTACAGGAGAGGTAAAAGATCTAATCTTTACAAATATTGAATTTGTTTTTGTGATTAGCATGGATACATAGCATACGTGATCAAAACATAAAGCAATTACGAGGCTGGGGAAAAGGGTTGTAAGATGGTCGAGAGGTAGCGCATTCGATCAAGAATGAGATATGGCTATATTCTTGAATATTCTTCTAATTTTTCTTTGCCCTGTGTACCTGATAGCCCATGATATAGCAGCTAATGGCTGAATTTACTGCCCTTCACAGGCAAATTGGCCCATTAACTTGTTTCAATTTTCTCTATTTAAATAGCTTCTTAAGACAGTGTCTCATATTTAAATAGGTTGATCTGGGATCTCTCCAAGACACTGTACCAACAGACAGGATTGTGGTACTGCAAGGAGGTTGGGGCCTGTTTAAGAAAGGGTCTTCTGGTGAAATACTACTTCGATTGACGTATAAAGCATATGTGGAGGATGAAGAGGATGACAGAACTGGGTTGGATTCCGTGGATACTGACGCTTCAGATTCAGATGACGAGTTGTCTGAATCTGATGAATCAAAGGACACAACAGAGTCTGCAAATGAAACAGATAAAGAGTCCTTTATGGATGTTCTAGCAGCTTTAATTGTGAGTGAAGAGTTTCAAGGGATAGTGGCATCCGAAACAGGAAACGGCAAAATTTTGGATGATATCTCAATTACAGGGTCAAAAATCTCAAGATTGCAGCGTGGACCTGATGCCGAATCTGCGCCTTCAAATTCCAGTAATGTTTCTGAAGGTTCTCAAGGTATTTAATTTTTATGTGACCTCTTACATCAATATGTAAATTTTGCAATTTACTGTTGATTCTGGTTGGTGTTGTCTCCTGATCCACCAAAACGAAAAAAAACTTGTGAAATGCAGGAGTAGCTTTATTTTGGCTTGCTGTAGTTGCTGGCATATCGGTGCTAATTGCTACGAACATTGGTGGCTCCAGCCTTTTCAATCCTTGAGACTGCAGCAAAGGAGCTTGAGCTCGCTTTGAATCAAGTAATACTTGAAAACTCTCTACACTGCTTGCTTCGTAATTATTCCTTGAAATTTATAGCTTATTATTTTTGTCCTTGAGTTTGGATTTCTCAAAAAACTACCCTCATCCATGGCAGTGTGTGCGCGCGCAATGCTTTCTGGTCTCAAAGGTGGACGACGGAATTATTCAGCTTATATTGTAAATTTGTGATTATTTCTGAGGAAATATTCTATTGGCGGCATTTTTTGCATTTTTTTTCCTGAGCCGTAGATAGGCCCATAGCAAGTGTGATTACCCCGTCCTTTTTCTTTACTAGTATACCAGTCTTTTAAACCTTTTTTTTCTCTCTCTCTCTTCTGAACCAGGTAGGTAGCTCCTCCTAGAATAGGCGACAACTTTTCTCATTTTCTTTGGGACTCTGAAAAACAATCAACCACTAAACAATTTGTTCTGCATTTGTAACTCATTGGTGCTAGAAATGTACAAGGGCCTAGCTCAAAGATTAAATAATGGAAATGGATCCGCATTTCACGCCTAAAGTATGCGTTTTGGAATTTTTTTTGTTCCAAGGGAGCCGAAGCTCAGTAAGAAAACTACATAAACAAACACCCCACGCAAATCTTTGAGTAGATAACGTCCAAACCCTTCAGGCACACCTTTTCAAAATTTACTCCCCATATTTGAAGCATCTTCTCGTAGCTCTTCCTCCGACTCTAAAGAAAGCATTTACACAACAATTTGAGACTCAGATTCAATAATGGGCCCTCCTCTAACATCAAGAAAAAGGGGTAGTCATCTTGTGCTGCTCTGTTATTTTATTTTATTTATTTTTAATCTAATATTTTTAGGACATAAGTTAACAGCAATTGCATCAATAAAATGAGTAATATTAGAAAGAGAGAAAAAAAAAAACAAAATAAACGACAAGTTTTAAAAAAAAGTATAAAGCATCTACAACTCCAAAAATAAATCACGATGGCCTAAAAGGAACAATTATTTAAAATAGAAGACGATCTGAATATCCGAGATAAAAAGAAAAGGATCTCAAAATGAATCACGATGGTAAAAATGATTAAATTAATAGAAGAGGATCCAAAATATTCCATAGTATAATATCATAACATATGTAAAATGATTTAATAAAATATTCCATATAAAGGGAAACGATCTCGTACAATTAACGTACACGTTGTGCACAAGGCTAGGATGATCGTGACGGATCACGATGACTCACTTTTCCAAACTCTACTTTAATACTATAAATAAAAAATAAAAGTGTCCGTTATTTTAAATTTGAAAAACAAGTGTCCGTTATTGCATCTGATAATATACAACTATTTTTTCATTAATGGAAAATATATATATGACAAGATGTGTACAGGATAATTAGAATAGTCAATTCACAACCCAAACGTCACAATCAAGAACAAGAGCAAAATTTTAATTAAAAGATTTTCGGCTTGAATACAATCACAGGATACAAACAGAACAAAACTACATGAATACAGAAAGATTCCCAAGATTAATTGACAAAAAGAAACAAACCTTGAACCCTGAACAAAATAAGAAAATTGCATTTTCTTACATAAAAATACGTGACCACACTTAGAAATAAATGCTTGAAAACTATGATGCTTTGACCAAAAAAAGAAGAAAAGAAAACTATGATGCTGGGGTTCTTGGTAAGGCATCCGCAACATTGAATCACTGTTAATTCAATTAGGATTAATATTTTTTAGGAATATTGGTGGGTGGAAAAATAAGATTGTGTTTTTTAAAATTGGCTTATTTATTGTAGCACAATTTGAAACTTTGGTCAAATCTTACTTTACACCCCGGAAGTTAAAATGACCCATTTAACCCCATTGACAAAGGTTTTGTGTTCCACTTTGCCCCATACCATTATCTCTATTCATAACTCCGTCAATTTTGATGACGTTTAGTTTTTTTAAAACAAGTGATGATGTGTTGTGTGCAGACTCCACTTTTTTTCTTCTTTTTTTTCTTAAAGTTTACTAAAATATTAATAATAATAAAAAATTAATTGCTTATTTAATTAAAAATTTGAAAAATTAATATAAAAAACTTATCTTCTTCTTCATCTCTCTCTTTTCCCCAACAACCATCGCACACCAACCCCTCTTACTCCCTACTGACATCTCCTATATCCCTCCACCATATAAACCACCATATCCACATATCTAAACATCAAAACCTACCATCTAAATCACCATACCCATTATAGGTGATTCACTGCTAATGGAGGCATTTAAGATTATGAAAGTTTTATGGCAGTGATCATTGGAAATTGTTAATGGAGAGATTGAAATATTCAAGTTGGCCTATATTAGTAAATACATGTTTTGGTATTTGGCGAACAAAGAAATTTCCAAACAAGTCCAGGACATCAAGTTCCCGCATTCATATATTAATGTTCGCCAAATCCAGAGACGTCGTTGATGAATGCTGTGTTTTTAGGAGTGGACTAAGGGTTTGAGTTGATGGGTTGTGTTGGGAAAGAGGAGGCAGATTCAAAATAAAGGGCTATGGAAGGGAGGTCATGGCATGGTAGGGTGACTATGTGGATGTTGGGGCTGGGCTTGGGAGAAGAGAGAGGAACATAGAAAGAGAGAGAGAGGTAGGGGTATCTTGAGAAGTTGTGTAATGGAAGGGTAGTAAGGGTTGGTTGCCGGGTGGTGATGTTGGGTAAGGTTGGAGTGGTGGTGACGAGAGTGGCTTTGGGTTGGGTGGTGGTTGTAGTATTATAGTGTGAAGCTAGGAGAAGGGGAGGGGACAAGAGAGAGAGAGAGATGAAGAAGAAGATATTTTGTTAATATTAATTTTGTTTCATTTTTCATTTTGTATATATTAACAAGTAATTACATTATTTATTTATTTATATTAATATTTTAGTCTACTTAAGCAGAAAAAGTGAGACTTACATCTGATACATCATCACATGTGATAAAAAGATTAAAATAGTTATGTCACATCATCAAAATTGACGGAATTAATTAATATAGATAACGGTAGGGGCTAACTAGAACACCAAATCTTGGTTAAGGGGGTTAAGTGGGTCATTTTAACTTTCGGGAGATAAAGTGAGATTTGATCAAAGTTTCAAGGAGTACTACAATAAATAAGTCTTTAAAATTTATAGGTGGGTGAAAAAATAGAATAGGTAGGTGGAAATAATAATATTCTTTTTTTATTATGAGAAAATTAGATTCTGTTATTTTATTTATCAATCACACTCAATTGTCAACATCCAATCCTACTACTTTTTTTTCTTGTTTTTTCGGTACTGAATAAATACTTCGTAAATGAATTTTTATAAGTATTTTTTTTTTTTTTTTTTTTTTTTTTTTTTTTTTTTTTTTTTGTTTCATTTAATTGTAAGTTTATGACTTGCTGTAAAGTACTCGAATAATTGAAAACGTAAGCACAAATTAAAAGGTAAGTAGAGGTTCGCGCCCCAAGGAAAAAGATAGAGAGAGATAAATAGAAAAATAAAAAAGACAAAAAGTTGAGGGGCATGGGCACAGCCGCACATGGTGGTGGGCTGGCTGACTAATTGCCGAGCCAGAGAGTGTGGAGGGACTCCAAAACGTGACTGCCAGCGAATCTTATTGGGTTGGTGGGATATTGTCTGATGGACTGGATTGGATCTGTCCATTTAAAATAAATAAATATATATATGTTGCCTTGTCTCTTTTTATTTCCACATACTTCTGATATTTTACTAAAAAACGTTCAAAATAAATATATATTACTCCTCGCTGCCATTCTCACTCTCACTTGTCACTTACTCGCAGACACCTCTGGCTGTGGGGGCTTTCACTTAAATGTTGGTTCCTCTACAGTTCCCATCTTACAATTAGCTCCTCAGCTAAGCTTCAGGTACTCTCTCTCTCCCTCTCGCTTGAGTTTTGATCTGTGCTAGATTTTAGCCGATTCGTTGTCGTTCAACTTTTCGCGGATTGCAGTTCGAACTTCTGCAACTGTTTGTGAAAGTAGTTTTATTGTTTGGCTGTCGGGGACCGTTGAGTGTTTTTTTATTTTTGGCTGAGATCTGTTTGGTTCCTCAGAAAATGAGGGAAACGGAGTCTTGAGACTGAGACTGCAATGTTTAAAAAAAAACGAGGGAAGTAGATCTTTTCCGTCTGAAATGTTATTTATTTATTTATTTTTAAAAGACCTCTTCTTCTTCAAAGTTTGCTGAGAATAAGGCTCTTTCTTTTAGTTCTTCAGTAAGGCTTATTTCGGTTTCCTCAACCAAGTTACTATTTTTCTGTACCTGAAGAAGATAAAGTCTCATTTCATGTGACTTTCCCCTGTAAAGAATTGATATTCTGACACCCACCGGGTCCATGAAAACAACTTCTCAGTTAAAGCACTGAAATGTTTCTATTGACATATGGATCTCCTAGAAGTTGGATAATGTTTTATTTTTGTATCTAACTTAAATCTGAAGGGTGTTTCTGGATCTATTGAATTTTTGATAGAAGATGGAAATGTTCTGTTCAAGATCTTTGTTGCATGCATGTTTCGGTTATAGTAGATTTGTCACCTTTTTTTTTCCTTGATCTGTTTTGGTCTCCATCGAAGTCACCATGTTGCACTATTGAAATTTGGGTTTGCTGCAATCGTCAAAAAGGACTATATTTAGCATGTATGTAACTGATGGTCAGAAGAGTGTATCGTATAAAGTATTATATTCCCTAAATGGATGACCTAATTTTCTGATAATTACAAATGATTATTGTCAAAAGTTTTTCTTTTTTCTTTGAAATGTTTTTCTGAACAAGATGGTCAAAGATTTGTTAAGAAGGATATCGCCTGAGCATCTGGCTGAGAGCTTTAATTCATTCTATTGAATCTATTTTTGGGACAGGATGGTCTGAGCTTTAATACCATATTATTATGTGGGATTATAGACTCTGTTTGTATTGTGCTTTGCTTGACAAGTTTTCTTTTTTCCTGGTCTCCAGACCAATGTTAATATGGTTCTTCCCGTAAGTTTATCTATGAAAATCTAAAGGTTAATAAAACTGTTACAATGTTGTTTATTAACTATTTTTTTTTGTCGTACAGCAGACCTTCACTCCTCAAAATGTCTGATCTTGAAACCCCTCTGCGTCCAAAGAGGAAGACGGCCGTTGTGGACTTTCTAGTTCAATTTCGATGGATTGTTGTTATCTTTGTTGTCCTCCCCGTCTCCTTCACCATTTACTTTCTCACATACCTTGGGGATGTAAGATCTGAGATGAAGTCCTACAAGAGGCGTCAAAAGGAACATGACGAAAATGTCCAGAAGGTTGTAAAACGACTCAAAGAAAGGAACCCATCAAAGGATGGTCTTGTTTGCACAGCACGAAAGCCGTGGATAGCTGTTGGAATGCGAAATGTTGACTACAAGCGAGCTCGTCATTTTGAGGTTGATTTGTCTGCTTTCCGAAATGTCCTTGAAATTGATAGAGAGAGAATGATTGCAAAAGTTGAGCCATTAGTCAACATGGGGCAGATAACTAGGGTAACAGTTCCATTGAATCTTGCCCTTGCTGTGGTTGCGGAGTTTGATGATCTTACTGTTGGTGGCCTCATTAATGGCTATGGAATTGAAGGAAGCTCTCACATCTATGGGCTGTTCTCTGATACTGTTGTGGCTTATGAGATAGTTCTAGCAGATGGTCGAGTTGTCAGAGCCACCAAAGATAATGAGTACTCTGATCTTTTCTATGCTATTCCATGGTCTCAGGGAACATTGGGGTTTCTAGTCTCTGCCGAGATCAAGCTTATACCGATAAAGGAATACATGAGGCTGACATACAAACCTGTTGTGGGCAATCTTCAAGAGATTGCACAGGCATATAGTGATTCTTTTGCTCCCAGAGATGGAGATCAGGACAACCCTGAGAAGGTTCCAGACTTTGTTGAAACCATGATATACACTCCAACAGAAGCTGTGTGCATGACAGGTAGATATGCATCAAAAGAAGAGGCCAAGAAGAAGGGGAATGTGATTAATGAAGTTGGGTGGTGGTTTAAACCCTGGTTCTACCAGCATGCGCAGAAAGCACTGAAGAAAGGGGAGTTTGTGGAATATATCCCAACAAGGGAATATTACCACAGGCACACTAGGAGTATCTATTGGGAGGGAAAGCTTATCCTTCCATTTGCTGATCAGTGGTGGTTTAGATTCTTTTTGGGCTGGATGATGCCCCCAAAGATTTCTCTGCTCAAGGCTACTCAAGGTGAAGCCATTAGAAACTATTACCATGACATGCACGTCATTCAAGACATGCTAGTTCCTCTTTACAAGGTTGGGAATGCTTTAGAATGGGTTCACCATGAGATGGAGGTAAGATTTTCTTAACTTAGTTTCTGACTCTATACTCACATTTTGACGAGCAAACAAAGTAGAGTGTAATCAAAGCCTGTTCTATAATCCATTTGGTTAATCATGTTGTTTGTTGATTCTGTATAGGTGTACCCCATTTGGCTCTGTCCTCACAGAATGTACAAGAGTCCCATCAAGACAATGATATACACTGAACCGGGGTTTGAGCACCATCACAGACAGGGAGACACGCATTACTCTCAGATGTACACAGATGTTGGGGTCTACTATGCACCAGGCCCTGTGTTGAGGGGTGAGGTTTTTGATGGTTCAGAAGCAGTTCGCAGGATGGAGAGTTGGCTGATTGAAAATCACGGGTTCCAGCCGCAGTATGCTGTGTCTGAGCTGGATGAGAAAAACTTCTGGAGGATGTTTGATGCAGGGCATTATGAGTACTGCAGGAGGAAGTATGGTGCTGTGGGAACTTTCATGAGTGTGTACTACAAGTCCAAGAAGGGAAGGAAGACCGAGAAGGAGGTGCAGGAAGCTGAGCAAGCCATCCTTGAGACTCCTTCCGCTGAGGTTGATGAGCCATTGGACTATTGATTTTGCAAGTTTCGGATTCTGTTAGGATTTCTTGCTTTTCTTTTCCTCCCTTGATTTTTAGTGGTCTGGTAGTTTCTTTTGCTTTAACCCCGCTTCAGCCTTCACTTAATGTTTGATGTAGCAGATCTTATTCGACTGTTTTTCATTTTGGATTATGAGACCTTGGATTTAATAACTTGACTGACGTTTAGTCTTTGTGTCTTTCTTCTCATATTTTTCGAATCGAATTTAACCATTGGTTTCATTCAATTTCAATGCCATGAAGGCAAACTCAGGCCCCTTGCGGCTCCGTTTGGATGAGGGAAAATAATTTGGAATTTAGTTAGAAGTTGAGAATTTAAGAGAAGAAATTGACAATTTTCTTGTTCGTTTATTTAATCAGGAAATTTATTAAATGACATGTAGAAAAAATCTTGAAAATTTGAGCATCAAATTCCCGAATTTAATTTCCATTAAAATAGGTGTCATTTCAGACTTTTTATAGTCTCAATAATAAAATTACGTCATTTATAAAATTCGACATACATAAATCCAAATATTGAAATATTCAATTGTTAGAAATTGAAATGATTGAAATCTAAATTCCGTCATTTTAGAATTCTATGTAATTTTCAATTCTTTTATCCAAACGGAGGGTAAAAGTCGAAAATTTAAGAGAAAAAATTGACAATTTCCTTGTCAACTTAAATGATGTACGGAAAAAATCAGGGAATTTGGGCATTAAATTTCCGAGTTTAATTTCCATCAAAATATGCGTTATTTCACAATTTTCATAATGTCATTTATAAAATTATGTTCAATTGCTAAAAATTAAAGTAATAAAAATCTAAATTCCATCATTTTAAAATTATAATTTAATTTTTTCAATTCAATGGATATCCAAACGGGGGTATAAAAATATGAAAATGGCAAAAGAAAAAAAAAAAAAAAAAAAAAAAAAAATCTTGCGGGCTCCACCTCCAGCCTAGGCTTGAGCTTGGGCCAAAATAGCCCCCATGGAGCTGAGCTCCAGCTGGCCTAGGTCCTAAATCACCTCAATAGAAGCCCTATTTGACCATTTTGGGCTATAACCAGCCTTGGACTGGGCTAAAAGTGCCCCACTAGCACTCTTTCAACCCTGCCATGTGTCTTACTACAGAATTCTACAACTAACCCTAATTCCTAAACCCTAGTTGGCATTGATGGTGTTATATAGACTTGAACTGGGTTCATGTTCGTACTAAATAATGCCATCGACAATTTATAATTAGACCCAAAAATTTAAAAGAGATATTTAGTGATATATCCATTCTTAGCACTAATATTATAGATAAATCATCCATAATTGAATTTCTATAAACAAACCCAAAAAAAACCTCAAAAATGACAGCTGGCCTTATTGAATTTAATATTGATTATTAAATTACTTTAATGCTCTATTGAGTGTTTTGGGTATTTTTATGAGATTTTGAGGTTGGGCTTGTTTTAAGAAATTTATGGTAGTATTGTAATTTATAAGAAGTTAAGGCCTCTTTGTTATATTGTAAATGAGTTTTGGGTGTGTTTATAAAGTTCATTTCATATGAGGTATTTTTATAATTTGAACCCCCATATTGGGTATATTAGTGAATCTCCCAATTTAAAATTGATTCAAAGTTTATTTTTATTAAGGAATATTAGAAAGTTAAAAGAATTATTTACTGTTTTATCGTGAAGAATCAGTGTTCATTTGTAAGACACGTGTTAGACTTTAAAAGCGGTGGTGATGCTACAGGTGGTGTGAGCAAAATTGCTCTCTCATTTAAATACCTCTCTTATTCTTCCCACGCAGCATCCTTAGTGGCGACTTTGCAAATTACCAATTGCAGAACGCAAGCGAGAGAGAGAGAGAGAGAGAGAGAGAGAGAGAGAGGGAGTCGGCAGGCAGCGCACAAATAAAAGCACAATACATTGTTGCTTTGCCTGTAGAGGAAGAATCAATACTCATCATTTTGGCTTTTAGGGCTTGAAATTCTGTTCCACCTTCGACTTCATGGTGAGTCCGACTTCAATTTTCTCTTTCCTTTCCGTTCTCGTGACTGTGGATTGATTTTGTTGCTCAAATTGATTAGATCTTATTACAATCGGTCTGTGTTTTCGCTTTTCAATTATTGCAAACTTGTTTCTATGATTCGTTGCTAAGAAAACTGAAAGTTAAATATAAGATGAAAGTTGAATGTTGAATGTTTTCACTCTTGGATGACAAAGTGAGTACTTTAAGCTTAGATTCTTAGCGATCTGTTTGACTCATTTTACACTTAATTTCCGCTTTCTTGTCTCTCTCTTTTTTTCAATTTTATGATATGAAGACCCTGACTTTGTTAAATACTTATTAGATTTTTTTGTCTTTCACTTGTATTGTATGCATACCTGAAGTTCAATACTCATTAGTTTTTTTTTGTTCTTGTCATCATTGTAGTTGATTTGTTGGGTTAATTAGGAAGTAGCCCACTAAAACTTATTGACTTGTTGCCTGCAGGCTTCTGTGGTGGCATTTACAGATGATGCGGTTCTTCCTGTAAGTCTTGTTTTTGATGCATTGAAGGAGCTTGGGAATGGAGCTACTGATAAGTGTGAACCTCAAATTATGACCGAAGTGTCTTCTTTAAGTAAGTTTCTTATTCCTCTTTGTTCTTTAATGTAGTAGCATTTCGTTTATTGTTCCCCCCTAAACAATGTAACCTACAAATTTGTTTATATCTGTTATAAGTTGGGTAATAGGTATCCAATTGAATGACCATTTAACTTATAGCCATGTAGTAGTCATGTTTTTTTTTGTTGCAAGTCTCTTGGCCATATAATAGTGTTCATTTGATGTTGTTTTGACTTATGACAGGTCAGCTGCCCCTGGGGTCTTCCTCTGTGGACGTTGTTTTTACTCTTTGTAAATCGATTGAATTTCCAAGTGAGCAGTTGTTAGGGGAAATCTCAAGGGTCTTGAAGCCTGGTGGATCAGTCCTAATTTACAGGACTTCTGATTCTTCTACAGGGGAAAGTGATAAGGTAATTCATGTTCACATTGTCACATTATGGATTCAGTTTGAAGTGAGAAATCTTACTTCGGTTTTCTTGCAGACCACCTCTGTTATTGAGCGCAAGTTACTATTGTCTGGTTTCCTAGAAGCACAAGCTCTTCAAGGGAAATCAAATTTACCATCTGAGTTGTCCTTTGGGGTAAGTTTCATTGTTACTAGTATCCATTGGCATCATGTTGTAATTTTACTTCTCTCCTCTTTGCATGTTAAATTTATAACATGAATCTGAATTCAACTCATCTCAGACTTAATACTAACTGTTTGGGCTTGGCTACATGGAACCTTATCGGGATCTAATTGGGATCCTACATTTCTTGTGTACTTCAATCCAATCTAGGGTTATATTCTCTATTAAATGTCTTGCAGTCATGCCGTTCACAATCCCTTTTATCCATCTCATCAATCTTCCTTTATTTTAGATGCATCCAAGTCGTTTGTACTGGTGCACTTAAATTTGTATTTGTATTTGTATTTATTTTTATGGAGCACATGAACATACCATCTAAAAGTGTTCTCTCATTGTTGGTTGATAACGGATCTGATGAACATATCCAATAGCTTCTCTGATTTTGTTAGTTACTCTAGCATTTTTTCAGAATCCTTTTTTTTTTTGGGTCTACATAAAAGAAAAGAATCTATTTGTTCACGATAACTTTATCACTGGATATACTTTGTGGATGGATTTTTTTGTTGATAAATTCTGTAATTTGTATGATGTTTGTATATCATTGGATATGCTCTGTGATAGCTGTAGATTATTCAGCTGAGCTTTAATTTTTTTCTCTTCTCTTTCTGTAGGTCAAGGCTAAAAAACCTTCCTGGAAGATTGGTTCATCCTTTGCCTTAAAAAAGACCACCAAAAGTTTACCAAAAGTTCAGATCAATGATGATTCAGATCTGATTGATGAGGATAGTCTATTAACAGAGGAGGACTTAAAGAAACCCCAGCCGGTTCTAGGTAAGGCATCCTGGTTCTAAGTTGTATGTTTGTCGACTTTGTGAGATTCTTTCGGGGTTAACTGCAATGTTTGTGATTTTTGTAACCATGCACTGAGCAATGTACTTGTGCAGCTGGTGATTGTGAAGTTGGAAGCACAAGGAAAGCTTGTAAAAATTGCACTTGTGGGAGGGCTGAAGAAGAGCAGAAAGTGGAGAAGTTAGGCTCGACAGTAGATTTGGACAATTTCAAGTCCCAATGTGGCAGTGTATGTCCTATAGTTTGCTTATCAATATGCTTTTTAAAGTGTGTTTGCTGTTTGTTCTGTTTTGTTTATTTTGCTCTGAAAGTTGCATTTTACAGTGCGGACTAGGTGATGCTTTTCGATGCGCTACATGTCCTTTTAAAGGTCTTCCTCCATTCAAACCAGGAGAGAAGGTATTTGTTGGATCACTAAATCAATCCCTTCCTCCTCCCTTGCCCCTCATTTTTAACTGTCATCTTTTTTCCAGGTATCTTTGTCAGCGAACTTCCTTGCAGCAGACATCTAAACTAGAACAGCTCTCTTGTTTTGGGGGATGAGGTTTTCGGATAATTAAGAATGGTGCTACGCGGTGATGGGTTTCTCCACAACTTGGGTTAACTGCTCTCCAGATATTTGCGATTTTGGGTTGTACTTTTTCTGAATTGAAACGTAAAATATGGTTCAGTAGCTTGTACCTAATAAAGATGAAGTTCGTTTCTTGGATTTGCACTTACTACATTTGTCACATTTGTCTTAGTTACTCGAGATAACTAGTAGAAACTTATTAAGATATAGGAGAGAGAGGGTGGTAATAGCAGATTTGCCTATATAAAGATCTTGATCAAGGTCGACGGCAAACAGATGTAGGCTACTTTGGACCCTGCTAGGATTTGTTAACTTTTCTTGATTAGAATTTTTTCTGGAGCACCATTTTCGTTTACAGTTCTCGGATTGTGATATAATATTGCTGTCAGCACCACTTCCTTTTGTTTATGATCCAAACCTTCCAACTTTTTCCGCTTTGAACGACCCAAAAATAGTCATGTATATAACAAAATCATGCAAATTCTAAACGTGTTTAAATCCGTCAAGGATCATAGTCAAACATAAGTAACGATACATATACTACTACCTGCATCAGCAGCATGTTGTTCAGCTAAGTATGTTAGGTATTAACCTGCTGAGAGAGAAGCACAAGCAGCCCTTGCGGACCAACTAATATCTCATTCAGGAAGCTAATCAATCCAAACCAGACCACAGGGGTTACATCCACACCGCCTAAAGGCGGTATCAACTTCCGGGTTGGGATGAGAAGTGGTTCTGTGGGGGCATAAGCTACGACATAAGGGAACTTCCCCACTGGAATTTTGGGGTACCAGGACATGACTATTCTTATGATAAACAGAAAAGAAAATAGCGAGAAAAAAGGGCCTAGAAATCCAATAGCAAGCTTTGCTGTAGCAGGGTCCAAATCTGCCAGAACCAGCTTGTGCATTAAATTTGAGAGAGTATGTGATGTGTCTGGCATACCAATTCCAAGAATGCTGGAAACTGCATCCGTAATATGCGATGGCTCCCCTGAAGGAGGTAAGTATAATGGTGATAATGCAAGGCTAGGAGGAGAAGCTCCAACTTGGACCAAACATAAGGAACATTGTGCAATTAGGAGCCCTTGCTTTGGATGGCTTTTACTGGTTGTCTTGACGCTTTCCTGAAAAGTTTTGGGAACAGGCATCTTACAACAAACCCGGTAAAAACGAGGATGAGAATGGAGAGAAACAGAGCTGGGAACTTACAGTGACAGTGGGATTTGTATGCTTGGGTATCCTCATCCTCGAGGGCCATGGCCATCCTAGAACAAATTGGAAACCATGAAATGAAAATCCTCTCCCTAGGGCCTAACCAAAAGAAACAAAACCATTTCATTAAATTGGTACCTTTAATCTGGACATGGTTGAGAAGATAAGAACAGGTAGCCATAGAGTGCGGTCGGAGAAATTGAAGTACGAATGAATGAAGCGTTATCCTTTGAACGAGAGGTGGGGAAGTCCACTTTTAAACATGTGACCGGCAACGGGTATTCTAGGTTTCTCTTCTCAGTTAAATTATAGTTTTATGAATTTCAGAGGAAAATAAATAATTAAAAATATACCAGACCAGTCCAGTGGAGTTCGAGAACACTGTATGGAATGAATATTGAAATGAAACTTGTAATGCAATTGTAATATTCGTATGGATTGTTTTAGTATCTAATCTTTAATTCTCTTATTTCTTTATATATAATTTGTAACAGGGCATAAAAACGGGGAAATCTCCTTAGTGCACTTGTAACAGGGTATAAAAACGGTTGTAGAATGCAGTCATGAGATTTCACAGTTAGCAAGCAAATAAGGTAAATGCTTAATCGAATTATCAGAGGAAAAAGAAAATTCATTGAAATCGCAATGGTCGCAACCACCATACTAGCAAAGAGAAAGTTTCGCGGCAGGGGGCAGGGCGTGTATGCCTCCCCCCTTACAATCACCTCTTACATGATGGGTAGCTACGATAGAAAGGCGTATACGATCACCCTGCCCCAAAAATTTTGCTTACTATGATAGTTCAATCAAGCTTTCCTAAAAAAGAATATATATAACAAATAAATGAAAGGAAAAGGAAAGAAATAATAGACCTCATTATCCTTTACATGCTACTTCTACTTCTTGTGTCTCTGTGTCTTCTTTCGGAAACTTGGCAAAAATCTTGAGAGCGAGCAATGGGGCAAATATATTGAGAAAGAATACGGGCATCCAAAGAACTGCACAAGGTTTTGGCAATCCTTCTCTCCAACTCCATCGTTTAAATGATTCAAGTAGGTCTTTCCCTCGTAAATAAAACAGAGTTGCTGCCACAGAAGTATGCTCAACCCTATCCCCAATGAAACACTTGAAACAAACAGATACACCAAAACAAGCCCTCTGGGGGATAAAAGCACTACAGATTTTAGCAAACCATATACAATCTCACGGATAGCTCTCATAGCAAAATCACTGCCAAACCCATATGAGTGGTCGAAGGGTTCATATGCTATGGATGGCCAGATATGCCAACATACATACACAGTCATGACAGAAATATAGAATGTACTGGTGACAACTGAAATGAGTAAGGCAATGAAGTGTCGGTGGTTAGCTGCACCAACACAATTCCCAATCTGCATCAAAATTATGCAGCAACAATTCATTAATGTTAGAATGCATGTCATGAGCTCAAAATCCAAACCAAACTTTGTAGACACACAGCAGGTATGCACATATACTGATGGACTTTTAGATACCCAAAAAAAGAAAAAAGAAAAGAAAAAAAAAGGGGAACAAATTTGTCAGAATCTACAATAAAACCTTTTCCTCTTACATATTTATTTCTTGCAACAAGGATTTCATTTTATAAACATTAATGTATCCATAGTTAAACAAACTCTAAGAATTAAATTTCAACAAGGGTCCTAATTTAGCAGAACTAAATTTCAACTTCAAACAAAGTTTCCATATGAGCATAACAAAATTGTGAAACATTGTTTTTATCAAGCTACCTTGGAATTTCCATAAACTCATAGATTCTTTAATCCCTGCAGAAGTAGGTGTTTTACCTTTGAGTAACATATTGTTCATCAAAGCCACTGATGTCACTAGTTTTCCTAGCTTTAATGGTGATTGGAAATTTATATTTCCACTCTCCTGTAACTGGTGGCATTAGGTCTATATCCAGAAGCCCTCTAGGAGTTCAAAAAAGTCACAAGTAGATGGCTGACTCAAAACTCCGCAAAATTACTTTCTTCTTTACCTCTTGTTACTGTTTTATTTTCTTCAATAGCATATATAATTGTTCTTAACATTCTATCCTCAGTATCTTAAGCCTTCATACTGAAAATCTACAGCAAATAAAAACAAAAAACACAGCTTCCAGTTGAAATTTTCTTTTTCCATTGAGCTTCACTTTCGACTCGCTTCCCCAAGCTACTAAGAATTATCAAATGGTTAGAACTTAAGTAATTAACGGCTAATGCATTTACAATAGACAGCAAGATATTCTGTAAAAAAAATTGTCTATTACGACATATTTATGCATTGAGAAGAAGATGTCAACACTTACAAATGGGCAGTGATGATCCATGTCCAAAATACACATTCCACAGGATCGGCAATGATGACTTCTAGGTGACTTTGGCTTTGAGCAGAGCTGACAGAAGGTATAATTCTCAAGGGCACCTTTCCCCACAGCTGGATAGCTACCCCACACTACGCATGGGGGTGTTCCAGCACATGCAAATGAAGCAGAACTGAATGTATAAACAGTAGTTACAGACAAGATGAAGGTAATGATGGAGTGAAAAATTCCATGGAAATAGCTGATAGAGAAAAGAACAGGGAATGCTGCCCACACTCCACCACCTGCAATTTCAACATTTGCATCAACTCCTCATTTCCACCTTCACTTTTTGAAGTTAATGTACACCTTCTTCATCGTATTTTGTGGAAAAAATTTAACCATTTTTCATATATCAATTAAAATTTTGCCTACAGAAGATAATATGGAAAGTGAAACTATTATGCCTATGCCTGATTATGGACAAAAAATATGTCAATACCTACACAAGCAAAAAATAAGCAAAATGGAGAAAGATTCTAATACAACTATAAGAGCTACAACTACTTACATATCACAAAGAGCATAAACATGAGGAGAATGCAGACAAAGCACCGATCCCGCAAGCGTCTCAACCAAAAGTACTTGCATTCTCGTTTCCCTGCATTCTGATTTGTTAAAGCTCCACACCAACCACATTTGAAAACTGGAGCATGTGATGGAAGAAGGAGGTGCAGTCCACAACCCCAACACGTGACATCATAGTCCTCCGTGACGGATGCTATAAAATGCTCCTACATGTAACCCTCCAGTAAGCAACAAAGGAAACTACACAAAATTTGGGGACATAGAATAGGAACTTTATTCGATACATCCTTGTGGAAATAATAATGTAATCAATGTGATATAATAAAGGCTTGGTTATCACAAAATAAGGCAGTGGTAAGATCCATCACAGGTGTTTAAAGCAGGTAAATATTAAAAGTGCATGTTCCAGCTCTTTATCAATATCTTTGTAATCTGACATCAAAATGTATCCTTAGGATGCTAGTTTTATTGAAAACCAAATAATCTAAAAGAATTTATTACTTGCAATCTGAATATTAAACATTAACTGATAAAAGTACATTTGTTATAAATAAAAATTGACAAAGGTAAAAGAGCCCAAACAAAAGATAAACAAATTAAAAAGAAGAGAAAGCAATCGAACGTAACCCAAGGTAGGTAAGCAATTGTACTGGGTCAATAAAAGTTAAAAGATAAACATGAAGAACAGCTACAGAAGAATGCAACATAAACCACGCAAGCAATTGGGTTTGGTCTATTATCAGATTATTACATTAATTCTGACTCAGTTTCACACACGATATCTTCCCTGATGAACTGGAACAAAACCAAAAACAAGAACAACAAGATTACATAAAACCCCAAACGTTTAAACACCACCTACGCCCGCCCATAAAACAATCGAGAAAACATAACAAGAAGCCAACAGCCAATTATAGCAAACAGAAAATGAGGGTACCTTGGGCAAGTCAGCCATAATTGGAGTTGCCTTTGGAGCAACTTCAAAGGATTCAGAGATTAGTGATGTCATGTCATTGCAGTTGAAGAGTATCCCAATTCTGCAAGGTCTTCTTCATCGACAGAGTTTCCAAGACAAATTGGGAAGATGGAACTTTCATCATCTTCTTGTCCATATTGGGTGAGTCTGACTGGATCCAAATTAACCCAACCAGGAGACCACCCAATCAGCAACTTGGACTCAAATTTTGAAACTTTTTCCTTTTTGGGTAAGATTTTAAAACTTGGGTCGGGCGATATCATCACGGCCCAAAATCAAGCCCAACTTAATTTATTTCTCAATTGTAGGTAGTACAATACAGAGGTTCCCTAAATGTGGCACCGATCTGAGCATTTCATAACACATGACATCTCTCTTAAGTTGGTTATTTAGTTATTTTATAGGCATAAGCATAATCAAATACAAGTCTCACATAGAAGTGATATTACAAACAAAAAGTACAAATTAACCCCGAAAAAATGGTTATCACACGTATCCGCGTGCGGGTGCGCACAACCTTATTTGTGGTCTAGTATATTTATCTGAATACAAATATTATAATTGAGAAGCTTTGCTTTCATTTGCGTTTCAGAGCGAGAAACAACTGAGTTCCTTGTCTGTGGCTGGACTCTAGTTGGTTGATAAGTTGGCCACTTTTATCATTGAGCCTATCAAACACTTGATTAACAATGTCACTTCCAAAATGAGTTTTGAAAACTCCCTCCATGCCAGCTCTTAGCTCCCTCGCCAGTCTCTGCTGCGTGTTGTTTACTATGTGACCAACTTTTAACCAGGGGCTTGTTGACTCCATTTTCACTATGCTAAAGCTTCCATTTCTTTCTACCAGCTCTGCCATCTCATTTGGAGTCGTAGTGTACACCGGAATGTTGAATGCGTCCACCTCTTCTTCACTTATCAAACCCTATAAATTAAAACCCAAGAAACAAAACCAAAAAAAATCTATAAGCTATGTAAGTCTCTTTCTGAGTTATAGATTGAGTTTTGTTATTAACTTACTTCCTTTGCAATCTCCATGAGAATAGACCCCAGAAAATCAAACATGATGCCAGTTGGAATGCGAGACTGATGGATCCCATCTGGGATGGTTTGCATAATTAGCACCATCATTCCACCAGCCGCAAGCTCTTTAGCCCGAGCTTCCAAGAATATTGCCATGTCCGTACGAAATTGGGCTGCGAAAGCATTAAATACTTGGTCAGGGGAAGTTGTATAGTAAATCTTGCCCTTGTTCCATGCCGGAGAGTTCTTGTTTGTGACTTCTTCTGGTAGCTTAGAGAGCCAGTGAGTTGCATATGAAGAGTGCGCGAAATGGATAGAGGCCTCGGGGAATAGCCGGCCATGGAAAGACCCCGGCACACCAGCTGCAAAGTAGTGCCTTTCCGGAGGCAAAGAGGCAAACAGGGTATTGAAATCATTGGCTTCGTGGTCATTAAAGAACACATGGAAGTCAGGCATGTGGGATCCGTACTTTTGTTTCACCGCTTCCATTATGTTTTGGACGCAAGCGAAAGTGTTTGGTCCAACTGAGCATCCCAAATCCGCTATGCGAAATGCATTGCTTGAAGCAGAAGAAAAATCTTCTATGTCAAGTTTCTCTGCTATTGCCTCATCAATTAGAGTCTTTGCAACATTTGCAGCTGCTCTCTGCACAATAGTTCAAGTATATATCTGTTATTATTAAGCCCCCTCCCTTAACTTGACAACTATGTACTTGAACTAATATAACCAAGGAAAAGTCAAAAGTGAGAAAGACACAATTTTTACAAAACAAAAACAGGAAAGAGAGAAAAAGATATCTAAAACCAATAACAAGATCATAGTTGGTTTTCTGGGCTGTATACCATGATGAAGTGGAAAAATGAGAGAGACGACGCACACAATTAAACCAATTACGTAGAAATTGAAAGAACCTGGTAAGAAGAGTTTTTGGTGTAGCTGTACATGCCATCTCCACCGTTCATTGGATATGCTTCCGGCACTGAGGTTGCATTGTTGTTGCTCATCTTCAACTCTCTCTCTCTCTCTCTCTCTCTCTCTCTCATGTGCTATCTATATATATATATATATATGCATGAAAAATGATTTCCACAATTCAATCATCTTTCTGGGTCACTTTGTTTGACTGAAGTTGTGCCTTTAAGACATACATACATACATACATATATATATATATATATATATATAAAGTTTCCGCTGCGGCATCTCTATCAGTAGAATTGTCATAGCCAAAACACGTCAGGTATAACGTAAATACAGATAGAAATGGAAAAATAAATAAGGGAGAAGTCAATAAAAATGTTGTCCCCAGCCAAGCCAAGCCCAAATTGTTTATAGTTTATTACTTTGTAGTCCCTGAAAACATTAGAAATATTCGAAATCTGTAAACAAAAAAGAACTTACAGATATCTTATACGTTATTATTTTCCTTCCTTAGAAGTTGTAAAAAAGTAAATTAAATTAAATAAAAAAGTTGTTGACCTCAATATTGGATGTACCAGAAGGGCTGAAAATGTTTTGTTCGAACAATTTCCGCATTTTATTCTGTTGGAGCTTGCGAATTAAACGACGGCGACATTCATACCAAACAAAAAGTGAGTATCGAGTCAAAAATGAGCCAAAACTTAAAAACAGAAGATCGATTAAATTCTCATGAGGGTTACATCCAAGTCAAGCCAAGCCTTCAACTCGAATTAGTAATGAAATGAATTAGAAATGCTGATAACATTTACAATTTTCGGCACAAAACAAAGCAAAATCCATATTACCGATATTACAAAGTTACAAACATATCACATGGTGTTGTATTGTATGCGATACTCCAAAAGCTCTATCATGTCAATATCAAAAATAGTCAACCCAATGGCCAATCTAAATGCTTCAGGCCATCATCACTTAAATTCCAAGCTCCTTCAGCAATCTCATCGAAGAGTTGGTTCCATCCCCAACTTGAATACCCGAAGAAAAACCAGTAGTCACTGACAGATTGATTTCCTGACTTGAGCTCTTTGATTTTTTGAATTGTTGCTAATTGATCGAGAAAGAAAACACCCTGTAGGACTTCCGGATACTCGGTCTTGACAAATCTTCGAGTTAATGCCACAAGAGGCATTCCACCCTTTATAAGTGGTCCTCCAAAGGACAGAGGGGCCTCTGCTAACATCTCAAGCCCTTGTTCCAATTCATTTAGAGCATCCCATCTGATATGCTTGTTAATAATCAGACCTTGAAATCCAGAAACTTGATCTGCCTTGACAATAAGAATCTCTGATTTATCAAAGGGATGCACAGTAAGTTTATCAGTAGCAACTAAAATGGAACCGGTCACCACACGCAGGGCTGCTTCATTGAAACCTTGTGATGTGTGAGACTTGGCCTGATCGTCTCTAATGACTTGTTTATGCGTCGTTGTTAATAGTACTTCATGAAGTGTGTCCTTTTCAATAGGACCTTCCTCATGAATATCAGATAACTGGACCTTAAAGAAATTTTGATTCCTTCCCCACTTTTTAGCTACAGTCCATAAGATTCCTACAAAACCATCAAACAAGCAGACAACTTGAGCAAGGAAGAAGTTCATGCCACCAGAACTGCACACCTTCAAAGAAAAGAAAAAAAACTACAACTCTTCCAATCCCAAAACAAGATTCTTCCTAATGAACCATAGGCATTAGTCACACATTAAATAGAATTACCCTTCTCACTGATAAGATGATGAGAGTTACTTCCATGATCAGCCATAAACTTGAAAATTTCAGTGACCGCCATATCCCCTTCATAAGGGAGAACATTCTTCTTTTCTGCTGGAAAGAGCACCAGAGCAGGATAAACTTCCCTCTGTTTTTTTTTCCAACAAAAAACCAAATGATCAGAAAGAGGACAAAACTGCCTCCTATTTCAGAACAATTCAAAAAAATTGTTGTTGTTCAGTAGTTTACAGAACAATAAGCTACTTAGAAATGTCATCAATGGAAAACATGACATTACAAATATAATTTTAAAAGCCACCTAGGTTGACGAGATGAATAGATAGACACGTATTTACAATATTTTTAATTTATACCAGGAGATATTTTTGGGCATTCCACAAGACAAGACACACCTGATTCATTGATTTCAGTATCAAACTGCAATCATTCAATGTGCAATCCAGCAAGTATATAAACGGAAGCTTCAGCATTTCATCCTTCAAGTCACCTGTCAGATGTAGTTGTTCATGTGAATATTTGAACTATAAGCAAAAATGATTAAACATGGAAATTACCATTTTATGTTCTTGAACAAAAAAAAAGAATAATTATAGAAAATAAGTTTTGTACAGATATAAAATCCCACTAAAATAACACTTAGATATCTTTTAATATTTCCTCCCTAAGATTATTAGGATATGCAAGTTATTACTTAACAGGAACCAAATGGGACGAGAATAACAACTAGGGCCAAGAGAACAAACACTTAACTGAGCACCTATCACTGACAAAAAGTACTTACCATCGTGAAACATTGTTTTCTCATTCTTTGATCCACTTTTCAGCATCTTAACATAATCCTTCATAGACCGGTATACTTCACGAACAACCAATTCCATTCTCTGGCAAAACCCACACCATCTATTGCTAAAAAGGACCAAGACATCCTTATTCCAAGCATCAGTGTCAGATTGATTAAACCCAATTACCAGCTCAGAGAAAGTACGACTTGTCACTTGAGGGATAGTATCCACCTGATGAAAATCCAGATTAACAAATGGTGGTTGAGTGGCCTCCCTAGATCTATGAAGAACAGATTCAGACTGTTGATATGGAAGAAGACTTCCATTAACAAACCCAGCAAGAAAATCAGCCAGTGAAGAATAGCTGAGATTTGTCTCCTCTGACAATACATGATGCTGCGCAGCAATCGGATCAACTATCACCAAAGCTGGAACTTTTGACCCACCAGTCAGAGCATGAAGTAATCGATCATTACCGTCAGAAAAGAAAAAAGAACCCTTGAAACCTTGAAAGTGAAGCTGTTGCTCCCCTGACTTATCTACCTGTGAAGAGATTTCTTCTTCTACCTTTAAATCTTCAGCAGTATCAAGTTTATGATCTGCAAGATTTTTCTCACTATCTACAGATAAGAACTGCTTACTTGTATCAACAGATGCTGTTTTCTCTTCATCATTTTGAAAAGAGATTTCAGCAGATATGCTATTCCCCTGTGGAAATTGATCCTTGTCTGAGTCAACACTACTTGTAATAGTGGCTTCCTTAGATAGCTCTTGTATACGTTGATCAGACTGAACTTCTGTCTGTACAGGCAATGTATTCACTAACTTGATGTCCATATCATCTGATAAAAGTTGGAAACCTAACTCCTTTGCAAGTGAGCTTAATTTAGCTTTCTTCTTTTGCTTAAGTACGATATCCAAGATCTCCTTCAAGGAACTGCCCTGTAGATCCAAAGATATCTTATCCAAAGTGACCTGTTTTCCCTCATTTACAATCATGAAATTAGACATTTTGTCTTTTAGTTTGATCATCTGAGCTGCCTGAGATAATTTCAGCTTAGGATGTCCAGATTTACTCCTTAATGCATGATAATCCTCCACCTTGGACATCTCAGACTTGTCTTCATGTTGCGCATCAAATTGTTGTGAAACAAGATAGTGCAGTGCCAGCTCTTGAAAAGCATCAAGAGCTTCCTTACATTTTATTCTAGTCTCTGACAATTCAGATGATCTATCCACAAATAGAAGTACTGATGGTTGGTTAGCAGGAAAAGCAGGCTCCAAAGTGTTGCCATCACCTTCCAGCTACACAATATTATGGATCGATTATGCGTATTAAATTATAAGATAACTAGTTTAGCACAGAGAAAAAGGAAGTAAGCATACAAGAAGAGATACTATGTATCTACACAGTCTGTTTTAATCCCTTAGTATGCAAGGAAATATAAACTGGAAGTAATACTACAGGAATAGGAAACAAATAAGGCAAAGATTATAACAACAAAGGGTGAGGTATAAAGGGAAGAATAGATAACTCACCTGTGTAACAACCAAATTATCCATTTGTAAAGCATTCTTGAGGTCATCCTCTTTTTTAATAATCTTTGAACAACTGGGGCAGCCAGAAAAGTAAAGCACTGCCAACCATGAACCGGAATCTTCAACCCCAAGATTTGAGAGCATCGATCTCTCTGAGACCAGACCAAATTTATGCCTTTCAGGAGGCAGGAAGAACTCTCGTGCAACAGTCATGAACTTCGAGAAGAAAGAGTCAAACAGCTGATACTCTTTATGTGTACAGAATGATGCAACTTGAGGGCTCATTTTCTCCGACCTCTCCAAAGAAGTGCTGTCATTTACTGAACTGAAGCCCCCAAGCCAAGGAACTCCACCAAGCCCATAATCAACGCCACACTTCATATTTGCAGTTTCCATGCCCTGTTTTTTCCCCAAAAAGAAAACAGCAGCAAATACATCACTAAACTTTTGCTCCTAATTTTCATTTCGTAAATTAGTATCACAACACTGGCAATTAGAAACTACCCGCGACCTTCTGGTTATTCTTCCCCAAGTGTGCTGGTGATCTATTCGCCTCTACACTGAAGTTCAATCCAATAGGATCCCCTGCAAAGGAATGTTGTTATCAACATCAATGGAGAACAAAATAACCATGAAAACTCACACAAAAGCTACGAACGACATTCCATATTGATTATAGCTTCTATTTGGATAATTTGTACTGCAAACTTCAAATAATGCTTTGCTGCTGCTCTAAAATCTAAGAGGTAATGCTTCTCATGGTCATTTCTATATTTACGAAAATACTATATAAAGAAGCTGGTTTTAAACCTAACCTTGCACACCAAAACCACTGCGATCAGTTCCATTCATCTTCCGCTTGGTCAGCAATTTAGAGCTCCATTCGCAGAACTCGAAGAGAACCAAAGCTTTGTCAGTTGAATCAAGGAACGCTTTCAAGTCCTCCGGAGTTGTCAGGGACTTGAAGGGAAGTTCTTCGGGTTCAATCGACACGTAAGGACGTAGTGAAGACAATACATTTTGTGCTCGAAGCCTTCCTCGATACTTGTATGACACAGAATGGTGATAGTACAAAACTGTTGTTTCCTCTGCGTCTGTGGTAGAACCAATGGCTTCCACTAACAACTTCTCCGTGTTTCTGTGTATAAGCATCAATTTCAGAGAGCTGAACTCTTCTGGTCTATCGGTGACCAAGCGAGCTACGTCTTTCATGAACGACCGAGACTCGCCCGACCCTGCACAGAATTCAAGTTTAACTCAAAATAATTAATTAATCAGTAGAAATTAAGAATTTATGATAATATTGGGGATTCGGATCTGAGAGAGAGAGAGAGAGATTACATGGAAGAGTTACAACGAGGAGGATGTGAGGGTGGAGACGGATCTGAGAAGAGAAATTTTGCTTTGTGAGGATATGCCATTCATCCAACCCGTCCGATTTAGAATCAACGGCTAAGATTGATGCCAGGAGCAATATCCAGCAACCTAAGAATGCCAACTTCATCGTCACCACTCTCAGTCTCTCAGAGCGCTGCAACTGTGTAACAGACACTCGTCAGTCTTCGCCCGCCGACTCCCTTGTTGGGTTTGCTGTATACTTCAGCCGCCGAATGAAATTGGACTTGCAAGTCGGGTAATTGGGTATGGCTGGTGGATACCAATTCATATGCAATTGAAAACGGGCCGTACTAAAGGCTAAAGCTTATCTGGGCTGTTTGCAATATATCAAATTTTCAGCTGGGCAAGCCCAGCTCAACCGACTCCGTACCTAATTGGGTTTGGGCATCTAATCTTTATATTTTAAAATTTATAAAAGCGATATTAGGGAAAAAAATCGAACCTAATACCTCTAGTGCATAGGTAAATAAATAATCTTAACTAGTTTAGATACAAACCCCTTGCTCTAATTTTTATTACTTTGCATAAGACTTGATGCACATTCTAACATTCGTGATCATTTTTGTGCTTAATCGAAACAAAGTATTTGTAAATTAATGAAAGTTAAATTATTAAATAATTTTGATTTGGTTAATATTTTACATAAATTATCAGTAAATATTTTTATATAAAATAAACGACTTTAAGTATGAGGATATGTTTTGGGATGTGCAATATAACGGAAAAGTAGGAGGATGATCAAATTAGCACTCGTTCTTTAGAGTATTTTCACTCATTTGCCATGGCAAGGCAAGGGTTGTTACTATTCACGTGATTAGTGGCAGCCCTTGCAAAAGGCTTGTGGTGTTTCCACCCATTACCATGACAACAACTATTCACATGAGATATGAGGAGGGGAATTTGTATAGAGTTTTGATATGAGAAGTGAAGAACTATTTGTTTTTTTTTTTTTTTTTTTTTTTTTTTTTTTTAATTTATAATAATAATTATTCTTTGAATGAAAAAAAAAAAAATATATTTTTTTGTAGATTTTTATTTTTTGGACAAACCCAGGCTAGAGCATGGACTCGTTTTGCCTGAGGGTTGGCATGGTTTCGTGGGGCCCAGCAGCTTGCCTGGCAGCTTTAGCCGACTGGAAGATGAATTTGGGGCTTTGGGCTCCCTCCTGCCTTGGCAAGGGCAGCCCACTGGAATTGCTCTTATGTGTTGAGTCGGATGAATTGGAAATGTTAACCTTTTTTTTTTTTGGTTGGAGAAAAAATGTTAATTAAACTGGTAGGATAATATTATGTTGTCGTTATTTTTTAGTCCTAAAATGAGAACTTAACTTTCTTATTGATCAAAACAAATCACGTGATTTTTTTGTGTTATTAATGTAAAATTGTTGCTCGTACTTAGGTAAAATGGCAAGGATTTTTTGTTGGAAAATGGTAAACGATAGGTTGTTGTATGATACAACCGAATCGAACTCTAGTTAGTTGAGTGCGCCTTGAGGTATATTTTAACAAGTGATTTTTTGTTGGAATCCAACAAATTTCGTCGAGAAAGATCTATCGCGATACCAAAATTTCCCTGGGTAGGTATATCTCAAAAATTTGCCGAGACAAGTCTAGATTAGGTCCGATTACGTCGTACTAACCCAAGATCTTGTCTATGATTATTAAATATTCAATATTATGTAGGCTTAAATGTTTAAATGGTCCATGTGTTTTACTAATTTTGTCAATTTAATCCTTATGTTTTCAATTTAGTCATTATGTTTTACTCCGTTAGCCAATGTTGTCCATTCCATAAAATTACTGTTAAAAAAATTCATAAATATTATTTAAACTTATTAAAAATCTCTCATTATTTAATAAAACATAAAATTTCAACTTAAAAAATAAAAAAACTTTTAACAACAAAATAATTGACGAATTGGAGAAGACTATAGAGAAACTTAAAGGCCCCTTTTGGTTAATGGGAAAGGAGACTTGGGGATGAGAAATCAATTGTTTTCCCATGTTTGGTAAGTCCAGGCATGAGAAATTGTTTCCTGGCCCATGGGAAAGTAATGGGGAAAGTGAAGTCATCCTCCCAACTTAGGTTTTGTTTTCCCTTCTCATGGGAAAGTTTGGGAATGTGCCAATATTAAATAAACATTTTCATGACAATTTTGTCCCTATTAACAATTTAGAATTACAATAAATCATTAAATGCATTCTTTTTTTATTTGATTTAATATGGGTATAATTGACAATTTATACAAACTTTGTTTTCCATTCATACTTAAAACAAATATGGGAAAGAAAATAAAGTGATATCTCTCGGTTACTTTCCCAACATTACCAAATGTGGGAAATAAATCTTCCATTTTCCATCCATTGGGAAATCACATGGGAAATGATTTCCCTTCAAATTCATTCCATGAATCAAATGGGGCCAAAAGGTGGTCTTCCTATACGTATCTCTCTCCCTCTCTTACAGGTTTCTCTCCCTATAAAAACTAATGGTTTATAGATTAGAGAGGGAGAGGAGGTACTTCTCTCAAAGCAACACTGAATTTTAAAAAATAAAAATAATTTACTAATTAAAAAGAAAATGTAAAAAAAGCGTTGGCAATGAGGGATCGATAGAGGGGGTGGAAAACAATGGAGATTGATGCCGTGGTGAGGGGAGGGGGAGATCGAGTGACTACTCGTAGGGTTAACGTCACCAAGGAAATCAACACAAGGTTTGGGTTGGGACCGTCGGGTGAAGATCACTGTGAGAGAAAGGAAAAAGAGATTAAATAGTTGTGGGGTGGGTGGGATGGATCAGTGAGAGAGAGAGTGGTGGTGGCGGCTGGGATGGCTAATAGTGATTGGGTGGTGGCTGCTTGAGACAATAAGAGGGCTTACAATAATTGGGTGGTGTGGTGGGTGTTTTCCTTATTTTTTCTTTTAAAATATTCTTATTTTGTTAATTATTCATGTGTTTTTTATTTGTAAATTAAAATTAGTAATTTTATTTATTTATAACAATTATAGTTTTAAAAATTAATTTTTAATAGTGACTTAACAGAATGGACGAGATTGGCTAACAGAGTAAAACACAATGACCAAATCGACCAAATTAAAAACATGTGGGACTAAATTGGCCAAATAGGTGAATATTTAACTCCTAAGCGTATAGCCGGGATTGGCTCACCTATTTAAATATGGGAGTTTCACTAAAACACCCAAAATGGGGGTTGAAATTATAAAAAAAACCCAAGCACTATTTAAACATATAAACACACCCAAAACCCATCATTACACACACTCAAAACCCATTTATAAACACACAAAAAAAGTTGACTTTGGGGTTGATTTTGGGTATGTTTCTATGTTTAAATAGTGCTTGGGTTTTTTTTATAAATACATGTATAGGATTGGGTTTATTTATAAATTTGTATTTAAGTATTCGTATATATTCAAGGTGTATAGCCGCTCGGCTATGCTATTTAAATATTCATATGTATTCAAAAAGTATAGCCGACCGGCTATACGCTTTAAATTATTTAATCAAATGCTAGTAATACCGTCAATATAAAAATGAAGTATTTTTAGATTTCTCGTACTTCCACTATGCAAATTTTCGTGAATAATTATTTAATCAAAAGCTATTATTTATTTAGTGAATAATTACTATTTAGGTATTTCAATTAATTTGATAAATTGCTTGATAAATACTAATTAATTATATTTTGTTATCTCAAATAATTTGTTGGACTTTAAAATTAGCTTTAATTTTCGAATATATTTTGGAAATAATTTCAATTACTTAAATAGAAATTTATAAATAAGCCCAATCCTAGACATGTATTTATAAAAAAAACCCAAGCACTATTTAAACATAGAAACATACCCAAAATCAACCACAAAGTCAACTTTTTGGGTGTGTTTATAAATGGGTTTTGAGTGTGTGTAATGATGAGTTTTGGGTGTGTTTATATGTTTAAATAGTGCTTGAGTTTTTTTATAATTTCAACCCCCATTTTGAGTGTTTTAGTAAAACTCCCTTATTTAAAATCATAGAGAAAAAATTCTAAAAATGGATTTGAGCTACAATTAGGGTTTCGATCTCAATAAACGGTTAGTACGACATAACCACACCTAACCCTAATTAGTTGAGTGTGCCTTGAAGTAGATTTTAATAAGTGCTTTGTCGGAATCCTGATAAAATTTTGCCAAGAAATATCTATGGTGACATATATTTGTTGGGACATGTCTATTTTGTAAAAGTTTGTCGCAATACCAAAATTTCGTCTGCTAGGTATATCCCGACAAAATTCACCTAGACAGGTCTAGGTTAGATCCGGTTACGTCGTACCAAGCCAAGACCCAGTCTACGATTATTGAATATTATGTATATATTAATCCAAGCCCAATCAAAAGGTGAAGCCCAAGTTCCACTCCAAAAGGCTAACCTTCCATATAACATGTGTGAGAAAACTCCGGGTCCACTTATATGGAGTAGAGACTTTCTCTTATTTTCCAATGTGAGACTCAAGTTCATATATTTCATTCGAACTCCAAAGAGTAGTTGATACTATCGAATCATGATTTGACTTGGATTTAGGATTTGGAGGCTAAAATCTATTTTTGGAATATTAAAATATTTTTCTAGTATTTTTAAATAATTGAAACAATTTTAAAAATAATTTTAAAATCCACAAAATTATTTAAGATAACGAAAATAATTAATTATTATTAACTAAGTAATTTATGAAATTAATTAAAATACTAATTATTCACTAAATAAATAATAATAATAATAATATCGAAAGAGTATAGCCGCGCGGCTATACGAATATTTAAGAAGTACAGCCGCGCGGCTATACTATTTAAATATTCGTATATATTCAAGTTTAATTTTTCTTGTAATCATATTTAATTTTTCAATTTAATAATTAATTACTATTATTATCGTTGAAGGAAATGGGAGACTCCATTATTATAGCGAAGCTTCTGTATTTTGTTTCCAGTTTGAAATCCATATGCAACTTCTTTATAGTATTCGATTAGCTATTACATATTTACTCGATTTACGTTGGTTCCTAATAAGAACAAGAAAATGGGAAGATTGTGTGTGTGTATGTTTTTTTGATGAACTAATCTGCATTTAAATTTCATTGATCAATCTAATCATACTAAGATCACAAAAAGCTTAACCTCAATAAGATCAACCATGCAGCACCCTGTAATCAAAATTTAAACTGAGGGAGAGAGAGATACAGAGTGAGAGAGGGAGAGAGGAGGATCGGGGAGGAGGAGGAAATAAATTTTTTATTTAAAAAAAAGCAGGGAAAAGGGGGAGAAATGGGGCTGTGGGCCCTAAGATTACATTCTAGGCGAGTATACGCGTAACGCGTATAATTTTTCCTTGGTAAAGGGGCAGGCAGGCATAGATTATATTTTACGCGACAAAGGGTGGCGTGGCGGTACCGGTTAACCCGATTGAAAATAGAATGAATGAGGAGTGGATTATGTGAGAGAGGAACAATAGCCTTCCGCTCCCTTCGACTCACACAACTTTACCCTCGCTCTCCTCCTACTCCCGCTTGTCTGGCGCCGTCACTTCTCTCAGCCTCTATCTCTTCCAATCGCTCCCTCACCACCTCCTACAGGTGCCTCCTTCTCAAACTAGCCTCCTATTCTTCATTGTCTGTAACGTCGTCGTTTCGTACCACCATGACGGGCGTCGAATCTAAGGGGGTGGAGTGGCCCGCTAAGCGTGTCAGGGACACGTTTATGAGGTTTTTCGAGGAGAAGAGCCACGTTTACTGGAAGTCTAGCCCTGTTGTGCCTCACAACGATCCCACTCTTCTATTCGCCAATGCTGGTTCGTCACCGAATTTTCTTCCGATTTTTGAATTTTCCCCCTCTGTTTCATTTGTTGTTTGTTTCTTTGAAAAACCCTACATGCCTGTTTCGGTTGCATAGGTATGAACCAGTTCAAGCCCATCTTTTTGGGCGCAGCTGACCCAAACACTCAGTTAAGCAAGCTGACTCGAGCTTGCAACACGCAGAAATGTATAAGAGCAGGTGGGAAGCACAACGATCTCGATGATGTAGGAAAAGACACTTACCACCATACCTTCTTTGAGATGCTTGGAAATTGGTCTTTTGGGGATTATTTCAAGAAAGAAGCCATTGGGTGGGCTTGGGAGCTTCTCACCCAGGCAAGCAGATTTGACCCAATGCATAGTTTCATCACCGGTTACTATATCAAGGCTGATAATTGCCTTTTTTGATATGCAGGTTTATAAGCTGCCAGAAGATCGAATTTATGCCACCTATTTTGGTGGTGATGAGAAGGCTGGTCTTGCTCCTGATAATGAAGCTCGAGATATATGGCTTAAGTTTTTACCACCTGCTCGGGTACTACCTTTTGGGTGTAAGGTATGATTTTCTTAAGTTTTAGAGCTTTAACAGTTTTATGTTGGCAAGAACTTTCATTTTTCTGGAAATTCCATCCTATTGAATTTGTTTTGTTCAACTCTACATTACATTGACGTGTATGGAAGACCCTATGATGATCCAAAAGATGTAACAAGCTCTTGTAGAAATAGTGCTTGTATGTCTTGTCCTGTTGGTAGTTGCAGGGGTGATTCTTAACGCTGTGATTGGTATTTATGCACAGACCTTATTGTTCTCGGGATTGATATGCATTTCATTCTGGTTCTGATTTGTGTTCGCTAATGTTGCCAAGGAGGCTGTAAATTGAACTTATATGATAATTTTTTTCCGTTTGTTAATTTCATAATGATTATTTGTCTGGTTTAAATGACCTTATCTAATTGATTTTATTGGTGTTTTGTTGTTTTTTCTTATCTCCCCACATATAGGATAATTTCTGGGAGATGGGTGATACTGGTCCTTGTGGTCCTTGCACTGAAATTCATTATGATAGAATAGGTAATCGTGATGCTGCATCCTTAGTCAACAATGACGATCCTACCTGCATTGAAATATGGAATCTCGTCTTTATTCAGGTATAACATTGACAGCGTGTCTTATGGATCTTCATATATGAATTTGTATTCCTTATATTTAGGTCCAGAAAATTGATTGAAAACCAGAATTGTGATCTTAACCTTGCCACAAGTACAAGCGTCCTATGTATTGGTTTGTTATGGTCGGCACAATATCTAAAATTGAAATATAACCTTGCAAGTGTCACATAATTTTATTCCTTCTCTTTCTGGTTTATAATGCTTATAGTTAATTTAGTGAACTGTTCTTTTTTGCTTGATTACTATTCAACAGTTCAATAGGGAAAGTGATGGCTCTCTAAAATCGCTGCCTGCTAAGCATGTTGACACTGGGATGGGATTCGAAAGATTAACTTCTGTACTTCAGAACAAGATGAGCAATTATGATACTGATGTGTTCATGCCCATCTTTGATGCTATCCAACAGGTGAGATGTCAATTTCGTTTAGGGTCTTTGAAAGCAACAATACCTTTAAGATATCCACAAAGGGGGGCAAACCAAACTATGTATAGAGTACATAGAGGGACACCCCTATGCAGAAAAGTAGGAAAACAGTCAAATTTTAAGAGTTAAAAGCATTTAAGCATCTAGAAAGTTGTACGGAAAAAAAAAGCGTCTACAAAGTCCAGATTTGTTGAATGGGGGCAGCTCCTTATGACGAACATGTTTTATATTCGTATGAAGATTGTTTCTTGTAAAAAGAATCCTGGATCCTAGTGAAGACCTGAAGTTGAACATAAAACTGTTCGTTCTGAGGTTTCGTTGAAGCTTGGTGATCCACATGACAAGATTGATCTGTTTTGGTCTTATGTCTTAGTAAAATCTGCATCCAAACTCCTAGTCATTTTCCGTTCCAATCATTTATATTGCTTCGTGTTCCTATTTTCATTTAACCCAATATATTTGTAGGCAACAGGGGCTCGGTCATATTCAGGGAAAGTTGGGCTGGATGATGTAGACAAAGTTGACATGGCATACAGAGTTGTCGCAGATCATATAAGAACTCTTTCATTTGCCATTGCTGATGGGTCTCGTCCAGGTAGGCAGACAATAGTTTACCATTTTTGCTACCTTCTACTCAAGTTGAGTTCAGTGGTGTGGGTTTCCCATTGTTTAAAACAAAGACTTCCATTGATGGACAGGGTTGTGAATTGTTTTGCTGTGATTGGTATTCATAGAGATGTTGGATTTTATGCTGAAGGATTGCTAGCACATTCTGCATTTTGGTTTTTAACCTAGTTGGAAAGGATGTTGTCCCTTTTTTTCTAGAAGATTAGTGACTAAATGGACTTATCCTAATAAGTGAGTAAAATTGACTTCTCTTATTTAATTTTTAGGAATCACCATCATTCTTTAGTTTTTATCCTTCTTTTTTTGAGAAAATATTTCAAGATACGTGCAAAAGTCACCATACTATCTGAGAGAAATTTTCAGTGCTCCTCCTCCCTCGCCCCTGAGCCTTGCTGCTTGCTTATGAAATCTGAAGCTCTTAGAATTCACTCTTTCTTTTGAGTTAGTAGTGATAGGGGTCACATCGACTTTCATATTATTTTTATTGGCTACATCTTAAGATATGAATTTGTTTGAGTAGTTAAATCCTTTCTGAACTTTTTTTTTGGGGTAAATTGTAAGCGTTCAACTTCTGGGGTTCTTTTTTTTAGGCAATGATGGTCGTGAATATGTTCTAAGGCGAATTCTTCGTCGGGCTGTTCGGTATGGAAATGATGTCTTAAAAGCTAAAGAAGGATTCTTTAATGGGTAAGAATGACAGACATATACTGCAGTTTGGAAATCTCACTCTCTTCTGCTCTTTCTGTTAAAGTTGAGGTGCTATCTGGAAATTTTACCATTTTCTGAATGTTTCTGATTTGTAGTTATATGTATTGTTGATATGATCTTTTGTGAATGTGTTATATCCAGGCTTGTAGGCATTCTGGTGACAGTGATGGGTGATGTTTTTCCAGAGGTGAAACAGCATGAAGCACATATTAGGGAGATAATCAAAGAGGAGGAAGAAACTTTTGAGAAGACTTTACAGAAGGTTTGGATTTATATAATGAATTCTGTATGGGCATGCCTCTGGCTTCTTCTTTTTTATAAAAAAAATTTAGGCATAGGGAACTCAAATTTAGAGTTGGCATGGCAGTTTTGAAGTCTTGCAAGTATCATGGACTGATTGCAGAACAGAATTTGTAAGATAATAGGCGAATTAAATTTATACCTGAAGTATTGTGCCCTTGAGAAGTAGTGTTTTTGGTTGTGGAGTGTGAACTCTTTTATTAAGCACACTCTTCGTGTACTGCTTGCAATAGACTTTAGTAACCCTCATGCGTTTAATGAGGCTCTATGAGTGAATGTGTTGCAAATAACCTCAGTTTCGATCACGTGCGCTAAACCAAACCTTGTTCTTTTAATTGCTTTTGATTTTTTTTTCTTTCCTTTGCATCCTTTTTTTATTAGAAAGCATATGTATAAAATGCAATGCGACAACAGGGGGATTGTGTTTGTAAATTGAAAATGGAAGGATTTAAAAAAGTCAAGTTTATCAAGAATTGCATTTAAGGTAGTTCAAAGTAATTGTTGTGACTGAGCTATTTGATTTACTGATGATTTGTTTTCAGGGAATAGAAAGATTTAAGAAGGCTGCTCAGGATGTTCAAGGGAAAACATTTAGTGGGCAGGTGCGTTTCTGAATATTTTTTTTAATCTTTCCCTTATTTTATATTGTTCTTATGCTCTAGGAAGTCATTTCTGTGGCAATTGTTCTCACAAAAGAGAGGGAGGAGCTTTTCACGGAACATTTCATTTAACTTCCCAACAACTGTTCTCCTTCAAAGTTTATGAAATTTCAGTCATTTTTTGTATGTAGTAGGTTCAAAATTGGGGGTTTTAACAACAGATGTGTCAACAAAACCAAGTCCTTCACAAAATTTTGTCGGTGCATCATGCATAAAGATTCTCATATCCATGATAAGAAAGCTAACTCTTGAGACCTGTTATCCAGTATGTATAATTGGTATAGGTTCACCTTCCTTGAATTCAAATTGATTGCAGATGCTGCACAAGTTTGTTGGAACATTGTTATTGACAATTAGCTAAATAAGTGTGGATGAGTTGCGATGTACAGAAATGGATACACTAACTTAAATTAATCTTCTGTTGATCATTTCCTTTATCTATGGCTAACAGATTAGGACGAGTGCTCATGTTTGTAGATGGTCATTGTACCTTACTGTGACTTACGTTTTTCTTATTCTGGTCGCAGGATGCTTTTGTCTTGTGGGACACGTATGGGTTTCCATTAGATTTGACACAGGTACAGTGAAATTCATTGTTGTTCTGTTGGATATATTTTTATACATGACTTTGTTCGCTTATAATTTCTTCCTCCAGTTGATGGCAGAGGAAAGGGGGTTACTAGTTGATGTTGAGGGTTTCAATAATGCTATGGATGAGGCTCGGGAAAGATCAAGGAATGCTCAAACTAAGGTACTGCCTTTTTTTTGTTGTTACATCACATCCACATCTAATGTCAACTTCAGATGTTGTCCAAACCTTCTTCCCTTCATATGACGCTGGTAGTTTAAAGAGAAACATTGAAGATTCTGGAAATAAGTGACACAATTGTATATTGTGAACAAAATATACATGGGGCTGTGCACTCATGTTACCTTTTTTTTTTCTTGAACTCTGTAGCAAGCTGGTGGTGCTATTGTTATGGATGCCGATGCTACTGCTGCATTGCACAAGAGGGGGGTTGCTGCAACAGATGACAGCTTTAAATTTATCTGGTGCCAGGTTAGATATTTTATGTATCTACACTCTGATTGTTATTCAATGTTTACTCTCTGATATGAAAAAATTGCTTTGAGAAGTGTTTCCATAAGTAGAGTCTTTGTGATGCGGGATTAATCAATTTGCTGTTGATAATTACTTTCCTATTTTTTAATAATCAATTCAGGACCATGAAAGTGTGATAAAAGCAATTTACACCGGTTCTGAGTTTATTAATAGTGCTTCTGCCGGCAATGAAGTTGGTATAGTTTTGGGATCAACAAGCTTCTATGCTGAGCAAGGTGGTCAGGTATTGTATATTCTGGTTAATTTTTTCCACCATCATTTTGACTATTAAAAGTCTTTGGATTATGTGTGTGAAAGGTTCCATGTTTATGAACTTTTGAGCTGCTTTTAGTGTCAAATATGATAGTGGAGTGTGGATCAGCGCACGTATTAAAATAAAAATCTCTGCACAGGCTCCAATTACGGAGACTGGAAACAAATCCGTCGACTGCTACTGATCTGAAAAAAAAAAGTTGACTGCTTTAGGAAATCTCAAGAATACGTGTAAAATGTGATGGGACTTGATAAAAATAAACCAGCAGAATTAAAAACAAAAAGTAATTCAAGATTTGTTGGATTCTGGATCTTGATTTTCCTTATTTATTATATAGCCTGCATCATATATTCTTCTTGATCAGAAGAATTAGGTGTGTGCATGGACTAAGTTAATGCTGAAAGTTGTATTTATGTTAGTAGGATTTGAGTTCTAACAATTATATTGCATTCCTGCAAGATAGTTTTGAATGTTTGTAATGGTGGGTTTTGTGCATCTGGTTCGATTTGCTTTGGTTGTAGATTTTTGATACTGGATCACTTGAAGGATCCTCTCTCTCATTTCAAGTTTGCAATGTTCAAATTTATGGAGGTTTTGTTCTTCACATTGGTTCTTTTTCTGGGGAGAATGGCAAACTCTCTGTTGGTGACAAAGTAAATTGCAAGGTACTTCTGCCTTCAATTTTCTGCTTATAGTCTGTATGTATGTGTATATATATATGTATGTATTTTTTTTGTTTCAACTTTTGCTGAGTTCTCTGGTACAGGTTGACTACAATAGGCGTACACTCATTGCGCCCAACCATACCTGCACGCACATGTTGAACTTTGCTCTGAGGGTATGCTCAAATTCCAACAACCCAAAAACTGTTTTTTTACTTTTTTTTCATAAAAAAAATTCTCTACTGTTTTGTCTATATGGTTCCTAAATATGTTCAGCATATATCAATGCAGGAAGTTCTTGGCAGTCATGTTGACCAGAAGGGTTCTATTGTTCTTCCAGAAAAATTAAGATTTGATTTTTCTCATGGTAAAGCTTTTCAAGTTAGTACTTTGAGTTAAGAGGATTATGTTATCTATGCCTATTGGGTTTTCTTAAAAATGCTAGTGGAACTTGAATAGGCAAGCCGGTAGAACCTGACAATTTGAGAAGAATAGAGTCAATTGTGAATGAGCAAATTAAAGAAGAATTGGATGTTTTTGCTAAGGAGGTAACCCTGGTTGAAGCCAAGCGTATCAATGGTTTAAGGGCTGTATTTGGAGAGGTATTCTCCTGAATGCTAACATAATTATTTAATCACCTCAATAGCTATATTTTGTTTTGTGTGATACATAGGTTGTTGCTTGTGATGTAGGTATATCCTGACCCAGTAAGAGTGGTGGCTGTTGGGCGAAAAGTTGAGGACCTCCTGGCTGACCCCGAAAATAAGGAATGGTCATCAATTTCAGCAGAACTTTGTGGAGGTTAATGCCCTATTCTAATGAAAATGTCTTGGAGCATTGCCTTATTTTTCAGTTGAACTTTATCTTTTTGATACATATAGGGACTCATATATCAAATACGAGGGAAGCCAAGGCCTTTGCTCTTTTATCTGAGGAGGGAATTGCCAAGGGAATACGTAGGATAACTGCTGTCACAACTGATTGTGCTTTTAAGGCAATTGAATTGGCACACTCGCTTGAGCAGGAAGTAGATGAAGCGTCCAAGGCTGAAGGAAGCTTGCTGGAGAAGGTTGGTTTCTTTATTTTTTCCCCATTTGTTTGTTTTGTTTTTTGGTTTGGGAATGAGTTTATCACATCTACTTTAGCCCTTGAGGGTTGCAGTAACCTCATCTTAATTATGTTTATTTTCAATACTTTTCCTCCTTTATTTAGTAGTGTTGGTCGATTGGGAGGGGTAGGGTTTTAGCTCTGTTTTGCATAAATTGGTGAATTCATGGAGAAGCAAATAACTTTGACTTGGATAGAGTCAGGTCATCAGTTATTTCTTAGTGTGGCATAATGTATTCAAATTGTGCCATATCTTTGAACTTGGTGGACCTTGATGCATATATGCATAGTGTTATGGGTATTGTAACTACAAACATGCATTTTCTGTTGTGAAAGAAACTTGGAGAAAAGTAACTTTTTTAAAAATTGTGGTCATTTTAAAAAAGTTTGGATGTTTAAAAATTAGCATATATATATATATATATATATATAGACCCTAAACCCCAAACCCAATCCGGGGAGAATCGAGAGGTCATGATAACAGTTGACGAGTGAGGCGAGGGGCTTATTCCTCTCAATCAAGGAGGGCTTGTCCCCTACGGCCAGTACAATGCGCTAGTAGCATCTTCTTTAACGCTGGCATCTTCTGTAAAGAAAGCTGTCCTGGGGGACAGATTTCATTCCGTGCCTGCGGTGAGGCGCGACCCACAACAAACAAAGGGGAAAAGCTTGCTTGCTGTAGCCCTATTTTAGTAGACTAGGCTTGGTCAAGGGCTGCTGTTTGACACGCTGGAGTTTGGTGTTAAAAGCAGGGCTTATGGTGTTAGAGTTTTCGTGGGTGCGGTAATTCTTAGTTTGGCGCTCTGGGCATTTAGTTCTTACTCCTTCCGACAACAGCGTTTACTTCTATGACACCACTACCAATACCGCAGCTTTTTTGCCCACGATTGGTTTTCGTGAAAGCACTATTGGGCGGTTCTGCAGATCTTTCACCTCAAACAAACTCATCAAAGAAGACTACTCTCATCTCTGTTTCATCGTTATATATATAACAATTGTTTGTTGAAACCTTAATAAACATGATGCAAATTTTTGCCGTATTTATTTTTCTTTTCTTTTAATTTAGAAATGTGCTTTTGGTTACTAATCATATTTTATAACCCACATTTGTTTTTCCTTTTAACAGAAAGTAGCTTCCTTAAAGTCTCGGGTGGACTCGGCACCAATTCCAGTGGCTAACAAAGCTGAAATAAGGGCCAAAATTGCTGTACTTCAGGTATTTCAGCTAGGCAAGACAGCACTATTGTTTTCGTTGCCTGTTGTCCCTTTCCTCTTTGTTTTCTTACCGACACCCTTACTTTTGTTTTATTTTTTATATATTTATATGTGCATCCTGAACTACAATATTTCTTGCTCCATCCAACAGAACCAAGTGAGGAAGGCACAAAAGATTATTGCTGAGCAAAATATGCAAAATGCTGTCAAGGTTGCAACTGAGATGGCCGAAGTTGCTGCTTCAGATGGGAAAGCTTACTGTGTATCCCATGTTGATGTTGGTTTGGATGCGGCTGCAGTTCGCGAGGCAGTTGTGAAAGTCATAGAGAAGAAGGTCAGTAGCATAATTTTGCTATTCTACTTAGCCTTTTAAGTGATTTGAAAGGTGTCTTATTTTCATCAAACATAATATGGAAATCCATTACAATGAATTGAGCAATGCAAGAATAGTAGTCATCGCCATGAAATACTTTAAATTTATCTTTGGATGATTGTCCGCAATGATATCGATCAATTCTCAATGGTGGTACATGGACAGGGAATGCCTGCCATGGTTTTCAGCACAGATGAAACCACAAATAAGGCTGTGGTTTGTGCTGGCGTACCAGGAGACAAAGGGAACCAGTTGGAGGTGTCAGAGTGGTTGACTGCATCTCTGGGTCCCCTGAAAGGAAGGTGTGGTAAAGGAAAAGGTGGCCTTGCGACTGGCCAGGTTAGTGTTTCTAGACCTACGTGAACTCAAACTTGGTTTTTCAATTGGGTGAAGCATGGTTGTATATTTGTAGGGGTTTTTTTATATATAAATTTTAATGTGAATAAGGTATGGCTTTAGAAACATAATTGGTTACTTGAACTTTTTCCATAGGGAAGTGTAAAAACGATATCATTCTGTATCAGAATAATAATGAGAGAAACATGGAGATTTTATTTATATAGCTCATACTCTGCTAATTTTTGCATTGAATTGTGAATCTCAGGGAACAGATGCGTCTCGTCTAAATGAAGCAGTAGACCTTGCAACGTCTTTTGCACAGATGAAATTGAGATGAATGATGCCAGAAGGCCCACTCAAAAGCATTTTAGAATTGGATAGGCTTACTCTCATCCAGTTTATAGAAATTAAACTACTTACAAGAAGTGAAATTAAATTATGAACTGTAATATGAAAAGCAATTATTTGCAAAGTTTTCATCCAAATATTGTAAGTCTACAATCTTGAGAAGAAAGGTTTCTACCAATTCAGTGAGAAGGAGACGGTTTTGTCATATTTTTCTTTTTTGGTAAAAATAAAAAATAAATCTATTGAGTTGCCTGATGATCCTGTATGGCCCGTTCATTGGCTCCGGGCAGAAAGCGAAAAAAGTTCATTGGCTTTTTGGGCCGATCTTTAGATTGTTGTCAGACAAGTTAGTTTTGTCAAGTCCATTCCAGTCAAACATGAAGGCACGACTAAACGCGCGTTTTAGCTTCGTTTTGTCATCACAATGTCGTTAAACTATGGTGCCGCACCCGCATTCGCAGCATGCATAATCATGGCCCTACAATCAGGCCGTTGATATTGCTATGACTTGGCTTAGTTAGTGTCGATGTTTCCGGTGTCATCGCATCATCATTATGTACTGTGCCACGTAAGCAATGCTTATGCAACCCAAAGCGTGTCATTAAGACCCTGATTTTGTTTTTAATTTAAAAAAATTTCAATGAATAATATTACTTACCACATTCTTATACCATCTTGTGTGACAGTTGAGATAGATAACCACATCAATTAAAATTATTTATCATTTTCTTTTCTTTTATAATTTATTCCAATATTTGTTTTTCTAAATTTCTTAATTAAAATATACTTAATTGATGTGACATATGATATAGACATACCACATCATGTGGTATATAAATGTGGGATAAAAATGTAATAAGTGTAGCATATGAAAAAATTTGAATTTACCATATTATTCTTATTTAATTAATAATTTTCATTCTTAATGTTTGTATTAACTAAATGCATTTTCTAGTATTTTGAATGTTTCACCGTTCTTTACATTTTGCTTTATATATCAATCATACTTCTAATATCAGATATCTTGCAACTCATCGAATTTGTAAATTCCACATAATTGAGAAGATACCTAGTCAAAAAGGTAGATAAGATCATCTTCAATGGAGATGTCAAATATTTAATATTAAATTTAAATTTGATAATTTATGTGTCAATTTGATATATAAACATTTTATATTCCACTCGACATGACAACAAGAGAGAAAAATATTATTCCACGTAGAATTTGACATTCAATTGGAGTAAATATCAGTTATTTTGAGATGCTCTATGGTATTGCTTTTCTATCTACATCGAAACAAAGCGCTTTGATTACATATCAAATTTGTTAGGAGGAATTTTAGTCATTAACCCTTTGTGTATAGTACCAAATCACCCCTCTTCCCTTTCCCATGACTGGGCACTTCTTGTTTCTAACAAGAAACATTCCCATTCCATTTGACCTTTCTAAGTCGTTAATTGACATAAGTATCCTCGCTGTTGTCCAATTGCCCCATCATCATTTCTGAGTTGGATTGTGCTCTCTCTTTAGTCGGTTAATTTAATTTCATGTGGTTATGTTACGAATGATGATTGATAGTTTTTATGATGATCATGTCACCACCACCACCACCTTAATTCTTAATAATTCTTAAAAATTCTTAAAAATACCCACCACCCCACCAATCGGAGCATCCCTTACATTCTCTCTGTACGCGTCGGAGCTCTGCTCGGGCCTCCCTTCCTAGAATCCGGGCAATCTCTCGCATCACAACCCTAATTCTCTCTCTCTGGTTCTCTCGGTTGCTACTTCTTCTCATGGTTCATTTTCCCTAGGGTTTCTCAGCGGTAGCCGATTCCGCCGAAATGTCTCGGCAAGCGGGGTCGTCCCACTTTCACAAATCCAAGACTCTCGATAACAAATATGTAAGAAGAGACAGCTCAATTTTGCAATCTACACTTTCTGCTTCCCGACGCATATGTAATGTCTAATTTGTGTTTGGCTGGTTGCAAAATGTGGGTGAAGATATTAGAATCAGAATGTGGATAGTGTTTGTCGATTATATTTCTTCTCCGCATTAACTGGCAACTAAATGGAGGATTAGGGTTTTGTTTCTACGACTGTGGTTTTAAAGTTCTTTTTGAATTTGATCCTATTGATTTATGAAGGTTTTTTGCGTATGGTAAACATGAAAGTAGCTTGTCCAGTGAGCCACTTAGTTGTGATTGGTCAGTTGGTTGTTGGGCGGTCTTTCCCTCTCCTTCTTATATGTATGTATGTATGTATATGCTTCTGAACACTGCTTTGTTCATTTCTTTCCCTGCAATTTCTTAATTGAGCATTAGAGTCCTAACTGTTTTGAGTTTATGACTTTTGTGGTTTTCAGCTGCATGGTTTGTGGCTTTTAAATAACACTCCTCTCCATTTAGTTGCTTAGAAACTGGAATGCTGAATCTAGTATTTGTTGCTCAAGTAGATGTCTTTGACTGGTAGAAAGTATTTCAACATGTTCCCCCGCCCCCTATTCCAACTTACTTGCTTCTCAAAGAATTAAGATAAATTTGTCAACAACTAGCTATGGTCTTAAATAATTTCACGTTTTCACGTTTTCGGTCGGATTTTGAATTATTTAAATAATTTTGGTGTAGATGCTTGGAGATGAGATTGGAAAGGGAGCATATGGTCGAGTTTACAAGGGGTTGGATTTGGAGAATGGAGACTTTGTCGCTATTAAACAAGTTTCTTTGGAGAATATTGCTCAGGAGGATCTCAACATTATAATGGTTGGACCAGCTTTTTCTTTGTACAATTGTTAGTTATTTTTACATGAAACTAATTAAAGGAAAATTAAATGTTTTTTTCTTTTTTTTTTTTTTTTTTTTTTTTTTTTTTTTTTTTTTTTTTCAAAAATTTTTTTTTTTTTTTTTTTTTTTTTCAAAATCATCAGCATCATGATTGCGCTTAAGATTTCTTCTTTATGTTAATCTCCCTGGAAGCTGATTTACTGAAATAGCACAATTTCTTGGTTAATTTCTGTCAAATACATATGTATTTATGCAGGTATGGCTTGTCTTGAAGTTTGTTTCTCCCAGAAGAATTAATTTTTACATTTTTGCAAATTCAGCAACGTACATGATATCAAAATTATGATTTCTATTCCTTTGTTATACTTAAACATACCATCTCTTCCGCATTTCATGTTTCCAATGTGTACTACTTTAATTTGGCTCACTGGGTGCTGTTTTTCATATGATCGCTTCTCTGGTTGTACAATGCGGTGACATCTTAGCAAGAGATTGATTTGCTGAAGGTACAGTTTTTTTTTCCTGTATTCTTGTGTTTGCTTTTATGATGTCAGTTATATACCTTAAGCTGAAATCTTATCTTACTATATATCATGTCCCATCATTGCACGTCAGCAGCACCTGTTTCAGATGAAGATTATGGGGCTTAAACAAGGACCCTTTGAAATGGGTTGACTTGTTTTATTTGTCCCTCATATTGACATTTTTAACCTTGTTCGTGTTCTTTATTAAACAATTGCAGTCAATTCTAGGTATTATTATGTGTCTTCTTGTTGGTTAAAATTTTAGCAAAAAGCTGATTGAAATTTTGGCTTCTCTCAACTCGTCCCACTGTGTACGGTGCTGTAATGCATTTTGTTCTGATATGCTGTTGCTGAGCAGCCCTTTGCTAACCTACTATGATTTATGCAGCAGCTAATACTGCCCATTCCAAGTGCCTTTTGAAAGAAATACATACTGATTACAGTACTTACGGTATTTGCAATTTATTTTTGCAGAACTTAAACCACAAAAACATTGTGAAGTACCTTGGATCCTTAAAGACAAAGACTCATCTTCACATAGTCCTAGAGTAAGGGAGCTCACAAGTTCTCGTAATACGTCCTGTGGAAACTCTGTTGTGAAAACTCCGCATGATGTTTCTATGACTGTTCTATTACTACAAGAACTTTTTGAAATGTCAATGTCTCTTTCATCGAGCATATTCCTAGTGTTGATTATCTTGTTTGTATTTGTTTTCTCCTGTTCAATGATGTTTTGATTGTTATACTTGTAGGTATGTGGAGAATGGCTCACTTGCAAACATTATCAAGCCAAATAAGTTTGGACCTTTTCCAGAATCTTTGGTAGCTGTGTACATTGCTCAGGTTCGCTCCTTGAAATTTGTCATTTGTATGTGTGTGCAGTTCTGATATTTTAACTTGATATTCGTTATGATATAGGTTTTGGAGGGGTTGGTGTATTTACATGAACAGGGTGTAATCCATCGGGATATCAAGGGTGCAAATATATTGACAACAAAAGAGGTGATTTTACGTGCATGCATAAATAATCTTTTTTTGTTAGTTATGTTGAGTTACTTTTGCAGATGTGTCTGACTGTGATTGGTCTGTAAGAAGGTGTGGCTCCTTACATGTAAGGAGCCAAGCAATGTCCATAACTTATTATATTACTTGATTGGTGTGATCTGTCCTTTTCAGGGGCTTGTGAAACTTGCTGATTTTGGTGTTGCGACAAAACTGACTGAGGCGGATGTCAATACACATTCAGTTGTTGGAACGCCATATTGGATGGCCCCAGAGGTACTTCTTTCCTTTTTTGAGACGAAAGATACTTTTATAGGCAATTCTTCCCCCCTTATTAAAATTCCCAAATTAAGTTAAAAAAATATTAAAGAAAGCTGGTTACTCCTTAGAAAAAAAAATTATTGATCTTGACAAAACCCACACAAACAGACTAGCATGATCATGCATGGGGTAAATGTGAGATGTCAAATGAATTTTTTTTTCTGCAGCATGCAGAATCTGTGCTGACAAAAAGCATGAATCATGCTTTGGATTCAGTTATGAATTTGTGAATGAGAGGTCTCAATTTGATGAAATGATCTATGTTTTAGGTGATTGAAATGTCGGGGGTTTGTGCCGCTTCGGACATTTGGAGTGTTGGCTGCACTGTTATTGAACTTCTTACTTGTGTACCTCCTTA